TCAGGCAACCCTTTGTTTTGGTACGTCGACGCCCAAAACAACTCTCAGAACGACTGATGACCTCAGATTATTGAGCAAGTGACTCACTCGAATTGGTGGAGAATTGCCTCCCTCGTAACCAGTCCTGGTCGTAAATTGAATATGTTTTGTGGCGCGTGGAACGAAGTACTATCAGCTGCTGTGGTTCTCTTCTAAGGGTTCGCGGAACTATCAACCACGACGCGAACGCGTCTCATTCAGGATACATATACCAAACTAGGCGCTCCATTATCTGCACTTCAGCTGATCACAATAAGCCTCATTTCCACACGCGTGCGCTCAGCCGCGGTGTCGCGGTGAGAAGCTTTCGCGAGCCGCTTAGCCGATTCACATGGGGCTGTGCAGAATTCGTCGCGTATGGAATACGCCGCATTGGCGGCTGAGGAAGTAGTAAGCTCAGCCCAACATCAAGATAGTGCCTAGAAAGCCAGCGGGCTAGCACGAATACATCACTCATGATCAACGGGAGGTAAATGTGTGTGATCAAAATATATTATTCGTTTTATCATCGGTATCATCATCATTCACTATATACAAAGTGCAATCACCTTAAGCTTACAAAAGCTTAAGAGTGACCTTTCCGCCCTTGACACCCTTTCGGACGACAGGCTCGCGAACGCTCCTCTTCGCAGTGCCGTTAGCAGGCACACGTTCGGGAATTCCCTCCCAAGAGGTAGCGTAATGAGCGACAGCGGCAGCAATACCGCGGGAGTGTAGAAGCCAAGCCTCCTCGTTAAGGTTGGTGACGTTGTCAGCAGCCTGGTGGTAGTTCTGGTCAAGGATCTCTCCTGCGACGCCACCCCAGATAGCCTGCTCCTCGACAGTCTTGACCTCATCAGCACCGGTGGTTGTGCCTCCAGCAGGAATGTTGGCGTCAAGGAAAGGACCGTAATCAGAACGGCCGTTGAATTCGGTTTCGTTGCTGGGAATGTTGAGATCCTTGAAGTATCCCGCAAAAAAGGCCTCAATATCGTCACTTCCAGCGGGGCCGCTCAGACCGTAAGCACTGCCGTCACCGTCGTAGATCTGATGAACATAGTTGGGAGACGCAATCATGTCGAAGTTGAGGTAAGCGCGGACATCAAGAGCTGCCTCGGGAGACAGGCTTTCGACGAAGAAGGTGGAGCCGAGAAGACCGGACTCCTCGCCAGACCAGAAACCGAAGCTAACGGCGTTGTTGACGTTGTACTTGGCAAGAGACTTGGCGACGTTTAAGATAGCAACAGTTCCGGAGCCATCGTCGTTGATACCAGGACCAGCGCCAACAGAGTCGGTGTGAGCACCGAGCCAGAGCTGGTTGTTCTTGTCACCACACTTGCTGGTGGCCAGAACGTTGTTGGTGGTGATGACTTGGACGTCGGTCAAAACATCCAATGTGCCGGTAACGGTAGCACCGCCAGCGACCTGGGCAACGATGGCCTGACCCTCCTCCAAAGAGAGAGTCACACTTGCAACGTAGTCACCCTCAGGACGGGGAGGAGGACCAAGAGTGGCGCTGATTGTGCCTGCAACATTGTTGTAGATGATGGCACCTACAGCTCCAGCGCTTCCAGCAAGAGCGGACTTCAATCCAAACTCGCAGGTACCACGCGAGATGAGCGCAATGGCACCAGATACCTCGGCAGGGAAGTCAGACGCCTCGCAACCGAGGTTGTTGACGGGGACGATGGGTGCGGTGACGAGACCTGGAGTAGACGCGGAGTACTCGAGAATGGTAGAGTTGATCGCACGTCCATCGATGGTGAATGCGTTGAGGGTACCGTTCAACATGACGTAGTTGGAGAAGGGCTGGAGCGTAACATCGTAGTACGAAGTAGATTCAAGCTCTTTCTTCAGCCATTTGACAGTATCGTTGTGAGCCTGTCCTCCCATGATCCTGTTACGGGCTGGGTAGCTGTAGGCGAAGTCCTCAAGCTGCTGAGCACCCCTCATCAACTTCTTGATGGTGATGTCCTTCTCTAGAGCATCCTACAAAATCATCAGCATACATTCAACGTGACCGTGAAGAACCGGAGCTGCATACCTTAGTAACCAAGGGCTTCTTAGGGCATGGCTTGGAGTTGTGACCATCCTGGCGTTCCCTAAGCTCGGTAGGAATGGCCGAGGCGCCGACGGCGAGAGCTGCAAGACCGAGAGTAACCCTCATATTGACAAAGCTGTTCTATCTCGGGCGGTTGAGATGGTAGAAGCAAGCTGCAGCTGTGTCTTCCATCTGGAGTGCGGATTGCAGCCTTTATACATGTTTGCTGCACCGATCGACCGGTCGTGCGTGTGTAACCATGTACAAATCCCATGGACCTGTTCCCTAACCCGAGAGTGCAGCTATCGCGTGCAATTCTGCAGCAATCGCGTACACTCGCAGTCGTTCCCCCGTCTGCCAAGCATTTCAATATCGGCCATCTCTTATCATTCGCCAACGGCGACTCCACCGTTCATGCTTGATCCAGCAGCTGGTAAAGACAAGCTGCGCCAATGCCTGCTTCATTCTGGTAGATGGTCTGGGCAGCGCCTGGGCGTACCTGATAGTGGCGCTCAATTGCGAGATTACTGGGGCTCGATTGGAGAGCGTACTGATGTGGGTAGATGTCGGCGGAGGCAAGCTCCCTCCTGCCAAGAAGGCCGGATGGGTGCTCTTTAGGAAGGTGGCCACGCCCGGCTATGGGAACGCAGAAGCACAGCTCTCTAGCCTTCTAGAAGCGATTGTGTATCGCGGAACATCCGAAGGCCCTCATGGAGCTCGTCTTGTCGCCTCTTTCTCCAGGATTTCCATGTCGTGCGATTTGAGCAGGTCATCTGGTGTGGAATCGCATGTCGCAGTCGACGGCCAAAAGCACGGCATGCGTCCGCCGAGGTCCCTGGGAAACGGGGGCTTTAGCTGGCGCCGCACGGAGCAGCTGTTTACTGATGACACAAGAGCATCTCATTGCTCTACAACTCAAGAAGACTCAAGAAGAAAAATTCACATCGCGAAGATGCTTCGAAGACGATCGATATGTATGAAGATGATATCTGACGACGGGGAATGCGCGGCATATATATCTCAGAGCACCATGTTGTCCTCTTGGCGGCACCATGGCGGCTTGGGCAAGTACCCAAGATCTCATGGTTCTTGGACATGGCCTTGACGGCCTTGGAAGTGCTGAATAGCAGCGACAGAAGCTAAGCAGGTGCAATGTAAGGTTAATCTTGTGTACTGAACTTCCAGCGCTTCGATCAGAATATTTCACATCAAGGTTACAGGCTTGGTAGAATTCAATCTTGGGGAAAAGATGGTCATACTAGATAGAATATGTCGTGATATAAAACCGTTAAATGAGAAGGGAAAGTGAAACTGAGGCAAAGATATTCGAAGACGTTAAGGAGCAACTCAGCTAGACCAGTTCTACCGCGCATAAAAAGCCATATTATTTCTCCACTGGCTAGCGACATGGCAGAAGTTGTTCCTTGGTTCTTTGTTTACTTCTTTTTCCTCTTCTAGCCATGTCGCATTCATGCCCTCTAGCATCCTACCAACTCGCGGAGTCCAATTGTTCGACTCAATAATTTTCCCTTCCTGGTGCCATGAGTGGCTGAATACCCTGGTGCAGATGATAGCAGCAGGCCCCGTTGGAAAGGTGATGTCGGCTGCAATCGTTCATATTGGCACGTAATGATGCGGGTAGAGCGCGATCAATAGCGTAGAAGGCGTAACAGAGAGATATTGATGCAGCTCTGATACGACGGCTATTGGGAGGTCAAGTCCAGAGAGAAAGATTGCATTTTCAGTGCGGTACGCAGGATCCCAAGTCACGATTGGATAAGGTAGGGCTTGGCAGCTGCAGAGAAGTAGTGGCATACCGTTAGGACAGGTGTCTCAAGATAACGCATGCGAACATGTACTACGCGATTTCTTCCTATGAAATCCCTGAACTGCGTTGCCCAATTCGAAGCGGGCGGGTTTGTCACTCCTCGTGGTTAGAGCGTTTGACTGCCTCCATATGCTGTACCAGAGTCTAGTCTTTGTTACTTGACCGTGACCCTCCTCCGAACCCATCAGATGAAAGCACAGACATCCTTCAGCAAGAGAAAATTGACAATCCGTCCTCTGCTTAAGCGCAAAGCGAGAACCATCAGGCTTCAGTGTCATGGTATCATCCTAAAGAGACCCAACACTTTCCTTCCGATACAGGATATCGTCCGGTGTAAATCTGCCTTCTGTCCATGCAAAACTGTAAGGCGTGTTAAATTGGACTTGAACCCCGCGTAAAGGATGAGCTGGCACACGAAGCTTCCGTCCACCGCTGCTAGGTACATGTGGCACATGTATAGCTTATCCACCCTGGTTCGGCTCACCGTTACAAAATCGCTCGACATGTTTGGCCGCTTACTCCTTATGGAGGCTTCGAATATGTTGATATCTGCAGAAGCGCATCGGCCGTAGAAGTTGAGGTTACTCTCTGTTAGGGTTCTGAGGGATTGGGTTGCTTATGAAGTTTATTTGCGAGATGGGAAGATTATATGGCTTTCGGAAGGTTTTGCCAATTGCGAATCGTTCTCCTGAGGCGGCATCATGCGGTAGCCTCGAGTATGGCTTCTATGCCGTAGGCTGAGAGCCAAAGCTCTGGTCAACTTCGTGGTGGGAAATGTTTGGTAAGTCGTATCTTGTACCCCGGGCAGGAGAATATGACTGCAGCCTTCTTTTGGAATCAATTTTCGAATAGGGAGGGACGGGACGGTTTGTGAGTTGAGAATATAGGATGGCTTTGCAGTATCATATTAGAAAACGGTTTCCAGTGTCTACACCAAGCGGTGAACACTAGTAGGAGAAATATTACACAACATATGCGCGAAGGTAGACTACTGACGTTATCGGGTGTGCTTTGCAACTTAAGAGCAAATGAATACGGTTCGGTTGTAGTGAAAATATCTCAAGACTTTGTATATGTAAATTGCCCTTCTGATTAATGATTCGCCACAAATATTTACTTGAATTGATCTTCGGTAACACCCTTGCCCATAGCCGCCGTCGAACTTACACCGCCGGACACCATCTTCAGAAGATTGTCGACGTAGTTTGCTCCACTCCACTTCTGATGCGTAAGCACATCGACCTTGTTCTCCGCTTCTGGTTCCTGGATGATTTCGCCGTACGCCCGCATTCCCTGCTTAGCATATGCCTTGGAGAATGTGTCGGCCATAAGAGCGCTTTGGTGCAGACCGGCGAGCGTGATGAACTGCCAGCAGTAACCCAGTTTGGCCAGGCGTTGGATGTAGGTTTCTTGCTCGTCACGTGGCATGGCGGCTTTCCAGTTGAAAGAGGGCGAGAGATTATACGCCAGTCTATCAATATTGTTAGCATGGATGATGAAAACAGGAGTGAAGGAACATACTTCTGCTCAGGCCATACGGCATGGACACCGTCGGCAAACTGTTTTGCCTGCGCAAAATCAGGCAGCTTCGACTCCATCCAAATCATGTCGCAGTAGGGTGCATATGCAACGGCGCGGTTGATGGCGCATTCACAGCCACCTTGATATCTGTAGTAACCCTCTCTGGTCCTTGCGGCGTCCCAGTTAAAGTACACATCAACGCCAGTCAGACCTGCGGCGATGGCGCGTGCCTCTGAATTGCTCTTGCCCTTGCTCTTCTCCAGGAACTCGTTGATCATGTTCTGCTTGTCCACATGTACACCAGCATTTATCGTGTCAATCACTGCCTCATGGTAAAGCTTCAGGTTGGCTTCCTTGGTCCATGCATCTTCGATGGCCTGGAGCTCCGCGCCGTTCTTACCAGCTTGCTCTGCGGCATACATGAGCTCGCCCAACGGTTGAAGGGCGGGATTTGTGCAGCCTAGGATGTAATGGTGGTCGCGAGGGTCGATGGTCGATGTGATCAGGGTAGCGGCCTCTGAGTCGGTTCTGGCAACGGCAAGTAGGTCGGTTCCTGTGCAGCAATATGAGCTATGTTTGCAATCAATATTTGGTTGATGTTATCTTACCCATGATGTCTGCCTGTGCCCTTATGGCGACTAGACGGTTGATGTGCTCGCTGATAGGTACCAAGACCTTTCCAGCCATGTGTCCGCACTTCTTCGTTCCTGGTGCTTGATCCTCGATATGTATACCAGCCGCGCCCTTCTCTATGAAAAGCTTGGTGAGCTTCATAATAGCCGTAAGGCCTCCATGTCCGGTATCTGCATCCGCAATAATCGGTCGCAGGTAATCAACGCTTGCGACTTTCGCGCGGTCGGCTTTTGCAGTAGTCAGGCGCTCTTCGCGTTGCTTTCGGTCGTGGAACAATTGCGCCATAAAGAGGTGACCAACTTTGTTGGGTACAGTTGTCTAGGCATGTAAGCTTTCTTTCCCTTCTAGATATCAAAGAACTTGACTCACGTAGGGGTAATCTGCTAGATCAGGACCTGGTTCGTCGGTTGATGAAGCTGTTGACGATGCTTGCCATCCGGATACGTAGACAGTGTCCAAGTATTTCGCCATTTGTGTGACCATGACGGGATCGAGACATCCGTATGTAAAGCTGACATCGTTGTTCTGGATTTGATTAGATCGCATGGCTGGCATCATGAAGGAGTATCATACCTTGAAGCGGCCTTCAACAATTTCCCAAAGCTTCTTCGACTGGTGGTTGCTTGGGTAGGTGATCTTGAGATTGCCTCTCTTTGACACGATGTCTTCTGCCGTAAATGGTCTTTTAGTGAACCTCCATCTCGAATCTGACCACCATTGCTTGACCTCCTGAACTTCCTTTTGGAACTGCGCGTCCTCTGCGTCAATGTTCGACATCGCGATCAGACTTTGCGTTATTGGTAGATGATATATGAAGCTTGTGTCAATTACAAAACGTTGGATTCCTTTGGTCCAGTAAGTAGATAGGTATAAAGATGTGAGAAAGCACGAGGGAAACCTCTCTTTTGATAAATGACCAGCGATGACACAACACAGTCTAGCCTCGGTCTACCGTGCCACAAACCTGGGGAGCCAAGCTTATAAGTGTAGCATCAGCATCTCCCACCATCAAGGTTAGCACAATCCCAGCTCTACCTCTTAGCCCAAGAGCTCGGGGACAACCGGCTGAGCGCACCATTGGCCCGACTGGAGCATCCGAGGAAGCTGGCAAGAAGATCTAGCGTGGCAGTCATGCTAGAGCGTTGTTTGAGTTGCCCTCGGCCCAAGGGGAATTGACGTTCTGAAAGCATGACTGGTGTAGATCGGGTGGGGATGGGACCAGCGGAACCGTGACGGGGATGACGTTTGCCAATTGCTTGGTGAGGATGCGATCTCGTTCCAGACACAGCTGCATCTTCATTATCAACCCCTCTCATAACTCCATCTCGATGGACCTGAGACTTATTACACAACGGCACGCGACCGCCTGCAGCTTCACATGCTGATGTTTGTACTTTGCTTTCGTCTTTTGTGCATGTGAAGGCGCATGCTAAAACCTGGGGTCGCGTGTTGCTAGCGTCGCGCGGGTTTTACCTCGGTTGATCCTATCCGGAAAAGGCCAGAACCGCTATTGATCTGCAACTTTCACGGGCTGGCGTGTTCGCTGATTAGAGGGCTTTTGCTCGGAAACACGTGAGAGTTGTCATTGTTGCGTCTGGGATATTTCGGATAAGCCTCGCTCGGCAGCGACGACGATCCCGGCAAATGGTTGTGACGACGTCGCATACCAATGATCATTGCTGCCGTTACGGGTCATATATCAGTACTCTGACGATAACAATGATGGTTGAGATGAGATGGAAGATCTGCGTGCCTAACTATAACCCTTCAACGACTCGTACGCGTGGCATGAGTACACCAACAAGGCGCTCTTTACCAACCACCACCAACCCAACTGGTGTACTTCGAGTGCATCAGAGTATGCAGACCAATCCCTTCCTGTTACCATGTTTTCTAGGCATTTGGCTGAAAAGAAGCCCGCCGATGACCCACTCCAGCTCTTCAGCTGTTGTGCAGCAGTATAGCACAACACAACCCTGATCACCAAATCCACCAGGCCGACTATCTCCGGAAATCCGAAACAAAACCGATGTGCTAGAAAAAGCTTCGTAACGGTCCTTCTGTACTCACAAGCGTACTGTTGCCCGAAGAAACCCCTGACGTATCTATCCAACTCGGAAAATGGTCTGGCACGGATGTCATCAACGTTCACTGCGGAGCTTTGCGGCGTTACCGAGTATGCAGGGTCAGCTGGCGGACATCTCAACTTTTTCAGCAACCACCACCTCAGCTCGTCAAGATGGCTCCTTCTCGTTGGCGGCGTGTCCTTCTCTTCGAGGCGTATCGACGAGCGCTCTGAAAGCAGCAGAGGTAGAAGCTGCGGGCGACACATCCACAAAGTCCTATTCCGTTCATCGGTGAAGACGCACTCACGATCGATGGCCTCGGAAGTGTACGTGTAGTGAATGAGTCGTGAGTAGAATGCTGGTGTAAGCACGCGGATCTCCATGTTCTTCTTGGGCCGAACTCGACCGGATACATGTGTCGGGCAAACCATATTGGTGGGAACGTCGGGAATCGAGGCTTGGAACGTGATGTTAAAATCTACTTCCGCTTCTTCTACGAGCCGATGCAGGTAGTTCCTGAACACTTTATAAAGTGTGCTTGGTCTGTCAGCCGTGTTCATTCATTAATGCCATCGTACTTACATCTCAGCGGATGTGGGTAGTCGGCCAACGCTCGACGTCAGGACTTCTGGTCTGAACCACACATGCAGTTTTCTCTTGAAGAAGATCTTGAAAGCTTCTCTGATAATCCGCGGGAACGTAACGAACCCTACCCACCACCAGCTTAGGATGAACCGCATAGTTCCGAAGAGGCCCAATTGGTCAGTATCGATAGCCTTTCCGGTGGAGTAAAGGCGTGCTACAAGCTTCCCATGATCCTTGGAGGACTTGAGTGTGATAGTATTATCGATCATAGGGTTCCCGTAATCCACACACGGAAAAGGGTTTTGTGCCTTCAACGCATACGAACCCTTTCTAGAGTTAAACGGCGAGACATGGAAGTCTTTCATCCACACATCGGTAAACTTGGACTTGGCTTCGATAGGTACTTGTGATTCCTGGCCCTCCGAACCAGACGTCTGCTCAGAGTCTGATGTGCGTGGCGGGCTGGGAGGACTTGATCCGTCAAGCAAGTACATGCGCCTTTCGCCGAACGTGTTGTTGACTTCGAGTATCATCTTCTTGAGCTCATGCTCGCGATCGTAGACATACCAGAAGGAGACTGGGTTGAATGCGTAGCCGAAGAAGCGTGGTGCCGTCACCAAGTAGGCATATTCCCACTCGGAATCTTCGACATGTTGGGCTCTCAGGTACGTCCTCAGCTTCCAGTAGAAACCAAAAGCGCCACCGCCTCGCTCCAGATAGTCCTCCGCTCTGACACGTAGCCACCATCTACCCAAAGTTCGATCTTCTCCACTCGGAAACTCTATTCCGTTGTACTTCGTTCCGCTCGAGATGATGGGAAATCCACACTGGAGGTACGAGTATGCGAAGCCATGGCGTTTCGGGAAGATACGAGCATGTGTCGTCTGGCAAGGGAAGATCTTCGGCTTTGGTGTCTCTATTCGAGACCTCCACCGACTGATATCGGGCGGGGTTGCAGTTGTGCTCTTGCTGCTGAGGAAGGTGCGCCATAGGAAGAATGTGAGTATAGTAAGCGGCAATGCGACACTGGAGACTGCGTATATGACAGACGTCCTTTCGGCGCTACGAATCCAGCCCATCCATATGTTCCAACTCTTCAATGATGTCGCAATCAAGTTCTCCTTTGCCAACCAAGCGTATACGATTCCAGACACCACGCAATCCGTTGTGAGCTGGCGATCTTCATGACGCCGTCTAACGGTATACCCTCCGATCCAGATCGCGAGCAGAGGCCACACTCGCCACCCATCAGCAACGGCACATGGTAGCAAGAGAGTCAAAGGCGCGCACCCAAAAAGGGAAGCACCCAGACCGCGACGGCCACGTGCAATCTGCATTAATGGATGTTTCTGTTAGTATTTTCGTAACATTGAGGTGATTACGAAGGAATATTGTGGTGCGATAAATGTCAGATCGAAGGTGGTTTGACGCTAAACCATTCTCATGAAATGTATATGCAGGGTCAGAAAGATACCCGCCGCGAGTATTTCCCCATCTGGCTAATGTCAATACGAGAGCCGCATCTTCCGGGATACCAAATGTGTAGACCGGTTGTGACCACCGTCGCTATTGTTTGTTTGGACGCCGACTTGCAAAGCTCATGGAATAGAAAGGAGAGGAGGACGCCGAACCACTGATGGATGTGGGTCATGGTGCGTCATCAGGGTTAAGTGGGTCAGGAAGAACACCAACATGTGTCGACCGTCATCACTATACTTTTGTCCAACTGTATATTGCATGTTTCAAAATGCGCCAAAACGACCCTCATGGTCCTAGCAAGTCACTCTTTCCCGAGGGTATCCACCAAAGCACGAAAGAGACGTTTTATCTCGAGCGCGACGCGACGCGGACTGTGGACTACGCTAGAACCGGATCCTGGACCGGCGCCATGATTTGGAATATCGTTTCACACACAAAAGCAACAAACATGTAGAGAGAACGTCAGCAGTCTCTCCGAAAGCTCAGAGGCATGCGAAGATTCCGATACGAGAAGCTATTGTAACTATGTCGCCCGCCAAGATACAACTCCAATGGCTAGCATGAAAGAAGGCCAGGTAACAGTCAACTACCCGTAAGACGTCCTTCAAGTGACAGCGTTGCCCACCATTCAAACCCTCTTCACGAACATAACTTCTGTCTCCTCTACACTCGCACACGTCGTACATATAAGACGCCAAGCTGAGTAAAGGACGTTGGCGGGCCGCGTAGTGTAGATGTTACAGAAGAAACACACCCAACCGTCACAACTGGGGTCAGCTCTACTCGTGTTTTGGACAGAGAAACAGGCGCCAGGCTGCATAACGGCTCTTCCAGAAATATGCATCGTAGATGGGCAAGCTACATGTCCACAACGGCACAAGGCTCCTGGTGTGGTGGGACTAGGTCTGTTGTAATGGGAGCAGAGGTGACAGATCCACCCACGCTGTCTAGGATGTTTCGTACGGACATCTTTTACAGCATTGCGTACAACAGATGTTGCATGGTCTCTGGAACTGCTGGATAACCCGAGGATTTCTTGCTCTACATGCGGATTAATTCGAAATGCTCTCCTTCACCAAGAACTGAATGGAGGAACTTACTATTAAATGGCGGGTTCATGTTGCTCTTCTTAGATATGGTAGAGAATGAGGCGAAACGGGATTAGTTCAGAAAGGATCAACCGACCTATCTATAGACAAATATTGTGAACCCGAAACGTCATAATCACGCTCCAGATCTCATTAGAAAGAGAGCAAACACATGTCAAGACATTCCTAGCATGATCTCTACTCTTCCACGTGCTTGTGGTCATGTCTTGCCAGGAACTCTGTAGCTCATGCACATGTATAAGTACTAATAGTTCTTCATAGTCCCGGACTGAGAACGCTAATCAAATTGACAAAAGGGAAGTACTAGCAGGCCATATGGATCTCATGAGAAGTATCTCGCCCGATAGCACCAGTTACTTACATGCTAACTATACGGAAGAAGAAGACATCCTAGCGCTCCCGGAGCTACCTGATCAACGGACTCTAATATTCGCCGTTAAGTAATCTGCAGAAACAGTCCGAGACGTGAATCCCTCTTTCCATAACCCTGCTCCCTTTTTTTATCAAGATGTAGCAGGGCACTAACACCTCGCAGTCCGCCACCCCGCTCCGTGGCTGGGTCTGCCACCTTTGCGCCCACTTCAACACCCCCGGTACCCTGGCCTCTCCCAATGGCCCATGTCAAACATGTAACACACCCGCCTGTGACGCAGAATGCGCTGACGCAATTGTTACATCACGCGACAACCCGTATTGCTTAGGCTTCACTTGCTGGTATTGCAAGTACTTCTGGGTGTGGTCAGACTATGATGATGATGGTAAACCTATACAGGACAAAGTGCTATCGTGTAATGTGTGTGGAATCCTAGAAGAAGAAGAAGTTGTGTTTGTCAAAAGCTGGTTTGAGGAAACGAAGAAGCCGGAGCCAGAGATAGGACAGGGGGAGGAACGACTGTTGGTCTGTGAAGAGACAAAGGATAAAAAGAGCGAGGAACGAGAAGTGGACGATGGTGAAGGCGCATTTACTATAGTCGATAGAAAGACAGCTCGGCCAAAGAAGAAGGTCCGGAATGAGGGATTTGATGATGGCGATAATGTTAGATTTGCTGAAGTTGACCAGAAGAAGGCCAGGCAAAAGAAGAAGATACCGGATAATCTACTGGCAACTGGGGACATTCCGCAATATGCACTCAGAAGACCAGGTCGACCAACCAGGTAGATTGAAAGTCCAATATCAGATCTTTTGTTGGGTGACCAGGAAAAGTTTCCATTTGGATGCTCAGTAAGCGTGTGGAATCTGTTCATATTTGCCGCGGTATGCAGCGCGATACACTAAGCCTCGCACGTTGCAACCCAAATCGGGAAAATGGTAGTCGGGAGCATGCTTCCATCAGCGATGTAATTTTGAAGGGTAGAATCTCATATAAAGGTCTGGTAGCAGCCCCCAATGACTCCGAATTACTTCGGCACATCAATATTACAGGATATCTGCTGCGACCTCAGTCGCAGTGATGAGACACTGTCTTTCAGTGTTGTGCATTTTACGCAATGCCCTGGAACCGATACGGTATTCTGAGCGATTCGCAGCCCTCGGGAGCATGGAAGACGTATGGGAAGGCCGGAGATAGGAGTGTGTTGGTTTGTTGGGATAGACCGAGATCGAACATTTCGTGGGCCCACCAGAAGTATCCAGAGAGCGAGATCCATCCGGCACGATCTGTGAGGATTAGAAATATTGCTTGAACGCAGCGAGCGTTCAAGTACGGTTGATGCGACACTGTTTACCCTACCATATCAGAGCAACACTACCGTGATCTATTGGAGACCTTCAACCCGATCGAATGCGATACTGTCCCATGTTTGCGTATTCGCTATCCAAAGAGGAGGAATGGTGCAGGTATTGATATACATCAGTGGTGTATGTCACAGCATGCTATTTCGATGTCGATTTGCAAGGTCAATCGCGATGTGGTTCGTAAAGAAGCGCGAGAAGAAAACCAGGCTGACGATGAACCGGAAAGAAGCACCGAGGGTTAGACGACGCAAGCATTTCAGATGATAGAAGGGAAAGAAATGCGTAAGATCATAGGAGGACTGGAAGCCGTTCTGCCGAAGAGCGCCACAGATTCGGTGAAGATCGAGCGCACTACGAAGCAGGAGCAAAAATAGAAGTTGGGAAGTACGGATCAGGCGGCCCACTGTCGTGTATGTGTATCAGGCCAAACACGACCTGCAGAACGAACAGAGTCGCTGCATGACAAAGCTGCCAGTGCAGAGTAAGCCAGAGAGCAACCGAGGTGTAAGACAAGATATCAAGAACATTGTGGCCACGGCCCACTCCACGAGTGAAGACGAAGACCATACCGCTTACGACCTATTCATGCGTTCGTACAATCGTCAGCAACGATGCAGGCAATCTAAGGAAGGATATGTTTCAGACGATCCTGGGTGGTGTGTATCCTCTCATTGGAGGTAAGCGCCTGACCATTTAATCGAGATGCGGATATTATTTGGAAGCATCATATTTCGGACGCGTGGCGTTGATCAGAAGGCTCTAGCTTCAGTGGAACCTTTTCTGGCTCCGAGAGATATCGGTCAGCAGACAACGATGATAGTCATTATACTGTTGGTCTCGGAGAACCCGTCAGCCCGGAAAGCTGTACAACGAGCTCGGACGGGGGTGGCGACTAGTAGCCAAGTATCCTCCTGTTGAACAGTCATCAAGGAATGAGCTTTGAGCCCATCTACAAGCTCACCCCACTCGCGTTCGCTACCCGGAACGGCATAGGTATTCACTTGAGCGGCAGGCTATGGTATCATTCGCGGAAGCTGTTGATGGCCGTGATGTCGGGCGTATGCAAGATGCAATCCAACTGCATGTCGGCTAACAAAGCACAATGTGTCAGAATACTATGAACCCCTGTCTCCGGGGTGGAGTTACACCTAAGCCGTCTAGCCGACAGATCTGACATAAGCAGACATTTTGTAGAGTCGGGCAGCTATGCCGGGCAACATGGGTAGACGATGGTTGTATTTACCTGCCGCGTATATTGTGGCTGCTTAAGCAAGTCTCCCGTCAGAGACACGGTAATGGAATGGAGGATCGATCCGAGAAAGCTCGGAAAGGTATTGTGCGAGATTTGATTTGATCTCCGTTGGGTCGAGCCATGTTGACGTCGATCATCGTGGTCACCATGTCGGTAAACATACCAGATGCTGAGTGTATACTTGTAGTGTGGTGTGTCATATCATGCTGTCGGTGGGCGCATGTAGGTGATCTCGAATGTTGATCGTATTGAATTCTACTCAAGGCGTTCCATGGGTATCTGGAATTTATGCGTGACCTTGGTCATGTTGTTGAATGCAGGAAATCGGATATTTTAGTATGTCGTCCAAATGCAAACTGGCATGCTGCTTGCGGTCATTGACGTCTGTCGTCACTTATGTAGCTGCGTTCGGAGCCGAGCCACCTGGAGTTGTATCATCCATCTTTGGCGGATTGGTATCGATTTGAATAGTGACCTAGTCGTGCTTGTTAGCACGCGTAGGCGGCTGCGGCACATACTCAGGGTATGCAGTGCTCAATTTGCACTTGGCCATCTAGAGAGGTGTGGTCTCAACGTACCGGCCCATCATTGACTAAAGCAACGTCCATCATAGCAGCGAAAACGCCGTCTTTTACCCTGCCGGGCTCATATAGGGCTCCCACCTTGTTGTAGAAGGCTTGGTATAGTGTCTTGGCTTTCTCGCCGTTTGCGGATTGGTGGAAGTCAGGCTTGTTGCCTTTCTTCATTGAGGCCAACAGGGTGAATTGGGAAACTGAGACTTCTTAGCATGCCCTCTTTCGTAGCAACAGCGCCGCTACTGGCACCACCATGGCAAACTAAGAGAGTCTCGGCGTTTCAACCTACCACACAAAACCTCGCCATGGATGTCGGCCACGCTGCATTTCCACTTGACAGATCAGTCTTGAATCAAAAGAGGCAAGTCTGGCATCATACACGGCCTGGCGGGTCTTTGGATTCATCGTCCCAGAGCTTGGCCTTTAGTATCTTGCTAGCCATGGCCTCGACATCCTTCTCAGTGTCGTCTTTGGAGACGGCAGCAAGGACCAGCAACCCCTTGCCAATGGAGGAGACCAATTGGCCATCGACTGTGACGGAAGCCGACTTGACCCTTTGCAGCACGGCTAGACAGTGTTAGCATGGTCGTGGTTACGAGTGCATAGTGGCGGGGTCGGTACTCCTCATGATGGCGGGGTAGCAACTGCGCTGTGTGAGGAAGATGGTGGTGCCCCTCGTTGCGCGATAGCCTCAGGGTGATATGTCGAGACGCGTAACGACGTCACACATGGGAATTCGGACATGCAATAGTTGTGAGACGAGGCTGAGAAGACGTGGAACGCGTAGGTGAAACAGCGACGCGTGGGGCGATTGGTGGCTAGTGGCCGCACTCTTGGCAACTACGCTAGGCCAGCCCTGTGGCTTCGCGTTACCTATGCGATACCTCAACCTCCGCACTGAGCCCACGACAAACAATTCGACACTATTGCCGTCGAACGCCTTCATTCGCGCGATTCGACTGTCACACGGCGGCTAGCACCGGCACCGACGCAAACATTGCCGTAACCCTCGCCAAAGCCCTCAGGACGAGGCTCCACCACCGCCATGGCCGCACGGAAACTCCAGCAGGAGATTGACAAATGCTTCAAGAAAGTCGCAGAAGGCGTCGCGACGTTTGAGAACATATACGAGAAGATTATGCAAACGGGCAATCCCTCGCAGAAGGAGAAGCTCGAAGACCAGCTGAAGAAGGAGATCAAGAAGCTGCAGCGGTCGCGGGACCAGATCAAGACGTGGGCTGCCATGTCCGAGATCAAGGACAAGAAGCCGCTGCTGGACCACCGGAAGCTCATCGAGACAGTAGGGTGCCCGCCGTGGCCTGGCATGATGGGATGCTGACATGTGACAGCAAATGGAGCGCTTCAAGGCCGTCGAAAAGGAGATGAAGACGAAAGCATACTCCAAGGAGGGGCTGCAATTAGCGTCCAAGATCGACCCCAAGGACAAGGAGAAGATGGAGATGGTCGAGTTCCTGCAGCAAATGAACGAGGAGCTGGAGCGGCAAATAGAGACCATCGAGGCCGAAATCGAGACGCTGCATGCCAACGTAAAGAAGACGAAGAAGGGCGACAACTCCAAGGCGGAGCGGATAGCAGAGCTGGAAGAGTCGGTCGAGCGAAATAAATGGCATCAGTCCAAGCTGGATCTGCTGCATCGAGCGCTCGAGAACGGCAACGTCGAGACAGAGCAGGTCAAGGGAATCGAAGACGGCATCAAGTACTACGTGGAAAGTAATCAGGACCCTGATTTTGCCGACGACGACACAATGTACGACGACTTCAACCTGCAAGAGGAGGAGGCCATCTTCGGCTTGGGCGAAGGCCTCGACCAGGTCTCATCGCACGAATCGCAGTCGGTAGCAGATAATGACGAGTCGGACATACGACCACCAGCGCCAAAGCCAAAAGCGACAGAAGCTGTGCAACAAGCAGCGAGACGGCCCTCGACACAGATGAAGTCGCCATTACCAGCACTAGCAACGCTGCATACGCCCTTGCCTGGTGCCTCAAATACCACGGGCAACGCCATGAAGCCCGCGCCCATACCCACACGGACGACGGGTGAGCCTCTGAAGTACGCCTCGGCCGCCGCCGCTGCAGCTGCGAGTGATAAAAATGGAGTGGGCATTGCCCCTTTGCCACCACCACCGGGAGCTGCCGCGGCACAGTCAGGCCTTGCTCCTGGCGCACGCGCAAGTGCTACCAGTTCTCCAGCCATAACACATTCCCAACCAGCCGCCCGCACACAGCCAGCCGAATCCGCACAAGCATCACCAGCTCCCGCGGCAAGTATACCCGCTACGCCTGCTGTCGAGAAGGAGACGCTTTCGCGCGCTGCTTCGTCGGAAGATGCTTCAAAGTCCAGCAGAAGAACACCGGCTCCTGAACCTGTAGAAGAAGAAGAGTCCTCGGCTGCTACTCCGCCGTTAACAAATGGTGAATCCCATGCTGAAGACGACGAGGAAGAGTCAGTATATCACCTTCCTTCAAGCTTACAGGATCTCCTGGATTCCTTCGAAGCGACTAAAAATGACATATCCGCCTCTGCAACAAAACCTCCTGATGAGCGCATGCTAGCAGCATCCATGGCTACCGCGCCGGACTCTGCCGACACTGAGGCGCCCCGCCACTACCGTCCCCAGAATCCCTATCCGTTTACGCCCGCGCACTACCCGCAAGAGCCGTTACCAATCTTCGATGATCCTCGCCTATACTCCCGGATTGAGACCGACGCTCTCTTCTATGCCTTCTACTATCGCCAAGGTACATACCAGCAATACCTGGCAGCGAAAGCACTCAAGTCGCAAAGCTGGAGATTCCACAAGCAGTATCAAACATGGTTCCAACGACACGAAGAGCCAAAGGCGATAACAGAAGACTACGAGCAGGGGACGTATAGATTCTTCGACTACGAGTCGACATGGTAAGTACCTAATTCCGTCCACCAGCCTCACGTAGGGCTGTCGTATGACAAAGTCGCGCCACGCGGTGCTATTTCTGCACGTCATACAGAGCTAACCTTATTTCAGGATGAACCGAAGGAAAGCAGACTTCCGATTTGCCTACAAGTTCTTGGAAGATGAGCTATGAGCCGTAGGTTACTTTCTTCTTACCGACCCGCATGCTCGGCTTGGTAGTCGCGTTCTGTATCAAGTATTAGGTAGTCTTGGAATGGGTCCCATCTCGGGCGATATCTGTTTGCTCTTCGGATCCGAAACCTTCTCCTGTCCAGGCTCCGCTGCATACTGACCTTCACCCACAAACATCAGATCGACCATGGGTAGAACCATCTACGGTGAGACATCATGCATGGATCAAGTGGAACTTATTGAGGCTCACCTGCCAAGCGCAGCTCCAGCCCGCTACAATTTGACCCGCCAGGGGTGTCGTAGCGGTCTGAGCGCCGGGCGTAATCTGACATGATGTGGCTAACAGCTGCGGAATGTGCTCAATTGGTCGGCATTGGGTTACGCTGGATTTCGCCCCCAATCGCGTGGAGACTACAGGGCTGCAGGGGGAGGCTGGTCGCTCTCCACTGGCCGCCTTAGCGAGAATCCTTCCGTAACGTTCAAGCTTCCATTACGCCCCGTTACGCCCGGCAGCACTAAGTTGTGCATGAATTTGAGTTGAGCGGTTACAGCGTCAATCATTTTACGGCATTCATGAGCCGGTCAAACTCCACCAGGTTGCGGGTTAATTGACCCACTTACAACGAGCAGCAGGAATGAACGCAGAAAGGACACAAATGGGCGTTTGATGACAGCTAATCCGCTCCGGGACGAGCGGTCAAGCCAAGTTCGAATTCGATCGCATTAGAAGCTTCATCAGGATGGCGCTTGTTCCCGCAATCAGGCTGTCATCTCAAGTGTATTGAGCGTTCCTGTACTAAGACGTGATCAAGAGCCAACCAGAGAAGTGTAAAGCATCTCGAAACTCCCAGGCTCCAGCCCATATCATGCAGCTAGACAGGGGTTGAATCCTTCATCGTGGAACGAAAGTACGGGAGCAAGACACGCATGCACCAACAGTCACACAGCGGCCCATCCACCTACCCGCTTATGTGTTAATCGGTGAACTATGCCCATCATGAATCCCGGCACACAAAGATCAGAATACCAACCTGTATGCATCGGACTATTCTAGCTCTCTGCCTTGCCAAGCAATGACAACGACAAATGAAATAGTTGCTACAGTTCAATTAAAGTTGGATCGGGGCCTAGGGCAGTCGCCCTGCATCGCCATAAGACAGCGGAGACGACACAGATCTACTATTGTCTTCCGTTGTGCTTCCTGCTTCTTCACTTAGATCATTATTTCACCGCCCCGATCTATCCACCACATACCGCAAGATTAGGCCTTTTGATTCAGCTCCTACTTGATTTTCCGGTGTCGGCACGGGCACTAGTCGTTGTCAGCCCTATACCGATAGTCGTGTGGGGTACCACTACACTGGTATCGACTTCGCCTCGCCATCCTACAAATCCACCTCAGCAACCTTGGACTTCTATATTCAAACATTTGGCCTCTGGCGTAGCGTCACTTACACAAAGGAGATCAAATCTTACGAAAGATACGATCGCCACACACACCCGGCCGAATCCGCAACCCGATTTGCTTTCTCGCCTTACCACACTTCTACTTTTGTTCGTCATCACCATGTTGGTGCACTACGGCTCGCATGGAGATGCCTTTGGGCGCCCTGATAGCTCATTCCCTCCGAAGTACCTGTGAGTCTATGCAGTCCCGTTCATAGCATAAGCCGCGGGGTGGCAGTGATCGGTCTCCGTTCAAGAGCAGGAAAAGGGTTATCGCACTTATCTTGATATAAGACTCATGACCGTTCCACGATAGTAGAAGCATCAAAATCATCAATAACATCTAACCAAGGCTTCATAGGTCTCTTGAGCAGGTCCAACTACGGCCTCGAAGACACTCTTCAGTAACTAGCACGAGGAGATCATCCAGACCACAAAAACTACGCATCATCACTTCGCCCGTGGCGCCCGCCTATCGCCCTTCTAGTGCTACCACCCGTACCAAGAAAACAAAGTCGATACGTCCAAAGCAGGAACAACCGCCTTCGCCCGCCATGTCCGGATACAGCGTAAGTGTCACTCCAGTATTTACAGCAATCTTCGGTGTTGACTCGTATGATCAGTACTCCTCGTCCGACCAAGGTAACTACAGCTATCAAGCCTCTTATCCACACTCAGGAGTGCCACAATATACTCAATCTCAAATCAATGCCTATTACGCACAGTATCAACAATATCCACCTCAACCATACCAAATCATCCCAGACTATTATACACAACCGGTAACTGTTACACATACTGCTGGGTATCAACAACCAGTAGCCAGTGGGTATGATGTTGGAAGTTGGCAAAGTCACGGCGACGATCTAGGAATGAACACATCGCAAGGCCCAACTAGGTAAGCACTTTCCCACCAAAATTTCACACTATCATGCTGATATCAAAGCAGAAGTAGTAGCCGCACAAAGTAAAGTTCCTCCATTCGCTTGTGCGTTCATCAACTAATCATGCTCCCATTTCACAGAACATGGACCTGCGATATCCCCGGCTGCTCTTCCTCAGCAAACTTCACCCGCCTCGCGGACCTTCAGCGCCACCAATCCACCGTTCACGGTGTCGGGACTCCAGAATACCCGTGCAACGTGCCCCGCTGTAACCGCGTCGGTGACAAAGGTTTCACGCGAAGAGACCATTTAGTCGAGCATCTACGCAACTTCCATCACATCGACATTCCCAAGCGGAGGCCAGGAGAGAGAAGCGCATTTCCGTTTGGGTGGCCAGAAGGCGCGGGAGGTTCTCATCAGTGAGTCCATCCTTCAAAGACGGAGGAAAACAAAAGGGGGAGATGAGGAAGAGGAGGGCTGATTGGGTGTGCATAGGGATGACAGGGGTAGTACTGGAATTACAGGAGGGGGCGAAGAGACGATGGGGCATGCTACGGGTAGTGCTCAGCGTGTACGAATGCTTGGAGAGGTCGAGGGTGGGACTGTACGAGCATTGCCACAACGATCATCAACAGCAGCGATATCAACAAGAAGCCGTTACGCCGGCATCACACGAGGCAGGATCGCCAAATCACCGTCAAGAAGAGGAGGCAGAGCCGGTGGACGCAGCAGGGGTGGCAGTTCAAGTGCAGGCATCAGTCGTTTAAGCGCATCGTCATTACCGGCATTACCTCTATCAACATCCGCATCAACGTCGTTATCATGGTGGAACGTTCATCAAGAACAAGAATTGCATTCTTCATCAATTCAATTACAGAATGACCCACCACAACCGCAACGGCACCTCACCAACGCGGAACTTGCCGCACAAGATATGCTGCTTGGACTTGAAACAGACACCGGAGACTTATTTGGTGCACCAACCCCCTGGACCGGAGACTTATCCTGAGCGGTAAAGGTAACATTAGGCGAAGGGCAGGGTCTCGCTCGAGGTGGTTGCGGTTCGCATAATTTCCCTATTCTCTCGTTCATCGCATTGTTTTGTGATTTCTTTGATCTTTTGCATAGCATCGCGTGGTCAAGGCGGGGTATAGATCATGATCGGGCTAGCATGGCGGGCCTCGAGGGCGTTTTGGGAGTTCTCCTTGGTCTTGTACTTGCACTTTGTCCATTCGCTTTACAGTAGTACAATATCGAAACTAGTTCATGTATACGACGTGGTTGCAAATCGGACCGTAGTGCGCAAGGTACATTCTATACGAACAGACCAATTGCAATTGCGCATGAATGGAATCCAATATTCATCCGTTTAGGCAGGCACTCCACTCGCTACTTTGGTCGCGCATCAGATGCCTGAATAAAACTAGTTCGGTGGAGCTTGCCTATCGACATCGTGAGGGTCTCAGCAACGTTGGTAGGATCAACATCCTTGTTGACTCTGGTGATCGCTTTCGCGTAATTCGGAGGAACTGGATCCCGTTGATACCTACTCGCTATGGTGTTATATGCCGAGTAGAGATGTGTTGGTGACCGTGCCGCATAAGCCTCGCTTCACAGTCCTCCCCACAACAAGACAATGCGACATTGCGCACATGTGGGCTTTATCAAGCTGCTCGGTGCGGAGTGAATCTGGTAAGGCGTTTGTAAGCCAACAGAGGAGATCATATCAATGATGTGCAGGGTATTCGAGGTAGGCATTGCATTGCTGGTACGTTGACACTGTGCCGCCTAGGCGCATGTTTCTTACTCACTCCACGTTGCGGCGTGTGCCTCTGGTCGCCTTTTACCATGGTGTCGGTGCCGAGTCTGATCGGTTGGCTGGAGGGCGACGAGAAGCTGGGTCGCAATAGGTAACCCATTCGTTGGCGGTGCCCTGGAGTTGGAACATGGGGCTGGACATGGAGTTGGACATGGGTGCGGCACCAACATTGCCGCTGTCACGGATAAGCCGATGACCAGTGGAAGCGACATGCCTATACTCGGATCCAGAATACATGTATACACTTATGCGCGCAAGACACCGAACTTGTGATAAGGTTCTGTGCCGTATGTACTCATCGACGAAGCCCTGCGTCTTGAAACCCCGTGCATGGCCTGCCACATATAGACTAGAACCGAAGCTGAGGTTGAGGTCCAGCAATAGGCCGATTCGCGGGAAACGATCCGCTGGCACAGCTAAGCTCCACGTGGTTGTGCCACTTTCGAAATGCGTGCATTGCATGGGGCATCTGGCCTCGTGATCCTTTCATCTATTCATATCCATCTAGATCCTGCAGTGCGGCGAACGGTCGCGGTGCACGAACGTTGTCTGCGCCGTAGCTATTTCGAACGCTGAGCGGATATACGACCGTCGGGCCGCCATAGTTGAGCCGCATGAGCCTCAAAGATGTCTCGGAGGGCCTGAAGGGCTATTGAGGAATGTCTCGCCAAGGTAGGGCTGGTGAACGGGCTTGAAGAGCAGCCACAAGAGCCAGCAGCTGAACTTCCAGTTGAACTTCCATCTGCATTCCCTTCTCACGGATCAGTTCATCGACAACTTTGCGCCGTTCCGCACGTGTAATTAGTTTTACCGACGCGAGGACTACCGTGCCTTGCCAGCTGCTGTACCCATCCATGCCAAAAGAAGGTAGGTGTACATACGACCAATCAGCGACAGGGCCATCTGGCTTACACTCGACGGATGATAGGTAGGTACTGTCCAGCTGGCGCGTTCGATAGAGAACGATGTGCTTCTGTACACTACGGCAGTAGGAAAAGATACGAAGACAATGATTATGTGATTGCTCGAGCAAGGCAAACTGCAATGACGTAGGTCATGGTTTAGCGCATTTTGGGCAGCCACCGAGTCGGAAAGAGTCGTATGGATGAACATCTGACACCTGAACGTCGCCTCCTGCACACCCTTGGAACCAACGTCGTCCTACTTTTGCAACCTGTAGTTTGGTTGCCTGTTCCTCTGACTCATACTCATGTCTTTCAAACCTCACCTGTATCATTTCACACCTGATTTTACAGACTCTTTGCCGTTGCAATAACTGCGTTTTCACCCTGCGTTCCCCGCAATCTACTGCCAGCACGACTGCATTCCCCGCGGGCTCGAACAACAAAAATACGCCAAACTTGCCTCTCAGCAAGCCCACGCCACCCACAATCTACAAATCACGATGCGCGATCTCCGGAAACAGGCTCTTGAGAGCCACAAGACTATGTCGCGCAAAGCCCGTTCGCGCGTTGCATCTACAACTGCCTCGAAGACAACTTCAGCAGTTGGATCGCCAGCACAGTCACGCGCCGCCAGTCGCGTCCGACATGAACATGACTCGGAGGATGAGGACGACTTCAGCGACGGAACTGCTTGGAGGTGAGTTTGACCACGTCCATGACTTTTTATTCTTCCCCACATCGCGATCGCACCAGTGACATCATCGCTTCGCGACTTTGGTATATGAACACACACTAACATATACAACAGCACAGCATCCATCGACGATGTCCTCAACGGTGAGGACGTGAACATACCTGAAGACGCGTGGAAGTCTGAGCTCAACACGCGCATCGAGCAAATCACCAACCTCAAGCGCAGCAGCACCGAAGGCCGCACCGAAAGCTTAAAAGCATATGCCCACATTCTCAAGGCCCGCTATGCAAGGGATGAGGTCGAGGGGCATGTAGGTGAACTGGTGTCGTCGATGATTAAGAGCATCAGGCAGGAAACCACAGAGGCCGAGGTCGTTGAAGCCCTCAAAGGTATGAGACACGCGCCATAACAGGTAGACTTTACTAACGGTTGTAAGCACTGGCTGTCACCGCCGTAACTCTTGACTCCGATAGCATCTACGATGACGTGGCCGACCAACTCAAGCGATCGATACAGTCCTCTTCTTCCATTGCCATCAAAGTCAATGCGATCCACACCCTTGGCACAACTGCCTTCTTCGCCGGCGCCGGCGACGGTGAGATCTTGGATATCATGAACCTGTTCATCGAGATTGTTGAATCGGACGGCGCATCCATCGATGCACAAGACGAGGGGAACGTTGTGATTGCCGCGTTAGAAGAATGGGGTCTCCTTGCGACTGAGATCGAAGACCTGGAAGAGGAAACAGAAGCTGCAATGGAAGCTTTCGTCGAGCAGCTTGAGAGCGCCGACTCCGGTGTTCAGATCGCAGCAGGCGAGAACATTGCACTCCTTTACGAAAAGTCCCTTACCCCACAAGAAGAAGATGAGGACGCACCAGAAGACGAAGACTCTGACGACCCAGAGCACGTTCGGAACGGCGAGCGATTAGTGAAGCGCTACACCGTTTACCGAAGACAAGACCAGCTTCTACATACGCTCGACGAACTCGCCAACGTCTCCACGCGTCGAATCTCCAAGAAGGACCGCAAGGCACTACACTCGTCCTTTGCAGATATCCGCAACACTGTCGAGAAGCCTAGTCGCGGTCCCGCTTACTCCACGGCTCTACATGAGGAGACTGGCAAGGCCTATGGAGCGGGCAGAATGAAGGTCAAGATCAACAAGAACGTCGAGGTCCGGATCGACAAGTGGTGGAAGTTGCAGAGGCTAAACGCCCTGCGACGGACGCTGCAGGGTGGTTTCACTTACCATTACGACCAGAATGAGATGGTCTCGACGGCTCTTCCTTTCTCTATGTCTGCAAGGCGGTAATGTGGTTAGTTGGGGGTAAATCTTCTTAGTGTTAACGTTGATTTCACTAGTGACTTCTGTTATTGTGCGCGTGGATGGCGTTGTTGGAGCTATTGTTTCGTACTACAGCGAGAGATTGGTGAGGGAAAGAGGTAGACTGGAGCCTGAAGATCTGGGTACGAAGAAGCTTGTTTTATAGAGTTCATCCAGTATTCAAGTCAATCCCAAAGAAATACGCTAGACTTTATGCTAGCACAGTAACAAAACATAATGTGTACCTCGTAGGGTGCAGCATGACTATTATAGAACTTGACAAGAATAAGGCTCTCCGGATAGCAAAACGCATTTTGCATCCGTGACATTACCTGCTTGTTTGGGTAATCTTTGCGAAGTTAATGTTGAGGCTTGCCGTATAGCTTTCGGAAGATACGGCCACAATGGAGTCCGGGCATTGCCCCGCGTTGCCCCTCATCGCGAGCATCGCGTCAATGTTTACAAGATGCAACGAGATTCAAAGAAAGAGTATGAGGAGTGGCTGCGCATTGTAATTGGATAGTAAGAAACTAGCTGTCGTTAGTGATTTAGAAACTGCAATCAACCGGATTTCGGCTCTCCGAAATGTCGTATCGGTGTGTAAATGCGGGCTTGGCGCGGCATGAAGGTGTAGCTGTAGCTTCGTAGAAAGTTCTGGACAGCTTACCACCACCGTGCTTTTCTTCAGTCTTGCACATAAACTCCAACACTTTCAACTCTGTCAATTGCCCCAGTGCCATTCCCCTCGTTCATACTATTTCGAATTCCTCACACATAATCAAAGCGATTCAGCGACCATGGCTGACACTAGTAAGTAAAGTTACTTATGAAGCTCACTTCTGAGCTTTGGTGACCCAGAGAAAATTGGAAAGTATGCTAACAATATCCAGAGCGCCCTCGCGTCTTCTTCGACATCGCCATTGGCGGCGTCAAGGCTGGCCGCGTTGCCTTTGAGCTTGTACGTCGCCCAACTTGTCACGCAAATCCGCGCAATCCAACCAATTTGAACACACCATTAACAATGTGCACAGTACAGCGATATCGTCCCCAAGACCGCCGAAAATTTCCGCGCACTATGCACCGGCGAGAAAGGTGAAGGCGCATCTGGAAAGCCTCTCCACTACAAGAACTCGAGTTTCCACCGCGTCATCAAGGGCTTCATGATCCAAGGCGGTGATTTCACACAGGGCAACGGCACAGGCGGAGAAAGCATATATGGCGAGAAGTTCGAGGATGAGAACTTTGAAAAAGTGCACGACAAGCCGTTCCTGCTGAGCATGGCCAACGCCGGTCCAGGAACCAACGGCTCCCAATTCTTCGTCACCACAGTGCCTACGCCGCATCTCGACAAGAAGCACGTTGTCTTTGGCGAGGTCATCAACGGCAAGAGCATCGTCCGTCAGATTGAGAACCTCAAGACACAGAGCGGCGACAAGCCTTGGCAGGACGCTACTATCATCGACTGTGGTGAGCTTTCTGGCGAAGACTATGACAAAGCCACCGAAAAGATCTCCGACGCAACCGGCGACCCCTACGAGGACTTCCCCGAAGACCAGAAAGCGAACGCAGACGACGAATGGAAAGGCGAGGAGATACTCCAAATCGCTACAAAGCTAAAGGACATGGGCAACGACGCCTTCAAAAAGGGTGATCTTAAACTCGGCATCACAAAATACCAAAAGGGTATCCGCTATCTCCACGAATACCCCGCCCCTCTCGACGACGACCCGGCAGATCTCTGGCCTAAACTCCAGGCATTGAAGATTTCGCTATACAGCAACTCTGCGCTTCTTCAGAACAAGTCGGGCCAATTTGGGGATGCGGCAGAGAATGCGACAAAGGCGCTGGATATCGAGGGCATTACAGACAAAGACAAGGCCAAGGCGTATTTCAGGCGGGCACAGGCCAAGGCGGGCAAGAAGAACGAGGATGAGGCGCTGGCGGACTTGCACGAGGCGGCCAAGTATGCGCCGGGCGATGCGGCCATTGTCAAGGAGTTGGATGTAGTGAAGAAGAGGGTGCAAGCGAGGAAGGAGAAGGAGAAGAAGGCTTACAAGAACGCTTTCAACTTTGACTAGGTGGTTGGTTATGCGTGGAGGAAGTTGCTTCGGCCAAGTTCAAATTATGGACCTTGCGCTCGAGTGTGTAAGGAAATGGGGTGGGTTCAGTAGTAGAGAGAAAGACACATGACAGATACCAGTATACCTACTTACCCATCTATGACTATAATATCATTTAGAAGAAAAAAAAAGCTTTATACAAACCTTTAGTCATTGCGTACAGAGTAAAGTTTAGTGTTAAGCGATCAACATTGATATCTATGCGTAAACAAAACTGCAAATGCTATATACAAAAAAAAAAAGTTCAATAACAACAACGACAACAAAAACGGACTTTCAAGCAAACGTTCCCCCCCGTTTTGCCCGAAGAAAGGAATCAAACCGGTCATCGCTCTAACGCGCCATAACAAGAAAGAAAGGAAAAAAAAACACATCAAATCGTGCAGCCAAACCAATCACCGTGTATGCAAGCTTTGCCGACTTCTAGCCACCAAGAAAAATGGCTACACGTGTAGTAGGAACAAAGCTTTTCAACATCCAGCTTTTGAGTAACCAAGCTTTTTGAATTGCCTGTCCGAAAAAAAAGAGAAACAAAAGTCCATCCCTAGCAGAATGTAATGACATTCGTCACGTCGGACTTGCCTTGTCCAAAAGCTCCCCTGCACTCTTCCTCCTCTTGATCTCCCTCTTGGCCAGCGTCCTCGGACTATCACCTCCAGTAAACCAGCCATGTAGTCAGAACTCAGAGTCATCGCGATGATTGTCACGTTCCTCCCCGCCTCCTCTATCGCGGTCACGGCCTTTTCCTCGTACGCTGCCAAAGTCAACATAACCTTCTCGGCCCAAGGCGCTGGCCCCGCGTTCGGTGCTGCGTTCCCGTTCTCTGTCACGATCCTTGTCTTTGCCTTTATCTTTGCGGTTCTCTTTGTCCTCTTTCTTGTCTTTCTTGTCCTCTTTATCTTTATCTTTGTCTTTGTCTTTACGCTTGCCTTTTCGCTGGAAGGGGAGGACGCCTCGGAAGCCGCGTTCCTTCTTCTCTTTTGTTGCCTTCTCAGAGAAGGCAGGGAGCGCGGTTGTATATTCCTCTTCTGCGATACTGCCACTTTCGCTGCCCTCCATACTCTGACCGCCTGCTGAACGAGGTGGTCTTCCAACGAGGGAATTTGTGGATACAGTGGCAGGTCGCTGTTGTTGGTTGATGTGGGAATTGGGGTTACTGTAGTTAAAGGACTGGGTTGATGTGGATGTAGAGATCGTAGTCGTTGTTGTCGTAGTCAAGGCCTGTGGATAGGAGGGCGCGGGAGCCATGTGAATACCGTCGCTGGATCCTGGAGGTGTATCTTCGTTTGCCGATGCCGATGCGCTTGCGGATGCAGATGCGGACTGTGAGACATTTACCGAATCGTTTCCTGTTGGTGTATATTGACCCGACCATTGCTTCTTGGCGAATGGATTCGTGTAAGATATTGTGGCCGAACTGTTGCTCTTTAAAGAGCTTTGAGAAGCTGAGATACTCGAGTTTTGCTGATGCCGTGTCCGTGGTGGCGGTTGCATTGTTATGGGTGTGCTGGTAGACGAGGAGGAATAGTCGACATCACCATTGTTTGGAGACAATGGAGAATCCTCGATCTCTTCTTCCTGTATTGGCCCACGATTCCTCGTTGCTGCACCTCTAGACGTGTCGATCTGCGCACCTTGTAGCTGCTCGACTAGCTCCTCCCACTTGACACTCAGTGACGATGACGGCCGTTCAGCGGGTTCGGCGCGATTCAGGCAGTCCTTGGTGCGCTCGCTGAGAGACAAGCAGATGTTGTGGAAACGAAGGAGATCACCGTCAGTAGCCTGAATATCAGGCGCGCTTTTCTGGGTGTTGTCCAACCAGAGGTTGACAAGCATTGCGAAATTGCGCGAATGATCGATGAGGTAAGGAAGTGACGGGAATCCCTCTTTGAATGTCGGGGGCAGTCGGTGGAGAATGGCGATCGGGGTACTGTATGAGGGTGGTATCGGCGGTGCGGGTTGCGACGTTGTCGATATCGAGCAGATGTCGTCCAGATACTTCTTGAACTCTTGCCGATGTGAAGTGAGGAAGGTGTTCATTGGCTCCATCCATGCTTCTTTGGTACCGAACGAAGACATGTTTGCCAAACCTTGTAGGGACTTTGCAATGAGAGTGAACGTTCTTCGAGCTTTGACCTTGGGGTGATCTGGATGGACTGTTAGCGTTGGAGCGTGTTATAGACGGGGACTGTGCACCTTTCAAAAGGCCGAAGAGTTTCGGGTTCAACACCGCTGGGACGAAGAAGCGTAAGAACAGGAACCCAGAGACACTGCTGTACTGCACCGTCCGTAGGTAGTCTCCGTACCGATCGTCGGCACACGCTCTAATGTGTCTGAAGATCAACCTCAGTTCTTGCGGGCACCGTGACACGGAGTTGTAGATGGCTCGCCAGACTTCCTCGGTGCAGTTGATCAGCCGCCTCCAGTTCCGCTCCATTTCGTGGGGTGAGGTCACCTTGTTCGGGTCCACCTCACAATCAGGATCCTTGGTGTTGATCTCTCTCAGTTTCTCGCTCAGCGTTTCCTCTAGGTATTCTTTGCCAAGACGCCTCATGTGCAGGTCCAAGGACTTGGTAAGCAAAGTGTTGCCACGGAAGAGTAGGTTGGCCTCCAGCTTGGCATTGTTGCCCATGTCTCGAACGAAGAGCTCACGATCGCTTGCAGAACCAAATTGGTTGGCCATTGAGGACTCATTGGATTCACTTGATCCAAGTCTCTTGCTGAATCGCAAGCGGCTTGCAGGCGACTCTTTCAATGTGCCATCGATCTCTTCCTCAACAAGCGCGCATATCCACTCGCCAGCGGCCCCAGACACCTGGAAGATGTTCAGTAGGTATTCAGACAACCTCCTAAGCTCATTCGGGATCATCTGGGCAATCTGGAGTGTTATGCCGTTGGAAAACCGATGCAGAAGCTCGGAAAGTGGGTAGTAGTCGCGAGCCATGAGGATCGCACACTCCTCGCTGCTGACTTTGACCAATACCTCGCCGACGCTATTTCCATACATGTTGATGAGCGGCCACCACTTTTCCATCTCTTGGTTCGGGCCGAGGTCGTCCAGGTAGATATCCGTCTTTCCTATGGTCTGGTCGAAAGAGATACCAGCGTATCCGCCCTCGGAAACATATGGATCGGAGGCGGTTGCCTCAAACCCGCTCTTTTCGGTACGGTTGTAGCTTGGCGGCCGCTTTTTCAGTAGCAGTGAGGCGGTGTGTAGAGCAGGCAAGTCCAGAAACTCGAATTCCTCCCTCCAGAAAGGATTGTTGCCCTCGTTCTTGACCATGGTCCGCGAACGCGTCTCTCCATCTAATAGTACCTCGACGAGATATCCACCTGGATTGGTTGTGGCGGACGAGGACGGTCGAATCGGGGTTTGCCCATTGCTATCAGCAACCTTGGGACTCACGGGCGGAATCAGTTTTGCTTCGATAACTCTTACAAATAATGACTTCTCCATGCGGAACATGTCTTGGGTGCCGAAAGACGGCGACAGAGTGCCCTCGTCGGTCATGGCGCCGTCCGACTTTGGGCCGTATAGTTGTGGAACAGTAAAAGCACGTAGGAGGACTATCCAAACCTCGTACAGGACTCGTGACTCTAGCGATAGGAATATAGGTCGTAGGATTGTTAATGCAGGAGAAGAAGCAGCGGTGTACTGGGGATATATGGCAATGCAAAACTCGTTATCCAAAACGGAGGGATCCAATCGTTGAACGGCACATCGGGAAAGCTGGGAAAGCTGAACGGTAGAGACTAGGGTGACATCAGTGTCGGAGTAGAGCTTGAGCTCTCCATTTTCACGGAGTGTGCATGACACTCTTCGCCAGCGACGCGAGCCGTGGCTCTGGACTCTGTAAGCCTGGGGCCGTCCGCCAGCACCTGTGCCTTTGGGTGTGCCTGTATTGCTGTATGTCACACTTGTGTCCCAGTATATCATCTTGCCAACCTTGATGATGGGCGCTTCCTTCTTGGGCGAGTCTTTGAGCAGTGACACCTCGGAGTGACGCCTGCTGTCTGGGAGTCGGCGCTCGATCATGACGGGTGCCTGAGGCTTGGCCATTCTGTTTTGTATGCCCTTTGGACGCATGGGCGACCAGCACAGCAAGGCGGCAAACCACGAGTCAAACTCTTCCTGTGTCGGTGGGCGCAGATGGACCTCAAGTTTGGAGTTGTGGACAACGACATGGATGTATGCCGTGTAGGCCTCGCCGTCGTATGCGCTCTTGACATGGCAGCCACGTAGGTCGGGTATCAGGGTGCGGGTGTAGGACGTGTCGTTCTTGGGTTCGTAGACGAGACTGCCGGCCTCGTCGTTGATGTAGCAGTACGACAGCGCCCAGGGGTTCTGCTCACCTCTCCGGAAGGCCAAGAGACCCTGCATCTTGCCGCAGGTCGAGCGCATGAGGGCCTTGAGCTTCTTGGCATCTGAGGCCGGTACGGGCGACACCCACGACTCGGGGGGCACATTGGAGGGGGAGAGGACGGGCGAGGTGGAGCGGTGGGCCTGTTGTTGATGTTGCTGCTGCTGCTGCTGCTGCTGCTGCTGCTTGGAGAGGCGGCTGCGGCTGTTAGTGCTCGAGGTCCGGGGTGGGGGCGGCTGCTGCTGTGGTGGTGGGGAGATAGTGGAGATGTGGCCGATGGAAGTGACGACCGACTCCTCGAGGCTCTGGTAGTTGCTCTGGGAGCTGGCGACGGAGCCTATGCGGTGGCGGGTGGTGCCAAAGACGCTCGAGGGCGAGCGGTCGCGGGTGCTCCTCTCCTCGAGGGTGCGGGTCCGGGGCCGTGTCTGCTCGCGCGCATTGCGGTACTCGGAGTCGCTGGATGCGCGGGCGACGTAGGCTCGCGGGTTGCCGGTGCGCTGGGAGAGCTGGCTGTTGTGGGAGCGGGGGCTGTTGGGCGGGGACTGGAACGTCGTCTGGCTGGGGTAGCCGTCTTCGGGTATCGTCGTCGTGGCCGTCGACGACGTCGTGGGCTGCTGCTGCGGCGTCGGCGTGTCGTCGGGGGTGACGGTGCGTATCGTCTGGGGCTGCTTGCGGTACTCGTCCCGGGCTCTCTCGTGGGCATTCACATTGACATTGTTGTTGTACGGCAAGACTCCCTGTGCGGCCTCGGACGCACTCACCTCCCTCCTGTTCCTTCTCTGCTGGTCCATGGATGCGGACCGCTGCTGTGTCTTGTGCTGTTCATTGACACACGGCAGGCGGCCCAGCTCTTGCAGCAGGTAGCCGTTGCGCTTCGTCTAGGTCGCGGACAACGGTCGGGGGCGCTGCGAGACTGGATGTCGGTTCCGTATGGCGCATCGCATGCCTCGTTGCGCGGGCAAAATGGTCTGTCGTTAGGTAGTAAGAGGCCCACCGCCCAGCCCTAGCGAGCAGACATGGCACCCGGCATGGGCGAAGACTAGGAGACGGCCTTGGCGCTGATATCCATCGCCTAATCACCGCCCCGGCCCCCAGCAGCATACACAGGACCAAGCTGACGTCCACGGCGTCTGTGCCTGATTGCCCTCATCTATCCCACACACATGGCACACCACCAAAGCATGCCCATAGAGCAAACACGTAGATAATAGCATTGGTATCGAATAACTGCTAGAAAAAAAACATCGCCACATCGCACATGGATATCTGACCAACCAATAACCCCTCCCTGAGCTCCCAACATTGTCGAAAATGAAATTAAGAAGTTCGTTTCAGTGCATTCATGCGCAATCTCTCCACACCCTCACTTGAACGGAGGCTTATCAGCCGCACTCTCCTCCACACTCGCTGCGCTCAATGGCTGCGAGCGCGCGCCGCTAAGATCGCCCGAGTGCGTCTTGCGCAGTGCTTGTCGCATCGTTTCAATCTGAACTGGCAGCTCTTCGCCCGATGCTGGGTTGGGGCTACCGAGCACGATAGGGGATGTAGGACTTGCGGGTGACCGCGTGCGCGCCAGGTCCGCATGCTTGGGCGAGGCTGCTCCACTGGTAGTTGGCGGCGAAGACGCGGCAGACCTCACTGGCGAGGGCGATCGGTTCGCCGTCGACGATAGGCTCATAAACTGCAGAGCCTCGTTGGACGTGGCACCCAAGACTTCCTGTCTGTCGTGCTCGACGTGTTCTGCCTGCACCACGTCTGCGAATGAGATGAAGCTCAAGCGACGTGGATCCGCCGTGTCCAGTGAGCCGTACCCAGGCGCTGTCTCCGTCACCTCAGCATGGCTAGAAGCCACCGACTCTGTGTGAGGCAGAGGCGGCGAGTGCACCGAGTCGATTATGCTGCCCGCGACCGCAACAGCGGCTGGCTGATGCGCCGTGTGTGTTATGATCTCTACTTCGTCGGGGTTGAGGTGCGTGTCTGTAATGGCCAAGGATGTCGCATCCAGCGCGGGCGGTATGTGGTCTTCTGTCTTGATGTGTGCAGGCACGTCGGCCGAGGGTTCAGGCTCCTGTACGTTGCGCTCGAAGATGAGCGACGACGCTGGGCTGTGTAGGCCAGGAGAGTTGGAGCGGATGCGACGACTGGGAGATGCGCCGATTGGCAGCATGCGCGGGCTTCCTCGCGGTGACACTCGTTGTTCGGGCGGTGACATTGGGGGCGAGGGCAGCAATGTTGGCGTCGTGGTGGTGGATGCAGTCTCTGTTGGCTGTTTGCCAGCCACGCTCTCCTTCTTCCTGCCCAGGCCAAACAGCTTCTTTCCCTTGCTCAGAATGCTGCCATCGTCGGTAGCCTTGGTTTCGCTCGATGCGGTCGCGACGGATGCGGGCGGGTTGTTGGGCTGCTGAGGGGCTGCGGCTGTGTTGCTGGATGCGCTCATCATGGTCCTTTCTGACAATGTCGCCGTGTTGGAAACGGTGCAAGATGCGAGATGCGCGTCCGATACAAGAGGCTGCGATTCGGGCCTATGGCAAGCAATAAACCTGTCCTTGTGTCGTCACGCGGTGGCTATCGTCGCTTTCAAGGAAGTTGCCGAGTGGGATACACCCTTGACCTGCAATCAAAAACGGCAGTTGGGCGTCTCTTGCTCAACAGCGAACAATCTCAAACCTCCCAGTAGAGTGTTTTGATGGTATATGCACGACCAGGATTTGGATAGAGCTCAGTGTCTTGTAGAGCGTTGACAGTACCCGTGTTGACACTCTACCATCCCTCATACTTTGGGTTGTTGATCGTCACGTGGCGCTGACGTATGCGCACAAGGTTTCAGGGTCCCGAATAGCTCTCCTGTCTCCAGGCACATCCCTTAGTCTAATCTCGCCGTTCCCGCTATCCAATGCCTATCGCCATCTCACCCAACAACGACAGCTTCCAATGTGCGACGAGTCTCGTCCATGTTTCAAGTAGACTGTTCAATCTCACTTCCCTTCCATGACGCGACTTCTATGATACTGTGCAAGCACATCTAGTCGTTGTACGTCTGACTGGCTAAATTTTTGGTCGCTTGCTAGTTCCCTTCATGCGAACACATGCAGACCATTAGACGCTGGACAGACTCTGCGCTCCAGTCACGACCTCCGCCTTTCTTTTTCCATTGTGTCCACTCTATGGTTGAACCAAGTTTTCGTCATCGCTCAGCAGACTCTCGATTACCATGTCAACAAGATCCCCGCTCTCGATCGAGATTTCAGCATTACGTCGACAGGTCCAAAGACCTGACTATAGGGCGTGTCTCGTGAACAACGAGATTTCTCTTGGTCCATGCTGCAATCGTCTTGGCTTTTCCACCCAGTCAGCTCAAGATTCTGGCGCGGGGCAGCTCGCTTGGAAGTGGCTGAACCGCGAAACACCAACATGGACTAGCCGCGGGTAATTATATTCGATGGCATCCTTCCTCCCTTGCATACTTCATCCCTTGCATACACATCACAGGCCATCCTCGCTTCTTTGTACTTGTGGCATCGCTACCAACCTTTCTCGAGCTGACAATGACTTTGTGCGCAGAATCAGGCATTGCCGGTCGTTTCTTTCAGTCCATGAGAGACACGGCCACACGTCTCCGAAACTCGTGAAGATGGTATTTTACCGTACCTCACATTCGAAACCTTGTTGAGATGAAGAGCCGCTATCGACCACGCCGCATCAGCTTTGGTGATTCTGGTTGGCGGCTATTGATCCATCGCTCGGGAGCAGACACTTATCGCCTAGATGATCTGACACACAGGAGTCAGTATACGTCCAAGTCAGCTCAGTAGCATAACCAAACACCGTGCCGTACGGCAATGATAAGTTCCGTAAACGTGGTTACGCAAGGATAACCAGATGATGACAACATACAACGTGATCGGTCTCACAACAACTATGTCCATACTAACAGATTTTCGACACCTTGTACAAAGCTCAGAAACACATCTTTCGCCATCACAGCAACGACTGCATCGTCCGACATAGGTTGATCTGGCATGTGTACAGACCGACGGTGGGCATTAGTCGTAGGATCTGCGGATGCCGAGAAACGCCTTGTTCAACCAGTTTTGCGGAATCCCCATCCGTGGCGTCCTCGTGGCTCACTAGTGCTATCTCGGACGATGGATTCGAGATCAGCTAGCAAGCCTGGACCATGAACGGCTCGTGTACCCTCGTAAGATAAACCCAAGGGCATGTCCCCAGTCTTTCGAATCTGCAGCGTCCATTGCAGTTACTATCTGGACGCTCCATTCACATCTCGATGTTGGGCAATCATGGGTGCCGTCAAGGCCTTCTTTAAACCGTACGATTTACGACCTAAAATCTTGATCACGGAGCTCACTCTTGCGAGTCTTTCAACGATGGTGCTTGCCATTCGGTCCGTTTCCTCTCCATAACGTTTCGCTGACATCCGGCTTATCGATATCAGCTTCTTTACTCGGAAATGTATTGTAGGAAAAATCAGCCTGAGCGACTACATCATGGCGATCGCATTGGTGAGTAAGGAACCTGCTCGGCAATACGCGTTTGCAGGCATCTAATACAATGAAGCTCTTTACATGGGGGCTCTGCGCTTGTAACCATTACCAGCTATTTTTCGGTTCTGGTACGAAGAGTAATCCAAAAGTTCCGCCAACGGTGAGTATAGTGCTTTTGTCCACTGCTATCTCTGGTGTCAACATGCTGAATGAAGATCTGAAGGCCACAAAAGAAGAGACGGATGCATTCTGGGAGTATTGGCTGTTCGGGACTGTGGCATCATGTGAGCAATTGTCCTAGCCTGCAATGGACCGCATTAACCATCGGACAGGGTACGCATACCACATTGGCTACTTGTTCAACATGAGCCTTATAAAGCTCTCAATCTTGTGTTGTAAGTTATACGGCAAGTATATGCGATCAAGGGATGCGTTGACATAGTCACTTCATACTTAGTCTACCTTGGTTTTGCGACCCAGCGAATCTTTCGAAGACTCGTAATCACATCGATAGTGGTTGTTGTCGTAATCGGCATCTTTTGTATCTTCATCGTGGCTTTTCAATGTCTCGAGAACCCATCTGACGCCCTATCCCCTGCAATACTCTCAGGTTGGGGTGATGGTCACTGTTTTGACCTGAGGATCGTTCTCTATTGGCAAGCAGGCTGGAGTCTCGGATCTGATCTTTTCGTTCTGCTTCTCCCAATGCCGATTCTGCTTGCGCTGCGCATGCCAAGAGGCAAGCGTTTGTCCGTTATAGCAATCTTCGCAGTGAGTCTGCTCATTCCGATAGCGTCCGGAATACGACTTTGGAGCCTGTTTCTCCGGGCAAATAGCGGAGATTTTGCTCGGTACTATAGCGCATACATCATCTTCTGGTAAGTGGAGCGTCCCCACCACGTAGATACGAGGCGAATACTGATGCTATGTTGCTGAATATAGGTCCCAAGGTAAATTATACCTCTACGAAATGCATGTGAGACATTCGCTAACTTCGTATCTTCGCCTCTGCAGTCGAGATCAATACTGCAATAATGTGCGCTTCCGCACCATCTATCCAGCCACTCCTCAAACGCATGCTCAACAGAATACCTTGTGGCCGACCATCTCACAGCCCATCGTACTACTACGGCGGGCGTACTTCACTGCCCTGGCTTACTGCTGTGGAGATGGAGAGGAATCTGTGGAGAGACAGCATCGATGTCCTGGAGTCCCCAACTCGGACCTACTGTTCCTCTGGAGGCCATGCAAATGACCAGTATCATGATCAAATGAGCATTTCCCACAACACGGAAGAGGAGGACATTAGAGCTCGGGTTCGCGCGCTTTCATGTCCACAGACCGTATACTTGCGACCCACGTCACTGTCCTCTATATTTTCCCTCCCTTTACAGGCGAACAACAATATACAGGGTGGCTGATAATTTGCACCATGCTCGATGTTTTTGCTCAGGAGTACCTACCTGGACACACGAGATTCTAGCATGGCAACATGTGAAGATTGAGCGTAGAAGAATGCATTTCTAGGCTTTTCTCGCTTGTTTCAATCAGCAAACAAACCCTTTCAACTTTGCAAGTTTGGAAGATCAGCAACGAAACTCGTTCCGGAGCCAGCGGTGTAGGCAACTACTTGATTGCAGTGTGCGCACGTCCGACTCAGCCTTTAGGTGCAACATGAGAGCTGATTTGAACACCTGTCGCATGAGCCCCTGCTTATCCGTCAGCCACCAACCCTGCTCATTCTTGAGGGACCCGGTTCTCGGATGAGGTAAGCCGCCCCCAAGAACGCAGTATCGTGTAGCGTTTGAACATGCGATTGGTCTGGACGGGCCGGCCAATGTACCATTGTTCAAAATCGTCGCAGGCTGAGGTGACGAAATGAGCAGACCGTGAGAACATGCTAGCAAGCTGAATGGTGGAGTAAGATGTATAGTTAGTGGTTTGCAGCTCTTGCTCGTTTGGTTCGTGAGGGTGATCAGCCATTCGAGGGGCTGATACACATATTACACTCTCCCTTGCAAGAGCTGATGACCGATATGAATACCTGAACGCCATTGGCACCTGTTGCATTGGGGCTGATATGAAACCCCAGCCTTGTCGTTCCGATCGTGACGCAGAATGCGCGGCTGTTGTATGCACATACTGTCTTTCCAGCTGAGCTTTCTCGTATATCTTGTGTCTTTCTCTTTCTTGTATCGCATGTCTCCAAAATTCACCAAGCTGTCAGGAACTCATCTCTAATTGTGTTTGAGTCATGGGTGTCTCCAGCCAAAGCAAGCCTAAACCTTACATATACACGCCAGGCCTTCCGCAACGCGCCCTCATAGCAGTATTCCATGGAGTGAATAATATCATACCATGGCATAAGCTGCCTACCTGGATCGGTGTCCTCAACGTCGCCGCCTTCCGCTACGAGCTACGCCAAAAGAACCTGCACGATGTATACCCCTCTCCTAATGATCAAGGTACTCTTGGATGTCCACATCTATCTGATGAGCAGTATTTGCATACTCGCCACTCAGATGGTTTGTTCAACGATCTCTCAGCACCAAAGATGGGATGTACAGGTATGCGATTCGGCCGCAATGTACCTCGCGAACACACCGCAAAGCCAAGCGAGGAGGAACTCATGACACCAAATCCACGACTCATCAGTGAGCAGCTACTGAAGAGGGACAACTTCAAACCTGCAACAAGTCTGAACTTGCTAGCTGCGGCGTGGATCCAGTTCCAAGTCCACGACTGGTTTCAGCATGAGAATTCCGCCTCGGAAACGTACAATGTCCCGCTTCCTGAGGGTGACAAGTGGAGTTCGCCAGACGGCAGGATGAAGATTGAACAGACCCAGCCAGATGCCGCGTTATATAAAACGGACAAAACAGCTTCAGCATACAGAAACGTCAACACACACTGGTGGGACGGCAGTCAAATCTACGGCAGCACAGAACTCCGCACAACCGAACTACGCGGGCAGAGCAAAAACGGCAAACTCACTGTCGATACCCAGAAGATTGCTACCTTCCTCCCCCGCGACTCGAACGAAATTCCTCAAACAGGCTTCATGACAAACTGGTGGCTAGGTTTAGAAATGCTACATACACTCTTTGTCCTCGAGCACAACACCATCTGCGACGCCCTTGTCACTGCCCATCCTTCCTGGAGCAGTGAGCGCATCTTCGACACGGCCCGCCTAGTCAACTGCGCATTGATGGCCAAGATACACACGGTAGAATGGACACCAGCCATCCTCGCGCATCCCGTACTTGAGATAAGCATGAACGCAAACTGGTGGGGCGTCTTAGGCGAGCGACTGTACAAGCTACTCGGCCGTGTATCCGCCACTTCAGAAGCCATTTCTGGAATCCCAGGGTCGAGCGTAGAGCATCATGCTGCTCCGTATGCGCTTACCGAGGAGTTTGTAAGCGTGTATCGTATGCATGCCCTCATACCTGACACGATCGCTTTCTTCAGCTCCAGGACTGGGGAGCACAAGACCACACATCCCATTGGCGATGTCGCCTTCGAGAAAGCCAGAGCGCCTTTGGAGAACGATGCTTTGGATTTCTCAGACGTGTTCTATAGCTTCGGGGTCAACTACCCGGGTGCTATCACGCTGAACAATACACCAGACTTCCTACGCGATTTACACACTCCGGATGGCCGACACATCGATCTTTCTACCATTGATGTCCTCAGGGATAGGGAGAGAGGGGTTCCGCGTTACAACGCTTTTCGTCGGCTTTTCCACTTGGCACCTATGAATTCTTTCCTCGAGCTCACAGGCGGCAACAAAGTTGTTGCAGAGAAGCTGGCGATCATATACGAGGATGATATTGAGAAGGTGGACTTACTGGTTGGTTGTCTTGCGGAGCCATTACCGGCGGGCTTCGGATTCAGCGATACGGCGTTTCGGGTGTTTATCCTCATGGCGAGCAGGAGGTTAAAGAGTGATCGATTCATTGCGGGCGATTGGAATGAAAAGACGTATAGTAAGGTTGGCATGCGGTGGGTACAGAATGGGGGGATGAAGGATGTGTTGGGGAGACATTTCCCAGAATTGGAGAGCGTGCTGGCGAAGAGTGGAAATCGTAAGTTCAACTACATCTTTGAGAAGTGCGGAGAAGACGCTAACATGAGAAATAGCTTTTGCGCCTTGGACAATGAAAGACGCGAGTAAAAAGTATGAGGGAAAAGAGACTAACGCGTAGGCTGGTGGTAAAGGGCTGGGCTGAGAATTGCGTTTCACCAGTAGCCTCCACTCGTATGATCAACCCTTTTCTCGCCAGCAGTGCATGCAACAAAATGCCAGATGTTTCTACAACCAATTCATGACGAGAGCAGGCCCGGGTTGTAACCGTTAGTTGTGTTTCTTCAGTAAAGCGTATGATGAACTGTCTACTTGAGATCTTGCTGCTCTTTGATACATGTTGCTTGTGGGGTGCTGAAGGAGACTGAAATTGCTTTTGTGAATTGGGTGTGGGTGGCGAACCAAGATGATGGGACGGGCTGGACCAAGGGTTAAGTGAGGATTGATCGGTATAGCCATACTTGAGCATCGTCAGGAATGTGCGCCCTTGGTATTGTTCTCGTCTAGCGTCGAGTTACAGGGGCTGCATTTGGTTTTGCTAGGGTCAACATACCCTACCGAGTATGCATATGATGGGACAAAGCCTGCTCAAGCATTCCGTTGTCTGGGCCTGTCCAATCTCTGTGCCTGCAAATTCGGCCCCCTACGGAATTCGCACGAAACCCGCATTCAGCGAATCCCGCCGTCTTACACGCCCGGCGGTGCTGTATGTTGAGGTGTGTTTGATGCCTGAACATCGACGTATTCTCGGTGCCTAGAATTTGAGGTTTCTTGGTGCCTAAACGCCATGGAGTCAAGGATACTCGAAGCGTTGAGCGGTTATAAAGCCATGGCCCGCTAAAGTAATCCTACTTGCGTGGATTGGAAAAATGGAACATGGGTTGTGAACGTGGAACGTTTTGTAGAGGAAACCGCACTCCTATTGTTGTTGATGACGCAATAATGCCCAGCAACCGGCCACCAGTGATGGTTGCGCCGAAACGCGAAAGCATTTGCCATTATATGAGTGGTCAATAGAACAATACGAGGTACGCGAGGCTCAGGACATTTTGTAATCTGCGATTTTGCGCGGGGGATAGGGCAGCCCTGGGCTCAGCACCAAGCTGCTGGCATCGGCGGCATATGGTGCCCGAGCACCGGCCGTCAGTCCCACCCGAGACGCATCTCGCACTCGCACTCGTCGTATCCGGTCAATACTCTTGCAGCCCTGCACGCTCACCGCAACGGAAACTTATGCGTCAAGTCCGACTATGACTTTCGTCCGCTTTAGGCAGACATGTTTACTCCCGAGTACACTCGTATATGTAGTGCGTTTTCTTCTCTCAGCGCCTTCTCGATGTTTCTTCAACGCGAAGAACAGTGGTTGCCATCACTTGCTTAGTATCCATCGTATTCTCATACAGTCACACTATCGCCACTGGCGAACGCGTCATTTGTCCTTTCGGTACATTTAGAAGCCTCAGTAACTCGTTCACTCGTTCGCTCGTTCACGTGTTGGCGTTGCGCAATCACCCATCGTATCAGCCGTATCCAAAACCCCCCGGACGAAACGAGCCGCACGCGTCATACCAATTCGGGTGCGATATCCACCCAGCCGAGAAGCTTAGATCGCGCATTTCACCCCATTCAGCATAGTGTAACCCGGCTCGGACAACGGCTTGGCCTTGCACTACAAGGATCTCTAATCTTCTAGGTCCGTGAGTGGCGCGGTGGAGGATTCTCAAAGGAATTGCGCAGGACAATTGTCCCTTTCCTTTGCGACATCTCCCTAGGACTTCTTGGAGGTACTACCACTGCTGCACGCCAAGTATCAGCAACGACAAGACACGCTCATCGCCTTGAGCAATGGACAACGAGGACTCAGCAACGACGACGGGGACAGCCATCTCCGCGGCTATTGATGAGAAGCATGAGTTGCATGCGGAAAAGGAGGCCAGACCGCCCACGGCTGGTCTCAGTGATCAAGAGAAGGATATTATCGACAAACAGCTAACAGCACCTAACCTCACAGTTGGATATTTCTCACTGTTTCGATATGCAACTGCGAAGGACAAGCTCGTCATGGTTGTGGCGTTGATCGCCAGTATTGCGGCTGGAGCTGTTATGCCCCTCATGACTGTAAGCAGCTACCCGACGACTTGAATATATCACAATTAACTCTGATATCTAGCTTGTGTACGGTAATTTCGCTGGTAGCTTCACCAGCTTTTCAGTCGACGCTGTCGCTGCTGCAAAGTTCCAGCATCAAATCAACACGTATACTCTGTATTTTGTATACCTTGGAATTGGGTCGTTTACCACTTCGTATATCAGTATCTTGGGATTCTCTTATACTGGAGAACGCATCACACGGGCGATTCGAGAGCTTTACCTACGTGCCATTTTCAGACAGAACATCGCCTTCTTCGACTTTCTTGGATCCGGCGAAATCACCACTCGCATTAGCTCCGACATGAACTTGGTGCAAGACGGTATAGGTCAGAAGATCGGTCTCTTCGTGACCGGAGTGTCCATGTTCGTGACTGCCATCATCATCGGTTTTATACGATCGTGGAAGCTTTCCCTTATCATGTTGGCAGCAACAGCAGCACTCATCATGATGATGGGTGTCAATGGCACCCTGATGAAAAAAGCCCAGACACTCTCCATAGACGAATACGCCACAGCTGCCTCCCTTGCTGAGGAAGTCCTATCTTCAGCTCGCAACGTTGCTGCATACGGTACTCAAAAGCGACTCGAGACGAAGTACAAAGCCTTTGTGGACCGCGCAACTGTACATGACTTCAAGGCCAAGTTTTGGCTATCCATGATGATCGCTGGTATGATGGGTGTGCTGAACCTCCAGTACGGTCTTGCATTCTGGCAAGGAAAAAGATTCCTTGACGACGGGGACCTTGGCGTTTCCAACATCCTTACCGTTGTCATGGCACTCATGATTGCTGGCTTTTCCATCGGACAGAACCTACCGCATCTCCAGGCTTTCGGTGGAGCTACTGCAGCCGCTACCAAGGTTTTCAACACGATCGAACGAATTTCCCCCATCGACCCCGAAACAGATGAAGGCATTGTGCCAGACGACTTTGTTGGTAACCTTGAGTTCAGGAATTTGAAGCATGTTTACCCGTCTCGACCAGACACTACAGTGCTATCGGACTTTAACCTAGACGTTCCATCGGGCAAGATGATCGCGCTTGTCGGTGCATCTGGATCTGGAAAATCGACCATTGTTGGACTATTAGAGCGCTTCTACCTCCCGATGGAGGGCCAAATTTTCCTGGACGGTAGAGATATCACAACCTTGAACCTGCGCTGGTTGAGGCAACACATGGCCATTGTGAGCCAAGAGCCCGTCTTGTTCAGTACCACAATCTATGAAAGCATTTTGCATGGTTTGGTCAACACAGAGTATGCAGATGTATCGGATGACAAGAAGATGGAGCTTATCGAGAAGGCTGCCAAAATTGCTAACGCTCACGACTTCATCATGGACCTTCCAGAAAAGTACCAGACCAAGGTTGGAGAACGAGGTGGCTTGCTCTCAGGTGGACAAAAGCAGCGTGTTGCAATCGCTCGTGCGATCGTATCGGATCCCAAGATTCTTCTCCTTGATGAAGCTACTGCAGCCCTCGATACCAAATCCGAGAGCGCGGTCCAGGAGGCTCTTGACCGTGCATCGCAAGGACGTACTACCATCGTTATCGCCCACCGACTCTCGACCATCAAAAGCGCCGACAACATCGTGGTTATGGCCTTGGGCCGAATTGTCGAGCAAGGCACTCACCAAGAGCTTATTGACCGCAAAGCTGTATACGCAAGTTTGGTACAGGCCCAAGAGCTTACCTCTAAGATCAGCCCTGCCAACAGGATGACGCTTCTGGACGACCCTGACAGCAAAACAGAAAGCACTGCCAATGAAGAGAAACTTGCTTTGTTGCGAACCACTACATCCGCCCCTACAGAGTACCAGGCGAACAAGAATGAGAAAGAGAAGGAATACGGTACTTGGGAGTTGATCAAATTTGCATGGGAAATGAACAGAGGCGAGCACACTACCATGACGATTGGACTGGTGTTCAGTTTCCTCGCTGGCTGCAACCCTGCCATCCAAGCCATCTTCCTGGGTAACTCCATCAACTCGCTTCTATCTCCTGGAACGTCTCTCGGCGGACTCAACGTAAATTTCTGGTGTGGCATGTTTCTCATGCTCGGAATCGTCATTGGCTCTTTCTACTACGTGCAGGGTATGACTCTGTCAAGAGGATCGGCCAGGCTTGTTGGTAGCGTGCGAACACGCGCTTTTGGGGCTATGCTTCGTCAGGACATGGAGTTCTTTGACGGAGACACCGTAACTTCTGGCGCGCTCAGCAACTTCCTTTCATCAGAGGCTAATCGTCTTGCTGGTCTCAGTGGCTCTACTCTCGGAACGATTGTCAGCGCTGCTTCTTCCATTCTTGTCGCCATTATCGTCGCATGTTCTTTTGGTTGGAAGCTGGCGCTCGTGTGCTCTGCGACCATCCCACTTGTTATTGGCTGTGGTTACTTCCGCTTTTACGCCCTTACCCGCATGGAAAAACGAACCAAAGAGACGTCTGATGCGGCCAGCTTTGCTTGCGAAGCAGCCTCATCCATCCGTACTGTGGCCTCGCTCTCATTGGAGAAGTACCTTTTGGGTACTTACCACGTCAAACTTGCGGACCAGGGCAAGGGCTACTTCAAGTTCACAAATGTGTCGGCGGTGCTCTATGCAACATCTCAGGGTCTCAGCATGTTCATCTTCGCCCTTGTCTTCTGGTACGGAGGACGTCTATTGTTCAACCAGGAGTACACTGTCTTGCAGTTCTTCATAGTCTACTCGTCCATCATCAACGGTGCTCAGTCAGCTGGTGCAATCTTCTCTTTTGCCCCCGACATGGGCGAAGCTAGGGACGCGGCCAAGCTCTTGAAGTCGTTCCTGAACCGCGTTCCAAAAATTGACCACTGGTCGCCTGAGGGCATCAAGATTGAGAGGTTAAGCGGCAAGGTCGAGCTACAGGACGTACGTTTCACGTACCCCGGCAGACCTGACCATCGTGTCCTGCGCGGTGTCAGCCTGGCAGCCAAACCAGGTCAGTTCATTGCACTTGTCGGTGCCTCTGGCAGTGGAAAGTCAACGGTCATGCAGTTACTTGAAAGGTTCTACGACCCAACAAGTGGTGGCGTGCTCGTCGACGATGTGGACCTGAAAGACTACAACCTCCAAGACTACCGATCGCAATTGGCAATCGTCAGTCAAGAAACAACTCTCTACACTGGTACAATTCGCGAAAATATCCTCGCCGACAAGGAAGATTTGGGCGATGAGGCGGTGATACAAGCGTGCAAAGATGCCAATATCTACGACTTCATTACATCGTTGCCTAATGGGTTCAATACGCTAGTGGGTGCAAAGGGTGCTCTACTATCTGGTGGCCAGGTACGTTCCTCTACTCTCTCTTCTTCTCAACCTTCACTAACATCAGTTTCAGCGCCAACGTATAGCGATTGCCCGCGCTCTTCTCCGTGACCCCAAGGTCTTGCTTCTCGACGAAGCCACATCAGCACTCGACTCCACATCCGAACGCGTTGTACAAGCTGCCCTTGACTCCGCAGCACAAGGGCGCACCACCATTGCGATTGCGCATCGTCTGAGTACGATTCAACACGCTGACGTGATATATGTCTTTGATCAAGGCAAGATCGTAGAGAAGGGCAGACATGACGAACTGGTAGCCAAGAAGGGAGTTTACTTCGAGCTGGCGAAATTGCAGGCCATTGGAGCGCCGCAATAATTCACAAAAGCAGGAGCTTTTCTGCATGAATGGAGTTTGGGTATATATTTGTAATCATTTTCTTAGATCATTAGGCTGGGAACTACATAGATCTCTGGCATATAAAATGCCTGTCTCTCTGCCTATGGTAGAGAATGCTCAATAGCTAATGTTTTCACATCTTCGCTTTCGTGCTGGTGGATGTATTCGTGGGGTAAGTACTCCATCTGACACGTGAACGCGCGCGTCGCGATCTTCAGTTTAAAACGCGACTTCCGATGGCAAGCCATCATCCCATCCATCTGAAATGCAACATTTGCCTTGCGCCGCTGTCACCAAACCGAAGATGCAGTGTGAGCTATGTTGAGATGCATAACTTTGCCAAGCATGGCTCGAACCGAGCCATTCCTTCAGGCGCCCACGCCTCATCGCCTCGACCGCGGCCAGCGAGTCACGATGAATCATCGTTTATCTTGACACAGCGCACCTTTCGCTGAGGGCGCCTGTATCACATCCTCTTCGCAACACACATCGATATATTGTGACTCCGTAAAGGCCGTCCCATAGCGCCAGACCACGAGAATGCGCAACCCCAATGGCTGTCGCGTATTGCTCCTCCTCCTTCCACCCGGTCTCCTCCTTGCCATCGCCGCCCTAACCAATATCCTCGAGAGCATATCCAAGGACAATTTCGAAGACTACCTTGATCGCGATTGGCGCAGCGGTGGTCGCCAACTCATCCTATCACGCCCAGGCGGCACCGCCTCGAACGACACCACCGTGACCATAGACATCAACAACGTGCCCATATACGTCGTATTGGGGTTATGCATACTAGGCTATGGAGTTGGTCTGCTCAGCGCGGCTGGAATATGGCAGTTGAGGAGAACAGAGGGCACCGCGGCACATGAGAGGAAGTGGACTTGGGTTGTCTTCGTGGTCAATATCGTGATGGTGGGCGCGAGCCTGGGTGGCTTTGGTTATGCGACCTCAGTCCAAAGCAGCGAGAAGAACTGGCAGAATTATGAAGACGTTGGACAAGAGGACCAGGAGCATACGAGAGAGACGTGGGCATGCCAGATCAGTAAATTTTATCCTGATAGGGATTGGGCTGGTACTGCTTGCGGGACTACGAAAGCGATGAGGTTCTTGCTGATACCCATGGCTGTTGCTGCGCTATCGATCTTTCTCAGTCTGTGGGTTCTCGTACGTGCGAGGGGAGGAGTGAAGTGGATGTTTGGTGGGAAGGGGAGGTATGCTGGGTTTGCAAATGTTTATGAGATGCGACCACCTGGTCCACCATCGCCTTATGCTGGTCCACCAGGACAGCAATGGGTTCAGCAGCCATGGCCGACACAGTATGGACAGCAATGGGTTGGACAGCCCGTGCAACAGCAGTGGGCGCCGCAACCTTATCAGCCATGGGGCCCGCAGCAGCCTGTGCAGCAATGGGGTCCTCAGCCCGGGGCCCAACAGCCCGTTTCTCAAGTAACAAAGTCAGATGCTGCGGTAGAGCAACGTCCGGTTTTCGGATGAGGTTGCAAGAATGCGAAATCTTAACTCCTACTGCAGCGTTGCATGGCTTTCCCCTTCACTTATGATCTAGACCCGTTTCGCCTTCACCTTGAACCCGCCAAAAAGAGCAAGAGCGCTTCCGTAGGTCACTATTGTTTGGAATTGCGACCGCTGGGAGATCTGCCTAATATACATCTCAGAACTTTTAACATCTTAACGCAACCGTCTAGGCCATAATTGTCATGTCGGCAGGCTCTTCTCACGGTACGGCGCCATCAGCAGGCACTTCAACGTCACTCGACCTCCTTCGTAGGGATTTTGAAAAGCGATTTGGAAAAAGCGCCAATGGCGAGTATGCGAAGGACTTCAAGAACCAAAGTTATGCCACCAGCCTCGATGACCTCGATAGCAACGACGGTAAGCCTGCGCTACCATACGCAGTAGGCGCTACATTTGTTGCTCGCCGTCACGAACCACCTACGCCTTTCGGTCATGGCTACGATACTCCTTGGCCACCTTACAAGCCAAAGTATCTTCGACGACCGCAGATCGACTACTGTCTGATTCGACAGCCACTCGTAGGTCGTACACTTGATGAGTCTCGCGTACTCACGATTACCGGCACGATACGTACTGGTTATTCCTTTGGAGCTCAGGTCGTTTCCGTCAATGAAAATATAGTGGCGAAGATATACGACCCGCTATACGACGCTGGACGTGATTGCTATGACAACAAGCGCGACGTCGTTGTACTAGCTGACGGAGACTACTCACGAGAAGCTGCCGCGTACGAGCAACTGCGACGAAGCCCTAATACGTGGAGTCTGGTTCCGGCGTACTACGGGAGCTGGACAATTGAAGTACCTACGAAAGTGTTCGATCATACATTCACACGACATGTCCGCCTCATACTAATGCAGCATATCAAGGGTACCGTCATGAGTAGTGTCCAGCCTCAGTTGCTCTCTCGACAAATACGTTTGGCGATAATGGAGAAAATCTTAGAAGCTGAATCTCTCATCTTCAACACTGGTGTCCTGCACCGCGACATATCGCCCCGCAATATTATGCTCGTCCCTCTAGCACCAAATCTGTCGTTCAACGATCCAAATCTCCGTGTCGTTATCATCGACTTCAACGTTTCTAATATCATCTGCCTCAGCAACGCTTCCTGCCACGCCTTAAACAACCCCAACCCCGAATTTATACAAAGAAAATGGCCCGGTAAACTCCTTGGTCCAGTAACAAGGTTTTGGAATGCGATGGACGAGTTTAAGTGCATGGAGCGATGGAGATGATGAGGTTGTCTTTAGGGGGCGAGGTTGTAGAAGTTAGGTGAGCTTTTGATCACCGCCTAGGACATAGCACGGAATGTCCACTGGGGTGGCGCCGGGAGAACTGGAAGACGTTCTCGAAACCGAGCCATCGTCTCTCGCATCGACTTGTTGAATGCCAAGCTGATGGCGATGACCTGAAAACATTGGCCATCACAGTGGTGGTTCGCACTGGCTAGGACTAGGGAGCACAATTCATAGTCATGAACAATGACATGGTTACCAAGACATATGATCCGCTTTGTAAGAACGAAGGGCATGAGTACGGCCTCAAAGACGTTGTGTTTGATGCATACTTTGACTACAGCCGCAAGGCTGCTGTCCGTCACATATTGCAAAAGGCGTCAGCGGCACAACAAGCCATACCTAAATCATGTTGACAGTAACGACAAACCTCTATATGACGGATAGACAATGCTCGTATTATTTGATCACTCTTCTATTAGGTACTGTCTTGATGAAAAACGGGTTGCTTCCCACAGATCGAATCTCTACATAGCCATCTCTTTCTTGTCCGCTTACGTCTATTCGCAGCCTGTTTGGTTGAACTTCGAGATTGACGTCGCGTCGGACCCAAAGGCCACAGCGCGATCAATCCAGGCATCAATGCTGGCAGGTGCTGGTTGTCGCTCCCTGCTCAGGATGTAAAGCGTGCTCCAATTCTGCGTCTGCACAATCGCCCAGTCGACAGCGTAATCTGGACATCGACGTTAACATTGATGGAGTCAATATACGGCTCTGATAATTAACTTACCCTGTACAATGTAGTTCGGTCCGGGGCATTCTGGTGCCGAAGATGCGCCAGGGAAGCTGACGACGAAAGCTCCGCCAGCGCCATAAGCAGAGTCTACAGGCGTAGCGGTGCCGATAATATCGACAGTTTGTGGTCCAACAGTTGCGGTGTTCACAACACGCACTGTGCCATTGTCCTAGGTTCGCTGTCAGAAATGCTGGCTAAAGGTCAACATATCTCAAGAACGTACGTTGAGTGAGTAGTTTGCGGTTACGCAGCGTGCGCCTGCTGTGGGACCGAATGGTGTTCCCGCAACTTGGTACCAGGTTCCGAGATACGCTTCTAGATTGAACTTGGAGTCTGGGACGGGGTAGAAGCACGATCCATCATATTGTGCCGCCGCGACATTTGGCGTAGGGGACGTCTCGTTGTGAGAGGCTTGACGAGGGTGTATGAAGCCTGAGGCGGCTGAGGATAGTGCGAGGACGGTACTGGCGACGCGCATCTTGAGTTAATCTTGTGTAGTGTTGAGATTAGAGATTAGGGTATAGGTAGGATGGAGATGTTAATGTTCTCTGTGATGAGGACGTCCCTATGCTTTACTTGAACTGAAAATCCTGTGGCTGGTGTGGAAAACGTTGTTTGGTAAACGTCACCCCCAAGCCACTATACATTACTACGCACTTATCCACAGGCTAGACTTGTATACATGCGTGCAATCGCCGGTAGCTTTCCCGGGCCGACAGGAAAAGTCTTGTACACTCATCGGTAAACATGTGCTGCCAAGCATGCGGACTCTGTCCCTCGGTCAAATTGTGGTTGCGGAGGAGCCCGGCTCTATTTCTCATTACGAGATCTTGCGGATGTCTGCAACCGCAGCGACTGTTGGACATTGAGGTTGGTGATGTGGGTATGCGGACTGGGGTAAGCGATGGAATGGCTGGTGATGACGTATGTGTCGACCTAGGGACTTGGCGATAGAGCCGCATCTGTCGCATATACTTTGCACCATCACATGTCGTTACCGCGTATGGTCGTATCGGAGCCGTGGAGAGTTTCGGCTGGTACCGTCAATCGAGTGACTTGTTGATGTCGAAAGAGTGTCATTCTGGGCAAAACAGGCACAATCGGAACTTATACAACTACCTCATGGAACGCTCCTACTACGGCCTGAATTTTTGCACTTCACATAATGGGGTGTCTCGAAAATGTCGAATTCTCCCTAGCGGCAATATTCACCTGGCCAGATCACTGTCCTTGGCTTGCAATGCCCGAATTATCGTTCGCACTGGCATGAATCTCAAACTCATCACAGATCACAGACACGCGCTGTGGCATCAATTCACCACACTTATCTACCTGTCACACAGGTTTTCCCCGGTATCTGTAAAGCAAGAGAGAATTCTCAGATACCTATAGCGGGCTGCGGCCTGGCTCGCCTATTACCGCATGGCATGCTTCAAGTAGGAAGCCCAAAAACGCCAGACGCATCGAATCCCTTGGAACAGCCGTAACACGGAGCATATGAGGCTCGGAAAATGACCCGAAGTCTAAGAGCACGAGATGTTCGTAGTCGCAAAGAGCAATATACCGGGAGTCCAGCACCTCCGCCTCTTCAACGTAGCGTCGATCAATCACATTGCCTTGGACGATACTGGCCAGTTTGTGCGGACTCAACCATTTGATCATCATGACCGTTTTCGGCGCGTGCGTCCTTGTGAAACTCTCGTAGTATAGCGTTACCAACCCGTCACCTAGGTAGCCGTTGCGTTGCGCTAGTTCGGTAGGGTATCTTATCACGATAGCATGGTCTAGGGAACACTTGAGCCATATCCGAGCGGCGTTGAAGACATCGTCGGCTGTTTTGAGAGGTTTGGAAGGGGCTTCATCAGACTTCGGCGGGGTTGGCAATTTAGGATCTTGGTGGATGGGCGAATTGGGGTCTGCGTATTCGGCTTCGAGAAAGCCAGTGGCGGTATTGACGTAGTCTACAGGCGCACCGGTCGGTAGAATATGGAATATACTACGAGCTCTCCTGGGATCACGGCGCGGGTTGTCGAACCTTATCAGCTCTTTGTTCTCATGGTCAAGTGGGGACCGGTAGTCATGCGCCATGGGATTCGAGGGAGTGATTTGTCAATGAGATGTCGTACTCTGATATTGGAATAGCTTTTAGTTGATATGGAGTAATGTACTTCTTAATCAAGTCGAGTTGCAGTGGAATGTCGATCAATAGCGCAAGTGAATGTACATGCAACCACTAGCAGTGTGGGTGAGAGTGTAACGGGTACCACGCGCTAGCTACTATATCAACGAGAAGCACTTGACAGAGAACCCTCAAACGTTCTGATATGCTCGAATCAGTAAAACTTGATCAGACCGATAGTCGTTGCGCGCTGCGAGAACTTGAGATAAGTGGAGAAAGACACGGCACATCATCTATACGGCTCGATGGCTTGCGAGGTCAAGCGTAATGATCATGTTGTAAGAAGTGATGGAACTGCTACAAATAACGCCTACGCGCACAGCGCTTGACCCATAGCGCCTGTCGTGACCATGAAGCCCACGAATACCCTAAAAATAAAACAAGAAGACAAGAAAACAGGATGGAGTAGCAGACTTAAGCTTCCCTGGTCACGATGGTGACCTTGAACTCCGTGTCAGCCAACGAGCTGTCACCGCCGACCTTGGCACTTCCGATACCAGAACCCACGCCGTTATGACAGCCTTCTGATCCCGACTTCTCGAGCATGCGGGCGAAGTAGCCGTAGCAGTCTTCGACCTTCCAGAAAACACCAGCAGAGTTGTCAGGCTGGGTAGCTGGGGTGACATCGACTAAAGACTCAGTTAGTACTGTAAATACATGACTTGAGGGGTAGAGCCTTACACTTGATGTCCCAACCGCTAATGCTGTTTCCATCTTTGTCAACTACGTTGGCGTGCTGTGTGTTGCTCTTGGGGCCGTCAAGCGGGTAATCGACAGTTGCGGTGCAGACTGTACCCTTAGCGACGCGGTCTTGATAAGCGCAAGGAGGCATCATAGCAGCGCAGGCGTTATCGAGCACGGTATCGAGCTGAGGCCCACGCACGAAGCTGATCGACTTGTCGGATGTGGCGCATGTTGTGGTTGTGTCTGACGCGGGTTGCCAGCTATCATTCCCGCCAGTCTGAGGAGACTGTCGTTGGACAAGCGGTGCCGCAAATGCCGTGGCTAGGAATGTGCTGAAGAGGATGCTGGTGTACATCTTGATTGTTATTCCGGAGTTCAAGGCAAGGTGTTGTAGGAAACTGCCACAGTTTGATATACACCAGTAATCGTATGGTTTGCAAGTCGAGTGACGGGTGGAGCTGGAGCAGGACTTGGGTATATAAGTGAAGGCGTATCCAAATAGTAGGTCTTCACGAATCAATGCGCCAAGCCAATGATGTGTTGGAATTTGTGAATAGTAGCTCGTTCAACTACATCCATGAGGGCGATCGATGTTCTATATTACCTTGTGCTATGTTTTGCGCTAAGAGATAGAGTTGTTAGTGGTTACCGTGGGGTCGGGAGCATGACGGTGCAAAGTGTGGAGATACGAAATGAGGCATCCCCTGGTGGATGACGGATTGTTACAGATATCTCTTTGTTTCTGGTCGGACTTTACTTTGTGCCTTTCTTTTGTGGGCTTGACAGGGGAATGGCCTTGAACCATGTCTGCCTCGGGAACAAGAAACAAGGACGTATAAACAGACCTTGAATCTGTTGAAACAACAGTAGAGTTGTGTGCATAGCTGCGGTCCCTTCCAATCAGTTGTGGGGACGTTTGTGAGTTGAAATGGCCGGAGCGTGGGGTAATCTCTCTTCATCAAACGATCGGCAGATCTACCGTCCGTGCCAAAAAGCATACGCATCTTGCTAAGGATATATCATTCTCAATAGTTCTCAACTGGACCCCTAGTTGAGACGCGACGGTCCTTGCGCTCACCACGAACAGCGTTTGACTCCCAAAGGCGGCTGCGGATATGGCGCGCTCGGAAAGACATCACTGTCACCAACGTCATAGTGTACGGATATCGGCAGAAAGTCGGGGAGATGCTTGTTCGGTGGTATTGATGAAACAATGAGGTGCTAGGCTCTCACGAAGTTCCTCGAGAGTTCCGACCGAGGAAGCGATGTCATGTGTCAAGGCTTTAGTCCGCCCTTCATTTCCCTTGTCATGGGAATCGTCCAGACTCCCAAACACCATGACACTCAGCGCAAACAATGCTACTTGCCCTCACTTCATTTCAGATGCTGCAGGTTCTGATCAGTGGTTGTAAGTCACAGCTTCTGCCCGTGGTGCAAGCTCGAAAGGATACCACAGAGAGAGAGATCTGCACTTGATATCCGGCGAATGAGAAGGCCTATGCAACAGCTTAACAACAGCTCGCGAAGCCACTAGGATGCACAGAACTCTGGTGCCTAGGACACGGTTTATCTACAGAGCTCGTTCCATCTACAGTGTTACAAACAAAATGAATAGGCATTGAACGTTGGATAATCACAACATCCACTTCGACCCACAAATACATCAGCATCGCTATCTCTTCTTTCCGCGCGCAAATAGCTCACGCTCTTGCTGACATACAGAACCTGTAGAATCAAAGATTGAAGCTGTGATGTTATGATTCGTTGGCGTACTCTAGCCGTAAGCAGGATACTGCTTACAACAGCCGGCAGGAGGATTGCCAGCTGATTGGAGCGACATACGTTTAGGCGTACCCCGTTCAGCTTCGTTCGCTCATGAGGAGACGCCATAAGCAACGCCTATCATACATCTGCCTGAAAGGCTTCACTATACCCAGACTTCAATAAGTGCGGGCTATTACTCTGCATCTCTCCTCGATATTCCTTAAACTTATCATTTGTCACAAATTTTCAAAATGGATAACAGGGCTGATTCCAGCCTTTGGGCCGACACGCCCTTCGCCCTTCTCAAGATTCCTGGTCAGCCGGGTGGTCCAGTATGCGTAAATCCTAGTGTTCTCAACGTCGCTATAGAGATGGCAAACGTCCACAACGTCCTACTTCGCCCGCTGAATGCCATTTATCATCAAGCGCCCTTCATTAGCCTCCCTGTAGATGTTGCCGATTTCATGCTGTACGTTACAGCATGGGCAGATACGCTACACCACCATCATTCCCTTGAAGAAAGTTTGTTTTTTCCAATGGTGGAGAAGATAGCAAAAGAAGCGGGGATTGATGATTGTGAAGGTATCATGGGAGGGAACGTGGATCAACATCATGAGTTCGAGCCCAAGATAGCAGAGCTGGTCAAGTGGGCTGAAGAGGTTGTGGCTGGGAAGAAGACATATGACGCTGTGGAACTGAAAAGGCAGATCGATGACTTCGCCCCTATCCTGACACAGCATTTACATGACGAGATCGGTACCTTGGTCAGATTGGAAAACTGCGATGGAGAGAAGATTAAGCAGGCGATGAAAGAAACGGCTGATGAGGGAGCAAAGACAGCCGATCCGGTACGTACTCTAGACTTCTTAGTGATTTCGCTGTTGTAAAGTAGCGCTGACACTCTGTGAATCCAGAACCTTGTCATTCCCTTGGTGCTCGGAAGTATCGATAGAAGCTATCCAGGCAGCGAGAACTTCCCGCCCCTACCATTCTTCGTTCCATATCTCAACGCGTATTGGTTCACGCGAAAGCACAAAGGCTCTTGGCGATTCAACCCAAGTGACCACTGGGGTAATCCGAGGCCGCTGCACTTTCTCCAGTAGGTTGGAGTATTCGAACATATTCTCGCCTAAGCTTGTATGCGGAGTACGTCCTCACAGCTTTACCGCAAGCAAACAAAACTCTGCGTCGTCTTGTCCTATGGAACTCATCTCTTCTCCAGTTCCTTAAAGCGTGGTGGACAGCGACACAGAACATCCGAATGATATCAGGAAGTTGCACAAACATTGTGAAGCTAGAGCGAGGAGGGAGATTGGCTATGTGATTGGACGAAGCGGAGAAGTATTGTGCAAATGCAACGCGAAAGGTACCTAGTGAAATAATCCCGACTTAGACAGATATAAAGCGTTGGATCAGTTCAGCCTGCTAATTTTGTTCACTTCCGCCTCTTTACTTGTTTAGACTCCTTCGAGTTACCTCCTAGTGCTTTTAGATCGCCTGCTCTTTTGCACCCAAATCATTATAATCCAACAATACCTGTCTCAACCACTCAGATCTACAGCAAGTAATCATGCATGACAACTTTGCACCTCCTACCGGCCTCCTCGAGCTTCCTGGAGGTAAGTTCGTCGCAAATTGAGAGCCTAGATCGTTTCTGATACATATCACTAGAGATTCGCAACCGTATCTACGATTTCGCGCAAGAGCCAGATCAAGTCCGTCTTGTATACAAGCCGAGTCGTCACCACGAGCAAGTCAAACAAACTAGTCGACAATTCTTTGGTCTGACCCAAGTCTGTCGCAAGCTCCGACTCGAGCATCTACCTATCTACAATGTGCAAACCATTGTCAGCATTGATTGCTTGCATACAGCCTCCTATGTCGACACATTCATTCTTCCAGCTGGCGTGGAGCCGAAACAAGCACGTGGGAACCTGATCATTCAGGATCGGACCCCAGCGTATCACGTTGAGAGTGTCGAGGAGCAAATCTCTACGCAGGCTATAGCTGACCTCATCGCCCTCAGCAAGAAAAATCCCCAAGTCATGTTCAAATTTGACGACTCCGCTTGGTTCTACCCATTGCTGTGCACACTAATGCTCAGGCTACGGTGAAGGCCTCAAGACTAGTCAAAGGAGATAGGAATATGGGATATAGTCTGGGGACTATGCATAGGCTTTGATTTTGATACTAAGTGGAAAACATATCAGTTGTATCCATGGCTTTATGAAGAAAAAAGAAGACTGCGTGATGCAAGCAGATGCTGCACAATGGTTTCAATAGAAGACTGCTGCTGTTCAAGACGACAGCTTTAACAGAAGTGATGGGTTGTGTTATTACGATTCGAGAAGGTTAATTTTGAGGTCAAGCTTGTCAAGTAACCGCAATAGCGTAGTCGTTAGCTGCAAGGCTGTGGAGTGGAGTGAAGCCGCAAAAGCGTAGCCTGATAACATCTCAACGAATCTCAATACGTATATGGCCGCCTCTCCCATTGCTGCTTTATGACTGCAAGCCTAGATCACTTTGAACGTATGACCAACCTCGTCACTTTATTCGCCTTCGTGTTCTTGTTCCACCAACTGCTCACCTGCAGTGAGAACGAAGTCACACATCACGCCGTAATGATCCGAAACCCAATCCAGCTCTCCAGCCTCCATCATCATTTGTCTATGCTCTTCTGCTGCTTTGACGTCCATGCCGATCCTTCGAAACTTGATTGGATTTAGAGATCCGGTAAAAAAGATCTTATCCATTCTACTGCATCCAAATCTATCTCTCATGGCCTGTGGAACCTGGTAACCCCACGTGTACCCATTGTCACTATCCTCTTCACCAGGGCCGGCTCCTTCGCCGCCAATTAGAAGATAAGCATCGTTGAGATTATTTTCTTCGTGCAGCGTACGATCAAAGGGCTGAATGGCGTTGAGATCACCAGCTAGAATTGCGCTTGAAACACTATCCAGATGAAGGTACTGCTTCGCGGCTTTCATTTGGATGGGGCGGACTGGTGGGTCGGCAACCAGAGATTCCAGATGTGTGTTACATAGCCGCATGGTTTTCTGCGGGCCGTCGGGATGAGCCTGGTTATGGAGGATGATGTCGACGAACAGGCCATCTCGATCGAATTTGCTATACCAGGGAACTCGGAAAACAGAATCTATATACAACCGCCGATCTACAAGGGTTGTAGTCCCGTAATGAGGCCCTAACCAGTTCCGTGAGTCGATATCTGTGAGGTTGAAGCGTTGCTTGACCCAGGCCGAATCTCGTATTTGTTCCATGTCCGACACTCCCATCTCTTGGAAGAATATAATGATTGCGGACTCTGGCTCCGTCAACGATACCACATCATACAGATGATCTAGCGCGGCGCTCATACGCTCTTCTGCGAATGGAACGAGGATGTCAATGTTCCAGGAGATCAGTCGGATCTTTGTGGGGTGTACAGGTGGTTGTGATTCATCTTTCGGAGGAGATTCACCGGATGCCGCTGGTACCCAGTCATCATCTGGCGAGACGCAATAGTAATCCTGTTTTCTCGGCTCGTAGAAGGCGTCTTCACGTTTCTGTATCTTTGCAGAGAAAGCGGCAGCGGCAGCCTGCATGATGGGGTTGGGCTTGATGGAAGACATGTTTCTAGGAACTATGGTAGGTAGTCAGGAAGCAAGAGACGATGATCTGAGGCTGGAGACTGTAGGTCGCAAGCACACGATGCTGACAGAGAGTCGAAGACAGGCACTGCGAGACATGATGCTGATTGTAATCTTGATTAGTGCTGATGCGGGGCGTGAAGCACACGACTGAGGGCGAAGTGAGACTCGAAGATTCGATTACGGGTATGAAGCTGCTTGTAACAAAGCAAGCAGTAGCAGACTGCTGAGCAGAAGCAAAAGCGTGTCGCTGCAGGTTGCAGGTGATGTACAAGCGCCAGCACGTGATGCGGTGAGGGCACCCCTGTCATCAATGCCGAAGCGCGTCGTGAACTTCGCGATTCAGAAGGAGCTCCAAACTGGGGAAGCAGCCACGACCACAGCTCTTCGCCCCGCCAAAACGACCGTCCCTCATCCAACGTCGGCCCAGTCGCCCTTTCCAGTCATCACCCCCCAAGCCCGTCGCTGCCCCAGCCCCCCGCCATGGGCTCCCGATTACACAATGCTCCCATTGTGATAGACAATGGCAGTGGTACGATCAGAGCTGGATTCGCAGGAGAGGATGTGCCAAAATGCTTTTTCCCGTCATACGTAGGACGGCCAAAGCATGTGCGGACAATGGCAGGCGCATTGGAAGGCGATGTATTCATAGGACCACAAGCACAACAATACAGGGGGCTTTTCAAAATCAACTACCCATTGGAGCACGGCATTGTTACAGACTGGGATGACATGGAGCGGATATGGCAGTACGTCTACACCGAAGGCCTCAGGACTGTCAGCGAAGATGTGAGTTGGACCATGGCGGACGGTGCCTTTTGCTGCTGTTGAGGGGCATGGAGCTAACGATTCGTCCTTTCAGCACCCCGTACTCCTTACAGAGCCTCCTCTAAACCCCCGAGAGAACCGCGATACGGCTGCCCAGATCCTGTTCGAGACGTTTAATGTGCCCGCCTTGTATACTTCAGTCCAAGCTGTCCTGTCACTATACGCTTCCGGCAAGACGACTGGTCTTGTTCTAGACTCGGGAGATGGTGTCTCGCACGCAGTACCCGTCTTCCAAGGCTTCGCCATACCCAACAGCATCAGGAGGATAGACGTGGCTGGCAGAGATGTTACAGAACACTTCCAACAACTACTGCGGAAAAGCGGTCGCATCTTCCATACAAGTGCTGAGAAGGAGACAGTCAAGAATATCAAAGAGGCAACAGGATACGTGGCGCTCGACCCGGCCAAGGAAGAAAAGGACTGGTCAGGCTCGTCCAGATCCGAGGGCAAGAGCGTCGACTATACACTACCTGATGGCCAGAAGATAAAGGTAAGGTCAAGCCGATGAAGCATATCGGGTACTAGCTGACAGTGTAGATCGGAGCGGAACGCTTCCGAGCCCCCGAAATACTCTTCAACCCCGAGATCATCGGTCTGGAGTACCCTGGAGTGCACCAGATTGTTGTTGAGGCGATACACAGGACCGACATGGACCTCCGGAAAGCGCTATACGGCAACATTGTACTCTCCGGTGGTTCCACATTGACAAAGGGGTTCGGAAACAGACTGCTCCACGAGGTGCAAAGACTGGCGGTGAAGGACATGAGAATCAAAATCTTAGCACCACCAGAGCGCATCTACACCACGTGGACCGGTGGCAGCATTCTTGCGGGCCTCAGCACTTTCAAGAAGGTGAGTTCCTTATTCCCAGCATGAGGCTTTGGACAGCAGACTGACACGTGCATGCAGATGTGGGTAGAGAAGGACGAATGGCAGGAAAACCCAGACATCATCCACACCAAATTTGCATAAGCACCGACACGTTGCGGTCTGGCAACAGCAATTAGTCCGCACCCGTTTGTTCCGCCTCCGCATCATCTTTCGAGAAGGAGCTACATAGGCGCATCGGTAGCGCTGTTGCAGTTAGTCATGGAAACGAGGTCCCAAGACCTGGGGTCAAGCCAACCATGAGCGAAGAAACCTGGGGGCTGCACGCTTGGTTGGAGGAAAGAAGATCTACGTGTCAGCCGGTAGCCGTAGCTTCTAGACGGGAGAGCTACCGTAGCATGTTCCTTTCCCCGCATTCGAGTGCGTTTCTGTTACTTAAGCGCGAGCATGGTTCGAGAGTGTCGGTTAGGTAAGGGGTACGAGGGGACGAGAACACGTGCATGACAGGCGTTTGTGAGCGCTTTGGAATACCCCTATGATTATGAAGCGTACAGAATACCACAATTAATCCACTTGCGACTGTGCACACGGAGTGCGAAACTGCCATGTCAGTATCAGAAGGTTTGGGCGAATGAGTGTGCCAAGGATCGTGAGGTCTCGTCCAGTCTTGCCAGCCATGGTGTGACCACGGTCAAATCACCGATGCTTCACTCTGGCGCAATTCCACGCAATGTGCAACACATATTACACACAATGGCGAAATGACATGCACAAATGGCATTACCCCGGCCGCAGTCATCGCGTAAGCGCTGCAGGTACCTGATCACAGGGCCGGCCACGACAAGGGGCCACGTACATTTTCGTCACCGCAAGCACAGAGCCACCGCCGCCTAGACTTCACGATGCTCGACGTCATGCACGACGGGGCGTCCGGAGGCTCGGACAAGTGAGCTGATCGTGCGCGGTCACCAGGCAGAGCAAAACAGGGAGAGAGAGGCGGAAGTGGCTATTGCTTTTTTGGAAGACGCCACCAAACGCTCGAGGTTTGCTGTGCCTTGCAGAAGAGTGAATGTCGGTGCAGGCAGTGAGTTGTCAAAAACAGCAACACCAAGATCAAACAGGCAGTATCAGAATCTGCAACCGCTCCACGTCGGTTCTCCTCTATTCCAGGCACGCCCGATGGCAAGCGCAGAGCGTATGCGGCGTATGGATGACGCGAGCCAAACTTGAGACGCGTGAAAACAGCGAAAAAATCTCTTCCCGCCTCCACATTCTCCGCCGGGAAGCGTGTGCTGGCCATCGCGGAAGCTGGCACATGGGGCCCAGTTTGCGATGGCGTCTTTGCGTCAAATTTTCAGCCCATCACCTCAGCATGCTCAGTCACGCTTCGGCAAGCTGCGATGCGCTGCTGCGGTTGCTGCGGAGCCAAGGTCCGGCCTTTCGATAGCGTCATGGGCTCGATCGCTTCGCTCCTTGTCCTCCGCTGCACCTGACCATTTCCCCTGGCAATCTCTTACCCCCGAGAAACTAGATCCACCCAATCAGCGCATTTTGAGGGGGTAATGGTAAACTATTCATGGCGCTGAGAAATTTCCTACACTTGCGTTGTTAGGGGACGCATGATCCATTGACTGCCGTTAACTGCAAAGTGTCGCTCAGACTTCCAAGGCTTCTGAGCTGGCCTCGTGCGCGTTTGGTTCGTTTCGTGGCGCCGAAAAAAAGCTTGCGCGTGAGAGATTTTACCTGCCTTGCATTTGAGTAGTAAGAGGGGATCGTGATCAGTGCGAGGCTGCATGTTATATAAACCCTCTACCCCAGTATGTCTTGTTGTTGAGTACCATCGATCAGCAACCACTACAGATCTTCCCGGAGCCACTTAACATCAACGCTACCCCAGACTTTACCATCGATAGTCGCCACTTGACTTTGCTCCCATTCCATAACACTACAAACAACCTCATACAAGCAACCGCATACCAAACAATCAAAATGGTCAACTTCCACATCAACGAGCCTCACCCATCCGCCGGTGCTTACATGTACTCCGGCCGCGGCGGCGCTGGCAATGCTATGCGCATCAAGGCCACCGAGATCACTCCTGGTCCCACTGCTTCTGGCCCTGCTTCCCGCACCAAGTTGCCTCCCCCACCCAGCAACGCCTTCTACGCTACCGGTCGTGGCGGTGCTGGCAACATGAAGAAGTCTGAACGCGCCATCTTTAGCTTCGACGAGGAACTCCAACAGCAAGAACGCCTGCGCACCCAACAAGCACCCGTCTACCACATCGGTCGCGGCGGTGCTGGAAACCTTGTTGATGAGATGAAGCCCCGATCCCACCGCCAGAACTCCGCCTCTTCAACCACCAGCTCATCGAGCGTAGAGAGCGAGAAGGACGGCGTACGAAGGAGCATCGAAAACACCTGGCAGCGTCTGAGCAGGCAATTCTCTCACCAATAGAGAGAGTGCCGTTCAGTTCTTGCTTCCCGTCTTCACTTCTTCAATTCCTATTATCGGCATGAGAGCTGGTTCTGATTCTCTCATCATCATCTCTCATCAAAGCATTTCCATCAGCACGGCGTTCAAGGAGATTCTGCATCTCCAATTGTATCATACCACCAAAAAGTTCCTTTTACGACATCTTCTCTTTTCTTCCTTTTATAACGACATACCACACAACCATCGAGGAGCCAGGCGCCAACCTCCGGTCATCAACAAAAAGTTTATACCCGGAAATGATCGTCCTGCTCTTGCGAGAGAGGGCTTACTTAGGAGATTTTATACCCCCAAGCCAGTGAGAGGCTGGTGAGGAACAGGACAGTTGTCCAGCCTCAGTCTATAGTTTAATTGACATTTCAAATGTTCATACTTGTGTGCTACTTTGCAAATTGTGACTATTCAATGTAGACGCTGTGTTGTACAATCTTGATGCTACGTAATGCTGTGAAGTGTATATGAACAACAACAATCATCTTACAGCAGCAGCTCTCTTTCTTCAGTCACCTCTCTCACAGATCTTCTTCTTCGACAAGCACACCCTCTCCCCCTAGTTCTCATAACTCCCCACCGTTATGTTCATTAAAAGAAAGCCAACGCTCACCACAACCACGCGTCTCCAGCTAGTCTTCCCCTAGCGACCCAGAAACGCAGACTAACCATCATCCAGATGCCAAGCAGCGGCGGTGCCCCCCGCTCGCGGAATAGTCGCCGTATGGCATATAGCCTATTCCAGCATCTACTTTTGTGGCGTGCAGATCTAGATCGTCCGCCCCGCGACCAGGCCTGCATGCGGGAGCGAAGATCAAAGTCTGCATGCAAGTAGGGCAAGCCCAAGAGGATCCTGTTCACCGGAAACTGGAAAAAAGACCATGTGGAGAATTATGCAGGCGGGATCTGTGGAATGTGTAAACACTCACCGGAGGTATTTAGCGATCTAGCTCGTTCGCAAAACAGAGTGTACAGCAGGACGGTAACAAACATGTCTGTGAAGATAGCGACGATTTGTGATTATGCAATATGGGTACACGTAGCCAATTTCTGATGTCCGTGGAAAACGGGACTCCAAACCCAAGCGCCCTAGTATGAGTAATCTTTTGGTTGGCCCTCAATACAGGCTATGATGCATCCCAGGATGACTTTGCAAAGATGAGAAGGAAAAAAAAGTGACGAAAAGAGTCTACCAATACATGACTTTGAAGCCTTCCAGAACCAAGAGTCAACTCTGACTAGACCATGCAATTATTCTACGTTTGTTCAACGCCTAGGAGGCTGATTCTTGCCAGCCGCAGTGGTGATCAACATCTTGAAACCGTTCTTGAGTGCTACCATGTCAGGATAGACGTTCTTGTGTAGCTCAAACGCGTTCGGTACGACCTTGATAGGCCATGCACCCCTAGGTCCCTTGGCGCTCATCTGGAAGCAGATCCAGAAGTGACCGGGGTACTTGGGCATGCTGCAGAATGCGTACATGGAGCGTGAAGCGTTGGCCTCGCAGTAGACCTCTAGCCATTTTTCTGCATCAATGTTAGCTTTTGTTTGCATGTTCGGTAAGTTGTAAGATGCAATGAACTTACCAGTATCTTCTCGTGTGCCAGGTTGGAACTTCTCGTCTCGTGTAATTTCTGTGACCTTGCGTGCCATTGCCTCGACGTGGTTAACGATTAACTCGTCAAGATCGGAGTATGTGTGCTTCCCAATCTTGAGCTGCTTTCCGAGCGAGAACTGGTTGGGCTTGTTCATTTCAAGAACGTCAAGATGTTGGTACGAATTGTTGGACACTTTCCATGTGACGACGAGATGATCGAAACCCTTGGACGATGGACGGATGACCAGGTCGCCGGTCTCCTTTCCGCCCAGGTACTCCTCGGCTTGCATAGTGTTGAAGGAAAAGAAAAGAGGGTGGTTGACGACACGATTGGGCCGACCAGACGCAACTTCCTTCTCCTTTTCGGCAGCCTTCTTGTCGAGAGCTTCTTGCGCTTCGTCCCACTCGCCAGCTGCGCGATTGTAGGGCTTCTTCTCTGGTTGTCGGATAAGATCGTCCCGAAGCGACAGTTGAGCGGTGAGAGCTTTGCGGTTGAGGTAGACAATTCGTGCGCGTACGATCTGATTGTTTTGGTAGACATGGCGAGGCTCTTGTCCGCCACTGCCAACGCCTTCTGGGAACTCGGACTCGGAGACACCACCTTCGATGCCACATTCGAGCTTGACTTCAATGTGGTCTGGGAATGTGCGCCTGATGGTAACAGGTACAACCATACCCTCATAGAGGGTCTCCTCCGTCTCACCAGTCAACATTGTGAACATCTCGCTGCCAGATAAGAGTGCGAAAATCTGTCGAATTTCCTCGTAAGGGTTGTCGAGCTCAGCACGAATCGTCTCAAGCGTCGCGCGCTTACGCTGACCGAAATTCTTCTCAATTTCATTCGCGTAGTCTTCGAGCGCCAGGTCGTTGACTAGATCGGTAGTCTCTTCCCGCACCATCTTTCTGACGACAGCACTGGGGCCACCCTCGTCGGTCTCAGCCTTGACATCTTCCTCATCCATGTTAAGAGCATCGGCAACCATTTTCCTGGCAAGATCGTAATCTTCTGGATGTACACGGGTGTAGTCCAGGTAATCCGACGACTCCTCTGTTGAATCATAGGGAATATACAGGAAACTGGCGCAGTTCTGGAAGACCTTGGGGCCCATAGCCGCCTTAAGGTCGCGGGACTCAGATACACCAAGTAGATCGAATCGCGACAAGATCTCGTCGCTGTTCGCCTGGATGGCTTTGATCAAACGGTCGGCTTTACGAGGTCCTAGACCGCACACGTAAGGTATCAACTTAGATAGGTACTTGTCGTCGTAGGTCTCCGGTAAGTCGATACCCACAAGATTGACCATGTCTACCATGGCGGTTTCAAGTCGGTCGAGAAGTTTCTCTTGAGGAATCAAGGTTTGGTTCGGAATGAAGGGAATCGAAACGATGTCTTTGCCAAGCGATGCGTATTCTGCCAATGGGTTTTGCAGATATCGGCCAAGAGCAACGCAATACCTCGTTAGTGCGGGATACTTGGGGAACTCAGCGACAGCCCGAGCACTTGTGTGGTAAAGACGAGCGACCTCATCGTTGACCATAATAACTTCCAACGACTCGTACTTCTCTTCACCGGTGTCTTCGTCCTCGTAGGCCGGACCTGTTAGACCTCGCTGACCGATGATCTCTTGTATGTCCTTGTACAGCTTGCGTGTCTCCACCGCGAAGCCACTGACACCAATGACGTCTGGGCGGCGACGCTGTATTACGTCTACCAGCTTCTCGATGTCTTGGCCTTCAGGAATACCACGCTCTGCGTTCCCAAGTCGCATCTCGACTAAGCGGCCGTGCTCAAGAACCCGTCCGTCGTTCTCGACGTAAGCCCACATGATTGCGTCTCCACGTTGACCCTTGCCGTTGGTCAGGCAGAGGACGTTGGGTACTGATCCGAGAGGTGCGCTCTTCAGCTTGTAAGGTGCCTGATCAAGCTTGTTGTAATAGTTTTCTCTGGCTGATGCGGCAAGCTCGTCTTCGCATCGAGCGCGCAGAGTTTCCTTAACACCGTTCGCAATGAGATCCTGTAGCTTGCCTAGAGCAGCACCGAGCAGTTCCTTCCGAAGGTTGTTCCAAGTGTCGGAGATGTCGCTGACACCATCGGAGATGATCTTCTCTTCAAGTCGCGTCTTGAACGTGTTGTAGTTGCCCATGGAAATCTTGACCCGAACGAGACCTTCCGCCTCAGCTTTCAGCATCTTCAAGAAAAGATCTGGTCGACCCTGGAGATCCGAAAATGTCACGCCGCGGAGGTATTTGAACTCATAGTAAGGGTGGTCTTCTGTAATCTTACGCATGCCCTTGTCGGTGCGAATGCAGTCGATCTGAGCATTCTGGTAGAAGCTACCGCGCAAGTATCGGCGCAGACGCGAGCACATCTTCAAATCTTCAACAAACAGAAGCTTGGTGGACCTGAGAAGGGTAGCGCCAGTCTCTGGAGCTTCGGCCATTTGGTCGGCGAGCTCCTCAACCTTGTACGGCGGATCCTCGATAGTATACGCGCCTCGACTGGACCCGTCAACCCTCTTTGCGAAGTCCTCTGGTGTGATGCCGATAGCCTTGACAAATTGATTTGCCTTACCGCCCCGCAGCTTGTCGAAAAAGCTCCGGGCGTTATTGGCACGCTTCTGTGTTCCATTCAATTCTTGTCGTACTTCGTTAATCTCTTGCGAATACTTGTAGTGTAGATAATCCTGAAGTTCCTGGATCTCTTCGATAGTGATGGCTCTGGACGTCAACTCCTCGATCTCGGTATCAGTAATGTCAGAGTATACGCTCTTGAGGTTCTCGTAGTTCTGCCTGAGGGCGTCACGCTTCTCTGCGAAGGCCCTGAACTTGAGATCGAACTCGAAGACTTCCCACAAATCGGCTTGGTTGAGCAGGCGCTCTGGTCGTGCATCCATGGGGGGCGGGTTATCAATATCGTCGTAGTCATCGTTGTCGCTCGGTGCATGGATGAGGTAGTCTTTTCGATGGTTGAAGATAAAGGGAACCTCATAGTCCTCAAGATTGATGAACTCGAGAACCTTACGCACAGCCTTCTCGAAAGGTTGCAAAAAGTAGCGCGGAAGACCCTTCTTTGGCCACAGCATGTTGCTGATCCAGGTAGCTTCCTCAGTCAGGCGTGCTTGCATGTCCTCTGGTGTGAGCTCGATCTCCTTGAAGGATCTCCGGGCCAATTGCAGTCGCTCGGGAATGTCGGTCTCGCGGATAACGTTGTCTTCATCCGTAAGCATGCGCTCCTGCAATTGCGATGGCTCGAAAACATCTTTGAGTTGGAGCTCACGGCCTTCGCCAGCTTGCTCATCCTCTTCAGCCTCTTGCATCTCCAACGCCCAGTCGTAATCTGTGCCATCACCAAAGGCAGCCCTGTAGTCTTCCTCGGCGCCTTCGTCCAGACCAGCAGCTTGCAATCCTTTCGTGATCAAGTTTATGCCTGGTTGCGTGACGTCGCGGTCGTCTTCGATCTCGTCTTCGAACTTGTCGTCCTCAATGAAGTCATCAAATTCGTCGCCTAGGCGCGCGCGGGGCTCGTCGTAGTCTTCGTTTACTTCGTCATCGGAGAAGATGTCATCAACACCTCGAGACTTTACGCGCTCTTTGTGGCCACGCTTGAGACGCTTGAATCTCGACTTTCTCAATGTTAGCGATGTCGACAATTTAACACGGCATGTCTTACCTGTTCTTCCGCCGGGCGTTCAACCTCGACACCGATCAGGTCCAGATCCTCGTCGTCGAGGGCTTCCTCCTCTTCACGGTTCTTCTTCCTCTTTCTGCGCTTGCGCTTGCGCTCCGCGATCTCATCTTCTTCGTCGTCCTCGTCTGCGATGAAGCCTTCGCCTTCCTGGAAACTGGTTAGCACTTCCCGAGAGCCAAGTCAGTACGGGCAAGCTTGCCTGTCGCAGTCGGTCTTCATCGTCGTCGTCTTCCTCCTCGCTGGAGTCGTCGATGCCGTTTGTGCCATTTGTCTTCTTCGGCCTGGATTCACCGGCCTCGCCATCGAAGTCCTCATCCTCCTCTTCGTCGCTGCCTACATCGGCGATTGTGTCGAAGAAGTCCGCCATGGTGTCTTAGAACAAGGAGAACGCGTGAGTTGATGGTACTTTCTCGAAAGTGCGATGGACGATTTCGGCGAGCTCTTGGCTGTAGAGTGGGTATCGTGCTGCGGCGATTCAGCGAGAGGCAGATTCGGGCGCAATGGAGGTAAAGGAGAGAAGAAAGGCAGATGTCGACTCTCAAAGGTTCGCGCAGCCATCGGCCGCGTTAACTTTCGGCCGCACTGACGCTGGTCACGTGACACTGCGATTCGCGCTAGGGGGTAATACCAGCAGCAAAGCTGACCATGCCCAACTTGGCACAGCATGCTACAGCTACGGGCATCAAACACGTGGACTTGGCTAGTCCCGTCCCTTACGTGCATCTAGTCATGTTCTCAGGTAGGGTTTGAGAAGGATGCGAGCTCCAATGTACCAGGCGCTTCAGCAACGACTCAGACGCTGACTACAACACATCAACTGCTATCGCTCTTATGCTTCCGAGTAGTACTGGCAAGCGAACGAATGCGCGTTGCATGTCTTGAAAGCAAACGTAGTGGATAGATTCGCACCTTGTATATGCGATTCGTCTGCTGCGTCAGGCACATGCTCGTATTCAAGATACGCGCCTTGAAGTTCTGCGCTAGAAGCAGGTGAAGCATGGCGATGATGAACCATGCGAGTCTGAAACCTCCTGAACAAGGCATCGTGTAATGTGTATGTACTTATCAAAGGCTCGTTCCTTGTAGGACCCATAGGTTCGACAGCCTTCTTTTTCTCGAAAGCGAAGTTGCATCTTCCATCGCTTGCACTACCCGCAGCCCTGCAGAGTGAGTTGATAGACGTTAGACGCTGCGTGCTTGGAACCCCACCAGCGCGCCCCACTACCTAGCCCTCGAGACTGACACGACGACGACCTCTCCTGACTTGGTTTGCTGCCAACGACGCCTGAGACATTCTCCTTTATACCTGACCTCCGACTTTCCAATCGGTCCCCGCACCCTCTTGCCCGCGCACACTCGCTCGTCAGGCGCCCGAAAAAGGACAAACCAATAGACGCTGTCCTCCTTTGGGCTATTTCTGTGATTGGCGTACCATCGTCGACACAGCGTCGGGCGGCAAACTCGAAACCAGAGCCAGCATACACCCTCTTCTGCACCTGGGCTCCTTGCCTCTGACGACATAGTCCTCACCTTGCAGTCGCTGCACTCCCTCACCTGCACCTGCACCACCACAGCGCCCGGCGCAAACCTTCAAGATGGCTGAGTCGTCCTTCAAGCAGAAGACGATGAAGAGGAAGAACGTCAAGGGCCTAGCACTCAGCGCTCCCCCACCCAAGCCCGCTCCTTCCGCTGGAGATGCCCAAATACCCGGCGCCCGAGCCAACGATGAGAAGCAGGATACCCTTGAGATTGGTGTTGAGTTCCAGCTAGACCTGAAGGCCGAGGATCTGATAGTGCTGCGGGAACTGGGTCACGGAAACGGAGGAACGGTCAGCAAAGTGCAGCACGCTGCTACCAAGGTTATAATGGCGAGGAAGGTTAGTAGCAGGCTAGTAGGGCAGATGCGAGAGAGAAGACTGACAGGGGCAGGTCATACATGTCGAGGCGAAGAACGAAGTGCGGAAACGAATCGTGCGAGAACTCCGAATCATGCACGACTGCAACTCGGATTACATTGTCGACTTTTATGGTGCCTTCCAAAATTCTTCCGGGGACGTGATAATGTGCATGGAGTACATGGACGTGGGGTAGGTTCAGGGCGGTGCAATACGATAAGCTGGAGTTACTGACCGTTATACCAGGTCGCTCGATTGGGTCTCACGAACATTTGGGCCAGTCCGCGTTGACGTACTCGGAAAGATCTCAGAGGCAGTGCTCGGAGGCCTCGCCTACCTCTACAGCGCCCACCGTATCATGCATCGCGATCTCAAGCCCTCGAACATCCTCGTAAACTCAAAGGGAAACATCAAGCTGTGCGACTTCGGTGTCTCAAGTGAGCTGGAGGGATCTATTGCCGAAACATTCGTAGGAACAGGCACATACATGGCGCCAGAGCGGATACAAGGGTCTCCCTACACCGTCAAGTCCGATGTGTGGAGTGTTGGACTCACACTTATGGAATTGGCCATTGGAAAGTTTCCCTTCGCTGGAAGCGGCGATGACGACGAAGCTGGAGGCCCACAGGGTATCCTGGATCTTTTGCAGCAAATCGTTTTGGAACCCTCACCAAAGCTGCCAAAGAGTGATGCTTTCCCGTCAATTCTTGAGGACATGATTGCAAAGTGCTTGATGAAGGACCCAGCGGAGCGACCAACTCCCAAGGAACTATACGTAAGTTTTACAGGATTTTTTCTACGACGTATAGATACTGATCATGGCAGGACCATGACGCTTTCCTCCAAGCCGCAAAGCGCACGCCCGTCGACTTAGAAGCATGGGCCATATCCATGATCGAACACAACAAGCGCAAATCCCACCTCGCCCCTGCCGCACCCGCAGCGACCATCAAAGAGAAGCTCCGCGAGCGATCTCCTCCCCACAAGCGAGACTCCAGCGACCCCAGACAAAGAGTGGCCAACGGCGAACAGGAACCTGCACCCCGACGACCTTCATACCCTACACGGACATCGAGCAGCGGCAATGTTATGAACCTGCCCATGCGACCTGCGCCACCTGTAGACAGCCCAGGAAGTAGACCAGGGAGCAGGGGACCGTCGGCGAATGGGTTACCACCTCAGCCCAGGAGGTGGAACAGCGAAGTGCAATAGCTGGGCAAACTACGTTTGGGTACTAGAAGGCGGATCTGAGCGAGTATATAGAAGATTTCACGGGCATTTTGGATGGTCTCTGCTGGATGTTGGGACTATGTTTATCAAGTACAATGGTCAGGAGATTTCGCCTTGATGGCATGTTAGAAAGGAGCAGGCTCGTTGTTATTGCCATTCGACTAGCATCAAATATCAGTTGTCCATATCCCCATCACAGGTGCCATAATGAGATTATGACTAGCAGTTTAGAGCTGGGCAAGTCACCAACATTCACTTTTCAAGACACAAAGCAGTTTGTGTGCTCATAAGAATTGTCGTCGCATAGACTATGCATAGCCAAAGCGCACTTAGAACTTAAGAAATCGAGAGCTAAAATCACGATTTGAATAATTGCAGATGTGGCTCGCTAGCCTTCTTTCCTCATTTTTACGGATGGTCATAACTATCGAGAATGTTCCGCAGTCCTTGTTCTAACATTTTGCTGGTCACAGAGGGCACATACTCTTGCCAGCATTATCTACTGCGATCTGTGCATCTCCTGTTGCCATCGTAATTGCGTTCTCATCCATACCATGACCCTCAATCCCATTCTACAGTAGTATTGTGTCTACTGCAATTCGTTGCCATAGTAGCCGATGGACTCAGTATTTAGCAGAGCTCATCGAACAGCGCATGGTTTCTGCACTTCCTCCTCCCACTGAATCGTAACCTCTGGTACTTGCGAGTCTTTTCAGTAATATTGGCAAGATCTAATGGAAACCCTGCCTTATTGCGTACAGATTGCATACGGCGAAAATAGGCTTCTGTGCAGCGATCATCGTCTTCTTCCTCAAACGTTTCGGACCATTTGCACCAATACTCGAACAAGGATACGGAAGTGGTGTCATCGCCACAATTTGGGGGGTGACGCAAATTGTTTAGGGACTGTTCTGCGCGATCGCGTACGCGGTCTTTGACTTGGTTACGTGTCTCAATATAGGTAGTGATCCGAAAGAAGTCGTTTAGGAACGCTTTCCAATCGAAGGCAAAGGTCTTTCGGACAGTATCAACCATCAGCCCCGGAAGCTCGGCTTCATTGCAGTATGACCCGAGCGTGGCAGTTTGGCTAGCATAGTATCTTTCTCCGGATCTCTCTTCGAAATCTAGATCTCGAAAGGCCATCAGTCCAACCACAATATCCTTGCAGCAATCGCAATGAACCCATTCGTGATCATCTATGGGTATATCGTCATGATGAAAGTCGAATTGGAACTGCGCGCTGAACTGAGCTCGTGCACTGTCCTCGATAAGATTCTGGAACTGTATGCTCAGCACTCTGCAGTAGTAGTAGAGAAGGCGATCTTGATGCTGGGCGCGCCCACGAGCGAGCCAAGATATATCCAGAGTTGAGAGGCGTTTCAATCCAAACTCGTGTTCAGCTTCCGCTCGAAAGGTTTGGGAGACCTGCCGGCAAATGACCCAAAGCGTGTAGTCGTCGTCCACATGATGAAGGACTCTCGACCAGATCTCAACAGGCAGGTAAGGTTGTATTTGCTGCGCGATCACAGCCGGCCATCTGACGTTCATCAGGATTTGAGTTTGTGTTGGTATGCATCTCACTTACGGTGCATTGGCAGAGCCTGTGTTATCCAGAGAGGAGGTCATCGTGGCCCGGAATCGATCCGACTTGATCGCGGAGTAGGGATGTGTCGAAGAGAAGAGGGATAGAGGCGGCGCCTAGTTAGAGCCCTTAAAAGAGGACTTGGGTAGAAGAGCGCCTGCTGACATGGTCAATGCTGACATGCACTTATGAAAGAGCGACGATCCGTGTAATTATGCACGACGGCAGTGAATCCGCTTACGACTGCCCTGCCCATCATGCAGATACCCATGTACCACGAAGGTCTAGCCCGAGTGATGATTATATTAATGGGGATCTGTGGGCGTGGAGGTACGAAGTTAGTGGATGATTCACATAGTTCTCTTGTAGTCACAACTTACCTGTCCGGAAAGTGGAGCTTCTGTGTTTGCGAGATATGATAGCATCACTTTGATATTGCTAGAAAAGACTTATGAACCATATACAGATATAAATTCCATCGCCGAATGAATTCAAGCGCAGCGGAGCAGGTCGAATTGGATACAAAGGATCATCCTCCCCCATCCACACCGTGCACCTTACTCTAAGAGAGCTCACACAGCGGATCGGCCTTCCCTCTCATCGTCATCTCTAGGTGGGACCATACCAATCCTCATACTGTCCTGTCGCATGATCTGTCTTTGCTGGTCTCTCACCAGTCTCATGGGTCCCCGATAGAACGCCGACAACAGATCCGAGATGTTGAAAGCATCAACGACAGCACTGACCGGCCCTGCAGCAGGACTACCCTGTTGCTTGTATGGTAATGGTGAGAAGGCGAAGAGAAGAAGGACTGCGAAAATGGGCATTTCGCAAGCGAGGATGAGCGAGGCGAGGCCGCTGTTGATATCGTGGAATGTCATGTATTTAGTGGGTTTGAGCGCGCCATGGCCCGCGAGTAGGGAGATGATAAACTAGTAGTGTCGTCAGCATACTATACGCATCTTAGACTAAGCAAAGGAGTGTAGAACTTACCGACTGGAGGAAGTTCAGACCAAGAATACCCTTGAATGTCGCCAGCTTGAGTATGATTCGATGCTCCTTCAACAACTTCTGGTTGAACTTATAGAACCTGAGGGAACTGATGATAGCGACTGTGGTGGTATATGCGACCAGAATCGTGAGCCACAGGTGTGCGAAATGTACATTGTTGGACTGTTTGCAGTAGGTGCCGGTAGCAAGGGTAGCTGCGGTGGCAATCCATATGATGATACTGGTGGGTATGAACTGAAGCACGCCGTACCAAATACGCTGAGAAGTGTCAGATGGAATCCAGTTGTCTTGATGATGGGACAAAAACTTACTTTCAGCCAATTTGGACTGTTTTCTTTGAGAGTACCTTTGGCTCTCGCTCCTTCTCCGAATAAAGCGTCAAAGCCCTCACGATGCGAGAGCACAAGATCGCACATGAACAGCAGGAATGCCGATAGCGCGATGGAACAGCCGAAATCAAGTGAATGTACTAGGTATTCTCCTGCGTCTTCTTGCCAGACGACGAGAAAAGAGAACAGCGCCACCCATGGTACCAGTGACATGATCCGGATGATCTGTCGTTGTTGTATAGGATTCGAGTAGTTGAATGCATGAAGGGCGATGAGAATACCGACGATGATTGTGCTGAGGATGGCACAGGCTCCAGAGAGAATTGTTGCGAATTGGTGGAATGTAAGGTTACCGACGAAGGGCACAATCTCAGGGCCACGGGTATCCTCAATTGGACATGTCTTGGAGTTCTTTCGTCGCTCGAGATGGTTTCTTGCTACCAGTATAAAGGTATCCATAACCTGGCGATGGTACCCCGCTTGATAAGATGCGGGAGAATACAGCAGTAATGCAGAAAAATGTATGGCTTTGGTAGCAACACTGTGGAAGATAAAATAGAAGACTGATGAGGAGAAAAGAACACAATTGTTCCTAACGACTTGAGCAATATATACTTACAGTACAATGTTCATCCCAACCCAGCTGGTATATCCGCATAACGTAGTCACGCTTCAGGCCACCCTCGTGCTGGTGGCTGAGCCATACAAACCATGCCATTCACGACCACCGCTCAGAATGCCAGATAAAGGAAGAGCGACCATTGCAGCTCCTGTAAGCACTACTTGAAGCAGTCCTTGGCGAGGCTTGTACCTATCTCTAAGGTGCTTAGCAGACCCTTGACGCAACCCGGGCATAGCGATGAGGCGCAGTATGGCACAATCCGTATGATTCGCGGATAAGACATTTGCTTGCGTGGCAGGGCGCTGAGTTTGGCTAATGCTATAAGCCCGCAGCCGCCGTTCTCCTGCTGCGCGAAGGGCACCTAAATAGGTATAGTGCTGAGGTCTGCTCCAGGGCTGAGGCTTGCTGAGATACGATTGGTTGACGCAGTGAAGAAGGGGATCATGACGAACTGCATAACACAGCTCGCATTTCATGGAGGCCGAGCGCTACAATCATATCCGAGCGACGTCTTGCAGTTCGAAGAGACCTTTGAGATGGTTGGTAGTGTAGATCATGGATGCAACGCGAGAAGGCGCGGCCATCGCTAGCGTGCCAAGATCCCGAAGCGGTGAACATTGGCAGAAATAATTCTAGGATTGGGGCATGCGCGACCAAGAACGTTTTGCGCGAAAGAACCTCAGCGCATACACCCAGAGATCCCTGCCGTCGCAAGATTAATTGATAGGAAGACATATAACCTATCTCCAGAGAAAGCATCGCCGCTCCTTCTGAGCAGAACATGGCTATGGAACGCGGGCCTAAGCCCAGCACTTCGCAACCGCGACGCAAGTCGCAAAACGCAGCGCCCATCGACGACGAAGACATCCGTGCAGTCAAAGAATTCACCGAGGCAGCCACGAAGCAGTATGGACGCGGCGATCGCATACGACCAAAGTCAGTCAAGGACAAGAAGCTGCGATCCAACATCAAGTCGCTCGAGGCGAAGAACAAGCAGGCAGCGATAGAGGCGAAGAACGTCGAAGTTCTGCTGGAGAACAACCCTGGATTGTTGGAACCCGAAAACGAGCTGGAAAGGACATACAAAGTGCGACAAGATGAAATCAAGCGGGAGGTTGGTGTCGAGACGGCAAAGAAGAGCTTCGAGTTGCGGTTAGAAGGTCTTGGGCCATACGACGTATGCGAATACAGTCGCAATGGTAGAGACTTGTTGATTGCGGGCAGAAAAGGCCATGTCGCAACTTTCGACTGGAGAGACGGAAAACTCGGTTGCGAACTACAACTCAACGAGACGGTACGAGACGCGCGATGGCTACACACGAGTAATCAGAAGAACTTTGCGGTAGCGCAGAAGAACTGTGTCTATATCTACTCGGGCGATGGTGTTGAGATGCACAAGCTCAAGAACCATTCCGAAGCCACACACCTCGAATACCTGCCATATCACTTCCTTCTTGCATCGGTGTCGACGGCGGGTATAGTACGGTATACCGATGTTTCTACCGGACAGTCACTACAGCAGCTTTACACAAAGCTCGGCCCCTCAACCGCTCTCGCACAAAACCCACATAACGCAATTCTACACGTCGGCCATCAAAAAGGTCTCGTCACATTGTGGTCGCCCAACAGCGCTACACCCCTCGTCAAGCTCCTCCCACATCGCGGCCCGGTACGAAGCATCGCGGTAGATAGGTCAGGAACCTACATGGTCAGCACATCACAAGACCGACGCATGTCCGTCTGGGACATCCGCATGTTCAAAGAGATGCATCAACAAACGCTCCGTGTCCCCGGTACCACGCTCTCTATTTCCGACCGCAGCCTCACAGCTGTCGGCTTCGGCACGCAAACCGCCATCTACAAAGACGACCTCTTCCGACGAAACGCCGAGGACCAAACACCACCCATAATGCCGTACATGGGCTGGGGCGGTGAAGGACTAAACATTGGTCGCGTACGCTTCTGCCCCTTTGAAGACGTCCTCGGTATATCCCATGACAAGGGCTTCTCCTCCATCATCGTCCCCGGTTCCGGTGAACCCAACCCTGATACCCTCGAACCGGGCACCAACCCTTACGAGACCTCCAAGCAACGTCGCGAAACAGAAGTCCACGCCCTTCTCGAGAAGATCCAACCCGAGATGATTGCGCTCGACCCCAACTTTGTCGGTAACCTCGATTTGGCGACCAACGAGGAGCGGCAGAGGGAGATCAGGGCGGCGAGAGGAGAGAAGGAACCGGATAAGGTGGATATGCTGAAGAAGAGGGGTAAGGGTAGGAATTCGGCGCTCAGGAGATACCTGAGGAAGAGCGGGACGAAGAATGTGGTTGACGAGGAGAAGGAGAGGGCGAGAGAGGCGCTGAAGAATATGCAAAGGAGACAGATTGAGAGGAAGGAGAGATTGAAGAAGGAGTATGGTCCTGCGCTTGAGAGGTTTGCTAGGAAGTGAGCTCTAAAATGTTCGCTTGTTAAGATACCATACTGGCGTTGGGGGGATGAAAAGCATATTTTTCATCAGCATTTCACGGCGTTTATATTACTGATCTGGTATCCCTTGGTGGTTGATTGAGGCACTACGTTGAGAACGAACAATAAAACTCCATACCCATTTTACCTATCTAAAATGCCTAAAATGCCCATGATATCATAAAAGTCATTGATGCGTATTCTTCTAAGCCACAACAAGCTCAGGCACCTGTTCAGCCGACTGCTCCATCTCTCCCCTCCACGCCCTTGCACTCCTTGGCCACACTCTCTTGTAGAGACTGACAGCAACAGCATCCATAGGGCTGATCTTGCCATCAAAGGTGGCCTTGAAGTATCCATGCGTACCCAAACTCTCCTTGATGAAACCGCTCCTTCCACGCTTCGTCCATAGAGGCAAACTCTTGAACCACTTGACGTCGCCGTCGTTGAAGAACATGTAGCGGACTGTCACAACACGCTTGTTAATCTTGTAGGGGTGGCCGGTCAAGATGATGCGCTTAGCGATGATGCGGTTGGTGGAAGGTGGGAGAGATGTGCCTGTCGCAATCAAGCGGAGTGAAGAGGGATGGTCGGGAGAGGGTGTGTCACGTGTAAAGAAGAGGAGGGGGACATTGCCCCAGGTCAGAGGGCCGATGAAGGACGCAATGGCCGACTGGCCAGGGTGGAGGAAGCGGGAGAATTTGTGCACGTTGTTTGGTGTGTTTCCAGCATGCGAGAATAGCTAAGAAACGGTTAGTACTAAATGGTAAAGTACACGGTCGTAGTAACTTACTGGGTTAATCACTATCCTCCTTGGTCCGCACTGCACAATCATCTCGGTCTTTGACTTGATCGGTGATTCATGCTCGGAGCTGAGCAGAATGCTGTAGTTGCAAGCTGTGCGCTTGTGCTCGTGTCTGAGCAGGGAAAACATGGCCATTGGCCGTGATTGAATTTCCTGGAATTGTAATGGGACGCCGCGAATGTGTACGCTTACCCGAGTTCCAGGCTTGACACCACCAGCCCATGCTTCGCGCATGAACTTGGTCGCTGTGCGCTTGTAGTCAGAGATATCGAGCAACCGTTGCCACTCCTCTGGCTCGTATGGTCGATCCTCTTCTGTTTCCCAGTGGCTGTTCTTCAGACTCTTCAATCCTCGGTAACGGATCAGACGCTCTCGCGCGTTAACATTCGGGTGCAATTCGATCTCATCAGGGAACTCCAGGTCTTCATCCTCTTCGGTTTTCCTGGACCTCCGGTACTCCTCGATCTGTGCAATCTCGTCCTCTGGTGATGGATCTAGGAACATCTCCGACTGCGGGTACTCAGATGGTCCACCCTCTGTCATGGCCTTGCCATCAACATCCATGCCTTCTACACCGTCTGCCGGGTGCGCAGGCTGACTTTGATTGTCTTCAACGTCCATCTCGTCGAAGTCCTCAAGATCAGAACCTGAGTCGGACATGTCGTCAAGATACCATGCAGACTGGTAGTTACTCGTGCCCTTTGGCAAACGCCTCTGTTTCGCAGGGGCGACCTCCTCTTCCTCGTCTGAAAAGTAGTGGTGATCATCGAGTAGAACACCCTTGCGCTCAGAGGGGGCGATGGACGTTGCGTAGTTGGTAACGTCATCCATGAGGGTCTCTTCTGGAGCGAGATCTGCCAGATCATCCTGGTCTTCCGTTGGACGTTCTAGAGTATCATCGCCCTCTGTGTCAACAGCCATCTCTTCCTCTTTGTTCTTCTTTCTCACCTCCAGCGGTGCAGCGACGATCTTGTCGACTTGGAAGTCGCCCCAATCTCCGACCTGTACTAGCCTGTCGGCTTTCAGTCCAAGACCTCGGACAACACCGGTAATGACAACGTCGCCAGTACCGTCCTCACTGGCAGCTGCCTTGCCACCAGGCCAGGCAATATCCTCAATGAACATGTAGCTTCTCTGGTCTCTCCATCGAACACCCTTTGTGGTAGTTGTGCATAGCGATCGAACGAGGTTTGCGCCTTCTTGTCGGTTGTCGAGAGAGTAGACGCGCTCGGTGGAGGGTAGCCAGTGGGTGATGTATGATTTGAGCGAGGAAACGACAGATGGCCTGGCTTTCGCGGGCTCGACCTTGTCCAGTCCTTGAACGACGGTGAAAGTGTTTGAGATACCCTGGCTTTCGACCGACTTCAGTATCAGCTCGCCCTCTGCATCGACCTCTTCATGCGCCGACAGGATGAAGACAACAAAATCAGCGACACGGCAGGCGTCGAGAGCCGCCAAAAGATCTCTCTTGACGATCAGGTATTGCACTTTCTGCTTGAAACGGTCGATGCTTGTGCGCGTCCATCCTGCCTCAGGAACCTCCTCTTCAATGTCCAGGCTGGAGTTCAGGCTGCGCACAGCTGCCGCGGTAGACACGTCTGAACACAGCGGGATAAGAGCGGTGATCCTCGGCGCACCATCCTTTCCGGCGAATACGTTGGAGGACTTTGCGTGCTCGTGGTCCTTGTTGATGCGCATCTGCTTGGCGCGGTTGCGGCGGTCGATCTTGCTCACGACTTGCTGGTGGGGGGTCTTGCGGCTGCCGAATTCGAAGGAGAGGGAGTTGACCTTGCCTATACAACACAGTCAGCAAAGCCCGGCCTGGTGGTGGTGAAGGACGCACCCTTGCTCTGCTCCTTGAGCGCGCCTTTGGTGGCATGGCGAGACTTGAAGCCCTTCTTCTCTTTCTTCGTGGTACTGCGGTGGTGGTGCGATTGCGCAGCGATGGGAGCCATGTTGTTGCCGCTGCCACCTGATTTGAACCGAAAAGGAATGGACGCCACTTTGACTGTTCGGTATCAAAGACAGCGCTACACTGCTTGGTGGTGGAGAGTGGGATGGCGATAATTTTGACCCGTTATCGATAAAGGTGCCTAAGTGGAATAATTTTGGTTCCTCGGCTGTGGCGTCATGCGCAACATCCCTGCATCCCAGCCCTCGCTCTCCTCAACCACTCTTCGCCTCACGTATTACACTCTATGCATTGCCTCTCCAAGCCTGAAAATATACGTTTTGCTTTGAAAGTACATGTCCGATCTGTCATAGCCACAAACACACGCCTTCAAACATGCTATACCTTTGACTTCCGCTGACGAAGCATGTTTTGGCAGCGACCAGCGCATGTAATGGAAGAGCCTGAAAGATGTTCACTGTGCCTAAGCATTACACCTCGATGGCTAAGTCAAGACAAACCCCAGGATCACCGTTGACCCTTGGAGAGAGATGAAAACATGTTCTCAGCACAACGGTGGGTTGCGCAATTATAGCGCCACGAACAGGTTAATCAGGTAACCAAAACCCCTCTTGGACCCTTACAGATCGTAACTTAACGATGTTTACGTTACTTCACGTCATATAGCGGTCGAAAGGTCATGCTGCCGCTCCATGATTCTTAGTGTGCTCTCCTCGTTCCCTTTTGTCGTTTTCACGGACATTTGCGGTGGACGCCTGTGTCGCTTCGACTATTCTCGACAATATTGAGTCTATTGCGGGTGACTCTTGCGATGCCCATACTGTCTCAAGAGGACACAAACGAGCTGGATGCAGGGTCGACAGGGCAGACCTCGAATGCAAGCTGCCAGACTTCCGCTGCGCAACAAACCTACCAGCGCGCCATTCCACGCAACCCAGTCAATCCAAATCCCCCTTCTTCACAAAATGTTCAGCAAACATCCACTCAACGCACTCCAGTCAAGTCAAGTAACGATACCTCCGCCAACGCTCCAGCACCGTATCCCTTCGGACCGGATCAAATTGTGGGCCACCCTACAGGCTTACAATTCCCTCGTGATAGGGCAGATGCAGTCAAAGTTCTCGTTCGCCTTCTCTTCGATATACTGGTATACAGCTATGATGTCGACTTTCACGAGCTCCATTTCGCTCTCGCTGCATCTTCGCCGCATCTGTGCACTGCGAACCTCTCTACTCGAAACACCAGTCTTTTGAATTTCCAGGAGATGCGTGTTGTCCTCGAGTATGCCGATGCCGTTCATAAAGCATGCGAGGCAGTCATCGATAACACCCAGAGTCTACTAAGAGATGAGGACCGCAACGTTATTATCGATCTCATCATGCAGCCAGCACAAACCCTTGGGATCGATGTAGCTTACGTTTTCGAACAGCTATACGCTTTCCGGTCGCACAGATGCGATAGTGGGAATCATAACAAGACACTACTTTATACCAAGACATCATTTTGGACACGACGGCGTGGCCTATTACCTGGCAAACTGGGTATGGACAAGAATCAAAAACTACTTGCACGCCGACTTGTCTCTGACGATATAGCTGTTGCACAGCTCGGCACAAGATCCAACGAGGCGCTCGCACTAGTTCTGGGCAAGGCAATCAAGCAATACAACAAAAGGCATTGCAGATATGGAATGGCCAACATTAAGCGAGATGTATATGCTGAGCCTCCATTTGTGGCGTTGAGAAAAGAGGTCATGTGGTGGGAGCTTCTGCGAGAAAAGTCAGCCCAGGATGGGAGCCAGCCTTCAAACGTAAAGATTCAAGCAGACTGGAGGATGAGTATGCGACCCAAATACGGAATCGCCGAGCGACACAACCGGAAGTTAGACAACCGGTCCTATCATGGGATGGGCGGTCTGCCGACTGCGGCACCGCGTGGGAACAGTCATAATACGCGTAGGCCACGCTCTTTTCATGATCTACAAGCTATACAGGAACAATCTGAAGCACCGACCAGACCACAGTCTGTATGCAACATACGCTCATATATTATGCCTCGACCAGACGCAGCTTGTCGTGGGCTATCGACGAACTTTCAGTAGGTTGCGTCGACGCTGAGGCATCTGGGTGATGAATCGATGGTGCTCTCGCAGTAAGATACTATACACCGTTCGTCAAAGACAGTGAAGGTCCCTAAGCTCATATAACGCGCATGGATCACAACCAGCTCCACTTTCCAAGTCAGATTGCTACAAATACAATACAACCAACACCCTCTATTCCAACCCAAGAATAGTAACTCGAACTCCTATTCCCAGAAACATACAATTCGCGCTTCGATACTTTCCCTCGGTTCCTCTCCCTCAGTCCCCTTGACTCTGAACGCCGTATGTGGACACCTCCATCCCAGCTCCTCCCTCTTCGAGTCCAACCCCTTGAACACGACCATTTCCCACGGCTGCATGTTACTCATATACCACCACTCATGCTTCTGTCTACTGTCTCCATGACTCATAACATAATTCTTACTCTTATTCCCCGTGCGACTAAACTCCCTTAGTCTGACCTGATAGTCGCTGTCTGGAACGGTGGTCGCATCGCACACGGCCAAGGGATCCTTTTTCACTGTTTTCAAGGGGCGCCAGGCGCCGAGGAAACAAAACCGGGAGGATTTGGTGAAGAGGGTATCGATGTGAGGTGGGAAGGAGAGCTCCATGAGAGTACCTGATAGGGCGTCGGGGGAGCCTTCGTAGTCGACGTGTGGGTGGCCCGAGGGGATGTCTTGCCAGCGGCCTTGGGCATCTTGAATGCCTTTTTCTGTGGGGGAAGAGTGGGCACGGATGACATGGTTGAATACGTGGGCTGTTGATGCGCCGGTTCTGTGTTGTTGGTGGTGTTAGCTTCTATTCCTCTTTTGTTTCTTCAGTCCTATAATGAACCATGTACGCGGGTATTACAATTTCTTGGCTACTTCTTCTAGCTCAGGGTAGTATTCTCGCTTGACATCTTCTTCGCTGCTGTTACGTCCTACTCTCTCTTTGCGTGGTAATGTCACGAACGTGAAGCCGTTTACATCCAAGTCGAAGGTCTTATCGGCCTTGCGTACATCTCTGATCAGCATAGGTCGAGTGTATTCATCGTTGTCATCTAGATGTTTCGTTTTCCATGCTGATTTGGGGATTGGCACGCCTGTGGCAGGGAAGTAGTTGATGTTGGCGACGACGTCGGTGCTATGTGGGTCTGGCTGCATTTTGTGGGTGACAGACGTGGTTTTCAGGTCTCGTACAAACGAAAAAGTGTAGTTTGATTTAGTTGAAGACTCTATCAGACATATTCAAGATTGTAAAGTATGCATAGCCCTGTTCGCGGATCCGCGGAATGCATGATGTTACGGGTGAAGTGGGGTAAGCACATGCGCGTCGCTCAGCCCAAGCAACAGGCATCTATCATGACTGAGTGTTCCAAGTCGTATAACAATCGTTTCTCATATCTCATGATCTGAAATTACCACAGATTTTGTCTAAACCGGTTTTTTGGCGTTACTCAAACACATTGCTTCTCTAGAGAATCGCCTTCAGGATGTCGATCTGCTCCATGACAGCACTCTTACTTGTACCACCAGTAGCGTTCTTCAGCTCTACTGCACGCTCATAGTCTAAGCACTCAACCACATCGTCGCCCAATCGCGAGTCGATGCCCTTGAGCTGCTCCAAGCTCAGCTTGTCCATGGGTACATTCTCCTTCTCTGCCAAGGCGACGACACGACCAGAGATATGGTGACCCTCACGGAATGGTACACCCTTTCGGACAAGGTAGTCTGCGAACTCTGTAGCCAGCATCTCTGGGGTGAGCGCGGCATGCATTTTGTCGGCTTGGACCGTCAGGGTTGATAGGACACCGGTGGCGATCTGAATGGAGTCGCTGACCGTCTTGATGTGGTCGATGAGAGGCTCAACAGACTCTTGCAAGTCCTTGTTGTAAGTTGTGGGTAGGCCCTTGATGGTGACATACAATCCTGCCATGTGTCCGAAAGCACGGCCGCTCTTTCCCCGGATCAGTTCCAGGGAGTCTGCGTTCTTCTTCTGCGGCATCAGGGAGCTTCCCGTGGAGTAGGCGTCGGCTAGTCGCACAAAGCCAAACTCCAGACTCGAGTAGATGATCAGATCCTCCGCCCAGCGCGACATCTTAAGCATGAGGCTTGACCCCCATTGCATTGTCTCGAAGACGAAATCGCGATCTCCGACAGCATTGAGGGAGTTTGGAAGCAGGCCTTCAAATCCAAGCTCCTTGGCCATAGCATGACGGTCGATGCCGAAAGGGTTGCCAGCCAGCGCACCACATCCCAGAGGAGAACGGTTCACACGCTTTATGACTTCGCGGAGGCGCTCGAGTTCGGACGCGAAAGCGGTGGTATGTGAGAGGATCCAATGCGACCATCGGATTGGTTGTGCCTTCTGGAGATGTGTGTAGCCGGGCATCAGCACATCGATCTCAGCCTCTGCTCGCTGTACTGATGTCTTTATGAGAAGCTTCAGGTAGCCTTCTAGTGTCTTGAGCTGTTCCCTCAGCCATAACCGTAGATCTGTTGCGACTTGGTCGTTCCTGCTACGCCCTGTGTGGAGCTTTCCTCCAATGTCCTTGCCAATAATCTCGCTGAGTCGTCGCTCGTTGGCGGTGTGAATGTCTTCATCATTGGCCTTAACCTCGAAGGTCTTTGACGCCCACTCCTCCTTGATCTGTGCCAAGCCCTTCTCGATGGCAGCGAACTCATCGGCGGTCAGGATGCCAGTGTTCTTGTTGGCGCGAGCAAACGCGATTGAACCGGCAATATCCTCGGCGTAGAACAGACGGTCGTACGGTAGGGAAGCATTGTACTGCTCCATGACTGGGTCAAGGCCCTCTGTACGCGTCTCAGTATCCAGTCATCGCAAGTGTTTAGCGGTTCAATTGAACCATTGGCTGCACAAACCTGTGAAACGGCCTCCCCAAAGCTTGTTCTCTGCTACCTTCTGTTCTGAAGCCATCTTGAGTATATTAAGAGGATAGGATTTGTGCAATTAGATTGTGACTGTTTGCGCGTTCAAGAAAAAGATGACGCTCCGCATCGGCGGCAGGGGTGCGATAGCGCTAAATGTCGCGGGGAACTTTCCCTTGTCCCCACTTCGGCTGCCCCTCAACCATAGACTCATCACCAGGTTCACATACACAACAATCATGCATTGTCAATTGATGGATAGTTCGATCTCAAGGTATCTTGCCAGTTCATAAGTAGTATACTGGAACATAGAATATACGCTATCGTAAGCACCACAAGAAGACAAATACCCAGTACTACTGTTTGCTTCGAACCTTATCGAAAGCTTGCTTCAGAACATCGTGAGATAAGCGACGCCAGACGGGCTTTCTGGCAGGTGCGTCCTCGCACAACCCAGCTTCTAACAAGCTCAAGCTGTTCGAGTGGTTCGGGTTGTGTTTGAATGGCTGCAAAGCAACATGCAACTTGGTTACAAAAGAAGGCCCCAAAAGCTCAGAGTCTGGGAAATCACGTGTTAATGGTGACACCACGCTATCTTTTCGCTCAGGAACTCCAACGGACGAGCCTCCAGATTCCTCTCGTTCTGCTTTGGCTTCTAGGTTTCGTACAGTGCTAGATGTCGGCGGTGGGCGAGGCGTCGGATGCACAAACCTTTGTTGACGATAATTGACGAACTTTGGTGGATCTAGCACTGGCATCTTGGGCTTCCGGTTGAGCGACTTGCAAAATCCTGCGTTATCATCATGTATGAGAAATTGAAAGATAACTAATATCTATTACAGTTACCATGTGATATAATAAGGATCATAGTAACTGCAACTATACGAGTGATGTGGTTACACAATGTTGTCGAAGTGCATGGTGAGTGTTCAGGCATGAACATATCCTTCATGTTCTTTCTGTAAGTGCAAGGAAGCTGTTCAGACTATTGCACGATAGATTCCGGCGCTGCTACAGTATCTGGTCACTTGAAAGATTGAGTTATGAGGGTTGTCATTATTCATTAGATATGGCGTCAACGCCAGAAAATGCTAAACAGAACAACCGTGGTATATAACTTGATCATGTGAATCGCTCCCTTGTGCTCTCAATGCGCTCTAGAACTGCCATCGCAGCTCACAGTCCTCCCACAACAGCACCAAGAACACTCAGACCGAGCAAGGCTGAGACCATCCAACTCCTACCTCCACTAATCCTCATGCCGGCACTAGCATATCCTGCCTCGTCATCGTTCCTTTTCGCACCAACTGCCTTATCTGTATTGAAGCAGCCAAAAATACCCATACCACTCGCACTGTCCTTCTCGTATTCCTCCATTTTCTGTGCCAAGCAACTCTGGACGATATCTGGAGAGTCGGTGATGCAGTACTGGAAGCAGCCGTCGTTGTCTTCGGAATTGACAATGACCGGTGTTGACGATGTTGAAGGTGATGATGTGGTTGTGTCGGGAGCGGAGTATGTGGCGATGGCGTTGATGTGGCCATTACAGCATGCGTCTAGGATTGAGGAATTGGAGCCACCGACAGGTACCGCGCAGGAGGGGAGTGTGGTGGGTGGTTGGGGAACCGCGGTGAAGGGCTGGCAGGACATTGTTGCGTAGATAGCTAATTTTCGTCGAGCTTGATTGTGGAGAATTTGTGGTATTTGCCCGGAATGAAGTGACAGTGTAAATGCAGCTCGAATTGTTGTTGGTGATAAGACACGACTTGCGCGCTGTTCGAAATGCTCTCGAAATGAGCAGACGAGAAAACTCGAAATCGATGGGAAAACTCCGTCGCTATGCTGGGACTTGACTAAGGAAAGAAGCAAGTGAACTTGTGAATGAAACACTGAGTTGTTCACGGAACACACTCAAAAGAAAATAACCGAATGGAACTGACGGAAGGAAAGAAGACTGTTTGAGGCTGAGATTAAAGAATCATCATCGCAAAGAACAGAGCCTCATATGTACATTGCCATTTTCTAAGAATATCTCAAGTGGGTAGGCGGATGGATAGGCGGGTAGTTGACAGCGCGAGATCTAGCGTTACGCGCCGACCCACCGGCTGCGCGACGCGTTGGTTGGCTCGCAACGTCTGGTCGATTTACGCGCTAGAACCACGGGCAGATCCGAAACGATGTGTTCTGTCGTGTTTGAAACGTTCTTATGCTGGTTTAGGGTAGTCGTCATGCTTTGTTATGTCCAATAAGTGTGTTAATTTGCTGAGTACTCGGGGGTCACGTGTGAAGGATCGAACCATCCATTTCCCTTGCCGCTGCACAAGGCAAATATGGATAGCTAGATGGTGAGCAAGCCTCACTAGTGGCTGGTGAGATCGAACAGAGTTGCGGCTGTGCGGATTGATTACAACTTGGGGTCTGTTCAGTGCCGAAACCCGTTGCCTGGGTATGGGAAGCTAGAGAGACGTGTCCATCTGACTAAACACACCACAGTAAATGGTGCTGGATCAGCCATGTACGCGTAGTCCATACTCGATGAATGCAACAGTCAGATCTTCCAACCCCGAGACCTGAATGTAACATGCCACCAACACCTTCTGAGGCACGGGACAGTATACACCTTCCAGCGTAGGACCAGCTGATACAAGTAGCATTATTCCTGATCGTTTTCATCCTCGTCTTCATGCGCGGCTGCCCATGGGCTTCTCTTGCGTAATGACGCGCCTCTCCTTTCAAGGAAGAATGGTATGGGCGCTAAACAAATTGCGATTGCCATCAGCACAAGGCTTGCGTTCCTGGTGCCTACGTTCAGAAACAGATGTCTTCCGACCAGTGGAAATCCAGCGCCAGCCAGGTTACGGATAAGTCCAATGCCAGCAAGTGCTGATGCTGAGTACGTTTTATACGCGTCTTCGGTGTAAGTAAGGGTCATAAGGACTAGACCGAGCCGTTAGCGTCATATATTTGATACCAAACGCCTGGCTGACTTACTCAGGGTATAGAATGACCATCCCCAAAATGCACTAGCGAGCACTGCGAAGAACGGATGTATGTTCGGCGTTGCGGTGAGTGCAAAGGCCAAAAGGGAAATCGGTAATACGATAGCTGCCGGCTTCGCGTGGTGCACTCGCGCCTCAGGGACATCACGATGGCCAGCCTGGGACACTTGTCGTTGGTAGTACCGTTCTTGGAAGATGTTCGTGATCAAGCCAAACGTGATGCCTGCAACTATCCCTAGGAAAGAGATACCGACGCCGATGGTATCAAAGCCGTATCCATTTGGACCGAAGATCATGTGGAATGCGCCGTTGAAGAGGAAGCTCAGGCCGTAGAGGAATCCGTTGTAAAGTGCACCGAATTGCACGATAGCCTCAGATCCCAAGAAGCGGAATGGGCGTGCGAGCGCTGTGCCGAACAACTGCTTTGGTCCTCGCTGCTTCATCTCATCCGGCACTTCCAGCTCCTCGTCCCCTGTCTGTAGGCGTAACGCGTTCGCTCTTCGTAAGAGAATGACGCTATGTCTAGTCTCTCCAAGACTGTATAATGCAAAGACCATAACAAACCAGAAGCCCAAGCAGATGAAGAATATGATCCGGAATACAGCATGCCACGATCTACCTTTTGCGATAAACGAGAAAAGGACGAATCCAGTAGGACTGCCACCTGTTGCCGCCCAAAGAAACCATGACTGTAGAGATGAAGGTACGAGGTTAGTTGATGTTTCACATGCATTTCGTACAGGCACAACTTACCATGGCTGGCCCAGTGTCATGATGGTGAAAGAGATCTGCGATGGTGCCTCCAAAATTCGAGATAGTCGTAGATGAAAAGTAGCCTGAGAATAGGCGCAGGACTAGGAATGGGCCTAATGTTTCTACGTATGTTGTTCCCAAAAGTAGTAGGAGAAAGATGCCGTAAGACACGATATAAACAGGTCTCCTTCCAAAGTACTCCGAAAGAGGAGCCAAGGTCATAGGCCCAAAAGCCAACCCAAGGACATACATGCTTAATCCCAGAACCGCGACGCTCGGTGAGACGCCCATGTCTTTCGCGAAATCACTCGCAGCAGGACTAAAGCCACTTGCTCCCCAGGAGACACTGAGGTCTATCGGAACAATAGCAGCGACCATCAGCCATTTTCGCGCTTTCGACCAGTTCCGTGGGTCGTCTGGGTCGTCTGGCTCGAATGTTATAACTTTGGTTGGAGGGCTCCGCAGTAGAGGCTCACTCTCCCTCTGGAAGGAACTCATCATTGCACAAAGGGTGGTGTATCCGTACGTCCCCCCGCTGCGAAGCTTGGCTGTGTATTGTATGTTTTGACGCGTGTTGTTGTTGAATCGTGTCACAGCTTGCGGGAACGATTAGTCCGATGATGACGTAATTGAAGATAGTCAGAAGGCCCGGGCCGCTGCTTGACGACTGTCACATGCTCACCATCATCTTCATTTATCGATTTACTTTACTGAGACATGGCCCCGGGATACTAACAACAGCCTGATCGAAAAATAAATGACTACACTTTTTTTGTTCGAAATCGCGAAGCCAGGCTTCTTTTTCCTGCCGACCTCAGGAACAGACGGAAAACACCATATCTATTAAGTTCTACACTGACCATCCATTGCTTGTCACCGAATGCTGTGTAACCACTCCTGACGCACTGCATGTACTGTATCTGGGTAGCCTGCATCGGAGCGCAACATCCGCAGTCATCGAGCCGACCCCGCCCAATTTACCCAGTGCCGCACACAACACCACGTAGGCTATCACAGCTGAGCACGCTGGCTTCTCCCAAAATCAGATGCTATTTACACACCTGAGCATGATATTCATACTGGCAGTCGTCTCCACTGAAACTAAAGCCTGCGATCACGACGATCACGTTTCGTTCTTGTGATATCCCATACCTCGTGTAATCTTGAAAGGCCATGTCTTTCCACTATCCTTTGCTTGGAGATATTCGTCCTGATACCAACTAGCATATACCTCAAATTCTCGCAATTCTTGTACACCTGCAATACTCAACGGTGCCAACAAAACATGCTTATATGCAGCATCAACACACGGTGCCCAGATCACCATGTCTATTCTCAAATGCTCCAGTCCTTCCATTTTCGAGATCTCGGACCACATCAATGACCAGGACGAGGCATTGCAAGGTAGATCGCCCTCAAGGAAGTGACTCATCTCCCATGTCTCTTCGTATGTCCATCTCAGTCTTACGGAACGGATAGTCTAGAATAGACGGGGCGAAAGCAGGCGAAGCAGGCAGAAATATGCTGTAAGGTTGGGAATTCGAAATGTGTTGCATGTGTAAATATATCCTGTCGCCTAGATGTATCTACAACAATTTCAATTAGATGCTGCGAGGAAAGTGATAATCATTGAACATCACTACTTACGCCATCTTACACGACTTTGGAAATCTCAAAAGCTCTTGTGCTTGACCACATCTCATCTGGAACGGGACACGCCTGTCTCCGTCTTCACGAAGCTCAAGCTGAAGTTCTAATCTGTCCATGACATAGGCATATACGAGCCTTCGCAGCTCCAAGGGCAGCCTTCCGAAGAAGAGCGATTGCTGCTGGGGTAATATAATGGCAGTTGAGCCGATGTCGAAGGCATCATCTATCTCTGCTCTTGGGTCGGGGAGACGTGCATGCCACGAAGAACTAGTCTCTGCTCGCAGTCTTCTGAGATGTTCTTCATCCACCCGCCTTTTCTTTGGTATCATTCGTTCATAAGGCACGATGATCACCGTCTCGATGATGTTGTCCTTGAGGGCGCGCATGAGCGCCGAGGTAGATCGCATATCCGTATATATGGAGGTTTCACTACACAGCACCTACGCAGTTTGGATACATCTTGTGCTGGGTGATATCTCATGTAAGGGCTGATGCCTGCGCTAGCCCTGGAGGTGTGGCGTAGCATGCTGCGGATGTTCAGGACGGCTAGAACACGGAACATATTCGACTTACTGTGTCCATCGTAGTAGACCACTCGAGGCAGCCTATGATTACTTGCTTGGAATTGCAGAGAATCAATCGTGTGCATGATAACAAGGCCGTACCGGAAAGTAGCACATTCCTTGGTTCCGTCATGACTCGCCTAAATGAGAGGCTATTCATGGGTACCGCCCACAAACAACGCCCGCCTGCCAGCAATCCTCCACACCTTCTTGTGAAGCCATAACCACTCATAATCGTGTATTTAACATAGTCTGCCCGTGTAAACACATCTTTGGGAAGGCACGAAAGAACATGTGGGCCGGTTCGACTTTCAACAGACCCTGTCCTCGGGCGCTTTCCCACCGAAGGGCCGATTAGCGTCACTACCCCATAGCATTCTGTCCTCCTTTACCCCGGATTATGGCTGGGATCAACGAACTTGGCTTCAATTAATTTTCCCGTGTACCTGGATACGAGGTGTATAAAAATGGGGAGGCAAGTGCTCCCCAGGGCAAGCAGTGCTCGTTGGCACCTTCCATCTACAACATGCGCTCCACCGTAGCAACCGCGGCGGCGCTTTTGCTGCCTTCGACATCATGGGCTTTCCTGAATGCGAGTCAAAACAATCGGAGTCTGACTATCGCCAATGACCGGCTCGTCGCGTCGGTGAGCAAGACAAGAGGATATATTAATGTCCTCACTCTTGACGGCCAGAACCTCCTTGGGACGGAAGACGGCAACACTGGAGTTGGTCCATATCTCGACTGCTACTGCACTCCAAGTGGCTTTTGGACACCCGGCCGGGGCAGCAATGTTCAGTACCAGCTGTTCAGTGGCAATGATTCTACTGGTACCTCATATGGTGGTATCAGCATGGGCGAGACCTACGCTCCAACTGGGCAGAGGTTGGAGCAATACTGGTTTTTGAGAGAAGGGGAGACAGGCCTACACACCTTTAGTCGTGTGGTTTACAACAACAAGACCACTCCGTTCTTGCGCAATCTGCAGGAGTTCCGCACACTATTCAGACCCAACCATGAACCGGCACTTTTCACGCACTTCGTCACCAACGAGAAGTTTGCTGCGCCTCGCCCGGATACCGAGGGTCAGATTACTGTCCAGGACGCTACGTGGTATCTGCCCAACAAAGAGAGTCCTTATGTCGAGGGAGTAGGAGACTACTTCACCAAGTACACTTTCCAAGATACATGGCGCGATCACAAAGCCCACGGTATGTATGCCGACGGTACCGGTAGCGCCAATGGCTCAACTTACGGCGCATGGCTCGTACACAACACCGTCGAGACCTACTTCAACGGTCCCGTTCATTCCGATCTCGTTGTCGATGGCATTGTTTATAACTACATGGTCTCCAACCACCACGGCATTCAAACACCCAACATCACGGATGGCTTCGATCGTACCTTTGGACCCCAGTACTTCCACTTCAACTCTGGCGGTTCGCTCGAAGAGCTTCGGGAGGACGCAGAGCAGTACGGTCTTCGTCCAGAGTGGAATGCCGAATTTTACGATTCCATCGCAAAACACGTACCAAACCTCGTCCCAACATCAGGCCGTGGTACCTTCAATGCAAAGATCAACCTGCCTGCCGGAGCCAAGAATCCCATCGCCGTCCTCACAGAAAGCGGCCACAACTTCCAAGACAACGTCTTTGACACCAAAGCGTACCAGTACTGGGAGGACATTTCCCCAGACGGCGAAGTAACCATTACCCGAGTAAAGGCAGGATACTACCGTCTCACCATCTACGCCGACGGCATCTTTGGCGACTACTACCAGGACGACGTCTCTGTATCCGCTGGAGAGGAGACTTCCGTATCGGCAACATGGATTCCCGAATCCGCAGGCAAAGAACTCTTCCGTATCGGCACCCCTGATAAATCTTCTGGTGAATACCGCCACGGCTACGCTCAATCGCCCACGAAACCTCTCCTCACAGAGGAATACCGTCTCTACTGGGGCGCATACGATTTCGTCGACGAGTTCCCCGAGGGTGTGACGTACAAGGTTGGTCAGGACGATGAATCCCAGGCACTCAACTACGTCCACTGGGCTGTCTATGGTGGCAAGGCGAACTACGAGCGCCCGGTACCTGTGCCCGATCATCCATATAACTGGACTATCTTGTTCGATACACAGGCGAAAGAACTGAGCAACAAGACTACCGCTACTTTCACTGTGCAGCTTGCTGGTGCGAAGACGGCAGCAGGAAATACGGATGTGTTCAACGCAAGTGAACCGTACTCGAATCTACCTTTTACCGTCAATGTGAACGGCAAGGACCTTGAGCCATGGATCATTCCGTCAGTCCCCTTGTCCATTATACCTTGAGGTTGTTACTAATTGAGATTTCAGATACAACCAATCCTCATCTTGCGCTGTCCGCTCTGCAGTCATCTGCTATAATCTCGCACACAAGTTTCTTTTCCCGACTTCTATGCTGAAGGACGGTGAGAACAGTCTGATACTGAGCCTACCGTACAACGGGACAAACTACGAGAGTGCGTTGTTGCCCGAGTCGGTGTATGTACAGTATGATGCGATGAGATTGGAGGTGAAGTAGTTAGATCAGTAGGCAGGAATAATTGTATCATGGTTAGGACGTGTTCTAGAAGCTCAGCAACAATACAACTCCTTAATATGCACCGCTAAATGTACACCTTCTGTTTCTCTTTATCGACGTTGTCCTCAGACTGCCATTAAGCTACCTCCTCAACCATCCTTCCACTGAATGGCTTCTGGGTCCCCTTCTGCATGTCCCCAGCGAATATACTGCCAACGGGAGCCTGAAGCCATTCATTAGGAACAGCGAGCTGAGTTCCCTTGGCATTCTGAATGTAGCGTGTGAAGAGCGGGTTTGCGCGCTCTGGCTCATGTTCCACCTCTTCTCCATCTTCGTCCACGTTCATCATAGATTTGCGGCCACGTTTTGGGGGCTGTTTTTTGAGGAGACGATTGATCGTGTCGAGCTAGAGATGAAGATTAGTAGCTGTTTCTTCAGATAAGTGGGATAGTGGACGAACCTTTTCTTCTTCATTCCTCTTCTCACTGAGATTCTTCCTTCGCCTTGCCATCTCAGCCCTTCGCATGGCGTGTTCTTCAGCTGTGAGGTGCTTCTTCTTCTGTGCCTCGTTGGAGAGTGCCAGGAGTGCGCCATCGCCTTCTTCATTGATGAGAGCGCGTTGTCGCTTCGTCATTTTGGTGACATCAGGTGTCTGGTCGCGGCTGGCATCCTCGTCGCTGTCCATGTCCTCGTCCATATCCCCAGTAGGTGTGACGCCCATGTCGTCGTCTTCCTCGCCCTCGGCATCCTCGTCTTCGCCTTCTGCGTCTTCCTCGTCGAGGTCGGAGTCGGGATCGCTGAGGTCGTCGTCATCGTCGTCGTCCATGGCCATTTCCTTGGCCTCGACTTTGTCCTGTGCTTTTGTGAGTTTTATCGCTGGCGCTGGTTGAACGGGGATTCCTCTGTTCGCGTTTACGGTGATTCGGGGCGCTGGTGTGTCCTCCATATCGTCGTCTTCGTCCCCTTCGGCGTCCATGTCCTCGTCCTCGTCGCCTTCAGCGTCTACCTCGTTCTCGTCCGAGTCGTCGTCCACGTCCATGGCGTCGACCTCCTCGGCGTCGTCGTCGTCGTCGTCGTCTTCGTCCTCATCGTCGCTATCGATTTCCTGCACTACACGACTACTCCGTGAAGCGCGTTTGCCCGCGACTATGTTATTCCTGCTGACGCCTGCCTTTGGCACAGCCCCGCCGGTGGCCTGTCTGATCTTGTTGGGGGATGACTTGACGGTGAGGTGTATCGACTGGCGCGTCTCTTCGGGCGAGGAGCGCTGTATGACGGCAGCAGCAGGCGACTGGTTCGCAGTGCCGCGACGTGGGCGGGTCGAGGAGGCGGTAGGGGTAGCACTGGAGGGTGTTGTTAGAGCTGGAGGTGCGCGCGACCGTAGGCGAGGCATGATTGCAGCGGCGTATGGGGAGGACAGAGCAGGACCGGCAAAAGCGGGAGAAGGCAGATAGGAAGGATTGCGACGGCGTCAGATAGCCCGTTCGTATCTCCGTACCGCTGACGTCGCGCAGGGATGTGCAAGCGGGTGGCACAGAGGTGGTGGTGGTGGTGGTGCAGAGAGGGCCCTCTTGGGTCGCAGTTGCTCTTTGGGGATGATGTACTCGACGCGCTGCCCTTGGCGATGGGTGCAAGTCATTCGCTCGCCTTGTCAGCCACATACCTGGTGCTGTTTCCTCTCGCATCCCATCCGTCGCCCTCGGATTCGTCATATTCGGTGCTTATGCGTCGCATCCGTTTGGCCGCGCGATCTGCCATGTTTATGATTGGCACAGGGATATTCTGGAGTTTTGGTGTTATTCCAATTGGTAGGTGCGACGATTTTACGCGTGTTGGTCTTCGGCCATGTCCTAACCTTCAGATGGAGATTCGCCGGGATCTTCCCCAGGTGTCGGAAAGAAGCTAGCGTTGGCCCGTCCCAAAACATGTGAGACACCAACAGTGCTCTCTCGCCTCATCACATTATCACGTTCACAGCAGTGCATGGGAGAGGCGCGTGTTTCAGGCAAATTTATATAATTATCATCATTATCCTCAATTAGATGGAAGGGCTACCTCGAGACGCTATCCAGACCGACAGTTCCTGGTTTAGCCCCATACAGCCTTGATGGTCTCCTCGAAATCCTCCTTGGGCACACCCAGCTTATCGTTCCACAGACCCGCCGATGAAAGGTCACCTAGTTGATGCTCCTTGGCAAATGTGGCACCCTGGATCAAGTATGGGATACCGCTATAGTCTCCCGACTGAAGCTTAGCACGCCCTTGCTCGATGTGCTCCTTCGCGCTGGCCTTGTTGACGGTCCACTTCGCACCAGTGACCTTCTCTGCCGCAGCCAACACCTCGTTCTGCGTTGTCTGGAATCCACTGACGTATACGTATTGGTTCTTAGTTAGATCTGCGTGCTCGAGTGCCTTCACGGTTGTAAGGCCAATCTGGTGGAGGTTGGTCGCCGAAAAGACAGCCTCACCATCGTCAAAGATGGTCGCAGTCTTAGAGGAGCCGTCAAAGCCTAGGAAAGCGACCCTGAGGCCCCAGTCGAAGAAAGGACCGGTGATGATGCTGGTCCAGCTAATCTCCTTCTCCTTGCTCTTGAGGTAGTTGACTGTGCCAAACTTGGCCTCAAACACGGGCACAATGTCGCGAGTGCGCTTGTCGGGTGTGTTGCTGCCATACTCTGAAGGAAGGAAGCGCTTCACTCCCGCTGCAATGGCGGCATCGATCAACTTGTTCTGATCGCCCAGTGCCATACCACCAACAAGTGAGACAACGGCATCTTGGCCCTGGAATGCCTCCTTTAGGCTGTCGTGGGAATCGTAGTCTGCGCGGATGACCTTGACACCTGAGGGGAAGGTAGACTTTGACCCTTGGCGAGAAAGGACGGTTGTGTTGAAAGAGGACTCTTTGAGGAAAGCGTTCAAGATGGAGGGACCGAGGTTACCACCCGCCTAACGTTGTTAGTCCATGAGTATACGGGCAGTTTGGGAGAGATGCATACTCCAATGATGATGACGTTCTTGATGGCTGCCATGTTGAAGTGTTGGTGTCGATGCGTGGATAGACTCGGTGTGTTATCTGACTATAGAGTGTATAGTAAGTTGAAGAAATGGATATCGCTGAGTTTGTGATCTATTAAGGTGATGAAGACGACCTCTTATATATGTCGCGACGAAGACGTGATTATGCAGTCCTATGATGCAGGTACAAGGCCCCACATCCTCAGTTCCTCACTTTCCGCGTTGCTTTCAAACCCGCGCTTTACAGCCGCTATGCTTTGCTAATGTACGCGTAGACTAATGGCGTACCTGAAGCTTGTCGCAGACAAGGCATCCCTGCATTTGATACTACCGTTGGTCGGTAGTTGGGTAGACACTCGGAGCGACTCGAGTCCTCCGCTACGTCGCTCTTCGACGAGCAAGAATTGTTGCTTTGGAGTCGGACTACTACTAGCTTTCTTTTGCGCTGGTCATTGAGGGTCGGTTTAGTTTGGTGCACAGTATGGTTGGAGCAGCTTTGGAGCATGTCACTCTCCAGAAGCTTCTCTGTAAGCGCAGCACAGCTCGAGACCCTGTCGCTTGACACCGGTGCCGTAGTTACACCGGAGCTATCATGCCACTGAACCAGGTTGGATGCAAGGAAAAGGACGATGTTGTTGGGTGTGCTTAGCATATCGTGCGGAAACTCACCGTCGTGCCAAGACGCTAGCCAACCTTAGACATCCAGTAATCCAAGTTGTCCCTTTTGCTACTTTGCGCCGTCTCCATCAAATCACAAACGCAAAAACCAATTGTGCATTAAACTGCATTGATTACAAAGCTAAGCGTGTTGCAATTTGCCCGATTACTGTGTTTATGCCTCAACAGCCTAGAATGACCGCAAAGTCGGTCTTCAGCATCTAGACTGATTCCCTCGTCGACGCCACTTGCTGAACAAAGTTCTCGCAAACATAACCGCCTATTGGGAGAACAATCAATTCATCTCATGGTAACCAGATGCGACGTAGGAATGCCTTTTCCTGGTCTAATGAAGAGGTTTGTTCAGCCTCTACGGGGAGCAATCCATCGCAAAACCTAGCAGCAGTCCAATATCGACGGGTTTCAGCTGGCTTTTTGGCCCATTTCGGCCGCCGTGGAAGAGCCCATTTAAGATTTTCTTGAGAAGATTAGTATTTGGTAGTAAGATTGGCACAGAAAAGAAAGAGAAAGTGTTTACTTACCGGGTTGTGGTTTTCGAATCTTGCGAAGCTTGAAGGTGAGAAGGACGGCGGCTACATCGACCGGCGCAAATGAGTCGAAGCATTTGCGAGCAATGTGGAGCGCTAGTTCGATATCTCTATCACTCGTTCCCTGCTTTGTTGACTAAGTTTTCCGCAGATCCAGTGCTCGCTTGGGCCATTTCGTACTGCCTTCAGGATCGTCGAATTCTGGATAAAGCTCAGAGAGCCCAGCGTCTTTCAAGCTCTTCAGGGACGTGATGCAAGATCGATTGGCGATGTTCACCGTTCCTTGGGAAAGGTACTCGCCGTTGTAGAAGTCTGGCGTTTCTTGACGGAACTCAAAGAACTTTCGCGCTGGACCTTGTGGTAAGGTTGTCGACTCGATTGCTTCAAATAACCACAGATCTTGCGCAAATTGCCCTTGTGGGAATTCCCTAGTATCCACTACGCAAATCTTGATATCACCAGGCGAGGGCCATTGGCCTCTATAGATTGCGTATTGGATCGCGAAGAGTAACGAGCTTGTCCATGACATGAGGTTGTCGTTTGTAAACACGTCAAAAAGTCCTTTATGTAGATGTGTTTCCAAACAATCCGCTGCGACGGTTCTTTCTAACTGCAATAGATCGATTCGACCGTTTCCCGGCAATTCAACACGGCTGGCCGCGGAGGTTATCACACTGTCGTCGTTCGGTCCAGGGCTAGCCTCAACAAAGGTTCGGAAAAGGTACGTAGGAGCGTCTTCAATTTTGAGGGCCTGACTGTTGGGACTCAACGGTGGGTAAAACAACGTCGGCCCGTCAGGTGATTTGCTCAACACCATGGCCCAGAAATTGACCCAACTCTGCATTTTCATGCTGTCTGCTTGGTTTCCGTGCTCTTCTCCAATATCCATAGAATGAAATTGGCCCACCGAATCGTGATCAAGCAGTGGCTTCTGACCATCCTTTTGAGGGGAGTCGAGATATCTGCTGACATAAAGAGTCCCAGAGCGACTAGTGGCTTGCATGTAGCACTCTTCAGCGACCTTCCACAGTACGTGTTTTTGGCGGATAATACTTCTAATTTCCATTTCGAAATGGGAAAACAGTTCCTCGATTCGAAGTCGCTCGCGAACGGTATTCATGGTTTGCTCGCCAAGTGATCTTAGATGTATAATAATGGAGCTTTCAGTCACTTCCCTAAGCGTGTCGACGGTGGTTCTCAGGTTTTCGGTCATACCTAAAAACTTCTTGGTGCTCTCATGGAGAGAGTAAATCTCCGTGATGGACAGGGTACCAGGCACTGCATCTTCAATCAAGGGCTTGATGCTTTGCGCTCGAATGTTGACAACCTCAGCGGTCTCAGCAAGTTTTTCAACATCATCCTGGAAAGAGACTAGGGAATCGCTTATTGGATAGCCGATTTGGTTGGCAGTGTTCTGAGGCGAGTCTCTAGCAATATTGAGGTTGCCGAAAGAGATTGCGACATCTTCAACTTCGGTCGCCATCGCAGTATTTAAACTGGAAAGTGAGATTACACGATATACTCTTTTGTGTTCGCGAGAGAGAATCAGAGCGGGATTCACGTCCTCGATTTCGATTAAGTTGTGCTATTGGCTTTGGTATATGCAGGGATCGTCTTCGGGTGTTAGCAGTGACGGGATGGATGAGTATTCTGCTCCAACATTAGACCAAAGTCGTGTATAAAGATAAGAATACTTCTTGCCCACAAAGAATGGCGATAGAAAGTATACGTCAAGTTGGCTGCACATCACGTAAGTGCCAGGTCATCAGAAAACATCATACTTTCGATAACCGACGTAGCTGGCTGTCAGTGAAGTTTGTAGATCCGGCCAAACATAGAGAGCAACCCTCTTCCCTAATTCGAGCATATATCGATGCGAACCTCTCTGCCACAATTTTCCTTCTGCAATACTCTCATCAACAAGGCTGAATGACGTAAATGGCCGAGCGCAGCCGGTGAGTACACCGCAAATGCAAGAGTCAAGGCAACAGTTCAACTGAGATATTGACTCATCTTAATTCGTCCGGAATAAAGCGCGTGACATGTATGATTTTGCTTAGTGTGGTTACACAGCATAATCTGACCAGGATATTTATCGTGCAGATCACTGAGAACGGATTAGATGCCAAGAATGAAGGACCTCAGAGGCTTGAAAACCAGCGCTAGTGCTGCAGTGGTATTCGTGCACAAGACAGGGCAACGTTATGGGTGGTTCTTTGGAAACACCTCGGCACATCAAAAGACATCTGGGCTGTCACATATATAAAGTGCCCCTTGCTCTTAGTATGACAACCTTCCCTAGTGTTGAATCTTTACGCTACTAGTAAATCTGCTGATCGTTCGTGCTTGGTTAGGAGGCGTGAACGTCGCCGTGATGGGTGTGGTGAAAGTTGTGCTTGGAGGAAGGCTGGAGATATCGGTACATATGAGATGCCATGGAGGGAAGAAAGAACTTATCGGTAATCGGAGGAAAAATCGCAGTGCGGATAGTACTCCAGGGAAGCTACCAAAAAAGTCGCCAGTGGATCTGATTGAGAGACACATTGTTGAAGCTTCAAGTAGAGAGAGCGACAAGGTTTGTGAGTGTTATGAGCTCCTACAACATTTGCAATTCATTTAGTGGGCCAAAGTCTGGTGCTAAATTACTGCATTTGGTGGTAGATACCTAGGGCTGACGGATGTGACAGTGGTTGGGGAGTCAGGTCCCGACGGCGGGATACTACTGGTAAGTACAGAATGCGGAGGTGGATAGGCGATAAAGGGAATGAATATATTGGATAGGTGGCGCACCTACAGCAGGTACAATTCTGGTTCATGGACTGTAGGTGGGAGGTGGAGGATGCTTGGTCAGTGGGACATGTTCGGTCGGTTCTTGGAATCGCAGTCAATCTGTGTATAGTTTTAGTTTGTTAGATATGCAGGTTACGAAGCATCGACAACATGTCCCTGGCAGTCAGAGTTATAGACTATAGCGTGGCTGAGTGTGTCGAATTTTATTATTTATATATTAGCGCAGGTTTACTAAGAACCCTAGAAGGGTAGTGGTGTATGAAAGAAACCTTTGGTTTCTAAATACAAATCTAAGGCGTCCATTTGCGGAGAGCTGTGATGACGAAATAATGGCAAAGGACTATAATGGAAGGACGAGGAATGTTCATACTGAGCGATTGAGTGATCCAAATGTGCCTAGTGTTGCAAATGACAAGGCCGAGAATATGGCGAAGGCTCAAGTGAAGGCGCCATCTGAATCATTAGCTGGGGACATGATAAAGAAACTCTAATGAAGGATTGTGTCGAGAACGGTAATTAGGATGCCTGAGAGTGAGATCCGTGATTATTGTGATCTAGAAATTTTTGGCGTTAGGCTGCTGCTTTGGATTGGCGGTAGTGATGGAGGCTAATTCATGGCGTAGTAACTGGAGAAGCAAGTTCAGGTATTGGGGGGCAGTCACCATGGGTCTGGGCCCTTCCCGTATACCAATCGCAGTGCTCTCGTCTTTTTACTAGACTGTGTAGGAGTGTCTGCGTGCCAGTGGCGCAACTATGCAGGTGGTTTCAAATAATCTAGTATTCATAAGGTGAAGGCACCATGCCTTTTTGTATATTGAGATGCCTTCTTTTCGATTACAATGGGAAGAATTTGATGGAATTGATAGACTATGACGATTGTTAGCGCTTGAAAACAGACACGAGTGCACCGCAGATTTCACTGTCCCGTCCACTTCCCTCTCGATTCCATTCGTTACCTGGGTATTCCCTCGCCAGACCACTACGTCACATCGAAGAGCACCTTGCAGATAGGCAGCAGGCGTTGGCACGGAACAGGTGAAGTTGCAACAAATGCCCTCGCCCTAGGTGCTGTTCACTGCCTTAAGTTTCTTTCTTCGATACTCCCTCACTTTCTCACAACGACAACAGCAACAGCAACCACAGAAACATTACCCTACTTAGGTACGCGCACTTGGATTAGTGAAGATTGGACTTCGCGTAGCGATCAACATGAAGTAAATATGCCCCGCGACTCAGGACTTTTCTCGTTATCACTAAAACGTATAGCCCGAGCGATACAATTATCCAGCTAGTAGTCGCGCGATGCGTTGGCGATACCGAGCGTCTCAACGTTCACCGTGGCGTTCTTTGCAAAAGCTCAAAATTCTTCCAAAGCGCCATGAAGCCAGAATGGACCGACATGCAAGCGGGACCGAATGTCATTGATCTTTCAGTCGATCCCGTGGACATAGTCAGCGACTACATCAAATGGTTGTACTGCGACACTATACCAAACAAGCAGTACGAAGCAGTCGCAAATACATACGAAGAGAGGGAAAAGGTCTTTGTTGCGCTTGCAAAATCATACGTCTTTGGAGAAAAGATTATCGATGTGAGGTATAAGAACGCAGTGTTGCAGGCGATCTTCACAGCGCAAAGGGCGCTTCATTGGTACATGGGACCGGAGAGCGTTAAGATCGTTTACGAAGGTACCCCTCCACAATCTCCACTTCGACGCTTGATCGCTGAGAACGTTACGTACATGGCGTATGATGACTCAAAAGAAAGTGTTGGCTGGATGCAATTCTTCGACACATGTCCTAGAGAAGCTTTGGTTGATGCACTAAAGACCACGGTGAAGGTCCGCCCCGAAGATCCTGAGTCCAGGCCTGACGTCGGATCGTATCTTGAGAAAGAATAGATTCAAGCTGTCGCTTCTAGAAAGTTGTCGAAAACTCCGGAGTGGCTCAAATAGCGAATTAAACAAGTCCCAATCGGGGAGTGATGAACCGCTGTTATTAAGAAACAAAATCAGAACCTATCGTCAAAAGCGTGCTTACCTAATCCCAGGAACCTCTTTCTAATCTTCACTAGGCAACACACCCCATCGATCGTAGAACCTCCTCTTCACCTCATTACTCAATATATCATTCGCCTGGTTGATTTCTGCCATCTTTTCAGTCGCTTCTTTCTGTTCCTGCTCAGTGCGGCGATCGGGGTGCCATCTCAGACTCAAAGCTCGATGAGCTTTCCTAATTTCAGCCGCTGTAGCGTTTCGGGTAACACCGAGTACAGTGTATAGATCTGTGGTTGGCTGGACGCCTTCTGGTCGTGGAGGGACAGGACGACAAGGTGATGAGGGTCGGGTGTAGGGATACGAGGGAGGTGTTCGGTCACGGGAGGAGTTATTGAATGATTCAAACGCCGAGTAGAACGTAAAGCGGGGTGGTGGTGATGGTGGTGGTGGTTGTCGTCGGGTGTAGAAGACAGAAGGACGAGTACCAGAGCAAAATGAGGGCCGAGAGTCGGTGGTACGCGAATCAGGAGACGCGTAGGGTTCAAAATGGTCTGGTATTGGGGGATATGAAAAGTAAGTCGAGTCCGACGCGTAAGAATCATAGGCTGATGGTGGCTGGCGGCCTTCCGTGGTGTAGTAAGACTCACGAGGTGGATGAGTACGAAGATGGTAGGAAGACTGGCAAGGTGGAGCAGGCCTATTATGGCTTTGAAGGTATTCACAAAACCTATCTTGCAATCCTGTGGCATTATATCGGTAGTCGTAGGGAGAAGGAATGTATTCTGGAGTCGAAGAGTACCGAGGTCGTGATCTACTACTTTGAAATACCTCTTCAAGATATGCTGTAGTGGTCAGAGACATTTTGGCATTGTGGATCTGTATGACGTATTGAAGGCTGCGTTCTGAGGCTTCGTTAATGGTACAGCCTTCATTGCGGCAACAGATGTAGTAGAATTCTCGGAGCTGCTCTTCTTCTGCAGGTGTGACCATGGCTGTTGAGTAAGAGATCAGTCCCTGGAAACTAAAGGTCCGCTGGGTGATTCAAGCTGTCAGACGGGAAGTTTTTGGTTAATGTGTAAAAATCTAACAGTGGACTAGTCTGGCTTCTTATGTGGTCGGCGGTGCATTGTGAGAACCAATGCTGCTTCACACGACAACACCCTCGTGAGTGCTTCGGACGATCATTGTAGTCACACTCGACTTGGCTCAATGCATGGTTCAAGTGAAGGGATCTAACACTCGATGTATCAGCTTCTGCATCATCCTTCGGTGGTAGTATCGTTGTTCTGCATGCGTTGTATACACATATCGTACATGCCTCAATCTCTCCTCACATAGGTACGGGCGTCAAATGCCCATCCTTATCGTACTTCGCCTTGAAGAATGTATAACTCAATGTGACCGTCTCGATACCCTTCATATTGATGTCCTTTGTAAACTCCGGATCGATGTAGAAGAAGACTGGCATATCCACTGTTTCTCCTGCATTCAGTCTCTGCTCCTCAAAGCAAAAACACTGAATCTTGCTAAAGTACGGGGCGACCTGTCCAGGCGTAACAGAATAGGTGGCTACGCCAATGATGTCTTCCGCTGATTTGTTGGTTGCAGTATAGAAGGCGAGGGCAGTTTCGCCTGGGAGTACACGGACTTCGCGTTGTTGGGGAACGAATTTCCAAGGCAGGACGTCAGATACGGAGCCGTTGAACGTTATTCGGATACGTGGGTGGGATTCTACAGGCTTAAGACGTTCGGAGGGATCGACGGACGTATCGCCGCCGTGGGCTGCTGACTTTATGGGCTGGCCTCCCCAGCCAGTCTCCTGGCAGATCTAAGGAGCGAATTAGATTAAGAGATGTAGGCGAGACAATGATCTAAAGCCGCACCATCTTGTAGAACGGCACTGAGCCATAGCTTAGCGCTGTAAAGCCTATTATTACACTGAAGACATAGTTCCTAGACTATCGTCAGCAATTGCGCCCCTATCGAATCAAGGTATACGCATACATGACTGTCCGATTCTTTATCTTATACTGTGCATGCATCTGGTCCATTCTTGGCACAGTGCCATGCTGCCGCGCAGGTTTTGTAGTATTCAACCATCTCTGTGCGGTAAAGGCCGGGTTGCGAGCGCGCGGTATCCTAGTGATCGAGCGAGAGCATGCTAAGCAAGTCCAGGAGCCCAGCGACCGTGAAGGCAATTGTCGGAATGGCGATGCGACAGACATATTGTGTTGTAAGAGTCAATGTTCCAATCGAGGAAACCTCGGTGGAGTGATGAGCAATGGACCCCGAAGTTCGCCGCGGGATTTAGCCCGATTGGGAACGCGTCTCGGAGCGGAAAAGTTACCATCTGAACGCGAACGTCATCTTTGATACTCTCATCGCAAACATTTCTCCTGCAAATACCTGCGTATCAGAGATTCGCGATCCTTACCTGTTAAGACACGATGGCGGAAGTCCTCTGCGGCGTCTGCAACGCAGAGCCCAAGAAGTACAAGTGCCCGACTTGCGCGCTCCCATAGTACGACACCGTCCGCAGCGTCTCAATCATGGACAATTCTAACTACGAACAGCTGCTCACTATCATGTTTCAAGACACATAAAACAACGCATTCTGACACTACCGAGGTCGCCCCGAAACCAGCAGAACCAGTTCTTCCACAACCACCACCACCCGCCCCGATACCACGATATCTAAAGCAGCGCACCGATTTCTCCGTCCTAGCAACAAATCCGAAATTCCAAGCACTACTCAAGACTCACCCGATGTTACTGGCCTCCCTCCAACGCGTCTACGCCAAGACTATACAACCAGATCCTGAGGATGAGAAACGGCGGCGCATGCTGGAACGAAACGCTTTCCGAGGTCGGGGTACACGAGGGAGAGGCCGAGGGGGAAGAGGTGGTTGGAATAGATCGGAAGATAAGCAAGAAAAATGGACTCAGAAGAAGGGCGATAAGGACGCGATGGCCGAATTGAAAGGAATAAGAGACGGGCAGGGGAAAGAGGGAGAACAAGATGCCATAGCTGAGTTTGTTGGTTTAGTTGAAGAGATGTTTGGGAAGCATGAGAAGGATCCGATGGAAGAGGTCTGATGAAGGAGCTGCGGTACCAGGATCTCGCGACACCACACGGACAAAGCAGGCTATACCAACCGCCAGGATACACAATGGATCCCGCTAGCGAAGTGTGGCTTCGATGACAAACTGAATACCGGAAACATTCTTCCTAAAGCTCACGATTCGAACATAACCTGGTATCGATACGTTGGATTTTAGAACCAAAAATTTCCTCGACAGAGGAGCCCTTCTACATGTCCACGAGCTAGCAGGTATACTTGATATCTAATTCCACCTTCGGCACACCCTGGAACTCCTCAGGAACCACATACGAAATGTTGTAAAACAAGTGGTTTCTCAGTGCAGTACCATACGTCACGTTTTGCTTCACCAATCCCTCAGCCTCAACCTCAATCTCTACACACGGCAAATTCTCGAAGCCCATTACCTGTCTTCCAGTACCCAGCGTCCAACTGGGCGGCACGTTTGACAGTGCAAACGTGAAGATATCGCTTCCCTCTTGCGTGCGATTGGGGTAGCTGACGGAAAGGTGGTTCGGTGAGGCGACGGCATGGATCGACGATGCGGATGGATAGAGGGAGAAGAAGGTGTTGAGCGGATAAGGCTTATGCTCCTTATCTCCCGCCCAGTGAACGATAGCAGGAACGAATTGATCCCCTCTGTTTTCCTCCTCATCAAGCTGCTGTCCACCAATCATGAGCTCTTTGCTAATCCAACTCGTCACAACCCTCGCTTCTCCTCCGTCAAGGTCGTCATAAACCGTTCGATTCAGCCATCTTGCTTCCCCCACGAGGTCCCTTGCCGTAAATGCCTCTTCCACACCCGCAGGCAGTAGCGGCTTAACACCGTCGAGAACAAGGGCAATAGCCGCCCCCTGCGCAACATCGAATAACAAATCACTCTCCATCTTCTTCGGTTGCGTAGTCTTCTCCCTCCCCCAAAGTCCCCACAGAACCAACGACAAGACCGCAGAATGTTGCGTGATATCCCTCGTATAAGCCCTATCGTACGGCCCTACGACATTGCCCAAATATCCATTGTAATGCTCCGCCAAATCACCCATCATCCTAGGCAGAATGTAGTGAGCAGCCGTCGTCATACTAGAGTTGCTACCCCCGTATTTTATTTGCGCTCCCAAAGCCCATACATCGATACCATAATACGTTGGCGCATTGTATTCGCTCAACGTTTCTGCTCCTTCTCTCTGAAACAACTCTAATATCTGCCTTCCCTGGTCTTCGGCGAAGGAAGTAAATGTGCTATTCTGCCTCCTCATACCAATGTACTCGCATAGTAGAGCGCGCATCATAGCCGGATTCGTATACCCAATCGTCAGGTTATCGTCTTCAGTGGGATAAGACCCGTTTCTCCGCATGCTACCCACAGCCGCGATTTCGAGGCTATCCTCGATCGAAGTCACCAGTGGAGCGGATAGCAAGTGTGGGAATTCAGAGAGGATTTGGACGAGCTGGGTGCCGATGAAGTCGCGCCAGTTAGGATCGTAGGTCGTGTATATCTTTGGCGGATATAAACCAGAATTGGGTGTTGGATCGGGTTGGTCAGGAGATAGTTTGTATGTTCCGTACCATGGAGCATCGAAGTCGTCTATCATTTGACAAGCCAGTCTGTTGTTGCATTATTAGCCTCCGTTTTTGCTCTCCTTCTCTCTGCACACATATGCAATTTACATACATGTTCCTGATGGAGGCTTCTGCATGCTTTACGTCGTCTCCTTGGTTTCTGTGAAGCAGTCCAGCTACATACCAAGCTGTGAAGCGAACAGACCATGGTCCTTTATCGGAGTATTGGATGAAGTTGTAGGATGCGTCGTAACGATTGTCTTGAATATGCATGGACCAGTCGAAGAGATCTTGAGCATCTGAACAGCAGTTGTTAGTAAAAAGCGTCGAATTGCCGAGCCTGATGGCTTAGTCGAACGCACTTGAAGATAGTGCAGTATTGACGTGCTTTGTTGCTGCAGCACTTGCCTGCGCGGCGAAACATGCCGCTATGAAGCTGACTACCTTCATCTTGGTTTCTATATGATGTAGACACATGCACAAGATTCATAATAACATCTGTTTAAATACTCCCTTGGCTAAATGCACGACCAGACGGATAATTGTACCCGCAAACAAGTACCTCCGCATCGTGAGCGACGATCTACCCCAGACTTCAAGTTTTCGGCGCAGTGCCCGCCGAAGTGTAACTTTGTGTGTTCTAGTGAAGCTTGGAAGGATCGAGTAGTTGCATGTATAGTGTGAGTTCAGGTTGCCGCTAACGACGCAACCGGGAATATCTACCGGTTATATTCCCTTGTGTGTCTAGACTTCCGGGACTAGTATTGAATGCAACTCTTGGAAACGGCATTGATTGATGAGGGAAAATGCGTATCGCGGATAGGATTCTGGTATCTTCATGCTAAGAGTAGGTCACCTTGTCATGGGTCCCATCTCTTCTATCTCTCTTCGATTGTAATCGTGTAGGAAGATTATACCGTCTCGATATATCTTCTGACTTCCCAGTCTGTCACAGCCTCATCCCAGAGCCTAATCTCATGTTGCCTAGTTCCACCAAAGTGGTCCACGAATTGGTCGCCGAAAACCTCTCTTGCAACGCTCTCTTTTCTCATAAATCGTTCAGTCGCTTCTTTCAAGCTCTTCGCCAGTCGTTCACCCTTGTCCGCTTCTCCACCAACGTCTTCGCCCTTGCCCAGAGGCGGTATGCTAATCTCCATCTTCTTCTCAATACCCCGCCAGCCGAGGGCTAGAATTGCAGCAAGAACGAAGTGCGGGTTTGTGTCTGCGCCTGGTACACGGACTTCGAAGCGCGTGGCCTTACCGGATGAGGTAGGGGGAGAGATGAGGCGGATGGAAGCAGCGCGGTGCTCGAGACCCCAGGATACAGTGACGGGTGCCCAGAAGTTTTCTACCAACCGTTTGTAGCTGTTGACATTCGGTGCTAGGATAGGCATGATATCAGGAAGACCGTCGATCAATCCTGCTAGGAAATGTCGGCCAAGGTCTGAAAGATACCGGATGTCTGAGTATGGCGCGTTCTTGTCCTCTTCGCCTCGGTAGAACAGATTCTTGCCCTCTTTATCTACGATGGAGACATGCATATGTCCACTGTTTCCAGGGAGACCCTCGCGCGGTTTAGCCATGAAGCATGGTGTTATGCCGAATTTGGATCCGAGAGACTTGACGACAAGCTTGAACAGCGAGGCTTTGTCTGCCATTGCTTGAATTTCGCCAAATTCGAGAGCCTGTGTCATGTCAGTCGACTTCAGCCGTACCAACTAGTCTGTTATGCCTACCGCTTCGAAGACGCCTGGCCCGGACTCTGTATGCCACCCTTCAATTCCACAGCCGAACTGGGCGCATGTGTTGAAGATGCCGTAGTAGTATTCTTGGTTGTGGACGGGTCGCGTGATGCTATATCCAAACATGCCTTCAGTAAGACTTGGAAGCGAGTTTACAGGGTTCTCGCGCAGGAAGACGGCGGTGCTCGACGTGTTTTTCTCTGAGCCATCGTGGCTCTGAGGTGCGCGGAATTGGTAGAACTCGTACTCAGCTACCCCATGACACATCAGCTTCATTGACGACGCGCAGCACCCGCTCTTGTATTGGCAACAGACTCACCTCCAGCCATGGCACCGTATCCATTCTCCTTCAGCTTATCAACAGCGCGTTTCAACAGGCTTCTTGGGCATGCGCTAAGGGTCCCTTTGGTGTCTGGGTCGTGGAAACTGATGAGGAAGAAGGGTATGTTGTCCTCCCAAGGTATCCTCCGGAACGAGGTCAGGTCTGGTATAGCGAGCAAGTCGCGGTACCCGTTCTCCTTGTTCGAGATGGCCAGTTCCTTGAAGTAGGTCTGGTCATGCATGTCCCATCCGAAGATGACACTGCAGAAGCCGAAGCCGTCGTTGGCTATGCTGAGGAACTTCTTCTTGGCCATGAGCTTTCCACGCAACACGCCGTCGACATCGATACCCGCGACTTTGACCGCGATGTCATTTTTAAGCAGCTCGGGCAGTTGTTCGGCCGTCAGCGTCGAGGCATCGAATTCGGCGGCCATGGTGGTGAGTGCGGGATGTGCAAGGAAAGTATGCTGTTGAAGCTTACGACTGCAGACAAACGAGTGTCTTACAGAGGAACAAGTATGGCCGCGCAATCAGGTTTGGGGCAGATATCGAGCTTAACGGCTCGTGACGGTTCGAGTGCGATAGAGCTTAGGTGGGCCAATGAGGGGCGATCGGAATGCGGGCTGCGACAGATGCATCCAACGACATCATAGCCCTGCTTCCTGCATGCGCTCACAGGCTATATATTGCATAGTCACACGTGGGTTATCTCCCTTACGCTACATCCTCTGTATCTCCCAATGCGACCAAAATATACCCCTATGCGACAACCGTGATGATGCGCCGATATCGAAAAGCAAGGACGCACACACGTCATCCATCATGGCGGGGTAGTCTGCCCTACACTGTCTTTCCGCATGACGGCCGTTTGGGGCATGTATCGTGCACCATGGCTGTTCAAGCGAGGCTGCTATCGTGCACCTGCCCACCGCCCCTTTGCAAATTGCCCGAAGATGACAGCTGCCAACCCGATAGCCCTTATCATGGTCCATCCTATCAATGCAATGGGCCGATTTCGGGACCCTGGATTGTCTGGATGACTACCTTAGCTGTCCGAGACTACCCGTTCATCATCTTCCTCTCTTCGCACTCTGGATCCCGACACGCGCCTCATACGCCCACTCGCACTGAAAAGTCCGATTCATAGGTAAGTGTGGAGACCGATCAGACTGTTTGCGCATTTGGCAAACCTTCCCCATTCACGGACGGAGCGGAGTGCTGTCCTCATGACGCTTTCTCTAGTAAATATTAGTCATATTTCTACAGCTTCCACAAAACTTTGTCTTGCGCTCGATATCCATTGACCCCATCACAGCACCTTTACTACACCTGTACCAGCACAATAACCAGACCAAACATTCAACATGGGTCGTCTTGAAAGCAAGAACTGCATCATCACTGGAGGCGCTGGGTAAGCACCGATCCCGCACGTACCACAGCACATTTTCTATTGGTATTCCATACAACAATCTGTCATGTACCCATGTTCCTTTGAGGGCTTCAACGCCATCTTTCATATTCATTGATCTGGGAGCCAAGAGCATCCACAAAATCATGCTGCGACGGCCAACTGCCAACTAACGACACTTAGCGGCATCGGTCTCGAGACCGCCATCCTCTTTGCTCGGGAGGGCGCCAATGTTCTCCTCTGCGATATCTCCGGCCCGGCGCTGGAGAAGGCTTCGGCCAAGCTGAAAGAGATAGTCCCAGAGGCCAAGAAGGTCGAGACCAAGATTACCGATGTTTCCAAGGAGGCCGATGTAAAGGCCATGGTCGAGCACGTGGACTCATGGGGTGGTCTGGATGTCCTGTTCAACAACGCAGGTATAATGCACGCCGATGATGACGATGCTGTCAACACACCCGAGAAGATCTGGGATCTGACACAAGCTATCAACGTCAAGGGTGTATGGTTCGGCTGCAAGCACGCAGTCAACAGCTTCAGGAAGAACGGCAAGAAGAAGACGAGTGTTATCAACACCGCAAGTGTCGTCGCCTTGGTGGGTAGCGCAACACCGCAGCTTGCATACACAGCCAGCAAGGGTGCCGTATTAGCCATGACACGGGAGTTGGCAATGGTTCACGCACGTGAGGGTTTCAGATTCAATGCGCTGTGCCCGGCACCATTGAAGTACGTTCTTTCCGGAACGACATGGTATCGCAGACCACTAACAGCAATAGCACACCACTCTTGCAGGACTGGCTTGGTGACGACCAAGCTAAGCGTCACCGTCGCGAAGTCCACTTCCCTACTGGCCGCTTTGGTGAGGCCGTCGAGCAGGCCCAGGGTGTTCTCTTCCTCGCCAGCGACGAGAGCAGCTTCGTCAATGGTACCGACTTTGTCATTGACGGTGGTATGACCAGATGCTACACCACACCTGAGGGCGCGCCACTTGAGGCGCCCAAGAACAACGCACGATGAGCGCGTTCAGGGGTTTGGTTTACCGAGGGCAGCGGGAGAGAGACGACTTGTACGGATAGCAAACGGTACTCATGAGGGATGAATGATATATTACATCAGATATGTACGGGGCAAAAAGCGATAGACAATCTTGTGGCTCTTGTCTATCGCTTTTTGCACCGCCCCATTGGCAGCTTGCTCGTGTGGTATATGTGGCTCATTCGCCCGTTCTATGGGCTTTGCCAGTTCAAGGCCACAGAGAGAATCCGAGACACCCATTTTGAGCCTGCCATCAGCAGCCTTCTGGCACTTGCGATACATTTACCCTTGCTGCTAAACATATCGTGATCCACGACAGAACATGCGGTTGATAAGGGGAACAACGATAACACAGCAGCTCTCAGCATCCGATGAAGGCGAAGACTCGGCTCATGCATTTTATCATAGAAGCGTATATGGACGACTACTCAGCGCGCAAGAATGCGCTGAGTGGCTACGGGACTCTTTCCACTATAATCAACGCTTCTTCCAAGTTGCCTAAGAGCGTAAGGAGGAAGAGATATCCAATTCGCTCGGGCATGTCTGACCGGGTCTAGTTGAGGAGAGATGGCTGATTGCATTTATACGGAAAAGTGATTCGTTCGGTGAAGTTTGCCATGGTCGTTTGAAGTAGGAAACCAGGTTTCAGATGACCACGCGCCTTAGCGTTGGATCGCCATTCAGGGTCCAGAGCCAGGATGCGACTTTCTCGGACACGTGAGATCTGGCCGTCAGCCCGTCGTCAGCCAACATGGACCGCATCACAGCACGCGCTGACAACGACTTTGCTGTCGTCTTCTACGGCACGCTCTGGGTAGCTGCGCTCTCTCTCATTTGGTTCACTTGTCGCGCAGATCCCGAGGAGCCTGTCAAGTATGTTATTGACACGCCTGAGCAAACCAAGAAAGGATGGAAGGGCCAGGTGCTCGAGAAGCCTCAATTGAAGGTTTTTATACACCACATCCATTCCAGAGGCGGCAACTGACTTGTAGTAGGTATCAGGCTCATCCTTGATCCAATGCTACGCTCCTGCAACCGGTGAAGCTCTTGGGCGCATCAACCCCTCTACGGCCGACGGTATCGACCGCGCAATCGCCAAAGCCAAAGCTGCGCAGGTACAATGGGCTCAGACAAGCTTCCTCAGACGCCGCAAGGTGCTGCGCACTATGCTCAAGTTTATCCTCGAAAACCAAGAGGAAATTGCGAGAGTGGCATGTCTGGACTCGGGCAAGACTATGGTGGACGCGGCTCTGGGCGAGATACTGGTGACGGTAGAGAAGCTGAGGTGGACAATCAAGCATGGAGAGAAGAGCTTGAAGTCTGAGAGGAGAGATACCAACTTCCTCATGATGTACAAGTGGAACGAGGTCGTATACGAGCCGCTGGGTGTTGTCGCTGCTTGCGTGAGTTGGAAGTGAGTATCAAGCGCTACTGGAATTGATTGGCACGTCTAACATCCTAACAGCTACCCCTTTCACAACCTCATAAGTCCCGTAATCGCCTCTATCTTCGCCGGTAATGCCATTATCGTCAAAGGCTCTGAGGCGACTGCCTGGTCCTCAGCGTACTTCGCCTCGATTGCTACTCGCGCCCTTGAAGCATGCGGCCACTCGCCCGACATTGTCCAATCTGTCGTCTGTTGGCCTGACGTTGCCGACCATCTCACATCACACCCGTCAATATCACACATAACCTTCATCGGATCGCGACCAGTAGCGCACCATGTCTGCGCTTCAGCGGCAAAGGCATTGACACCAGTTTGCGTGGAGCTAGGCGGCAAAGACCCAGCCATAGTCTTGGATGACATCTCCAACAGCGACTTTAGGCGCATAGCCAGCATCCTCATGCGTGGTACCTTCCAGTCTGCAGGTCAGAACTGCATTGGCATTGAGCGCGTCATCGCCCTACCCAAAGTCTACGACCGCTTCATCGAGTATCTCACACCTAAGATCCGCGCGCTCCGCCCAGGATCCATACTCAACGGCTCTCCAGACACACCCATCGATATCGGCGCATCCATATCCGATGCAAGTTACTCCAAGCTCGAAAACCTTATCCAAGACGCCGTCAGCAACGGCGCCCGCCTCCTCGCAGGTGGAAAACGCTACTGCCACCCCGACTATCCCCAAGGCCACTACTTCACCCCTACCTTCATCGCCGACGTCACGCCCTCCATGGCGATTGCCCAAACCGAACTCTTCGCCCCCGTCTTCCTCCTCATGCGCGCCGAATCTGTCGCAGATGCCATCTCCATTGCCAATAGCACCACATATGCTCTCGGCTCCTCGGTTTTCGGCTCTTCGACTCGCGACCTCGAACTCGTTGTTCAATCTCTACAAGCCGGCATGGTTGCTGTAAACGACTTTGCTGTGTACTACATGGTTCAGATGCCGTTTGGGGGTACAAAGGGGAGTGGATACGGGAGGTTTGCCGGCAAGGAAGGACTGAGAAGTCTTTGTAATATGAAGAGTATTACGAGGGACCGGTGGGCTTGGGTAGGGATCAAGACAGGAATCCCACCGCCAATGGATATCCCGTTGCGGGGAGAGGGTGCTGGGGAGAAGGCGTGGAAGATGGCTGAGGGTATTGTTTGGTTGGGTTATGGAAATTTGAGTGGCAAGGTTAGGGGGTTGAGGGGTGTGATAGGTTTGTAGATAGTGACAGTGTAAGATGTGCTTGGACGAAGAGAGTATATAGATAATAGTATGACACCGTCGTTCGACATGAACAGTAAATCATATACATTGAAGTGCAGGGACTGTGTAGTATCGGCTTTAGTCTATAGTTTGATCTTGGAGAAGCTATTCATCAGAAACTAACATAGGGGTATCTAATCTCCTTCTAGGAAGTATTGACTTAGATTATCCAGCAAACACTATCGACATTACAGGCGGACACTACGGTTTTCCCATCGTCTCACCCAAGCCACCTGCTCTTTGAACTGCTGACACAACACCAGCATGCACTGGGCACATTACTTGCAATTACCCCAACGCCTGACCACTTACGGATGTCGTCAGTCACAAGGTCGACGTAGAGCAACAGATTCAGACCAAAGTTGGCGGAAATAGCTGGCAGCCTACGTGACCTTGAACATCTTGAGACTCTTTCCCTCGACGTGCAAATAGTACAGTTCGATATCGATTTCTGGTCGCTTGCTGAGCTTCGTTGCTAGCATCCTTATGCCTCCTATGAGATCTGCCGCCTCATTGTCGTTAGCGTACATAACACGCTTGCTCAGATCAGGTGGCAATATGCCAGCTACGGGATCCAAATAGTGCACTTCAAGTTGCGCCAGAATTGATCGTGCGTGGCGCAACTACGCTTGTAAAAGCAGCAAGAGCAGTTCGGTGTCGTTTACAGCATTATCCACGGTTTGCCGCAATATAGTTCGTGACTTCTCTTGCGGTGAATGAAGCGTGGGAAAGAGCTAAAGGCCGTTTGAAAGATGCTCCGAACCCATAGTTTAGTCGTTCATGTAGCGAATGAGGGATGTGAACCACAACGTGGAGTTGATTCAATCAGTACCCGTGATCAGGGTAGTGTCTGATTGTCGACCATCTTCTGAAGCAGATTTTGACAACGGAATTGCAGAAGTGGTCATCCTTTTAGGCTTCTTGAGTTGTTTTGTTGCGCCTACTGGAAACCGCTTCTTGCCACCGCAAATGAGGCAAGTAACAACAAGAACATCTGCCCAGGGCTTCCTACCACCCTTGCTCGGGTTTTCGAGTGTCTGACTAACAGTACGTCCAGGAATCAGAACGGTGTTACAGGTCTTGCACATGGAGCGCTTCAAGTCGACAGCGAGCCGTAGCTGACCTTTTCGCGATACTTGCTGAAGGTCGGATCCAAGCTCGAGTGCGAGCGGTAAATGTCTTTGGGTCGCGGGCGCATCGTGGGGCGGACTTTCTTTGTCTTGTGCAACATCAATGGCAAACTCGTCTTGGGTGGCCGTTTGCAGAGTCAGGTATGTGGCTGCTTGGTAGAGAAAAGTAGAGCGAGCATGCAGGTGTTTGTTAGGCATGCCCTTTGACTTTGGCGCCTTGACTTTGCTCATGATGATACCCGTGCTACCGTTGGATTCTTGTGCGTGAACTTGTTGTTTCACTGGTGAACAACGAGAGGTACAAGGATATGTAGGTGCTGCTCGCAAACATGGTTCGTGATTCAGCGCGGTCCGTTTGCGGCCTAGTCTAGCGCCCAGCAAGGCACCCCGAGCTTTTTACCTCGACATCAGCGACCAGCGACCGCTCTTGTCCACCGCCCACCACGAACCTCCACCGCCTCAGCAACCTCGTCGAATTCGCGTAACTGTGAACTCGCGAAACACTTGCTGATCTCTTCTTCTCGTAGCTTTTAGTATAATACCGCGCTTCGGCATCCTCACGACTCCACTTTGTTTGGCAGCCTTCCTTGCGACACGCGCAGCCGCCAACTCTACACGACACCAGCACTCTTATCCCAACACATAACTCATCATGTCTCACGAGGAAGATCTCATCGACTACTCCGACGAGGAGATCCAGACGACTGATGCGCCCGCCAACGGCAGCGCAGCTGCCAGCAAGGGCGGCCTCACCGCTGGTGACGCTGCAGGCGACAAGAAGGGCAGCTACGTCGGCATCCACTCAACCGGTTTCCGCGACTTCTTGCTCAAGGACGAGCTCGTACGAGCAATCACGGACTGTGGCTTCGAACATCCTTCCGAGGGTTAGTCTAATAATTCCCCTCAGCCTTATCCACCTACAAGCGTCTGTCCATCTACGAAACGAGCTCTGTCTACAATGCGCCCTGGTCTGTCTATATACGAGCGGAGTGGCGAGGGACCCAGTGCCTTCCGCTACCTACGAGCGTCGACGCGCACTGCATTATGGCGTGCGCAGCGGTATATGCATCAAGAAGCCTAGTGCTGCCCATTGGCTCACTTTCGTGGTCCCGAAGGACTGGTTTCCGAGGAGGAGTGCATGGTGCAGGTGTACAAGAGGAGGCACACCTTGAGCGTATGGGGAGGACAGACAGACTGGCACGCGCGCTAGATGGAATACCTCGGCTGCTCAAGATGGACGGACGCTTCGCTTCCCACGCTTCGTTTCGACCGCTTTAAAGACCTTTCTGACATAACGTGTGCCCTACAGTCCAGCAAGTTACCATTCCCCAGGCCATTCTAGGAAACGATGTCCTCTGCCAGGCCAAGTCCGGTCTCGGAAAGACTGCCGTCTTCGTTCTCGCAACTCTCCAGCAGATGGACGAGAAGCCTGAGCCTGGCGTTGCCACTATCCTGGTCATGTGCCACACTCGCGAGTTGGCCTACCAGATCCGCAACGAGTACAACCGTTTCGCCAAGTTCCTGCCAGACGTCAAGGTTGGTGTCTTCTACGGTGGAACTCCCGTCCAGAAGGACATCGAGCTCCTGAGCAACAAGGACACTCACCCCCACATCATTGTCGGTACCCCCGGTCGTATCAACGCCCTCGTACGCGACAGGCATCTTCGCCTTGCCAACCTGAAGCACTTCGTCCTCGACGAGTGCGACAAGATGTTGGACCAGCCCGGTCAGTGTACATTCTCTATTCCGGCTGATTCTTGCTAACACTTGACAGACATGCGCAATGATGTCCAGGCCATCTTCCGTGCCACTCCCCAGCACAAGCAGGTCATGATGTTCTCGGCCACCCTCAACAAGGACGTCCGCGTTGTCTGCAAGAAGTTCATGCAGAACCCGCTCGAGATCTACGTCGATGACGAGAAGAAGTTGACACTTCACGGTCTCCAGCAATACTACATGAAGCTTGACGAGAAGGAGAAGAACCGCAAGCTCAACGACCTTCTCGACAGCTTGGAGTTCAACCAGGTCATCATCTTCGTCCGTTCGACTCTTCGCTGCTCTGAGCTCGACAAGCTCCTTCGCGAGTGCAACTTCCCCAGCACTGCTGTCCACTCTGGAATTAGTCAAGAAGAGCGGTATGTACTCGACGGTTTTCGCTTGCTAGTTCAACACTAATTCGTATATAGTATCAAGCGCTACAAGGAGTTCAAGGAGTTCCAGACCCGTATCTGTGTCTCCACTGACATCTTCGGTCGTGGTATCGATGTCGAGCGTATCAACGTCGCCATCAACTACGACATGCCCGACAAGGCCGATGCCTACCTTCATCGTGTCGGTCGTGCCGGTCGTTTCGGAACCAAGGGTCTCTCCATCTCGTTCGTGAGCAGCCCCGATGACGAGGCTGTCCTCAAGTCGATCGAAGAGCGCTTCCAGGTCGAGCTCCCCGAGTTCCCGGAGAACGGTGTCGACTCCGGCACTTACATGGACAACTAGTGGTCACTAGGATCAAGTGACGGATGGGTGCGGGAACGGTTTTCTTTTGGACAGAAAGTCACCATTGAACTTCGATAGGTGTCGTTGATCGAAGTAGAACCGCTTTGCAACGATCATGAAAGCAACGGCGCAGGTGGTTCTTGGCTTCAAAGTCTGTTCTGTAATTTAGTTCTCAGAGGCAGCAGAGAAGCTATTGCCTCGCTGGGAGGAAACGAAGAAATTGATATATCATCTCCCGTCCATGATAAGCTCTGTTGTCCGAACATGACTAGTTATATGACCGTTGCTGCTACTTTTTGACAACGCCTGTATAGCTTGCTTACGTGTTCTTCTCAACGAGAAAAATCGACCTTGTGCACAGATGTTGATAACGTGATCTTCACTGGCAGACGTTCTAGCCTTTCCTCGTACGCGTCGGTGTATCTTGTTTTTCTTTGCTTCACACGCGGTGTTTCGGTTGGGCTCCATGGTCTTCGGCTCGGGCGATCGTAAAAGCAAGTGGTGCAGATCTCGTTTCAAGGGCTACTACGGGCGGGAGAAGTAAAGAGGAGAAGGCTAGATAAAATGGTTCATAGCTCTCGCCACCTAATTATAGCGGTATTGCGATTACTTTTGTTCAACAAGTTCACGTTCGAGGTGGAGCGACCGCACCTGCTGTGTTTTGTACTGAGACATTTCAGATGTTTGAGTTTAGAAAAAGTTCAGGTCAGAGAGGAGCTTTGCTTGTTGGGTCCCATCAGAGATAAAGAGTTGGTACGGGCAAAGGGTATGCGTTTTTGTTGAAAACTCGGACAGGCATGATCCCATAGACAGTGGACAACAATGTGTAGGGAGTAGACCCTTAATTTGTTTGTTCTACACATTTGCTACCAAGTCGCGTCTTGGATCATTGGCGAGCAAATGTACGAACTAACAGGATAAGGGTTCGAGTAGTGTTTCTGGGGAGCCACATGGCTTGGTGCCAAAGCGGTATCGACGTGAACCAGCGGTCTGATATCATCAGACTCTTTTTTGACGCAATATGTTATCCAAATGTCGTGATTTTGTCAAACTCAACAACGGTTCTTTACCACAAGAAAGTGTTTCTGAAACTTATGGAAGTAATGAACTTGCGCGCTCTGGCCAGGCTAGATCTTTGCAATTGTCTCTGGTGTACTCTGGTTAGGGCTTTCTAGTCCTATCAAGATTCTAGGGTCACGTTTGCACGAGACTGTAACGTGGCGAGGCAACCGTCTCCAGAGTCACTGGTCATGTCAAGATCTCAAGTCTCTTAATATCCAGCAGTATCAAGCTACGTACTTAATAAACATCAGCTCATGTTACAACCGTTTTGTCCGAAATGGCCAGACGAAAAGCCAGACTCGGAGCTTGTTCGCCATCTTGCCTAAAGGTCCATCCTCCACTTGTTGTATACTAGATAGATCTATATCACAGGCATTTTATAGCTTACCCACTGTGGATATAAGCACAGTAGTTTATCAAGAATTATGCGACGTTGGGTCAGCGATAGAAAGTTGGCAGGATGCCTGCTGGTCCTATATACTGGACCTTCTCACAAGCAAGGCTTGTTACAAAGGCTCATCTCGCTTCTGCATGTCGTGTGAGCATTGGCGGCGTCTCCGTACTTGCATGTAACCTGTCATTAAGATTAGATAGACGTTGGAATATGGTTGCGGAGCACGGCTGCGTAAAATTCCGAGCAAGCGATCAACGCCGCGGACCCCTTTTATACAAGGCGATTGGTGAGTTCGTCCTTTACAGAACATAGCCAGCATAAGGGGACTATTGGCATCCCTTTAGCCGATAACAAGAACTTAGCAAGGTTGGTGAGCGGTGTGCGCTGAGGACAAAGGTGAGAGATGCATGCTGCGTATCGCGACCACAATCCGCAAGGTCGGGCCCAACATTAGGCGAAGATCACCACGTTTCTATTTCGATATTTCTGTTAAGGAAATTCATGATGTGAAGATCGACGGCGGCGACCCAGTCCCTTGTTCGGCAGCCGCGCACATTACCGGCCCGCAGTGGCGCCACATGTCAGGAACAAGACCGAGGTGACTCGCTTGGCGGGGCGGCGTTCAGGAGCACGAGCAAAGGCGTCGGAAACGGTTAGTGATCTCAAAATGAGACATGGGTAGCGAAGTGTCGGAGGGCTGAAGCCGCGAAGATTTATGATTCGATAAGAGGTAACGGGATGCAGAGTCGTGTTTCAATAGATGCAGTGACGATCGTAAGACATGGAGTCAATTTGCGAGGACGTGGCAAGCTTTAGTCGCCTCTGTGCAGCAAGTGAGATTCCGAAGAGATAGCAACGACGCGCGATGAGTATGCGGTTCTATTTTGAGACTTGGGCGAACGTCCCTTCCGAAAGTGGTTTCCTCACCGGATATGATATGGTTTTGCGCTATAGGGCAGGGCTAGAAATCGCAATTCTCATTTCCCATACGCATGCCATCGCATTCAATCGCATTCACGTCGCGTCTCGAGTGTTGTGTTAGCGCGTACATGATTGCTGTGGGGGCGATTGAAACGCCAAACATCCCCGTACCCCGTGTATACGCCGCGTATTATCAGACGCAGCAGCCGTTGGACGAACGGCATGGATCTTAGTCCGACGCAGTTTGTTACGTCCGCGATGTTCTGTTGGCCATCCCAGGAAAACTTTCAACGGCGGGAGGATACGAATACGAGATCCCTTCTTCCAGGCGCCAGGGATGATGCACGAGGCGCGATTGCTTGACTAGGTTAAAACAATAAGCTTTTCAAGGAGATGTTACGGACGAAATGCAACAATTAACCCCCACCTGCTGGTTCCCGCTGTCAGAGTCAACGGTGCTGCATTGCAGCTTCTGTCGAATATCTGGTAGAGCGAGTATAGGAGCAGCCACGTAATTGCATAAAAAGGCTGGCTGTTGACATCTAGGGCGAGTGTGTGATAGCTCTAATGTCATTTGCAACGGAAGTAGCAGGAGTGACTAGGCGGTTGCAACTACAACTGAATGTCGTTAGGAAGTCGCGTGCGGTCATGTCAGAGGGCAGCGCTTCGAGGAAGGAGCGGTCGCGTCTGAAGCGAGATCTCGATCGCTGTGGATCGGGGGTCGACGGCGCAAGAGCGATGGTTTCGCTTGCAGATGAGCCCGCGCAGTGTGAATGTCTGAAGCATATGAATTGCAATTGTGTCGGTACAGATAGTAGCCGCTTCAAGCAGTGATCATTGACTGTGATTCCCGCATGTCTTGGCGAGATGTCCTATACAGGAGCAAGGCGCGGATCTGCTGCATGGTGCGATTTCACAGGTTGATGAGTGCGATTGACGCAGCTGGTGGCGTATTAGGATGTGGCGACAGCGAAAGCTAATGTTGTTTCGTGGATTGATAGGTTGCTCAACCTCAGACACGGCGACTGCTGTGTTGCTCATGTTGTGTTGGCACATGTACCCGACACCATGTCGGCCGCTCCAGCGATGGTCTGATTTTGTAAGCTCAAAGGCGGCTCGGGTGCGGGAAGCAAGTCGAGCCGTGCATTTCCAGTCGGTGGATTAGTCGCTGGTATTGTACAGTAGTGGCTCCGGGCGGAACTGCCGCTGGGTCGCGGTGAGGTCTCGTTGAAAAGACCGACTTCAAGCTACTGATCTGACCCACCGACTGGCTATTTCACTGCGCGAAGACTAGACTCGGAGCAGCAAGCAGCGGGCGTAATCAGGTTCCGAAAGGACCAAACGGCCAGGTGGAAATTAATACAAGGCTCTATCTGGCCGGGGCTGTATCTCGGACAGTGGCAGCCCCTTTTGGAGGATTTTCAGGCTGCCCGTTGAGAAATCAACCAAGGATGGAATTGACAGCGGTCGCACGGTCCCCAGTTCGACGGTGGAATAGGCGTTGGGACTGTCTGTCTTGGCCAGACGTAGCGAACGTCGACGTCAGACGCGCGTGGAGCTTCAGTGACGATTAGTTTGATTAGTGCTAGGACGGTTGGGGGTTGGCGCTGACGGTAGTGAGTTGTGTACCAGACGCGCAAACATGGTTGAGGCAGCGTGGCAGCGTCGTGTACAATGTCGAGGGCTACATAAAACTAGCCACGGCCGGCGCATTCTGGACGCAAGGCGCGAGGTGCAGCAGGTTTTGGTGATAGGCGAAGGCTTCAGATCGTCGAGTGCATGTGGGCGAAGCGGATCTCCATGGGCTGGCCGGGATGATGCCGCGCAAGCATCAATCTGCCAGGGCTGGCGATGTGGGTTTGTTTCTAGAGTTATTTCGCAACACGCGACGCTTGACAGTGTTTGCACTGCGACAAGAGACAATTAACAGCTGCCTCCCGCAGTGCACAACTTCTGCAACTAGGAGTTGGAGGGAGATCTGCCGTCGCAGCATCGCAGCATGGGCACGCCACACCGCGCATATGCCTTTTTATGAAGCAAAAAAACAATGACGACGGGCACGGCCCCGCCCATAATAAATCAGCGATGAATTTGGCGTCGACAGCGATAAGTGCAGGGCCTGTGCCCAAAGCATTCTAGTGGGCACCGGGCAGACAGGCAGGCAGTCAGCGGGATATCAAGCCAGTGCAGCTCTGGGTGGCAGCGCAGGCCAGCAACCTTGTCTACTACCCTCCAAGCCTCTACCCTCCCCCAAACATCTGCTCACTCTACTCTGCATTGCATCTTTGCTGCCTGCGTCCGCTCGCTTTGTCAGAGATTCTGCCGTGGAACCCGCGTCCAGCTGTGCGCTCCTTCTCACGCCGACCCGACTGCAGTAGTCGTGGTAGCTTCCCTCACCCTCCGCCGTCTGCGCCCGTCACGACCCAGTCCGTCTTGTCTTGTCCCGTCCTGCCTCTTACCCGCGCCTCTCACTTAATGTTCTGTTACGAGTCGCCCCAGTGATCCATCTCTCCAGGCCTCCGCACACTCGTTTCCCTTACTATCTTAATCGATAATTTCCTGCCGCTGTCTGTTGTTGCACGCCAATTGCGCTACATCGAAGCGCGCTCCGAACGCCAACTTTTTGGCTCTTCACCCTCACCTCAGCCGCTGCTGTTCTCACACACACCCTCTCCGAACACCCACCTAAGGCGACTTCGATATGGCTCCAGCAGTCCCCCGATTACGCATTCTGTCAGGTGCGTCATCTCCCAGCGGGCGTCGCACTGCAGCCGGGGGCTTCCACCGCCCTCGTCCTCGCACAGGCTCTGCTCGTCCTGTATACGCGGCCTACGCCCACATCTGCTTTTGCACCTTGGGCACTCGGCCGCGTCATCACCGCGACTGAATAATTGCTGACTCTCTGCAGTGGGCGGTAATGCTGTCTCGGCCTTCTTATCATGGCGACTGCAAGCAACAAATGCCTGCGACGTCACCCTCGTATGGAAGTCGGGATACGAGAGCGTTGCCCAGTACGGCATATCCTTCAAGTAGGCCATTCAACCAACCAACCTACTCCAAACCATCTCTGACAACCCATAGATCCCAACTCTACGGCAACGAGCGGTTCAAGCCCCATGCTGGTACGCTCGCCAGGCTACTCCCACCCCCAGATTACAGCTGACACCCCTCGCAGTCGTCCGCACTCCCGAAGATGCCGCGCATTCTTCCAAGCAGCCATTTGACTACGTCCTCCTTTGCGTAAAAGCCCTGCCCGATGTATACGATATTGCCAACATCATTGAGTCGGTCGTCTCTCCTCAGCATACGTGCATCCTTATGAACACTACACATAGCCTTGGCGTTGAATCATATCTCGAGCAGCGTTTCCCTACAAACGTAGTGCTTTCATTGGTATCCGGAGCAGAAATTTCGCAGCTTGGAGCTAGCGAATTTGAACACAAAGGCGCGACCGACATCTGGGTTGGTCCTGCTAACAAGAACGCCAACATCCCGCCGCAGATCCAGTCAGACATGGCTGAGGCTCTGGCCATGACGCTGAGCTCCGGACAAGTCGACTGCAAGGTCTCCTCCAACATACGACAGCAGCAATACGAGCGAATGATAGGGTATGTCATTTATTACATGGTCGCACATCATCAACTAACGTAATACAGTCCAATCGCTTTCCACCCTGCCAGTGTTGTGTTCGAAACACCCAACCACACTGAGTTGATGGAGAAGGTCGGCGTACGGGCCCTTGTCACTGGTGTGCTTGATGAGATGATTGCACTCGCCAAAGCCTCAGACTGCACATTTCCCGCCGACTTCCGGGAAACGACGCTTCAAGAGTTCACCCGCCCGCAAGAAAACAACAGCACTATGTGGATGGACTTCGAAGCAAAGCGGCCTATGGAAGTTGAGACTTACCTTGGATCTCCTTTGAAGCTCGCACAAGAAGCCGGTGTTGCTGTGCCTCGGATCGAGACTCTATACGCCACACTTCATCACCTCAACATCGTCAACCGAACACGCCCGGCTGCTCCAGTAGCTGCCACACAATCTCCTCAGAATGGCATGCAGCCACCTCCCAGACAATCCTCAGCACCAATGCCCCGTGGTCCCCCTGTCAAAGGCCCAATGATGAACGGCAACGGTCCCATGAACGGTGGCCCTCGCCCCGGAAGCCGTGCTCCTTCCATCAACGGAGGTCCTCCAATGATGCGTCGTGGCCCACCTCCAGGCCCCAACGGCTATCCCCCAAGGATGAACGGAGCCCCCAATGGCCAACGACGTCCCTCGTTCGAGGAGAACGGTAACTTGGAGGAGTTCTCGCATCTGATGCTCTATGATGATATGGTTCCTGATGGCGCTGTCAACGGAGGTCCTTACGAGAGCGCCGGAAGCTCTTCCAACAACCTGTCACTTCGCGAGCGAGAACTGATGCTGAGGCAGAGAGAACTGCAGATCAGAGAACAGGAGATGAATATGCGAGGCGGCCCGCCAATGGGTCGCGGTGGTCCTGGCCCAATGGGTCCTCCAATGGGACCCATGGGCCCTATGGGCCGTGGTCGAGGACGGCCTCCGCCACCCCAATCAATGGCCGGTTTCGACGACGATGATGACGACGGCGATGACTACTTTGATCCCATGGGCGGTCGAGGAGGTCCAATGATTGACCCCGACAACTTTGACATGATGAGCGTAACTTCGCGTCGCAACCGCTCAGCTCCTAGTGCTAAGCAGATTCGTAGCAACCCTGAAGGCGCAGGTTTTGGTCCTGGACCCAACAGAGGAGGACGCAATCCATTTGGGCGTCCAGGAATGAACAAGAATCGGAGTAGTGCTCGGTTGATGGCAGACGTTCCTGGTCTCCACGACTCGATCATGAATAACCCCCTTATGGGCTACTCGTCGGATCGCTACGGACACGTCGATCGCGGCGCTATGGGCGCTCAATCCAGAACCAACTCACTGACATCAGCTCGTCTAGATGAGCTCTCAGGTGGCGGAGGCTACGGTGCTTACCCGACGCCGAACAGCCGCCGTATGAGCCAGTCACCTGGCAACCCTCTCAGCCCGGGCCCGCGACCTATGGGCCGACCATCACCGCCAAACGGCTTCAATGGCATGCCTCCTAATGGAATGCCTCCCAACGGGCGGCGGCCATCGCCCCCTGGCATGGGGCAGCCAGTACCAAGACACCCTGGCCAAGGAAACGCGGTGGCGCCACAACAGGTTGAACAACATGCTGGGGTGAGCAATCTATACCCGCCTAAGTCACGTCCCCAAGTTCGCAGTCTGACTGGAAGCGCTTCAAATAGTTCCGCTAGCGCAAAAGCTGAAGATTCGACGGAAAACTCAGCGCACAGCAGCCAAAGCAGCCTCGGACCCCGTCCTCCGGTCGCGGTCCAGCAACAAGAATAATGTTCGACTCAGATTTGGCGGCCATTGGTTTTGAATGTTGATATTTTGCATTGACACTGGTTCAACTTGGGCGACATTGGCGAAATCATCTACTGGTTCTCGATCGACACATCCTTTTTCTTTCAATGACGGTCAGCAGAGCGGGCTGGACGTCTCTTTCATCACCTACTTCCACAAACACGTATACGCACCGAACCATCACCATCGGACGGACCACAATCCCAAGGAAGTCTGGGAGGCTTCATGGACAGCCAGCGGCCCGCTCAGATGGTGGATGTCTAATGACGAATAGAATTGGGCCGGGAAGGGACACATTTTGACGTACACAATCCGGCCTCACACGACTGGAGCCGTTGCTTTCGGGTTTTCTCTTTTGTCTATATCGTACATACTTGTAGAACGCTCTTACGGCGGCGGCGACAGCAGCAGCCTCTCCTTTTCTCCTTCACACACATACAGACTGTGGCAGCCCGCTAATCATGTTTTTCTTGACTGCATGGGTTTTCTGCTCAGTGGAGGTTGGGTTATCTTCCCTTACCACTTGCTTGCTATACTACGGAGTTTTCGATACATGCATATGGATTTTATTTGCTCGTTCTTTGTAACCATTCATTTCTTTTGTTTGCCCGAGGGGCGCAACCTATTCCCCAGTGCTGTGTATAACTACTATAGCTACACGAGCAGTAGCAAGTATCATGTTGGTGGCTGGATGGAGAAGCATTTCGTAGTTGAGCATATGTAGGCCGACGAGCAAAAAAGCAAGCAAGACGTTCCTTTGTTGGGAAACCGCAGCATGACATTGTGAAGAGAGATGCAAAAAACAAAAGCGGTTGAATCTACGAAGCTAGAATTGTGCCGCTGTCCCGAGTCAGCCGCCTACGTAAATCACGGTCAAGTACGTTGGCACGTGCTCAAACTCCTCACTTCACGATGCCGACGGCTAGACGACTGCTCGTTACAATCGCTAGCGCAACCAGCCGTGTGAACGCCTTCCTCAAAGAATGGCAATGTTCTCGTTCCGCCTTTAAACCAATTGCGCCCCCCTAACGTGATCTTGCCTCGTATCCCAACGCGTTGGCATGCAAGTGATGGTGTTCGTGCATGGTAATTGCATGCCCAAGCTTGCCTACCCCTCGTTCTCCGTCATAGCTGGACAACGCGGGGCAGTATGAGCATCAGCTCGCTGTCACGCTCCAATAAAGCCACGCGCCCACTTCAGAGCGCGACACAGAGCGCGTGTCCTGATCGACCAGGACCTACAAGAAGTCTTTTCGCGACCCACACGGTAGCCACCGTTCTCGTCCTGCTACTAGCGCTGGGTACCGGTTTCTTCGCACCCCACCTCCCACACGCCATCTTACGCACTGTTACCAACAAACAGGCTCCTTCCTTCACTCTCCGCAATCCGATCGTCCTACAGGAACCTGCTATCTGCCCGAAGCCCGAACCTCAGGTCGAATTCGTCGGTACTTTCAACACCCAACATAAGCGCAGCATGACACTCGCAGAGCAGGCGAAGCGCGTCGCCGCCGAGTTCGACTTCGACGACAATGCCGTCAACAAGGCCGTCAAGGAGTTTATTCGGGAGATGGGTATGCACGAAGACACAAGTTGGGCAATTGGCTGCTGACGACGCGCAGACGAGGGCCTGGAGAAGACAGGCACCGAAATGAGCCAGATCCCGACATACGTCACTGCTGTTCCCGATGGCACGGAGAAGGTACGGCCTCGATATGCGCGAGTGTTTGCTCCCTTCTGATACTGCACAGGGTCTCTACATGGCCGTCGATCTGGGTGGCACCAACTTCCGCGTGTGCTCCATCGAGCTTCACGGTAACACCACCTTCTCACTCACCCAGAGCAAAGTAGCCATTCCGCGCGAGCTCATGGTCGCAAAGACATCCAAAGAGCTCTTCTCCTTCCTTGCGAAACAGATCGAGGCCTTCCTGAAACTGCATCACGAAGAACACTACGCCGGCACGCTCAGGCGCAGAGAAGGAAAAGAAGGCGAACCACAAGATGAGGAGATCTTCAACCTGGGTTTTACCTTTTCGTTCCCGGTTCACCAGATAGGAATTAACAAGGGTATGCTGATGCGCTGGACAAAAGGTTTTGACATCCAGGATGCGGTCGGCAAGGACGTGTGCGCTCTGCTTCAACAGGAAATTGACGAGCTCCATCTCCCCGTCAAGGTGGCTGCTTTGGTGAACGACACTGTCGGAACTCTCATGGCACGCTCGTACACATCGCCCGGCAAGACCGGTACATTACTCGGTGCAATTTTCGGAACCGGTACTAACGGAGCCTACGTCGAGAAGCTGGACAAAGTCACCAAGCTCACCAAGGACAAGAACGGTGGTGTATACGACAAGTCGACTGGAGAGATGATTGTCAACACTGAGTGGGGCAGCTTCGACAACTCTCTCCGCACTCTGCCCAACAGCCCTTACGATGTTCAGCTTGACAAAGACTCCGTTAACCCCGGAATCCAAATGTTCGAGAAGCGTGTATCAGGCATGTTCCTGGGAGAACTTCTACGTCTTGCTCTGCTTAAACTGATCAAGGACCCTGCTGTTCCTCTTTTCACTGATGACAACTCGTCCTCGAACGATGTTCACAGCACCACACAAATCCACGACAGCAGCCCAATATGGAAGCAGTGGGGTCTTGACACGAGCTTCCTAAGCGTGTGCGCCGGCGACAACAGCCCTGGCTTCCGCATGCTGCGACAGACGCTCGACAAGGACTATGACATCTCCGCTGTCAGCGCTGAGGACGCAGAGGCAGTCCGCTTAATTGCTGGAGCGATCGGTCGCCGTGCTGCCCGTCTTGCTGCTGTTGCCATTGCCGGTACCATCATCAACACTGGTCGTCTGAACAAGTCTTCAGGCTCCGCTACCACGGAGCAGAAATCAGGCATCGAGCCCCCACGTGGAGACGTTGATGCCAGTGCAGGAGATGAGATTGACATTGGTGTCGATGGCTCGCTGGTAGAGTTCTACCCCAACTTTGAGGAGTACATTCGTGAAGCACTACGTGCGATACCCGAGATTGGTGCAAAGGGCGAGAAGAGAGTCAGAATCGGTATTGCGAAGGACGGATCTGGTGTTGGTGCCGCGCTTATCGCTCTTGTCGCTGGAAAGGTTGGTGCGCCGCAGTAGGTAAGGTGGCTTGAATGTTGGACGTATAGTACATGAGTGCTCTTTTTGTGTAAATGAATCTCGGAAATGAAACGACGCAATTTTGACAGCAAACAAGATTCTCTTCTGCCTAGTGCATTGCTACTTGTTATAGCATTCCAGTGCGACGCTTCCATTGTCTTTAGCTAATTATTTTGAAGGCATCCCTTGCCAAAAAAAGTCAATGACGCATGATGTTACATGTGGGCCCATCTAGAAGCGTGACTCCACCTGCCCCACCATCATCCTTTGTGTTGAGCTTCACCTAGTGACTGATTCACCACGCATAGCGGGTCTGTAAGATAAACAAACGACGATATATTTGATATTTGTTTTTAACTGCTCATCAATCAGATCACAGCCCGGCTGGCACAATTGGTTAGCGCGTGAGACTTTTAATCTCAAGGCTCAGGGTTCGGTACGATTATCCAACTATCTCTCTTCGAAACGCGCCACTAACAATAACTAGAGTCCCTGGTCGGGCGAGATATCTTTTTTGTCCACCTACGAACACTACGTCTCTACTCCTCTGCACTCCAATGTAGCCAGATAGAGAATCTTAATCCTTTTTTGCTACAGGAGTTTGGAAGCTTGATCATGTGGCGGCGCGGCAGTTACCTCTACACGCAGTTGTGTTTTGTCTGCACGTTTGATCAATGCCGTTGATTCCAATTACTGTAACGAATAAACAGATTGGTGTCTGTCTTGATGGTCTAGAAAACATGTTTTTGCCTACTATACTACGATTCAACAGTCTAAATAGCTGTCCTATTTTTCATGGTCAAGCATACGATGCTTGATCACCTCTTTCAGCTGATTCGCAGTCTTCTTACCCTGAACTGATAAATTGTCGCAACCTGAGTTGAATTTCTTCATACTTTCGAACGCAACAGCAGACAGGGATCGTGCACGTTGACGCTGCCGTTCCTCATTATCGTCTTGCTGCCAGGTTCGCAGCTGGTGGTATGGCAAAAAGTCCTCAAAGGCGGCATTCAAGCGAGGAGGACATGGGCTATTGTCAGACTCTGAAATTGGTGGTTCGTCATGTTGAATGATGGTTTCGGCTCTTATCTTCTGAAGTATCTCTCGCGCGGATTCTGGAAGTGGCTTGCGAGGGATAAAGAATGCTTTTCCACATGGTGATGATTGAAAACGGATCTCTCTTTCCACGGGAGTAGCCAGCTTAGCAGTTATGCAATTGTGACTAGCCTCTAACGCATGAAGGTTTGCCTTGGTCAGCTTGAGGCTGCCAAACTGTTCGACGAATCGACTTTTCCTCGATATCTTCCTAGGTACTTTCTTAGCTGTAGGAGATATAGTGGCATAGGCAGTACAAAAAGACTGCTCTGTGCCAGAAGACTCAACCTCTGAGTAACCAGACTCGTTTGATATTTCTTCCATCGGCCGATGTGTTCCCAAAGAGCTGGACGAGTGATCACCCCAATGTTCGTATGGTTCTGCCATAACATCCTGAAACATGAGTTTCGACATGGGTATAGCGCTTGTTGTCGTTGCTGCGGAAATTTCTTTCAGTCTCAGTTGAGTCCTCGCAGCCGAGTGTGAAGTTGCTCTCGAGTGACCGAAACATGTTGCAGATTTGTTCCGGACGATGGAGGCTATCATAATATATATTGAACTTCACGAGCTAGGTGATTTCACTGCGAGACAATATGCGATAGCAGCACATAGTCCCCTAGCGTCTGAAGTGACACACATTCTGCATTATCTAGAGTGAAGGCTACTTGTAACATAGCTCCCGGCTGCAAGGCCAGCCAGAATCGTAATATGTGAAGCTTTTTGTTTTAGTGTTCGTACCGAACCCTGAGCCTTGAGATTAAAAGTCTCACGCGCTAACTAAATGTGCTATTCAGACTGTGATTTAATTAGTTTATGTTTAAATGTAAGTGCCTGATTTCTTAAGCTCTTGCCGCCTCGTAAATGTCAACTTAAGCAAGAACCTGCTGTCAGTGTGACATTTCATCTCGCATAGAGTAGAAACTTCTGGAGTCTACAGTGTGTTATTTTCGGACCCAAATGTGCTTACTATCATGTGTAGCTAACCAAAGGTCCCAGAGGGAAGAGAGTGTCAAACGATTATCGTTCTTACTATAACTTCCTCCATTAGGGCAGATTTCGTATATCGACCATCATACCTAGACAGTCGTCTGTTCATCCGGTCGTGAAAGCTAGCGCATACTCGTTGCGCCAGGATGAAAGTATGCGTCGATGATCATAAGCTTGAATCATCCCCAACGTATCCCATACCCTTCCGCCACCAGCCCCAAACACCCATCTTTTGCATGCTAGCCCCGAAATCTTTTACGCTCTCTACTTCTTCCAGTTTTCCATACGTGACACCATCTTTTACTTCTTTTCCTTCAACTTCTTTGCCCGCAGGCTTCTTGACTAGCTGGAAGTCTTTGTAACGTAGCCTCTGTACGTTTGATACCCATTCTCTTACACCGGTCTCAGAACCTTGGCAGTACATGATGCCCGGACAGCCGCCATAACGTAGCAGAGCGTAGATATGACAATTCGATGCCGCAGCTTTGAGCTTGGCAACCTTTTTGCGGGAAGTGATGTGATGGGTTCGGATTAGAGCGTTGTAGATCGGTTGAGACATGCCATCTGTGTAGAGTCATCAAACTCAGAGAGTAGGCTGTATATTTAGACTGGTGTGTTTGACGCATGTTTAGAAGGCGTTCCACTGGTGGACGCGGTTGCACGTGACGTCACTAGCGCTAAACGATTTTCCAAGATCGCGGAATGCTAATGACGTGCAGGCGAGGCCTGAAGGATATTTCGAACGACTTCGACAACGACCGTATGGATTGCTGCCGTATACGGAACCCTGCGTATGGAAAGTTATGAAGCCTATTTTGCTTCATAGAGTCGCCGCCCCATCAACGTCCGTTCTGAGCTTCCTACGAGCTCAAGTCACCAATGCGTTCGAGCGGCCGTTGGCGCAATGCGCCCAGGTAGCCCCGCAACGACGCAGATACGGCACGAAGATCAGGTCACAAACACTGTTGGGAGATGCAGCACGCGGGGCGAACACGCAAGGTTGGAAGAGAGGAGTAGGCGCTGGAAGTAGGACATTCGCAACTTCGCAATGTCTCTCGGGCACGAAGATCTCGCAACCAGTCTTCGAGAATTCACTCGTCGCCCCACAGACCACTGCTCTCCCCGTACGAGATGTTGATTCTCAGGGCCATCGGAGGTTCTCTACAACTTCCACGAACAAAGCGTGGAACATCTTCCGCTCAGCAAAGATGCGAAGATTGGCCCAACTGCAAGCACCGCAACCGCCACCGGATGAATCATCTTCAGGTGCAACGGGGTTTGGAAGTAGCCTGGGACGTATAATGCGACCTACCAACGAACTCAAAATGCGTTGTACGGAACTTGACGAACACGGCAATGTAACGCTCGTTAGTGGAGAGTTCAAGAAGAGCGAACTTATCGCCAAGGTGCGCACGGCATTGGGTCTATCCAGACTATGTAGCTGATCATTGAATATAGTACGGTCTACTTCCTCGTGATCTTCGCAAGATCGATTCCTCGCTCCTCCCGCATATTCTCGTTCGACCTTCGGCGATCCTGATAAACCTCCTGAACCTTCGTGTCCTCCTGAAGCACAACCGCGTCCTTGTATTTGATGCATACGGTACCACCGATTCGAAGTCACAGTCCGTGTTCATGTACGATCTCGATCTCAAACTGCGCCAGAAAGAATCCACAATCAATGGTACCCTCGCCTACGAATTCCGAGCCCTAGAAGCTGTTCTTATAAGCGTAACACTGAGCTTGGAGAAGGAATTCGAAGGCGTCAGTGAACCAGTGGTTCGAGTTCTGCGAGAGCTCGAAGAAGACATCGACAGGGACAAGCTGCGGTACCTGCTCATCTACAGTAAGAAGCTGGGTAGTTTCGAACAAAAGGCAAGATTGGTCAGAAACGCACTGGAGGAATTGCTGGAGGCCGACGACGATCTTAGCGCCATGTATTTGACAGAGAAGGCAGAAGGCAAGACACGGGAAGAAGACGATCATACCGAAGTCGAAATGCTCCTTGAATCCTACCACAAGGTCGCCGACGAAATCGTACAAGCTGCCGAGAACTTGGTATCTAGCATCAGGAACACTGAGGAGATGTACGTTTTTCTACGCCCCTCTCTACCATTCTCCAACCAAACTAATTCTTGTATAGAGTCAAAGCTATTTTGGACGCCAACCGCAATTCCCTTATGCTTCTCGACCTCAAGTTCTCCATTCTTACCCTTGCAATCACTGCCGGAACCTTTGTTGCGGCTCTATACGGCATGAACCTGAAGAACTTTATCGAAGAATCCGATCTTGGTTTCTTCGGCATAAGCGCTTGGTGTACCGTGTTTGGTTTTATCGTCGCTGTATACGGACTTTCAAGGCTTCGTAAGGTGCAACGGGTCAGCATGTATGGTCATGGACCTGGTGCGCTTGTTAGCAGGGAGCCAACTAGACCAACAGTAGCTCCAGGCAATACATGGGGCCTTGGTGCATGGGGTGGCGGTAGTAGGAACGGAGTTAGTCGAGGGGATATGGGTAGTACGATGCCGTCTGGTGCACCAGATCTGGGCGGTATAACGAAGAGGGGTGACACGCTGGCAAGTGTCGTGGAAAGAGAAAGGGCGTTGGCAAGGAAGTTGGCCAAGATGGAACAGAGGGCTGATGACGCTACGAGACGGTAACGTGGGCTCATCTGCTCGTGTGGAAGGCATTTGTGTTTCTCTGATCTGTTTTTGATCTCTGCTCAGATATCCCTCCTCATTTCTTTACGCTTTTTGTGCGAATAACGTATAAGTCTGGCTGCATAGCGATGGCGTTTGGGACGCATGACAAGATGGGCATTCTTAGACTGGATACTCAAGTTGTATCATCATTGTATAGTAGTATGTATGCCCAACCTTGTTTAGGCTACCCTATCAATCAAGCAATTAGCGTGGCTTGTATTCATTTCTCGTGTCTCTTGATTTAGTAACGCGTAGTTTTCAGCTACTATGCGCCAATGTTTCGATCCATATCTTTGTTTCCACCGTATCCCTGTTCTCTCCTCTGCTTGGCCGCATTCTCATCGTCTTCGTTCAACGCTTCTGTACCACCGAATCCACCTGCTTATTGTTAGCTTGCCGTCCAAAAGTCATGGTGATCTGTTATTGGCATACTTTCAGTGTTCGCCTCACCCGTCGAACTTGTTGTCTTGCCGCCTGCCCCACCTTCTTGGATACTTTGTCCGTACCGGATCTTATCTGCCGGTGTGATGCCTTGAGTGTTGGGCGCGCCGGGGTCGGAGGTCTTCTTGTGCATTGAGGTGCCTTCTGAGGGGTCTGCAGGAACAGATGATTAGCAATTGCACAATAGAGGTGGATAAGAGGGGCAAACGCCATACCACCTAATTGACCAGCTTGCTTGGCATGAGGTTCAATGAAGGTGTGCACATCTTCGTATTGGTTTTGGTTCTCGCCGCCGGGCGCAGTGTCCATAAGCTTGTCTGACATATTTGCGAGTATGGTGAATCAACTGGTTTTGTGTGTATGAGAAGGTTGGTATATGACAAGGTACGAGATTGTTTGAATTGGGTGAGATTGTAGTGGAACTGAAGCTCAGAAACTCGAGGTATGGGAAAGCTCCATGCTATGACGTAACCACCAAACGCCGAACGCGAGACGCGCTCTGTAGCGCCAGAACACCCTGGTGACGACACATCAACTACGTTTACCCTGCAATCGAACCAAACATGCGAATTTGCGTTTATGCCGAATCGAAGTCGATACCCATGGCGTAGCTGCGTCAATTGTAAGCTTCAACCCAACTTTATCAAAGTGCAGCACATACCTCTCATACAACCTCATGTACTTTGCGACAAAAGCCTCTAGATGGAAGATCTGCTTGGCGCCCATCTTACACCTATGCTCATAGAATGCTGCCCACTTGATAACCTCAGGCTTTAGTGCGTCCTCGGTCAAGGGTATTAATTTCCAGGTAAGCGTTTTTATGATGGTTGTAGAGTCGATGCAATGCGATAGCAGGTCGTAAAGGGAGGCGCGGACTTGTAGAAGGCGTTGCGGAGATCGCTCCTCGACAATTTGGCGGGCGATTTGCTGGATGAGTGCTTCCCAGTCAGGTGGAGGAATATGTGTTTGGTCGGTGATTTTCTCGCTGGTGCTATGTTAGTATTTATGAGGCTTTTATGGGTCTGAAACATACTTCTGAGCGTGTACTGCTTCGAACATTAAAAGCGCCTTCCTCAAGTTACGTCCACTGTCCTTCGCTATCCTCTGATTCAGACTCTCCACATCTTTCCATCCCTCCTTCTTGCCCACTTTGCTCAGAACATCGCAGATTTCAGTCTCCGTCGGCGCCGCAACTCTCACAAGAAGCGTTCTACTCCTGATGGGTGCGATGATGTTGCTCGTAGAGTTTGCTAGTAGAATCAACCGCAGGTTGGGACTGTACTTCTCCATGGTCCGTCTGAGTGCTGCTTGCGCATCTCTTGTCAAGTGATCTGCCTCGTTGATCACAACCACCTTGAAACGCTGCTTCGCGCTCAAGTCGACCTGTTGTGTTTGCGCCACTTCCTTCAAAAGGTCTTGTACAACTACTCTGTCATAGTTTCCAACATCTGATGGTGTGATTTCGAGGTGGTATACAGACGCGACAATGTTGAACTCGAGCTTGCGGTTTGTGGTGGTTTGGAAAACGCGTGCATCGATCTTAATCTTCTCGACACCGGGTCCATAGAGCTCTTTGAGCGTTGCTACGATGCGTGTCTTCTTGCCTGCGCCAGAAGGACCGTATACGAGGAGATGTGGAAAGTCGCCGCTTTGTGCCTATATAATGTTGCGTTAGTCGCGTTTCGCCTACTGGACCATTTCGATGGTGTCCTTACGAGGGCTCGTAGACGATCTGAAAGCTCGGGGTGATAGCTGAGTGCTTCAAGATTGCGCGGCCGGTGTTTGTCTACTAGTAGCGCCATTGTTTGATTCTGTTGTGGGCGTGTCTGCGAAGTTGCCAAAATTGGTGGAGCGTGAAAGCCAGACGCGTCCCAACAACGCGTAAAGTGGTGGGCTAGCTTGGCAGTCCACACGTCAACGCCTGACCGCGCTCTACACCACCATTCACATACAAGATTTCTTTAACTCCTGAACAAGATGACATTATCTGCTCAAGCAGCTTTCCGAATGCGATATCCATGAACTGGACTGTCCTGTGAGCCAACATGCTGCAATGCCGCCATCGAATATGGCCAAGTGAAGTACGATTCCAAACCCCAGGTGAAGGCGAGCAAACGGACTATCTACAAGGTTCCTAGCGCCAATCAAACGCTGCTCTTTCTCGTGTCGGCACTTACCTGCGGTCAAGCGCGGCACGTCCTGAGACTTCTTTTCTCTTAAACATACAGACCGAGTCGCGCAATCCTGCGCGTAGATACTTAGGTATATATGGTCTTGCTCGTACTGCAACATAACCAGAACGAACAAGAGGACACTCACGTGCTGACAGAGTACCGTATTGGCCGATTCGCGCCTCGGTCACGCAAGTGAGGCGTTTCGTAGCCCCCACTGTCTAAAACACGGCTCTGTAACGCCCGCTGGTGAATTAGGCGACGATCAAGTTACTGACAAGGGCTCGAGCATAAGCTCCAGCATACGCAGCCAAAAGTATACCCAGTCTACTCGGGTAAGACAGGCTTGTATATGGGCATGTTTGGCCAAGAGCTGACCAATATTGTTACAGGAAACCTGAATCTAGGCCTGAATCGTCCAACCAAATGTCTTCAGTCGCGAAGAAAGACTCAGGACAGACGATCGACATGAATATCAACCGTAAACCCGGCTTCCGTCGCATCGAGTACCCCATTCCACCCAGTTCGGACGAAGAAGAACAAGAGGCAACGTCGACTGAGCTGAAGGAAGGAACCGACGCCTATGCAGACACACTTGTGTTACTCCAACGACTCCAGCACTCAGAGCATCGCATGGCTGAGCTCATGGCTTCGATGACCCAATTCATAAATGGCCAACGCGATTTCTACATATTAACCCTAGGAGTTATTGAGAACAACGTCAAAGACATCGAGGGGAAGACTGGGAAAGATCAAACCATCAAAGCCGACTTGAGCAGGTACATCGGTCGATTGATGAGAAGGACAGAGGGATATTCAAGAGAGATGGCAATAAAGGTTTTGCAGTTGAGTGACGCTCTCGGTCCATCAGCTTGTGACGTGGACGCTACACTCGAACGAAACAGTCGAGAGTCGTATGACTGGTGCAAGACAAAAACACTTGGAGAAGACTTCCCAAAAGACAGTCCAGTCATACCTCAAGCAATCGTCATACCAAACGCCAAAGGAGCCAGCTATGGGGTGAGTGATGTCTTCAAGAAAACGCAGGGATATCGGGACTTGGTCAACCAGGAAGACTCCGACGGCGGTTCAGATTCCGTTAGCGACAAGCTTAGCAGCAACATGGGTAGCTCTCCTACAAGCTCGGACGATGAAGCATCTTCGACCAAGTCAACGTCGGTTTCGATGAAGTTGAGGAAGCGGAAACCTTACCGGATCTCTGGTCTGAGTTCAACTATGCAGCCACCCGCACGTCCTGGCAAGAGGCAGAAACGTTCGGCCAACCACAAGATCAACGAAGAAGGAACAAATTCGGATTCCACTCAGTCAGACGATCAACGCGTGGTGCCGCCCAAACGAGCCCGCAAACCATATGCAAGGTAGAGTAAAGGCGGTCTGGCCAGCTTTCCCGACGGGTGCCACTCATTTGTCGGCGGTTGCCATTGCTCATTTGCTCAGCTTGATATATCAAAGAAGGCTCCATAAGGGCAAGACTACGGTATCAACTGGGATCAGATGTCGCAAAGCGAAGGCCATTCGATACTGATGTCACGATTGCCATATTTTGCTGCTGGACTGGTCAAGCCCGAGATGTACTTAGCTAAATGCTTCAGTCTGCAGTCAATTAGGCAAATGGATAAGCTCTATACCATGCTGGTGACAAGCTCGGCTTCTAGTCGTTGTTTCGCGTACGAGCTAAGGATTATAGGAAACCACACCTTATGCCTATTATTGTCACCACTACGCCAAAGAGAGGAACTAAATATCTCATTTGAGCTGAGTACTCTTTCCTACTACAACAAAGCGTATTAGAGCTATGTAGACATCTATAAAGAATCTAGAAGCCTACATTACTATTAATCTCTATAATCTCTCTTGCTAGAAGCTAATGTAAGCTGCAAAGTAGAGCTTGTTATCTCTACCTATTCGATTTTTCTCTTGTATAGGGTGTCACTATAATCATGCGAATTAATCGGAAGCACATCATGAGGGTTGTGATATCAATGTAATGAGAAGATCAATGGCTATGCTACGCTAATGCGCTATCAACTACAAAACTCTCTTCTTTCTAGTATTCCTTCGCCAACTTACTCCTTGCGCGGAGCATATGTCCATACTTGAACATGACGAATGGAATCAAACTCAGAACTGTTCCGAACATTGCAAGGATGAGACCTGCGTACTGACTGCCCACGTTGTGGAAGAATGCGCTCGCAAAAAGTGGCGTAACAGCACCAAGGGTGTTCCTCATCAGTCCCTGACCAGCGATAGCCGAAGATGAGGTCTCGCCGTAACAGTCGGCAGTGTACGAATATGTGCTCTCGAATACGAAGAAGATACCGAATGCGATGGGTGCGAGACCGATGACGGGACCAACCCAGATCAGGTATCCGTATTGCGTGAAAGAGTAGATGAAGAGACCGACAGGGAGCCAGACAGCGCCAAACATGGCACCGTAGAGGCGATGTTCGGGAACGACGCGAACATTAGGGTCTTCCTGTAGCTGGTTGTACTTGCGCATCTGGAGGTGATGGGCGGCCCATCCGAGGAAAGTACCGACGGCGAGGGAGATGTATGGGAGGCCGCTAACACCTTCAGACCAACCACGCTTCTCGGTGAAGGTGATAGGAATGACCGAAAGGAACAGGAAGACTACTGCCCAGCAGAAGGCAATCCACAGACCGAAGGCGAATACGACGGGTTCGGTAACAAGCATGCGGATAGCCTTCACGGATGAAGCCTTAAGCATGGACTTGACGTCGGGAGTGTAGATATCATCTTCTGCGACATAGCGGTCGTCCCCAGTCGCCTTTTGCAGCTGCTTGGCTCGCTTGTGTAGCTTAGCACCGCCACGAGTTTCGGGGAAGGCGACGAAGATGAGAATCAAGAGAGGAATGTTGGCGAGACCCTGAATACCTTCAACCCATCGCCAGCCGAGCGATTGGTCGATGAAGCCGGCGTAGATGGGGGCGGCGACAGTACCGAAGATGGCGACGAAGGCGAACATGGCCATCGGGCGACCACGCTTGTGAGGCTCGTACATGTCGTCGAAGGTTCCACCGACGAGAATGGTGCCGACACAACCGAAGAGACCGAGTAGTAGACGGAGGCCGATGATTGTGGAGATGTTCTTTGCGAGCGCGAGACCGATGAATATGAGCGAGAAGCAAAGGAAAGCACTGGCGTATACGATCTTGCGGCCGACAAGCTCACAGAAGGGAGCTAGCACCATGGGCGCGATGGCACAAGCGATGTTGAAAGTAAACAATCCAAGCTGGCCATAGATTTCGTCAACGCCGAATTCCTCACACATCCTTCCGATTCCTGAACTGTATGCCGTTGTCGCGAGACCGATGAAAAGCGTCATCAAGTTCAGCAATGTGGTAATACTGCGCTTGTACCAAGGATTCCAGTTGAACGGATTTTCTTTGTCGCCAGTAGCAAAGCTAAGGACAATGTACTCCTTGCCTTCATGGTTGACCATCTCAGTCAGCGTAAGAGGCATGTCGATGTCGACTCTCTTGATCTCGCCGCAGGCTGGGTCGATGTCTTCAACATCATCAGTGAGATGCTTGCCGCCCGCAATCCTTCCAATCATGAGTTCACCCTTCTCGTTGCGCAGTATCTCCGAGTTCATTGAAGGAGTTTCCTCCTTTCCGTTGGCTCCATTCTCTAGTTTGCTGTTCACTCTCGAGAGCAACGCGGGTGTTGAAGGACCTGTGTTGGCCGCGGTGTTTGCAGCAGTCTGGTTCGCTGTCGTGCCGGCGATAGTGGCGGCGATGGAAGCATTGCGTGGTGTGGTGATCGAGCCATTTCGAGGCGTGACAGGAGCACTCCGAGCTGCGTAGTATGAGTTCGCTCTTGACGCTGCCAGGGATGGAGGTCTCGAGGACTTGTGATTAAAGGATGGACCGTAGTACCCAGACATGTTGATCAAGATTTAAAGTGGGGAAGTCTTTGGGGAAGCAAAGAAAAGGACGCGGAGTGACGACCGTAATTAGGGACATATATGGTATTTAGGAGCGAAAGCAGATGTGTACATCCTGCTTATCAACACCGGCGAGGTACCGGCATCGTTGGCCACTAGGGGCGGTGTGGGATGGCATTCGCCCTATTCATGGCCTGACCGTAAACACCCGACAGGCTGGCACGAGAATGCTGAGCCGTGGTAAGGGGGTATCCATGTGTTTTCACATTCGACGTCATAGTGCCTGTGCATAACTGCTCAGCAGATTTGCTCGGTGCCGTCAGATAGTGTATCGGACGAGAAAAATCTGCTATCTCTAACGTGTACGGACACTATGCGCTCTAGCGTTCCAAGACTGTGAGAAGAGTTTGGTGTTGAGGCTCTGCGGAACTCCACTTAGTGGGCGGTCCGGCCGGCAGGATGGCGGCATGACGTCGTGTGTGGGTAGCCTTAAGCCAAAATTTGCACACTGCATAATACGTTTTAAGCAAGCCTAGATCTCGGGCTAATCCTCGGCAGCCGCGCGTGTCCGAGCACGCGTGCAACGGCGTTCAGTGGTCTGATCCAAAGGTTCCTCGTGTAAGACTTCAATCATATCGATCATCGTCGTATCGCTACCTCCACTATCTGCCTCACTATCCCACGCGATAGCATTGCGCGGAGGGTCGCTAGTCCTGTATAGTGTCAAACATATAGAACTGTAACACACTATGGATGTACCTTCTGCTCGTACCTGTTTCACTGCTGGGAGAATATCAACTACTGGGACGATAAGCTCTACTACCTCACACCTTCCCTATTATCTCTTTAGCATATCTCTTGGCAGGTATGGAGTTTGAAGAGTGAGACGGGATGACGTGGGACTGGGTGAAGCCGCGGACGAAACATCATGGATGGCTTGTCGAGAATTCAGGTCACATGTGGGTGAGTAGTGGTACGTTTGCATCCGCGCAGGCTAGACTTCTCGCAGTCCAATGACTACCCGTGGCCTATTGAGTCCGAGTGGCGATGCAAGGTATCGTGACCATGTCACTTTGGTTGTATGACCATGTCCCTGGTCAACGACGATCGCCGTTCTTGTAGGTGTCAAGATGATGACACTAACGCAGATCTTTTTAGTGAAGATGGTAAGCATGCCGACCACAACGGTACCGCTGTATACCCCAGGGATGTGATGGACCTGTAAGACTAGTAACATGACTAAGACCGATGAACAGGATATGAGACGACAGGACGAGCCGCAGAAAGACACGTTCGAACCTCTCACCGAATCAGCAGTGCATTCTTCACAACATTGCCGCAGGGCAAGAACAACGACAATATTTGTTTTGTCATGATGGTGCCATTGCTTTGTGTGAATTCCTGATAAACCCATGATCGTTATGAGACCGGCATCCGAATGCTGCAATGAGCCCTTTTATCGGATCATGACTGCCGATGCAGAGAAAACGCTCGAAGAACTCCACCCCAGTGCCCAATGTTCCCTTAAACCTCAGCAATCTCACGGAGACGACGGATCGTTGACCTTGTGGCGGCGGCAGCGGGAGTACTGTGGATGGCGGTTAGCACTGTTCTGTTCTGCACAGACATAGCGAGTCTTTCGACGAAGGCGTAAGACTTCGACGATGTGCGGGGAGTCTTACGAGACGGTGTAGGCTCCTCCGGCGGTGGTCTTGCGGCAGGATCGGCAGTTCCAGATACCGACGGCCTCACGCTTGACAGCGTTCTTTCCGCAGAATTGGCAGACGTAGCGGGCGTGCTGTGTGATCTATCGTGGGTGTGAGCGACTCGTTCTTCTGAGGCTGTACCGGGCTTGTCTGGGTGTGCGCACCTCCATCTTCTTGACCTGCTTACGGAGCGAGGCACCGTAACGGGTACCGTACTTTCCGGTGATGCCGACCTTCTTTGTGCCTGCAATCGCAATCAATAACTATCCATATCCAAGGGCTAAGGGGGTCGTACGCTTCGTCATTTTGGCGGTTGTATGAGTTGACGATGTAGATGGGTCAAGGTGTCGGATTCGTCGAGACTTTGCGTGGGTTGCGCGAAAATGCTAAGCGAGTGTCCACGTGATGTCGGTACCGGAACAACCACCTCCGGGCCTGCCAACACGAGAGCATAGCATTCCATTTGCTTCTCGAAGCGATATATATTGTCTTTACCGCTTTTACAATGAAGGCTAATAGCATGTTAGCATAATATAGCAGTGGTTTCTGTGCTCTGCATCTCTGCCGAATCTCGGATTCTGCTGATTCTGCCAAATCATCCCCACATCTTCACCCCAAAAGGAGCAATGTCCACTCCCACACAAAGAAATGTCAAAATGTCATATTCAGCGACCTAGAGATGGCACCCACAGAAGTCGCCTGACGTCCGCTGTAGATCTTCTCAAAGACTTCATAGCTTCGGCAGCTATACTTCCGCATCAGCTACCTAGGGCAACACGATGTCCCATTTACTCATCACAAACACAGGAGTCAACGAACGATGCGGCGCAGCTGCGCAAGATGCCCAAAGTCAGATTCTTTATGGGAAGCGCCCGGCTGCCTGGATTCCGGATCAAGATGAAACTGAAACAGCTGACAAGCAGCCCCGGGCGCCAACAGACTGCTAAAACCGGAAATACTGCGATCCTGCGCGCTTATCGTCTGGCGATCAACAAATATGTATTGCTGAGCTCTATTTTGGCGTACGGCTTCTAGGAGCAACAGCCTTTGTAGAGTTTGGGGCGCAACGGGTAGTTTGGGGCCGTGTAGGCGGTGCAAATGTCAGTCTTGGACTTGACCTGTGAAGAATGTCAAGATGGTCGAGGATGTATATATCCTGCAGCTACAGCTTACCAGAGAGTAAAGACGGTTGTTGATCGAAACATATCTGAGCCTAATTCTCCCCGTCTATCATCAATACCTTGATATCCCCTAGTCTGCACATCATGGTCATCCATTACCTCAGACATGCAACACTTATCGCTGCTCTCCTTACATTTGCCGTAGCCCAAGATGAGACCATCATACCCGATGATCTTCAATCTGGCTTCCGAACAGACGGCGACGAAGTGCAAGTCTCATTCACAGGTGATGCAGTAAATGGCTTCAAGGATGGAACGGTGTTTGAGAAAGAAGGTTAGTTCTTCATTTCGATATCAGGCTGGAAATCTTACACCTATTCAGCGGTAGCAGAAGAGCCTACATTCGCCCTTGGTGACAGCAGTGGCATCTCTTCTAGCACGCTGTACACGATCATCATGGTCGACACTACGTGTCCAGACTCTCGAAGACTCCACTACGCCCGCGCAAACTTCAAGTACAACTTCGAAATCACCAACATCAATACTACCTCTCCCGCTCTTCTTGACTACATCGCTCCGGGCTCTGTTGAAGAAAAGGGCGACAACCGGCAATATAGTTTCTTGATGTATACGAACCCCGGTAGGAAAGAAATCACGAATCTGCAATTGCCAGGAGATAATGAGGCCTTCGATGTTGCGCAATTTCAGAACGATAATGGATTGGGGGATGCTATGGCTGGGGTTGGTATGGTTGTGAAGCTTGGGGGTGAGGCCGACTGTACAGGCGGCAATGCAGAAGCGTTACCCAGTAACCTGCCTACACCGAGACCTGCGAAAAGTACAGCAGTCGAAGTATCAACGACATTGAGTCCAGAGAACGCGACTGCCAGTGTTGTGCCCACACCCGCGCCAACATCGTCAAGAAGCCTAGCGAACTCGAATACAGCGTTACTAAGCGACCTTCCTTCTTCGGCAGCAGAGTCATCGGCAACTGTCTCAACAATCGTTTTGTCCAGTGTGAATGGGACAATTTCTTCAACGGCTACTACTGCGGCAGAGCAAACGGCAAATGCTGCCCCAGTAACCATACGCTGCCAAAGATGGGGCATGGCTTCCCTATTGCCCATCGTCAGCTTCATATTTGTATAAGTAGTAGGGAAGCATGCAGCAATGGAACAACGTTGATATTAGTGTCCTTTCAGCAACCGCTTCGACGATATTCTTTTCATGAATTTACAGCGATTCTACAATGACCGACTTAGTCTCTTGACCAAGGTTTCAACACGCTCATAATATTCTTACGAATTACACTCTATGTCCGTCTCGCTTTCTGTTTTTGACTGTGAATGAGCCCCCGCCTACAGGATGACCTATCTTTCCAACTACTCCTTAACAGCCTCGGCGTAACTCTTGTCCAGCGACCCGTTCTTCTTAATCAGCTCCCCAACGACGAACGGTATGCAGTCTTTTGGACCATAGTATTTCAGATCAAACTTGTCCCATTCGCCTGCATCCCTCAAGAATTCTGGCGTGTGTCTCTGAAGTTCGCATCCACCCATGAAGAACGGCCAGCCCAGGATCGTATACACGAGTTGCATGAACCGGGCAGCCACTCTGCCTTCGGTCCTCCAAGGATTGGCCACGTGCTCACAGATCACCATCCGGCCGCCAGGCTTGAGAAGATTGTAGAGTCCCTTTATGGTTTGCTCGGGATGTGGAACACCGCAAAGCACGCGAGTGCAGCAAATCTCATCAAACACACCATCTGACGCCAATCCGCCTTTGCCACTGACATCCAGAATCCCGCTCTTATGCAATGCTGGGATTAGACTCTCAGGCTCCGCACCACAGAGCATAGCATGAAACTTGCTGCCGAAGCCCCTCTTCTCTGCGTTTTTTAGTAGTCCCGGATGCAAGTCCTCAGCTGGCTCCGCCCCATAAATAGCAGTGATAAGATCCGGGTTGAATCGCGAAAGCACTTCTCCAGATCCAGGACCTATATCAAGGACCACACCTTTGCATTGGCCCAAAAGAGAGAATGTAGGGCCTGGCATCTCGGCAGACATTGCTTGGCCATTGTTTTTCCAGAGGCGGGCGAAGCCCTTGAAACGGAGTTTAGTGAGATTGAAAAGGGTGAAAGGGCGCCAGTCGTAGAATACAACTTCAAATGCTGCCATGAAGAAATCTGAGTATGAATTAGTATGACCCCTCCGAAAGGCGGGTTTGGCACAACTCACTATATGCTGCAATGCAAAGTAGTATCGTCGGGCGAAGAAGCGTCGGGATGCGTTCGCCCAGCCATTCCGCCGATGTCATGATGCTCTTCTCTGTATATCTCAAGTATTGGTTATAGAATGCTTCAGGAGCGGATCGGCAAGTCGGAATGACCAAGGAGATTTAATGACGGAAGTAGAGGAAAGGAAGAAGAAAGAGGATCCAAGAAGGAACATGCTCAATTAGGCTCGAATGGAACGCTCGGGAACATTGGTTAGTCATGCAGTCAATTCCGTTGGTGGGTTGATACGAGCAGGGACCTGTGTGACGTCGACGCGCTAGCAGCAGAGAGAGCCGAGGCGTGGATCATCAGATTGCGCATCGTGAGCTTGTGAAACCTGCAACGATCGACACGCTGATACATCCACACACACTCGCAATGGCTGAAGGAAAGCGAACACAATTTGCGCTGATCACAGGGTGAGTATTGCTGTCTGGCGCGGCGGTAGGAGGCTTAGGATCTTCTTAGCTCTAACCGACGCGAACAGGTGCACGCCCGGCGGCATTGGACACTATCTCGCGTTAGAATTCGCCGAAAGAGGTGAGGATAGTGTTCGCCTCGACTCTTTGCGGCTGCTAAGTTGTTTGTAGGTTTCCAAGTTCTAGGGACCGTCCGCGATCCGTCCAAGTACACCTCTCCTCACCCTAAGATCACCTATCTGCCCCTCGAACTCCCGCACAAGGAATCGATACGCGAATTGCACAGACGCGTCACTGAGATTACCGGAGGCAAGCTTGACGTATTATACAACAATGCCGGACGTAACTACGTTATCCCAGCGCTGGACTACGACGAGGATGAACTCCAGGAACTCTTCCAGGTAAATGTCTTCTCAGTAATGGAGATGTGCAGAACGTTTGCCCCACTCGTGGTGGAAGCAAAGGGCGCTATCGTGCAGACGGGATCATTAGCTGGTATCATGCCCTATGTTTGGGGTGCGCCATACAATGCTGCCAAAGCAGCACTGCACGCCTACTCGGATACATTACGTGTCGAGCTCGCTCCTCTCGGCGTGCGCGTTATCAACGTCGTGACTGGCGGCGTCAAATCGAATATCGCACGAACACACCGCACTCTGCCACCGGGCTCCTACATGCAACCGCTTGCTGTCGAATACGAGCGAAGACTGGTACATAGTCAGGAGTTGGGTATGGACACGAAGCAGTACGCAAGCAGCTGCGTAAAGCAAGTGCTCGCTGGCGATGGCATCTTCTCCAAGACGAGATGGATATGGGAGGGTAAGATGAGCTGGATTGTATGGTTCGCGTGGACATATCTCCCGACTTCGGTGCTTGATTACTACTTCACCGCAACGTTCAATCTGAACAAGTTAAGGGGGACTGCAGGGCCAGATAAGAAGATTCGATGAGGAAATACAATTGCTTTGAGTGGTTGTACCCAGTCATAACAATTAAGAATAGGCGTTTGACAACACAATACGCTACAAACGAGCAGGGCGTAAATATAACCAGGCCTACATTTCTATGTCTAATGCTCACTGGACTCCAATGTCCTTCAATCGCGAAGTACAGACATGGCTGACTTCGATGTTGTTACAGTTGGCGTAGATACATACGAGTCCAAAGCTAGCGTTACCAATTTCACACGTACCAGGTCTATCTGGCCTCGCAGCTGCAGTGCGCGCTACCTACAAGCCCACTCATCGTGCAATCTTGCGTTACTCGAACAAAGTTTTTATTTGAGAGGTGTGTGTGTGTGTGAAGCAAGTAACGCATCTACCCCCAAACTCCTGGACACAATAGGCTTAGGCGAAGGCGTTGCGATCCCCCCGATCTCCACGTGCTCGCTTACTGGACGACAAAGCCCGCTAGCTGTACGTAACATTTCCAGTCCTACAACAATGTACGAGGATAGCCCACAAAATGCCTGATCAACTCGTAAACAGCCACTCGCCGCTGCTTGTGCTACCCGCTGAAATCCTTCTCATCATCTTTGAATGTTTCTTCGACGCACAGCAACCGCAAATTAGGCTGGAATATTCTGAACGCTGCTACTACAACTACTCTGAGGCTTATTCAACACTCTATGCTCTCAAATGCACATGTCGCAGCCTGCGACCCATCGCAAAGGAAGTCCTTAACACAAAGTGTGTGTGTGTGGGAATTCCGTGAGCCTATTGCAGCTTTTACAGAAGGAACTGGTTCCGAGCCTGTTCGTAGTATCCGACAAAAGGCCAAGCACATTGAGATACTTAGAGATGCAAAGTTATTTCCAAGGGATGACTATCCATGGCGGCCGCGAGAGGAGCTTGAGCAAGAATTAGATACGTGGGGTGACTGGCCCGTCGACGTAGAGACAGCTCTTGATGAAGACCCTGCTCAGTTGGAGCTTGCCTTCCTTGTTGCGAATTCACCCGATCTGCAGACCTTCATTATGGACGGTCACCACAAGGCCAGTGTTTCGAGGTATCGTAACCATTACATACTTCCGGTGTGGCTTTTTCCTATCATCCAAGTCGCCTGGCGGACGCCACTTAAAGGCATGGACGATTCATTCTACCGAAATCTGCAAACTCTCGACATAAATATGCAGTTTGATTTCGGCCCTGGCTTGACCTATCTATTCTTACTACCGACCCTCCGAACGCTTCGTCTGAGTTGTGTGGAATGTTCAGTCCCATTCCAGAACGAAGCAGATTGGCCAATTAAGAGCAGATCGTCGTCGGTTGCTTCGCTCATACTTGATGGCGCCGACATCTCTGGTACTCTAATCAGACTTCTCATTACCTCCTGCAGAAAGCTATCATGCTTTAAGTTCAAGCACGTGCGCGGGAAAGGAAGGCCTTTAAGCTGCTCGGCAGAGATCATGTCTGGTCTTGCGCAGCAGCAAGACTCGCTGCGTACTCTACATTTTGATCCAAGTATACACTTGCCAGACCGAGACGACATGACCTACACGCGTACCGATGATTTTTGGAAACTGCATGCACTAGAGAGACTCTGTACGCCGTTCTCGGCTCTCCTTGGGGAACCTCAATCAACGTACACTGGCGAAGAAAGTTGGCAGTACCCGCAAATGAGAGATGTGCTTCCACATCGACTGCAAGAGCTATCGTTAAACATAGTACCTATGATGTTATCTCAGGAGTACGATGATGGCTACCCTAGCCTCTTCTCTAGTGCCTTACCTTCAGATATGAAAGATCTCCATCTCAAACGGGTCTACGTGAGATACGACCATTTGTTACAGTCCGAACTGTTGCTCTTCGACTTTTGGGACATCAAGAAAGTCTTCCTCGAACAAGGAGTCGATTTTGACTACACTATTCGTGACTGAGCCTTAGATCCAGGTATGTGAGCATTGAATCTCAATAACCATCTCAAAATCGAGTATTCTTCTGGTGCGACGCGTCAAATACCACGGCAAAACGTCGCAAACAGGATTGATCTCTACCAAACGTCAAGTACAATCGCTGTCATTCATATTACTAACATTACCACGTACAGGATCTGTATCAGAAGACAGTCATGTTGATGTAATCACTGCAAACCTCATGAAGTATGGCCTAAAGGCTGTCGAAATGGCTCATCATTTTACGTTTCATTATTCTACAAACGATTGTCTTACATACAATGGAAAGTCAATAGTGCCCAGGGTCCTGTCTAGACTTGGCTACCCTGAAGATTGGACAAGCAGCGAGGAAGGCCGAAAGTATATGGTTACTTCCTAAGCTGTCCATCAGCCAAATAACAGCCAACAATCTCGCCCTTCTTTTGTGATACACCACAACGCAAATCATGACGTCGTGACTCAAGACCCGCACTCTTCACTAGCGGAATCCCGCTCCGACAATACCTCATCGGAAGCGAAATCATCGCAGCCCAACCCCACGATACGATGCGCCACAATTGCCTCAGGTACATGACACTTGTACCTCCGTCCGTCTTCCACCATCGCCGATGGAAAGCGCAGTACGGACCGCATGTGCATTCTACGGGCCTTCGATGCAGCACACTATCTTCACTCATCGCAGCCACCTAATCTATATAAATTGTAGATTGACCCATTAGCGCGGTTCTTGCGGATCAGGTACCTATATCAGCCGGTTGTTATTGCACGTGAGGAAAACTTGACTTGGCGATCGGTGGAACGGCGAGACGGAGTATCCACGAAGTCGGGTGCTGTAAGAATCTTTCATGTGGGGCCAAGAGTACTGCGTGGATGGTACGTGGTAGATAGCATGCAGGCGCTGAGGCGTTGAATCAGGGGCTGGGGTCACTGCTCAGCCTTTTGCTTTTGGTAGATGACTGGTATCACCATGCCAAACCTGCCAGAGCAAATTCTGAGATTTTGCTTTGCTTTCTGTGTGTTTGAACAATTTCCGTGGCTCATAGAGGTCATTACTTGCAAGTTTGATGTTAAAGTTGATGTAATTATGCCTAATGTTTTGCTATTATGCGCATGAGTACAAGGGAAGAAAACGCCCCTCCGTCTACCCAAGCACTTCTATGATAAGCAAAAATGCCATATTAAACTCCATGTGTAAATGCGTAACGCTGATATGCTTCTCCAAAAAATCTCATGCCTCATATCCGGATGCCTACCAGACTTGTGTCCCTCCTTTTGTTATTCCTTTTTCTAAAAGTCCCAAAGGGTACCAAAAGCGTGCATACCCTCCTTAGCACACCCCTGCATCATCTCATCGTTGCCCTGGCTGTTACTCGTGATGAAGATGACTTCCGCGCCGAATCTTTTCCACGTATCTCTTAGTAGCTCCATTGTATCAGGGCGTCCACCTCTCTTCTTGCTGTCCCAGAGAATCATGCGTTCAGGCTCGATGTGCTTGTGAATCAGGCCTGTGACTGTAGGACCGAAAGTGCGCTCTTGGTCGGAACCGATCCAGATGAGAAACCAGTTAGGTGATTGGATGCAAGTGGAGAGTGCAGCACCGATGCCAGTACCGGTACATATGCGAATGCCGCGCTTGAACATTGCGGAGGCGTGACCTACGCCAGCTGCCTCTATGTTAGTAGATGTAGTTGTAATAGGAGTCGGGGAGAATGCATACCAAACTTAAGCTCTCGCGTCCAAACAGTCTTCGGTGGGTTGACGACGAGGTTCTTTGTGAAGTCTCCTTGAACACCGCAGATCATGTAGTGGTGGGTGGCATCGCGTCCCTCGCTGATGATACCAAAGGCGTGGTACTCCATGATGGATGTGCGGCTGATTCGTCCTAAGAGGCCTTGCTGCATGCCACGCTCAAATTTGAGGACAGCGACCTTGGGTGAAGGGATCTCAACTTCGACTGATACCTCCCTAAGGGTAACCCATGGGATGAGGACACTTGAATGGGTCAGCAGAAGAAACCAAACAAGATGTAAGACTTCTTACAAGATAGTCATGAAGACAGCGAACCAGAGCTCCTGTGCGCTGAGTAGGCTGTGAGCGGTGGTCCTCCACTCGCCGCGCTTGATGTCGTAGGTATTGCCCATGATAACAAACACCCACGTCATCTAGAAGATATCAGTAAAAGTTCCGATGAAAGGCCATAAAAGAGATTACATACTGCGAGGCCTAGCCATCCAACAAATCGGTGGTGCTTCTCGAACACGTTGTGATAGGTGCTGACAAGGGCGTAAGTACGGTGCTACAAAGCTGGACATAGATCGGAGCAACTAACTTGCGGACCCAAGGAAAGGCACTCAACACCGAGACGATGATGAAAAAGTTGGTGATGATTCCACTCGCAATCACGGCAGGATGTTGTACGGCACGATATCGAATGATGTCGACACACTTGTAGACGAGCCAGCTAATTCTCACGTCAATACTGTTTCGATCCTGTCCAAGAAGAGTGACTCACGCAGCACCAGACAACGCGCATCCAGAATGTATGCCTCCAACATGTTGTAGGACAGATGTCGCAGCGAGCTTGACGCATACAGGTGCCCACTATTGTGACTGGTCAGCAGACTTCAGGATGAAGGGCAAGCAGGCACGTACTCCCAACCCATATATGGCGACCAAGTATAAGAAACGCATCCATAGTTCATTCCTCATCAGAATAGCACAAAGGAGATTACCCAGTACTAAAGCGCCGAGGTGTTCCTCGGCGTACTTGAAGCGACCGCAGGCGGACAAGATGATTCCCGTGAGGTTGAGCAATGTGACGAACGTGAAGAACTTTCTGTATGTGTTGAACCAAAGATCGAACAGGATCCATCGGCTGATCTTTGGCTTTTGAGGTTTCTCCCCAGCTGGCTTCTTCACGGTGGTGTCTAGTTCAGCGGCATCGGTAGGTTTTCGTCCTGATGGCAGAGACAATGACAGTTCCGGTACACTCGTGCATGGTGTTATGCCTTGGTGGACGGGAGAAGCGGGCAGTAACGATGTAACAATGTGTATCGGCCTTTTTTGCTCCATGTACACGAAGCCTGGTGCCGTCAACTCCAACGTACTATCGTACATGCCCTTTTCCGCATCGTCGAGCGAGTCAGCGCTGTTGCCGCCAGTAAGGGCGGTTCTCGATGTGGTTGACATGTCGTTGATAGGCGATAACTGCACCAGGGTCCAGAGATGTAGGCGCGAAAGACGGGAAGGCAGGGGTGATGGACGGGTGACTTCCGCAGAGGGTTGATAAACGATGTACGAGGGTTCAGCAAAGAAAGATTGGTAATGAGCACAGGCTAGATTAGGAGCTCTCAAGAAGTACTTATTGAGGACACGGCCATGAGGCGCACTGTCGTGTCATCTGGGTCATCAATTCCTGCAACGACACCATCCCACAATTCATCTCTGGAGCATACGGTACCAATGTCCGTAAGCATCGAAGCCAGCGGAGCCTGATGATGGCTCATTGTCCCATACCAGCTTCCGCCGGTCCCGTCCAGACAGGTCTCAGGGCAAACCAAGTGGTAGTCGGCACATCCGCTCCGTGCTCAGCTCGTAAAGGATTCCCCGTGGGGAGCGTAGGAAACCTGGGTCGGCCTATGTCGGTAGTTTCTGCCCAACATTGGGTCAGCGAGACATCCCCACAGCCTCGATATCGATCTGGAGACACTTCTCGGCCGCGACGACGTCGTCATAATGCATCTGATATTACGGTTGTACAGATATGTCGGCAGGCTACGATCACGCGACTTGGTCGGGATATTGCAAGAATATACTACGAGGTCAATGCGGTGTTTTGGTGTGACGCCTGGAAGTGACCTTTGGGGAAAAAGACAGGGATATAGAAAGAAGCAATAATGTGGAAGCGCAATATCATTCGACTGCATCCGGTTGCATTAGCGAGGACGCGATAACGTCAGACGTGCCGAGGCGTCCATCGCGAAGTCACCCAATCTACCTAGGCTTAATCTCTAGTTCTTCACGTACAGATCGACGTATTCGTCGATGTCCATGTTATCGAGCGTCTTGCTGTCTTGCGCCAATGCGACAAGCTTGTCAACGTGTTGCGACGGGTAGTGCGGGCCGAGATGCCTCTTGTACTTGGCGAGGATTTCAGGCTTTGCTTCTTCACGTCGCAACCGGTGGCCAAGAGGAGCCTCAACAACCTCTTCTTCCAGCACGGTTCCATCCTTGAGTGTTACGGTCAGCGCGTTGGAGATGGTGCGCTTCTCAGGGTCGTGGTAGTCCTTGGTGAATTGCGGGTCCTCCACACAGCTAATGCGCTGTCGGAGAGACTCGACGAGTTCCGATGTAGCGGCTTCACTATCATCTGGGTAGTCAGTGGCTTCAAGGCGGTTGAACACAAACATGGTGGAGACCATGTACTACCATGATGTCAGCACGAGCAGGCAACTACGGTGGGTGAGACTTACTTGAACGCAGTGATCGCGGTCAGCAAAGTTCTCCATAGGCTTGAATTGCTTATCGATGATGCGAATGCAGGCCTCGTGGGTACGGTTCACGACACCCTCGATGTCTTTGGCGCTCTTGCCCATTGCGGCCAACTTCTTGTTGAGGCGTTGCGCAGCTTCGACGGCGGTCTGGGAGTGGAACTCAGCTGAACTCGATTAGCATATACGGCGGATCAAGATTGGCTTAAAGGGGCATTATTACCCGGATAAGAGACCTTGAAGAGAACGTTCTCCATGACATAGCTGCCATAACCTCTCTGGAACTGGAAGGGCTTGCCGCCAAAGTTGACGTCGTAGAAGCCCCAAGTAGGCGCTGAGAGAACAGTGGGAAGACCCTGCTCGCCCTTCATAACCTTCAGCACGAGGTTGACGGCCGTCTGGCAAGCATCACCAGCAGCCCAGGACTTGCGCGACATGGTGTTGGGCGAGTGCCTGTAGGTACGCATGGATTGGCCATCAACGAAGGCTTGCGAGATGGCGTCACGTGTCTGAGCCTCACTGAGGCCCATCATCTTGGACACGACAGCTGTGGAAGCCAGCTTGACCAGAATGACGTGGTCCAGACCGACTTTGTTGAACGAGTTCTCTAGAGCCATGCAGCCCTGGATCTCGTGTGCCCTGATCATTGCCTCAAGGACATCTCTGACCTTGAAGATCTTGCCATTGCCGAGATTGCCTCCAGCCTTGTTTGTTCGTGTGATCCAGTCGGCAGTTGCGAGGATCGCCCCCAGGTTGTCTGAGGGGTGGCCCCACTCGGCAGCGAGCCAGCAGTCATTGAAGTCGAGCCATCGGATCATGGCGCCAATGTTGAAGGCACCGTTGACGGGGTCCATCTGATAGTTGGTACCAGGTACCTTGCAGCCATTGGGTACGGTCGTGCCTTCCACAACAGGACCGAGGATCTTCCTGCACTGCTCGAAGCGCAGCCCCTCCAGACCGCAGCCAAGCGTGTCAACGAAGACCCAGCGGGCGGTATCGAACTATATGAAGCTTGATTAGCCGCGAGACTCTCTGAAGGGCAAAGTAATCCTACCGCAAGCTCCGAGTCGACTGGGGTGTTGTGGATATAGCTGGCCATGTCCTTGATCTCAGGGTCGTACTCGCGCTTGCTCAGCGTCTGTGGCACGGAGCTCTTGAGGGACGCCATGGTGGAGAAGGACGATGCAGCTGCTGTTCGCGATGTGATTGGGTTCGAGGGAGCAGTTCGCAGAGCAATTGGCCTTATAGCTCTCGTTACAACGTTGGACCGTGATCGAAGGTTTCGTGAAGCGGTACTGCACAGGTTGCGACTGAAGGCCGACATGTTGATTAGCGTCTGTCGTGCCGGACGACGTCAATGCAGCTGTAGAGAAAAGGGACAGTCGTACTTCGCGCTTTTGAGGGAACTGTTGGTTTTTGAGGAAGTTCTGGGCAAACGATGAGCATCGCTCGGCTCGCAGAATTCGGGAGGATGGATAGCCCGCCTTCAACCGAGGCAGTACATATCCGCCAGCCGCGCAGAATGCCTTGCAGCAACGGCAAAGCAGACTTCACAGAGTAACTGTATCATTGCGCGTGTCTTCTGCGTCTATTACTATACTTCAATGACTGCTGTCGCGCCTGCCATCTCGAGCGCGAATGCCTGCCCGCACTTCACTCAACTTGCTACCCCGCACCATCCCGCAGGTACGCTTCGGCTATAATTGCTGGGGCCCGCTCCCAGATGCCTGCTGCTTAGCTTCCCCAGAGCCGCAGAGCCTCCGAAACTGAACATCAGCGCCACAGATCTCTGATATCCTACAAGATTTGTCTCTCTATTTCCTCCAGCTCTTGGTCAATTTCTCGCTCCCACATATTTGACAATGACGGTTGAGTGATTGCCTCGGCAATTTCCTCATCGGATACAGATTCGTGCGAACCCAGAGTACATGGACCATCAATTACGAATCCGCATACCGGTCTGCTTACTACTACGATGCGACGAGGTATAGCATGTTCCCTGTAGCCAGCCAAGAGTCCTAATATACCAAGCCTCACCATCCACCGCTTCACCTTTGTAAGCTGGTAGCCGTTGGCGACCAGTAGAGAGACTTCGAGAAGAATGTCGCTTTCCCTTGCGAAGCCACCAGGGTTATCGACGCCAAGAACAGGTTCTTTAGGCCCGTATCGGAAGTCGAAGATGTATCTCCTACAACAGTACGATGCTGATGCGGAGGTACAGAATTTTTTGTACAGCTGCTGCTCCTGTTGGGCGTTGTGATCAAACGATAGGTGTTGGGCCACGAGAACACAGTTCTTGATACGATATGCTATGGGATGAATAGCGCTGTTCTCAGAACAACGCTGTGTTTCGCGGTATAGCGCCGATGCAAGAAATGCATTACGAAGGGAAGTATCCGAAGTCTCTATGTTGTATGCCAGGAAAAGATAGTATGGCAATTGGTTCAGGCCCAAGCGCTGATGCAATGCCCGTCGTATCTCCTCGTCGAAAGCACCTACCTCGAACGTCAGTTTGTTGTCTTTATGGCTGGGAAGGCTCACAACGCACGGCATACGAAGCGCAACCTCAGTACCCTGAAAACATCACGACATTGCCGCCTTCTGGGTTGGAAACATAGGTCCAGGACATGGTTGATGATCTGACTCCAAAGCTCCACGGGTAAAGCATGGATGCCATTGAGTCGTGACTCTGGAATATTCCGCAGTTTTTCTCTCGACAGCTCTCTCAAGATGTATCTCAAGCCTTGACCAAGCTCAGCCTTTTTTTGCATATTCTTGTGTGTGCGCATCCTATCCACGGGGCCCATGATGTAAGCGCACATACCACGTGTGAACAAAACAAAGTTCCAGGCACGCCCGAGTATGTCGAATTGAAACATTGGCTGAATGTGAAGTATCCGGAAATGATACTAGGACGGAGAAGCATGTCAAATCCATAGACTTTGCTGGGGCGTAACATGTACCTAGGTAGTGTACAAATCTTGCTGCCTGATTTCCTCGCATTTGACACGCGTCCGTGCTTGGCTGCTAACCTCATCCTGTACACTCTCAGCATAGGTAAACAAATGTTCAGAAGAAGAGTGCAAAGCAACCAGACATCCGGGAGTCGACAATGAACACTGTTCTCGCCCTCAAATCCCTACTGCGAACCCTACCAAAACTCACTTCGCCAGAGAACCATCCACCAATCACGATATCCACATCACAATTCCTGGGCATCACTGCCCTACCTGTCGAACTCTGGAGTTTGGTTGTCGAGTACACAGTCCTACACCGCATCGGCCAAAACGCTCCACCATTCAACGAATGCACAGCAGCGCTAGAATTGCGGCTTGTATGCCGTAAGTAACTCACTATACTAAACCACCAACACGGAACCGTGCTAACTGACATGCCCCTCAGGCATATTCAGCAAAGAGGTGCTACACGCCTTACACACTCACATATTAATCCCACACCTCCCTCAAACATCGTCTACTTCCTTACTACTCTCTTTGTTCCAACTTCCAAATCAGCATGCCCTCTTCAGCTCCGCAATTCTTAACTCTTGCCATGTCACATCCCTCCCAATTGTGTCTTGCAAACTTACTACGCGCATCGTAAACTGTCTTGTAATCTCTAGTAGCCTGTCTAGAAATGGCTATCCCGAGTCACATTGGGACCTTCTCGAGCGCTCTTCATATGTATATCATGCCATGGACATGCTACGCAGGTTGTGTCGGGCAGCTGAACTATCAAACTGTTGTCAAGAGTACATGTGTAAGCCTGATACATTTTACGCCAGACATGGGAAAGATGGGAAACTGCAGGCAGACAAACACCTCGAGATTGCGATCCTTGTTGTTTGTGGGTATGAGATCCAGTCGATTAAAAACTGCATGATTCGGCTTGCGAGAATAGGGAGGCTCATCGGTCATGGAGGTGAGAATGTGGCATGAGGACGATGATTTGGAAGACGAAGAATATACTTTAACATTCTTGGTATCGACTATCGCTAATTCTTCAACCAGCCAAGGGGCTCTTTTCTTGAACTTGTCTTCGCTGCTTTTGCAGCAGTGCGTCACACTGCAACATCTTCTGATAACTCTTTCCCCGATTTCTGCAAGGTATAGCTGGTGTGTCCGTGTCTGAAAAGGGTTTCGATCGACTCGGCGTGTTGGGCTGAGGCTGCTTTGAGCGACTTCAGAATCTGTTCGTTTACCAGTCGTCCTTGTCGGACTCGTCATCTGTAGGAGTGTTAGTATACAATCATTTCAATGTAGATACATCGGAACTTACCACTGTGACTAACTTTAGACTTTCTTGCCGCAAGAGCGCTGGCCAATGCTCCAGCCAAGCCAGCATCTCCAGGTGTAGCTGCGCCAGAGGCTCCACCGGAGGCTCCGCCAGCCGGTTCTGCACCAGGAACTGCCGCCGCACTGCGGTCCTTCTTCTCTGAATCCGAAACCTTCTTCAATTTCGCTCCTCCACGAATATCCGCTAACAAGCCATCTCGTCCCGCCGCGGGCTTGGGCAAAGGTGGGCCGCCACCTGGGGGTGGTGGAGGTCCAGGCGGAGGCGGCGCAACAGCGCTTCGTGAAGGCATTGGCGGCGGGGCGGGTGGCATGGGCGGTGGAGGCGGTGCCGCGCCTGAGGGTGGAGGTGGTGCCGAGCTGTTGGGCATCGGTGGCGGAGGGGGAATCGACCTGTTCGGCATAGGCGGTGGAGGTGGGGGAATGGGCGCTACATTGCTTGTTGGAGGTAGAGGCGGGGGGACTGGTGCTGCGCCTGGAGGTGGAGCAGGACGAGACGAAGACGGTGGTAGTGGTGGGGGTGGTGGTATGCTGTGAATAGGGGGTGGTGTCGGGGCTGCCGATGTCTTCGGGGGCAGTGGTGGAGGCGCGGATGGAGTATCTCTTGCTGGAGGGGGTGGTGGAACTGGTCCACGACTTGGGGGTGGTGGTGGAGCGCCTGAGGGTACGCGGTTGCCCGTGAAGGGCGGTGGCACGCCGAACTTGCCTCCCGCTGGAGCTTCGTCGGGCACTGGCGTCTTCGGTGGGCGTGGTGGCGGCGGGGGCCCTGGGTTGGCAGCGTTGGACGATGCTCGCGCTCTGTTTGGTGGTGCAGGGGGAAGATTTGCAAACTTTCCTGCTTCGGCAATTGGAGGGGGTGCTCTGAAAACAGGCTTAGGTGGTCCTGGAGGGGGAGAAGCTTCGCGTGTCGGCGATGGCGGCGCAGGGCTTCCCGAAGAATTGCGGTTGACGGTTGCGTCTGTCCTTGTTCTCCGCGCTGGCGGGGGTGCTGGCGGAGGTCCTCGTTTGGAACCACCAGTGTTCTGAGGGCTGAGAGATGCGGCTGCAGGCGGCGCACTCGGTGGGGGAGGGGGAGGCGCTCTGGATTTGCGCTGGTTGTTCTCGTCCTTGAGCTTCTCCTCTGTCTTCCTCTGCTCAATGTACAGCTTGATAAAGTCGGCATTTTCTTCGATCTGGTCTTCGGTAATGCCCATGGCCAGCAATTCTTTCAGAAGCGGCTGCCATGATGGGTCGGTTGTGTCGATGGCTGAGTTTCGGGCGCTTGTCGCGTTGGAGTGGGTGCTTTGCACGGGCGATGTAACGTTGGTAGGTGGAATGATGGATGCTGGCGGCGGGCCAGGTGCAGAAGAATGGCGGTGTCCGAAGAGCCCTCCTAGCAGGCCGTGGCCGTGGCCGCCACCGCTCTTGCCGTTGGCGGCAGGCGCGCTGCTCCCTGCGGATGCGCTGAAAGGTTTGTTCTTTGTGTTCTTGTGGGCGTTCTTTTCGCGGTCGTCGAGCTTCTTCTTGAACGTCTTGGCCTCCTTCTCGTCGGCAAAAGACAGGCCGGCGAGACAGTCCTCGAGCTCAAAGGTGTGGAAGAAGACGCGGTCCTGGTTGTAGGAGAAGGTGTCGTAGATCTCCTGGTCCCATATGACACCGCGACTTTGGGGCTGCATCCGTCAGTCGTGTCTCCAGTGCTGTGGCTTCGCGCGCACCTACCGATATGTCCACCATCTTGAGCCAGAACGTGTTGCCGACCAGGTCGTTGGCCAGCACGACGGCGCCCTGCAAGCCCGTGTAGGTCCATCGGCGCGGGTCGGGGTAGGCAATGTACAACTTGGCGACAGCGACGGTGTGGATCTTGTTGGCCGACTTGGGCACGGTGCGCTTCACCGTCTGCTTGTCCTCGTCAGAGAGAATCGACGGCATGGCGGCGGCGTATTTGGCAGGCTCGAGGTAGCAATGCGTGTCGTGGTTCGGGCGAAGATGCTCAAGTGTCCAGCCGTTGGGCTTGGGCGTGGCTGGTGGGGCGTGCTCCTCACTCCACTATTAGGCAGCACATGGGAACAATCGCAATCACTCGGTAAGCCGGTCGAGGCTGCGTGTAAGAGGTGAATGCTAGTAGGGTGCTGCGCCGAGCTCGCCACGGTGTTGGTAACAAGAATGGCGGTGCTTGTCAAGGGGAGACGTCACTTGCGGCTAACATCCCGACTGGGCGGACAACGGAGAAACCCATCGAACGCTCTCTGCCCAGTCAGGTTTGCCGACCCAGCGGCACCACTTTTCCCAGACAACTACCCAAACTCATCTTGACAGTCGCTCCCAAATCTCGCGCGCGGGAAGTCTGACATTGCTTCATGGCTACCAAGATTGCGTTGCTTGGATGCGTTGCGGCCTTCTCACGCGACACCGACTACCCGAGTACTCTCAAGGCCAATACAGGTTTAGTCGCCCTCCGAGAAGGCAAATGCTTTTTTGACTTCCGAGCATCTGTCTCTCGTGTGCTAATAAAGAAGATGTACACGCACCATGAATTAACAGCTTCTCTAGCGGTTCGCGTCTACGTAAGCTCGGATACTGCGCCACTAACGCCGACTTTCAGGCTGGATACCTAGGCCTCCAACTATGACACCTTGACAGCTTGGCGTTATCGTAATCCATGTAACAACACCACCGGTGACATGGTCAATTGCATTTGGCAGTACTATACACATCTCATTACCTGACTTGTTTTCAACCATGGACGATCTGTTTGATGGCTACATGGTGCTAGATGGCATAGGCGACTTTCTTGAGTCCAGTGTTCCGGCCAGCCATCCCAAGACACCTGTAGTTCCGCACACAGAACAGCATACAGAAACATCCAAACAAGCCATAAGGCCCAAAAAAGATAGTCTGGACAGTTCTGACCCATGGTAGTCCCCTCGCACGATCCAAAGTGTTATACCATACTCATATCCAGCAGCACTACTGTATCTAGCGGCGACACGGCGGCACCGGGAGGGTTACGACAGCGACGCGGACACACTAAAAGCCGCCTGGGCTGCATTCCATGCAAGCGGCGCAAGATCAAGGTACTGAATCAGTATCGTTATATGATGCCGTGTTACTAAACTCCGTCAAGTGCCCAGAGACATGGCCATCATGTACAAATTGCGACAAGCGCGGACGTAAGTACAAAATCGTGAACTAAACCCCACATCTCACCAACCGTTCAAGTGGTTTGTAGGTATCCGGATGTATTCAAGCACGCGCGACGAGACTATATACCCCCAGAAACGCCAAGTCCGCGTCAGGTTGTTAAACTTTCGGAAACACCTACCATCTACAGTTCAGATGATATGCAGTTGTTCCATCACTATCTCATCTCGGCACACCCTTGCATTCCGCACGACTGGAATGACATTTGGGTCAGAGATATCCCTGTAAAAGCCAATCAAGTATGTGGCGCCTTCCTTTTCCAATACAAGAAGTCTGTCGTCACTGACTACCCAGTATCCATATCTCATGGATGCTATGCTCGCTTTAGCTGGATCTCATCTTGCTATCCAAGTCGAGAACCCAAAAACTAGTCTCGCACTGCAACACCGACAAAAGGCAATCGTTGGACTCGAGGATTCCTTCTCTCGATGGCCCCCAACTGCTGAAGAATCACATATCATGCTTGCTACATCTTACTTGCTGTGCTTCCAATCCAGCTACATGGAGGACGGCTTTCTGGAGCATTTCCTGTCTTTACGAGGATGCTCGTTTCTTTCCCAGCTAATCTTAGGCGAAGGCTTCCGTGGTCCTTTCTCTGACCAAAAGGCTTTAGGCATGATACGTATGGATACAACATTTTGCAATTTCCCAGTAGTGGACCAGGAACTTCTACGCGAAGCTCTGCTATCAATAAAGGGATTCTCTAGTCTGATGACTGGGCCCATCGCGCATCCCATCGAGAAGGCCATTGTCGGACAGCTCATCGAAACTCTTCAATGCCTTCTGGTCTCGGAAGTGGAGAACCCGGAACTAAGGGACGCATTTGATTCGACCACTGAATATGATGGGGAAAACAACAAAACTTCAATACCAGGTACACATTTAGTACCAGGTTTTACAAAAGCAAGCACTCTACCACAAATGGCTTCGGGTCCCAACTCACCTTCCGATCTCTACGCGTTCGCCAACCCGATTCTACCAGGAGATCTCGGCGTGGTGTTTGACAAGATCGACTGGGAAAATCTCACAACTGCCCCACCAGGTGCTCCATACCCGCTCCAGTCCTTTATTGCTATTATGGCTATCCTCACCATCTTCTCTACGTGGCCGCATGACGGACTCATGCATGTCTTTGATCCCACAAACCAACTCGGCAACGTCGTCATGGCGCACTTTTGCGCCATACGTTTCGTCCTCTCGCCATTATCGGCGCCGAGAAATGCATTGACAACCCCTATAAGGGCGACTGCTCAATGGTCCGCCCGGATCATAGCTGCCATAAATGATGATGAGAGTGGGGAGTGGGCTCAGTACGTGGAATGGCCGAAGAAGATACTTCGGTGTATGGAAGAGTGTATTGAGAAACATAAAGGCTTCACCATGGAGGGTGTACGTGATATGCTCTTGCGCGATCCTGGGGCGTTCAAGGAAGGCAGAGGACGGAACTACTGAGCGTCACAACATCATGACCAGATATGTTGATTACGCATCGCTTTCTCTCGTGGTGAATCAGTGCAAAAATAGAAAGAGACACCCAATTCCGCTTTACACGATATGTCTGCTTCCAGGCGCAGAGATCGTCAGTGAATGTGTATTTGGTGCAGTTCCCGTGAGCTACTAGGTGGTGAGCGCCTTGCGAGCTACCTGCATGTTAGAAACCTGGCTAGATCACGAAAAGGTCCCACGAAACTATTTGCGTAAGTGAAAGGAAGATCGCGCGGTCGGCGCTCGATAGTTAATCTCTGTAATCACCGCCTTCACTTTCTTCGACTGTGACTAATAAGTACTAACTCTCTACTCTCCCTACAAAAACCGAAAGGCCGCAGCAACCGCTTGAATCAACATCGCTCGAAATGCTCGGTATCCACGATGTGCTGGGATATGTGGCGAAAGTCGTTCTTAGTCTTTTCCTATCGCTCTCAGATCTCGTCCTCTATCTCCTCGATTTCTTTTTGAATCTTGAAGACTACTGGTCCAAATCGATGATAGACTTCATCATCTTTGGAGCGTGATTACACTGCTCGCATATATTCGTGACGAGGAGATAATGGAATTCAACAACAAGCTTGCAATCGACAGTGAGCTCAATATTGGGCGCAAAACGACCAAATGTACATATCTTTCGATGGCAAGTGACAAACTACTGACTTATTGTAGTCAATCGCCCATATCTAGATACCTACCGCAAGGGCGTTGTCGTCAGGAGCATTCACGTCATCGGCAAGAGATTTGACATGGTCATCAACGAAATGGAAATTGCTGGTGGACATTCTGATGGGCGCCATCGAGCTCGTGTACAGGGAGCTGAAGAATGGATCACATTTGGGAGCCAGCTTGTTGTCAATATGAACGACATTACCAAGGACGTGGCGAAGGCGGGTGGTAGCGTAGATCTTGAGTAGACTTCAACACCAAAAGAGCTGTAATAGGCCACAATATGTAAGAGCTTGTAGGCATGTTCAACGTTTACTGCTTGCCGTATCTCCAGACTAGCTAGTAGTCAATCCGATCCTATTCAGACAGACCGGTTCCACCACCCTGATCGCATCGTCGCACTTACATCTGCAGCCCGTCTGCTCCCTCCATTCTCCACGAGTCCCCGAGATCTTTGGTACGCTCACCCCTCTCGCTCTCTCCTGCTCTGTAGTCGCATATGTACAAACCTGCAGCCCATCATGCACATACCCCCAATCACCAAAATGATGCAATTCCTCCGGCTTCAACAACATGGCAGCAGCCAATGAATGCACGGGTGCATCACCCCACCTCTCATAATAAAACCCGCCGTCACGGTCTAGATACTCAAAGATGGCACGATACGCATCTCCACGGAAGAAATCCATATCTGCAATCTCAAAGTTCGACCAGAAGTGACACATGTTCCATAAATCTCCCCTCTCATCCCGATTCCACAAGAGCGCTAGTGCACGGCGGAGGGGCCAGGGCATGTAGCTTGCGTCGACCATGGCGGTCCAGAGGCTGGAGGTGGGGAGGCGGTATTTATTCCTGAAGAGGGAGAGCTTGTAGAAGAGGGAAGGGACGGTTTGTCCGCGTTCCCAGAGTGCAGTTGTGTAGCCGTAGCGTTTTTTGTGACGCGTCATCTCAACAAAGGGATCATCTAGCGTACGATGTGCAGAGTGAGCAAATGTATCACCTACAATTCGTGCACGAAGGTTACTTACATGTTATGGCGCATGTGAAGGATACGAAGGGTTCGACGCGCCAGTAGTATTTGTAAGGAAGAAGGGCGGGGTGGTCGAAGAAGAAGCTGTGATATTTTTATCAGTGCGCCATTCCTGAGATGGGGTTGGCTTGTTTGACATACCCAGACTGAAAGCGGCACATGTGGTGATAGCTTTCTTGTCCTCCATACTGTATACCCCGGTTTTTCATGGATTGCATGCTGCTTCTCGCGCGCACTTGGTCGATCCACTCGGGATATCCCCACATCTCTTTTGGAATGACCTCAAACTTTACTTCCGTGTCTTTTCCTACTGCTTTGCCCACCTTAATCTTAAAATCCTCCGTCCACTCTTCGTCGTTCAGAAAAACCCATGGATACCCAAAGTTATCGTTGAACTGTTCTTGGACGCTTCGAATGCTGGAAACTGCGCCCTTGACTTCCGAGTTGCGCGCCAGCATTACGAGAACAGCGGACTCGCGTGCGGTCGTGTTTAGGACGGGGCTCTGACAGCCCGTGTAGAAGGGTGCATCGAGGGGTGTCGACGGGCGAGGAACATCGTAGTTTCGTACATGTACGTATACTTCAATAAACATCAATGACACGATAGCCAGAATCAACTTCCAGTGGGATTGCGCAATGCGCCCCAGCGACCGCAGCGGATTCCTCCTTGGCCGTAGACTGATTTTGTGCATAGCGATGGCGAAAACATGGCGTTTGACAAGAAACGAGGAAGAGCAGTAAAGGCTGTAGGATGCGATGAGAGCCTAGCCAAGTCTTTTTCTACAAGCGCATGGAAGACGGAATCTTGATTGCTGCGCCATTAGGCGTCCCCTTTTGGATCCAGATGAGGTATAAAGTGCCTGAGTACAGGGCGCCTTACTAGGCGCTAGGTCCCCTCGACCCGCAGATCCCCACGGGGCCAAGAGAACGTTCAAGTAGCAAACATACACTAAGGTCCTGTTCCACCAATAGACTACAGGCCAACGATCCTTCTGTCTCTCCTGAGATCTCGAAGCCGAAATGGAATGTACATTATGTTCAACCCCGGGCGAAAACTCGAAGGTTGATGACAAGTAATACATGGGCGCATAGTACAGAGCAGGTACCCACCGGTTCCGAAGGCATGTTAAGCTAGCTTTCTGTTAGACGCGAAATACCCACTCTGCACGTGAAGATGCGACCAGGCCAATAAGAGCTGCGGGAGAGGAATTAGCGTGTTCTGCCGAAACATCGAGGATGGTGGTGTTCTCGCAGGAGCCTGAGATGCATTCGTGCATGTATGACGACGGGCGAATTCTTGTCGGAGTGATGGTGGTTTCTCAGCGTCCAAAGAAACCCGACCGCAATCCCGTAACGTTATCCATCTGCAAGCTTGTCTCGCGGCTGATCAGTCGGGGGCGGTTGATGAACGTGTTGATGCTGCGTATAAATGAACAGGTCGACGTTGTTACCTGCGACAGTGTTGTGCCTCGGCTCACAGTTGAATTAAGAAGGTTAACTGATTCCTGTGACCATCTCCCACCCAACTTGGAAGTCACACATGTCAGGGACCATCTGCAGTTCACGAGTGTACATAGCCATGACCAAGATGTGTACGACAACGGCTAGCATGCAAGGTCTACCTGTAGGCATTCGATCGAGAGGGATATCCATATAGTCAATCGGACAAGGAGCACGAACGTAGTGCTGCGAGGCAGGGTGCAGAAGCCTGGTTAATGAGAAAGGAACCTTGAGCAGGTAAACTTCATACACAGCATCTCGTATTGCGTGCCGCGAGGGGTTTCAGATACCGAAAGCGTTCCAGTGTAACTATGATGCGGGCTGCAGCAGCCAAAGTATGCTAAGATGAAAGTGTAAGGTTTCATTGCCGTTGCGAGGAAGACTTAGTGGTAGTTGGAGACACATCCTACAGCAATAGTTAGGATTCTTTCAGAAGGAATACACTGCAAACATCACTGAGCACGAAAGCAAAGATATGCAAAGGCAGTGTGTTGCAATGCCTTAAACGGGAGGAACATACAGCTTGCGGCTGAACAGGGGATCGGGTCGTGCAGCGTCGATCCACAATGACGTACAGCAGCCCGTTCGCAGCAAGATGTAATAATTTAGAAGAAGTAATTCAAAGTTACACAGATGACGCAAGAAAGGTACCGCAACTCAAGCAAACTGAAATACGGACAAAAGCAGATCTGGGTATTCCCAAAAGCAAAAGTTCCAACAAAACGTAACCAAAACGCCATTAGCCGTGGGGCTTCCCGTTCTCGCAGGTGTCCCCGGGGTTTTCCATGCCGCGAGGCTCTCCAGTCTTAGTAGGTATAGTGTGTGTCTGTGGGGACAAAGTATGTCTTTTCGTGATGGTAAAGGAGTGTAGGTAGATTGGTTCGTGCAAAAGAGGTTGTGACACTGGAGACGCGCCGATCCAATCTACTGGAATGCGTTCATATCCGGCGATCCAGACGGTCGACGCGCGACTTGAATCCTTTGACAATCTCTCCAATGCGACGGACTTTATCGAATTCTACTTGCAGTTCATCGATTTCGTGAAGGATTGCGCGGAAGCGGGCGATTTCAGCATCAGCCATTTGCATGGCATTGCCTGCGCGGTCGTACTGCACTTGGGTTGCTGTTTGTGTCTGCTGGGTGAGCTGGCCATTGTCAGTACTACACCACACAGAATCGAGCCTACTCAAAGACATAGCAAAAGACACTCACATACTGCCAGCGTTGCTGGATAGAGTACATTAGACGGTCAAAGTGGGCGCTGAGCGCCTGCAAACTAGAAGGATCCAGGAGGAGACGGCCTTGGCTGGAGGCGTGAGAGGCAGCACGCGACGAATTGGAGCCTTGCTGTGAGGCGGCGATTTGTTGCTGGAGATATCTGCTCTCGCTCGAGTTGAGGCCCAGTTCAGACACTGGGATGGCGGACATGTGCACATAATTATCTTAAGAACATGGTCGATCGGGAAGTCTGCGCCCTGGCTTCCGCGTGTGCGACGGCTGGATAGGATTTGGGCGTAGCAATTGTTACTAGTTGGCTACGAACGCTAGGAAACGTTACAGCAGGCCTGCGTGGAGGAGGAAGGGGAATATGCAAGTTGATGTCGTTTGAGATGGGTCGGGCGGGCGAGATGCGCCAAGCGGCAATTCCGGCTGCCCAAAAGCATATCACCAAAAAGCAAGGGCATGCGAACGCCCATTATCCCACACCCTCATCTCCCCTTAGCCGACTGCAGCCCTATGTACTGCCGTCCCCATGCGCCAGTACGCAGCCGCCGTTTGGTGTTGCAGTCGCTGCACATGTTTCTATCCGCGACGCAGCGCGTATCGCCATGAGCGAGCAAGCGGTCAGCAAGCCCATCATCTTCCCACCCGCCCACTCCGACATGATGCTGGACCACGACTGTTTGCTTTTGCGTCCGTACGACCATAGCGCTGTGCCGCACTCAACTTCTGGCTCCCATTAGAGCGCGGGATAGTGTCTCCGCACGCACACCCTCTCCACAATCCGCGACAAGGATACGTTGATTGTGCCGCGAGGTTCATGGATGAACAACGACCCCACCAGCTCGCATGCGGAGGGGTAGGGTACTCCTGGTCGACCGTCGGCGAACCATATGCAGAAGGTGACAATGGAATGAGAGCGTGACAAGCATGTGCCGCTGAACGAGTACACCAAGTATCAAGCCTCAATCTCTACGCTGTTGGTAGTCTGGCACGCGGTACATCTCTATGGCGTCGCTGGGTTCCATCATGCCGAGGCAGAAATGCGCAACAAGTTTCACAAGGAGTAAGCATGTCGGAGAATGCCTGCATAATATCTCGTGCAAGCTTGTGTCAGATTCAAGGTTCATCGGAAACACGCTTCCAACATTGGTGTTGAAGTTTACTTCTTCATTGAGATGGAGACTGGTTGATCCAGGCCTTTAGCCAAGCGGCGGAGAAGCGACTGATATTGACATCGTCGATCGTCATATAGATACATGAGTAGAAAAGAATAAAAGGGGTATATACACCAAGCCATCCAACGCTATGCACAGAAACAAAGGGAAAGAAATGTACTACCCACGCCTTATAAGGCGTAGTTCTCGGCGTGGAGAAAAATCTCGTCCCGCCCACTATCACTCCATACACTCCTCTGCATTTGCGCAATCGTCTCACTCACGCTAATGCGCATGGTGGGTGGCCCACAAACAAACACACACGTTCTGCGCCCAAAGTTTTTGCTTAGTCCTTTGAGTAAATACGGTATATCCGGGCGTCCATATTCAGTGCTCCAGCCGTCCTTTTTCTTGACAGCTGCAGGCAGGAATGCAAAACGCATCAGGTTCTTTTGGAACTCAGTGGGTGTTGATGGGAAGCCAAAATCGAAGCCCTGGGCGCCTTCGGTGGGATTGTGGATTATGTCCGGATTTATGGCGCCGGAGCCTGCGGAGACGGCTTGATTGATGTCCAGAGAGAGGTTGCGCTCTTGACGTCGAGCAGCAAGGCCACGTGGCGCAGGCGCTATCATATCCGGGTTCGAGCTGTCTGCTAATTCGGCAGAGTTTCGCCCACTGTTGTAGCTTGAGCGTGGTGGTGCGAGGTGGCCCCTATTGACGGGGACCATGTGCGCCTGAGGAAGTGCCGTAATACTATCTTCATTCTCGCGACGCAGCTCAGACTCCTTTTCAGGATCTCCCTGCGCTTCATCGCGGATGAGAGCGGAGTGTCGCTTTGAGGAGACACCCGAAAGGCGGTGGTCGGCAATGTTCTGGAAAGCATCGTTGACCTTGTCGTGAAAGTACAGCGACACTGGACGAGTAGGTGTTTTCGCGCTGACAAGTCCACCAGCTGGGTTACGTTTCGCAGCGGTGATGTAGAATTGACACTGTACGGCCTCGGGTGGCGCATATTCACGGCAGATGCGCAATTCTTCCTTGAACCACTCCATGGTTTCAGGACGCTTGAGGGCCCATATCACATGGATTTTGCGCGTGACAGCTTTGCCATCGCGCATCTTCTTGATAAGAGAGAGCAGCTGCGAGACAATGGCAGTGATGCCACTACCTCCTGCAATGAGTACGACGTCATCGAAGGCTTCAATGCGCCGTTGCATACCTCCATATGGACCATCGACGAAGGCACGATATGTGTGCCATGGGCCATGGTCGAGAGCGTTCTGAAGAACCTTCTTTGTGAAACCACCGAACGGCCGGAAGACGAGAACCATGTCCCGGTAGCCCTCGCCATATTCAGAAGGAAAGTCCTCACTGCATAGTGAAGCGATGGTGAAGGGGTGGTTTTCAAACACTGAGATACCAGGCATGCGAAGATAAACATACTGTCCTGGTCTCCACCGCATTCGGGTTGGAATAGTGATCTTGATAGCGTTCTCTGGCATAAGCGTCACAGCGGCCTCGTCGCCAATAAGCCATGACAGTTGACCTGGACGAGTCCAATTCAGATAGAACAGCCGCATGAAGTAGGACAGTAGCCAGATGCCTAAAGTGGAAAGCAGGTAGTGCCATGATGTTAGGTAGTTGTTGCAATGCCAGAACATCATTCCGAGGAAGACAATGGCAACGGGCACGTGCAGTGCCACGAACAGTTCGTACATTCGGTGGCGTAGGGGCGCAATCGAATGCGTGCAGAGGAAGCACAAGGGAACGAGTGCTGCGATACCTGAAACTTATCAGTATGTGATCTAGGTCTTAGATGGGAAAGTCATACCAGTGCCGTAGATGTACATTCCGCTCTGTTGATTGAGCAGCTGCTGGAATGCCTGATGTGCACCCTTCTCCCAGACTGGAGTGACGTAGAAGGGTACAGTGTGCAAGATGCTCAACACGAGGCAAATATATGCTGCCCATCTGTGGAACACATTCAATCGCTCGTGGCTGATGCCCGTCACCATTGAGATTAGGTTCGCTTTAGTCGCAAGTGCCACGATCCATGGCATCAGTGCCACAGCCATCATGCCGGAGCGAACTGCCAATGGAGGTGAGCCATAAGCGATACTGTCCCAGAATAGCGGCTGCGGAAGGGTGCAGTAGAGGACTCCCAGGAGCAAGGCTAGAAGTACAATCACAATAACAGCCAAGGATGGGAACACGATTGGCCTCCATCCCTTCTTGACTCTGATCTGTGGAATCGGCCGGTAGAAGATGAACCGGAAAAACGCTATAATGTTGTTGATCGGCCCGAAAGAAGAAACGCTGGATTGTTGTTTTGGCGCACTGGGTAGCGGGCCTTCGCGTGGGAAGAACTTCATGGTGGACTTGTCAGTATCAAGTACCGACATCTCGTAATCTGTGTCGGGAGAGGATGTCGTCGAGGACTGTAATACCTCTTCTTGGTGTAGTGCTGTCCGGATCTTATCCGTGAATAGATGATAGTATCGCATCAGGGCTGCAATGACCAGCAGAGGTATACAAAAGTAGATATATGCGAGCGCATATTTGCCGCTTTTGTTCCATGGATCGACGGTGTTGGCTTCTATCAATCCAGCTGGGCTTGTGCTGCTGAATGGTATGTTCACACGTCGTAGTAATGCTGAGACCGATTCGACAATGTCTCGCTCGGCGTGTGACACTACCACGCCCAGCTGCTCCATGGCCACACCCGTCCGCTCCACGAGAGCTTCCCGAATGACCGGCATTTTCGAGTAGTCGTTGGATTTGCTTTTGCAACAATTGGCGTGATAATCGTGAAACTTCTGCCAGCAGAAGCCGGAATACGGCAGAAATGCGTCCTAGGCCAACGGATCTTGGTTTGGGGTACCAAAGGCTTAATGAACATCCGGGGCTCCGTTCCTACATGGGTACCAAGACGTGGGATTGACTGTGACAATGCGCGCGAAGGTGCAGCGGAAACTCGATCCGGAGGTGTGGTTGTACCGTGGCGCAGAGATCCCTAGGTAGCGAGAACTTATCCACCGCTTAATCCAACACACAATATGATAAGAATGTTCAGTATGAATAGTGGTAGACGGCGCAAGAACAAACAAAAAAGTGTGCAACCGCCGAATGCTTATGTTCAGATACCGTGCGCGAGCAGCAGTCCGGTTCCTTAAGTTCCATGCGCAAGTGGAGTGCGGGTGACTCGCAAGGGTAAGACCCGTCGTATCGTGGCAGCAAATGGAAAATGATATTCAACCGCTCACCAGAACCCACGCTATTGGGCCAAGATGTGATAACGAGTCGAACCAGGGGCCCCAAAAGAGAGATGACGAGCCCAAAGCGCCGTCACATTCGTGGGCTGCAGCAATACACATATTAGATTGTCCGAGGGCTAGTTGCTATCGCCGCACTGCGCACCATGCAGGATCAGCGCTGTGACTGGCGAGTGGCGGTCCGTCAAGGAAGCGGACCGGCCTTGGTCATCCCTTTTGAGCGGGAGGCGCTCTCGGCTGCAGCGGACATCGCCATTCGATCTATGGCCGTTTCTTGCATACTCTTCATCTTGAGATAGCTCTGAGGTTGTTGCACCGCATGAACGTCGCAGCCCTCCTTCATACCGGCCTAACGTCTGATGTCAGACAGTTCGTCATCTTAGTCTCAGAGCATATTCTGCTCATCAGTCTAGCGCTATAGCGTGTTAGCAGAGACACCGAGACATATCTCACAGCCGTATCATAGACTTCAGGGTTCCTGCTCCTCGGTAGCTCGGATCCATCTGGTGGACCAAAGTGGGCTGGCCTTTCGTTCGCATGACCATGGATTGAGCGAATTGGAGGATTGAAGCCCTAATGCCCTGAGACCCTTGCTGGGTAGACTGACAGCCATGCATGGGAAAAAGCAAGATTGTGGAGCGGGGTGCATTGGTGTTGCGAAGCTTTCACTGGCCGTCGATCGAGGTTTTAAGCGCTGACCATCCATAAGAAGCTTAGCCTGCAGTCAAGCTTTTGATGGCCCGCTGAGGATCCCACGCTCGTCCCTCGTTGGTTGGAACAATTCATCCGACACTTCACACCATGAATTGCACTACATCATGTACGAGCGTTGAAGCTCGGTAAATCGCTTGAAAAGTTGATGGAAAAGAGTCGGTCAAGGGTCTAATCGCACGGCCTGGGTCGGTCCACCCTTCTTCCCGTCCCATCTCTAGGCAAGAGTGGATCCTCTCTACCACGATGTCTACCACAGCTCGGTTTTGATCTTGGATTCGCCAAACACGCACGGAGCGGTCACAGTCCTGCAGGTCCGGCGCACTTATCCTGGGAAAAGTGATGATTATCGTGATACAGTCATACCCTCAAACGCAAACTTCTCATCCTGCATGACCCCTATTGCGATCCAAGTCCAGACCAGTCGTGTGTCTCTGTATACAAACACACAAACACAGGTTCCAGCACCTCGCAACTGTTAGGCGCCCAAAGACCGCCCTGGAGGCCGCCCCTCACGTCAACGTACATACGCGATGCGTAACCGCCAGCCCTACGACCCTCAATTTGCCCAATGCGATCAGATTAGTGTGAGTATCGATAACCCAAAGTGCCGGATCTTCAGGTACACTCAATTTCCAGACAGTCTACGCGCTCAAGTACGTGCAGTGGGGGTTGGTGGCTGCAACTCTAATCGAACATGCTAAGTTGCCACGATGTAGTCAGCCCGAGGTCTCGGGTAGTGTGCACATCGAGCGCTTGGATAATGTCTTGGGCGACTTTGTGGGCCTGGCGGCACTTCAAGCGTCTTCGAGAAGGGTGGCGATGTAGATCTTGCTGGGGAGATATTACTTTGCAGCAGACAACGTGGGTTCAGCATACCGAGCGCGCATACCCTCACTGCGGCGCTGTCATCGCCTCTCGAAGCGCCCAGCCAGCATGATCTCAGTTGCCTACTATGTGAAATGCTACTCAGTGATCCATAACCGGCGATATCGGATGGAATCGCATTCGGTATCTCACATGAAAACGTTACCGAAGCGTGCTATAAGTTCCAAATATACCACCCTCGCTCACACTGGTAGGTCTTACCGGCTGAAGATCGATCATGGCATTCCAATCTGAATTAGAACTCGGAACTCACGCGCACGTCGGCTTCGATCAAGCGCGGCAATTTATCCTATCTTACCTGCAGGACACGTTTCGAAACATCCGCCCAATGACAAGGCTCCGTCGGAGCCAGCGAACGCAATGCAACGGCACTGTGTATGCATACTCATATATTTCCAGTTGCTCGGGTCCATATCTCGCTGTTCAGCAGCAGCTCGTAGTCTCATACGGCGATTGTAAATTCCAGTCGACGCTACTGTGCTGTGTCGAGGCCGACATCGCAAGCACATTGGTCTAATCCTGGATATGTACTGCTCTTACTCGACGAATGACTCCACACCACATCCAACCACAATGATGAGCAGTGGCCAGGTAGCTCGGATGTGGGAACTAGAGGACAATGACCTAAGATGAGCACAATTGGTTCCGACACGTGAGAAATTAACGTTCACGATGTACACATATCTCTTTCAGAGGATGTTGAAATGGTCTTGTCTCTTATTGAAGCAATTGGGATGCATTTTGCTGATTGCATTCAAATCAATGGGTGAGTTCAGCATAAGAGTTACGAACTTGGCGGAACAAGCTAAACTCATGGGAATTCTCATCCCTCTATTCACGTTCGCGGGTTTCAAAGCTTCGGGCAGTATGCAGCCAAACATTGCAGGGCTTGAGGACGTTTGGGTAATAGATAAACCATATTGCAAAGCTAATACTACGATAGCATGGCTTCAAATCTCTCTCCAGCTATACGATTCAACCCGTCTACATCTCCGCATGCGTCGCAATACCCCACTTCTGCAACAGATTATGCCTGTGCCAATAGCTTCTGTATACCTTGCCCCAGAAAAAGAACACGGGAGCCGTGATGATCATTGCGCCAGCGATACCGGCAAAGGTATAGAATACAACAGCAGGTCCTTCGCTAGCCGCCCAGTCATTCACAAAATATGAGAAGCCGTAGAACAGGAAGTTCTTGAAAACCATGTTGATGATGAAGACCTCAGAGCTGATATCGCGGAAGGAATCCAGGACATAAGATGAAGCAGAGATTGCGGCTATGACGATTCCGAAGAGGTCCATGCCATGGAAGAAGGCTGTAAGATAATATGATTTGCCCTCCTCGGCGAGATGACCGAACAAGCATAGACCTATGACAATCGTCACGGACGGAATCATAGCAAGTAGACGATACTCTGGCTCGTAGATTCCATTGTTCTTCTTCGCGCACCATTTGATGAGAGGATCGAGTGTCGCGCCAAGGAGGATCGATCCGAGAAGGCCACCCAGAAAAGGTCCCAAAGAGAGGTAGCCAACACCAGCTGCGCTGAGCAGATATGGAGGAGCCATGAAGATCTGAGCCATGACGTATGATTGTGCAACAAAGAAAGCAGTGAGCCCTCCTGTCACTATGACCATCCAGAGTACAGCCATGTTTGCGCAAACTGCAAAAGGCGCAATGACAAGCTGCAGCAAGTTATCATCTGAGTACGTCCCTGTAAAGATCGCGAGTTCCTGTACGTAGGTCTTTTTTGGGCGCAGGGCAGGTGGTGAGCTGGTCGCCGTCTCGATCTTCATCATGTCGTCGCTTCCGGCTTTCTCGCTGTTACCGGCATGTCGCTTCTCGGTCGCTGCAAGGTCTGCGAGGTTGTCGTTGGATAGCTCATCGATATCGTACCGATGATCACGAATGTAGTTGGTTTCTGGAACGAAAAAGAAGAGAAGGATGACTTCGAGAGCCACGAAAGGGATGAGGATGTGGAACAGATAACGCCATCCGAGATTTGTTGCAATAGGTCCGACAATGATAGCAGAGAAGTTCGACGCGGCGCCCAAGATGAATTGGATGAGTGTCATGAATCCGCCACGCTGGTGGACGAAGAAGAGATCACCAATCATGGCGACTACGAGGGACTCGAAAGCAGAGCTGCAGGAAGTTAGCACATGTCATCCTTAGAGTGAGATCATACGCACACGGAACCTCCTTGAATGATACGCCCAGCTAAGAGACCCTCGTAGCTGTTTGCAGCACTGCCGACTACAGTCCCAAGCAGACCAAAGAGCGACGCAATTATAAGTTGGGGACGTTTTCCATACTTCCTAGACAATGCACTGACGATAGGTCCGACGCCTCCAGTCACCAGTAACATATATCCGGAGATGACTGTGATGTCTCCGACACTCCTTCCATAGTCTGCTGCGATAAGTACCAGTGCAGGCGAAAGAAGGGGAGATAGCACGGCAGCGTAGAGTATAGAGCCGTAGGATACGATGATCATAATGACCATCTTCTTGGTGTATGACCAATTCAATGGATCATTGGGGTCTTCGGAACTGCATCGTATCAGTCATGTTGTAGGTACTATAGACTGAACACGCAGCCCTTTAGCAGTACTTACGGTTGAGGTATCAGAATAACGTCTGCGTCTTTGCCAGTGCCACGCTTCAGGCTCGCCGAAGCCACTTCTGAGACATTGAGAGGATTCTGTTCCTCGCTGAGGATGACGGTTGCAGGCACATGCGCAAGATGCTTATCCTCGACGATACCGAGGAAACCCATGGTGACGGTTGTACCCGCACAATACTAAGAAAATTTCCGAAGATATAACGAGGAAGTCAAAAGCAATGTCAGGAATCCCACGAATGGTTCCAGAATACAGGTGTCAACAACGTGGGACAGCGCGCGTTATGAATGATCGGCATCCCCAAGTTTCGTCCAGCTTTGCCGCTACCATCGACCAGGGGTAGCGTGCGCCTCCTGGGGGTTCAGTGTCCAAAATGTGGTCTCTGCGACCCCCGCACAGCTCTCATTCATCTGAAGCCCCACAGGGGGCCGGCAATCCATAGGTTTTTGTGCGCCAATGTTGGGGAATTCCTTGTCGAAAAATGCACGTCTGGACCCGGGACGAAAGAGCTTGCAGCTTATCTCATGTATTAGGGATGCAGGGCCCAAACAGCGCATATTCATGCATCTCAGATGCGTTTAGCCTGATTGCATTGCCAGACAAAGGTGTTGAATGTCATCAAAGCGAACATTTGGATCTAAGGGAAGCGCACAGCTTTAGCAAAGGTGCACTTTCTACTGGTAAGTTTGGCCATCGCACCCTGCGAAGACGGGAGGCAGCCACCAATTTTGCGGAGAGGACGCTAGCTACCCCGCAGAGCCCCACAGCTGAGACTTAGCGCGTGAATTGGCTAGCCGTGGCAAGTCCGATCAGCACCACGAGATTTCGCAGCTTTAGTCTGTTCTCCAACTCTTTGGTATAGTCATCAAGATATCGTAGCTCTCACGGCTGTCGATTCGACCTCGACTTCCGCCATATGCCGTGGGGCAGACGACAGCACTTTGTGATTGCGACTCCCATCAGCCGTGGCGTTGCCCCCGCCGAGTCTAAACAGCATGTATGCGCCCATTGATGTGCGGTACAGCATAGACATGGTCAACCAAGTCGAAACCGAGCTTGCGCACTCTATCTACGACTTCAATCACTCGCTACCAGAGCTTTCACTGGGACGAGCGCTGCTGTCAAAGCATCAACAAAGAGGCTCGATCTTCAATAAAGCTCCAAAATGTGCCGTGAATCTCGAATGCGTCATCTCGTGGCGCAGACGAGTCATCTAAGGTCGCATCGCGAGATGCCGTTCTTGTTTGTTTTACGATAAGCGGAGACTAAAATATTGGGGGGTTTATGGCGCTTCCGACATCTGACGATGACGGGACAGAGTGGCCAGTGCACTTTGAAGGAATGGATCTGGTATTATGCTGTTCAGAAGGCTGAACGCTTGGGTGCAAGTACGACGTATGCATTGTCATGCATGCGGATAGGTAGGATCTTAGGCATTGCGAGGCATTTCTTGGCGAAGACTATGAGCATCTGATGGGGTCACTCACCAATACTTCAATCATTGGGATTGTGTCCCTTATTGCTGCTGCTGCTGCTGCTTGACATCTCCCCAGCTACTTACCATATGCCGAAGCACAAAAGTCTTCGTCTGCATCCCAGACATCAAGCACCCTAAAGGTACTCACTACCCAGGTACACCTGGTCATGAAGACTCATGAGTACTAGGAATACCCTTGAGTATTGCTAGTTTATCAAAGCTATGCGTAGCATGAGCACTTGATTGCGACAGAGCAGCTGTAAACTACCATGTCAGTCTAGGAAGTCATATGGACATGCGACAGCATACTCAAAACACTGAGGAGAAGACCTCAATGGCACCAAGAGGCGCTCATCTCACATATGTTCCTTGTACGCTGCTCTTGACTGACAGGATACGGCAACTCTCACGCCCAAATATCGTCCAACAAATTTGAGCCACAACATATCGCAAAGGCTCTTAGGATCGTGCATCGACTCGGCCTATTTTAACCACACCTGGAACCAGGGAAGTAGACTGAACGTCCAAATTGGGCTCTAGGCAAGACATAGAATTAGCTGCTCACTCACTTACGTAGGCTAGACTGTACAAATAGCGAGGCACTGCTGAGATGAAGGTGAGTCGCAGAAGCTTCCAGTAGCTCACGTAGTATCGCAACAATCAACAGTCTGTGCCCGTCGCGCTTTCCTAACAGTATTTGACCCCGCAAACAGAGGCTAAAAAGACGACTCACCTCACTTGCAACAGACAGGGTAACTTCCGGTTGCTATCTCACCAGCGATGACACGCCGGGGAGGCGGCAAGCCACCATATCACTGCGCGATCTGCGAGCAATCCTTCACCATCAAAGCTGATCTCCGCCAGCACACTACCAATCACAGCGACATAAGCAACAAGAAGCTCATTTGTGCCACTTGTGGGTGGAATTTCGATGACTCCCACGCCCTAGAGCTTCATCGAATCCAGAGTAGCCACGGAGATCCACAGACAGCTCGCCCAAACCCGCGAAACGAAGGCTTCGAGCCCTTCACAGAAGAATCCGAAATGGCAGTCACCTGCAATCGGTGCCAGGAGACCTTCACCAACCAGAAACAACACAATGCCCACCGCAGCAACGTCGCCTCCAACTGTGCCGATTGGAGGCACACTGCCCCAAAGCACTCCGCCACATCTCCCGAAGCTGCCCGGGGTTATGTTGACCTGGACAGACCCAAAGACGGATCGCCAATCGTACCCTTCTATGAGGAGCCCAACGCATCATCATCATCAGAAGCTGATACTGTTGACAGCGACGACGGAGTAAAATGCCACGACTGCAAGCGTGTGTTCCACTCGAGAGGTCACTACAACAACCATATGCTAGGCTGCACGCCCATCTCGTCGTCCAAGAAGCACCGCCAAGTACTGGAAGCCACTAAACAAGGTAGCAATACATGGACAATCACAAACCACGTAAGAGCTAGTCCGCAGCAACGCCAGGCCCCTACAGCAGCACCCGCACCTCGCGCCCAATCTTCGTCGTCCACCTTGTCTGCTCCAATCAATGACTTGAGTAGCTTCGCGTGCAATGTCAAAGGCTGCGGTAGGATATTTAGATCGGAAGCTGGCCTTAATCAACACAAGACTGATGCCCATGGTATTGGTGGTCAGGCACTGAATGCGGTCGGTCGAGCCGTGAGGGAGCAGATGAGGCAAGAAGGCCTACTACTGCAACCTTCCTCCGCGTCGTCTCGCGGTCGTGGTCAGCGAGGTCGCCCTGCCCCACGCGCGTCACCTTCCGCTCCTCGTGGTGCTCCTTCGGCGTCTCGTATGGCACCTCCAGCACCCCAAATGACACCTTCCAAACATCGTACGACGCAGCAAGTATCCTCGCAGCCCCTAACTTTCGCTCGGCCTATGCCAATACAACATCATATGCCGCCTACTCAGCCTGTCCAACTACCCACCAGTACGATCATGAGCGGTGTTGCCGAGCTGGATCAAGCCAAACAAGTCCAAGCGAAGATCCTGCGGCTTCTGATTCAGTCCGACATCTTCATCCAACACGATGGTAAGATGAACGTCTGCGGGATTGACTGGACTCGTATTGGCGTCGCAAAACAGCATGAAGTCGTTGCCATGTTCGATACAATGTGCCATCTCCCGAAGATCCTACAAGGCGAATACGTACCGGCTCCAAAGGCCTTCAAGGACGACTACAACACTGAGTATCCGTTTCGCGACTTTGAGCCCTCTCCCGCTCGTAACCCATCAAAGCCTGCTTTGGATGTTGTCGCCATCTCATGCAGTAAAGTTGCGCTTAAGGGCGGCTTTCAGGAGATTGTAAAAATCGCAGCTGTCGACCTTGCCACCTGCCGAATCCTCATGAATCACCTCGTCTGCACAGATCCGCACGCTGAAGTCTTGGATTGGCGCTCCGCGGTCACCGGCTTGTTCAGCTGGAAGGATATGGAAGCAGCTCGAAAGTCTGGATACAAGGTCTTCAAGGGCTGGATGGCAGCACGGAACGCACTACACAAATTTATCGACAAGGAGACTATCGTGGTCGGCCACAATCTGCGCTCCGATCTCGATTCCCTGCGCATGGTCCACGGACGTGCTGTTGACGCCGCCAAGGTCGTTGAGAAAGCTGCTCAGGGTCCACTCAGCAAGGCGCAGTTAGCATTGGACAGTCTGTGCAAGACTTATTCTGAGATCAATCTTAGGAGTGACCGGGAATATGGTCGGGATAGCCTCATGAACGCCTTTGCAGTACGTGAGTTTGGTCTTTGGGCACTCAAAAATAGGGAGCAGCTCGCCCGGATTGCTAAACAGAAGAGTCTGGACTACCAGGCCGCCATGCCAAGAGCTGCTGTTGTGGGAGCTTGATGAGATTCGCAAATGCGAAGAAGGGTAGACAGGATTACGACAACGAAAGCAACGAACTAAACACACATACCTGCCGCTTGATATGAATTGTGACCTGTGATCTAGCTCTTCTGCTGCTCTTCCTGTTCCTTCTCCACAACATCAACCACGAAAGCACCACCCAGCAATATCGCCGGCTCCTCAAGACTATGATGTTCATAACTCAGTGTCCCCACACCACCGGCCTCTAGAATCAAACTAGGATTCTCCTCCAACTTCTTGCCCACCCACCTAGCCGCAAAAGCTCTCAGAATATGACCATGCGCCACAATCAAGACATCATTGGGTTTACCATCTTTGCCAAATCTACCCTTGTGGTACTTCTCCCTCAACTCCTTGATCAGCGTATCCAGCCTCTCTGTGACATCCTCCGGGCTCTCGCCGTCTTCGCAACCGTCCTTCCAGATATCCCAGTCTGCGCCTAACCCGCGGCTTTCACGATCTTTCTTGATTTCTGAAGTGACGCGGCCTTCGTAGGCGCCGTAGTCCCACTCTCTGACTGCTTCTGTTACTTCTATCTTGGCATTCGTACGGATATCTGGCGTGTGCGGTTTGGAGGAGTCGTGCCAGGGATAGCGTTCTTTGCAGCCTAGGTTGAGGAGCTCAAGAGTGCGTTGGGCACGTGTGCGGGGAGAAACGTAGCTGTCAGGTATCAATGTCAGCCGTGAGGTCTTTGTCTAAAAAGATTCCATGCCGCAATCGAGAACGTACATGTGTGCTAGGTTACTCGGTACAATCAATCTATCGTCGCCTACAAGCGCTTTGCCTGTGGATTTTACACGCTTCTCGCCGTTTTCTGTAAGCGGTATGTCCGAGACTCCTGTGTGGCGTCCGTTGAGCGACCATTCTGTTTCGCCGTGGCGGATTATGAAGACTCGTGGGTCGGGCATTATGTTTATCAAGAGACTTGCTATCGCAGTTGCTGGGAAAGGAAGATGGGAACAACGCGAGGCGAGGCGAAGTGATCGGGCCAATTGACGATCCAGAGATGATGCGCGTTTAGAAGAAGATATTGAGAGAGGTTTGAAGAAGGTAAACTACAGGGAAAGTGTTAGTTGAAGTATGCGCGACAGGTGCGCGGCAGCTAGCGGAGCTCAGTCCGTATGTATGACGTCCGTATGGGAATTGATTAGCAAGGTGGGGCGTGCCAGGGACGTGTTCAAGCTACCCCACCATGTCCGCTTCATGCGCCTTGTCATGCTTCGACGCGCAAAGTAAGCCTTGGTAATCACCTTATCCGGGAAACATGGGTGAGAGATCAGGTTCGTGAAACACCGAGAGCCATTATCTACGCGGAGGAAAGGAGCAGCTGTTGCTACAGTAGAAGAAGAGTGCAAATTGTCTGGACTGACAATGGAACCAGTCTGAAGATGCCCGGGCAGATATAGATGCTTGAATTCACGCAATACTCCTTGAACCAAGTGTGCAAAAGCTACCCATATTACTCTTCCTCTACAGGGCTCTGCTCCAAAAGGCTGTCGTCTGCTACACACTGGGAGTACCATTCTATCAAAGATCAGCTTCATAACGTAGGATGTGGGTCGTATCAATCTCCACATACCATTCTGAACCACACAGGTCGCTCCCTTGACACATACTGTGCAACCTGCCCATGGAACACCACCATCCCAGCCTCCACATTTGTAGTAGAGAGGAACAGGGCATCTAGTGCTGCTCGGGCCAACCTCTTCAGTAGTGGTCTTGGTGGGCTTCACCGTCGATTTTGTTGTCGTTTTGATCGTGGTCTAAGTATGTTAGAAGAAGTCAAGAACAAAATCATGTCGAATCAGTATGCGACTAGCCTTTGTCGGAGTTGGAGTTGTCTCTGGCTTCTTGCTTGATTTGGGCGGCTCCGGCTTCTTCGTTGTGGTCGGCTCCGGCTTCGTGCTTGTCTTGGGCGGTTCAGGTTTCTTGGTGGTTGTAGTTGTGATCTTGCTTGCTGTTGGCTCTGGAACACCCGGCGTAGTGCGGCTAATGTTGTCGGTGCATCCGCCCTTAGTACAAGTTATGATGTAGGTCTGGCGTGGTTCGATGGCGACATGGTTGTTGGCCGGCGCCTGTTGATAAATCAGTACAAGATGTCTAGCTTAACGGCGAGATACATACTGCAAGGCACACTGTCGAGAGGCTTGTCGCTAGAAGCGCAAGTATAGTAAGCTGCATGGTGATGGGTGGATAATGATGCGTCAGTGAATGGAAATGCTGGGTTAGCCGTGGAATTCAGGCTCATGGGATATGGAAAGCATCTTATAGCCACAGACATTTGCTGCTAGTCTAAGGAAGTCAACACCAGGCTCAACAATTGCTTCATGGCTACAGCTCTAGATACCCGCGGCTCCAGTGTAGACAGCAGTCTGACTGGGGCCAAGGTAAAATACGAGGCCATCTCAATCTGCTCGTGCATTCGCCTATATTGTGGCTAGCGAGTTTGTGTGCCATAGTGATGGTACAGGCAATGTAGAGCCTACCGAGAGCTTGTATAGTCAGTCAGTCAGCGAAGGTAAGGCACTCAGAATGGCACATTTGGCGAAGGCTGGCAAGATGAAAAACAGGTTCACCTGGGTATACGCCCGTATTTGGTGTTGTGTATTGTAGGCTGCTTCTCGAATAAGGCTGCCCACGATGCGCGGCTATACCCATATCTCGACTGAACCTGGTCTCGGCCACGAGTTGAAGTTCGGTTGCGTTCCGAGAAGATTCGCGACTGGTTTTGATACTATTCTTGTTCACGACGACTCTTATAGACGGGGATGTGTTTTAGCCGCAAATTGATACCCAGTCGACCCTTGTCCGACCACCAGACTCAGATGCCACTCAAGCTGACCATGACTTGTGCGACTTTCCAGATCGCGCAAGCTTAGATTGTTCGATACAAGCAGTGAGACTGGTAGTCGGAACAGGTTACGAGAAATCCGAGTGACGCTGCGGATGATCGCGGCATCGTACCGTGACCCGGGGGCAGGCGAATGTAAGGCAAGCAAGTGATGCATTACACACTGGGCCAGACCGTGGGCATACACTGTTTAAGCTTGCTCTAGGCAAATGACATTAGCAGTGCGCTTACACGCACATGGGTAAGGATGAATGATGGTCAGTGTCCAGAGCAAAAGGGTCTTGTCCAAATCATTCACTGCCTGCCCCATTTTGCTGAAGGGGACCATTGGCCAGAAGGTCTCCAACGCCGATCCATTTCCTGACAAGGAAAGCACCCTGCGGCCTCAGCTTTCTGTAATAGCCCTCTTCTTTCTCGAGTATCTCAAAGTTCCGCTTCTTGTACCACTCCATGCCTTCCTCGTTGGCCTCCCACACGTGCGCCGTGACACAGCGCACACTGTGAAGTTGGACGGCCTTCTTCACTACAGCCTGTAGAAGATGCATGGCGATGCCGTGGGTGCGGTAGGGAGCCAGGACACCGATGGTAGAAATGTACAATTGCGAGGAAGGTAGTATGCGACATCGAACGGCACCAACGAGGTTTGGCTTCTCTGCAGGCGATGTCGAATTGGCATTGGTGGGCGAAGAGTGCCACACTGCCACAAGGGTAATGCCATGGTGTGGCTCTGTCATAGTCTCTTTGTAGAAGGTCTCCGGATAGGATATAGGAAGAGTGAGGGTGTTCAAGCGCTTGAATGCTGGCAACAAGTCTTCGGTAAGGGGTACGAGTTGGACGTTGGGCGGCAGGGGACGTAGGGCGAAGAGGTGTGGAATGGCGGGTTGCTGAGGGGAGAGGGAAATGGGCGAAGGTATGCGCGAGATGGCAGGCGTGACTGCTCGAGACGGACGAGGGCTTTTCTTGGACCGCGGTCTTGAGGGGGCTTGGAGGAAGTCGTCGGGTATGTCATTCCAGTTCTCCATTGCTGAGGGCGTAGGCGTTGTGTTGGAAGGCACGCGCGTAGGCGCTGAAACTGACTTTGGGGGAGGTGGCGGTCGGTTCGTCCTTGGCGACACAATTGGGGGAGCATTTGGGGGTTGTCCAGGCTGGCTGTCCTGACTTGGCTTCTTCAGCCAATTGTTCAGTGAAGACTGCATCGCGAGAGGAGGGGGGTCGAGTGGGTTGTTGTGACGTAGGCAGTTCGGGATGACAATAATCTATTAACGTGACGGTAAGACCAAGGAGTCGCTCGGCTTCTGTCCTCGCGATAGTCTGTGAATTGCCAAGCAGAGTTGTTTACGGTGGACAAACACAAACCCGAGGGGAAACTTTCTGGTAGTGACGCGCCTCGAGATGGTTTACAGGGATGGTTCTTAGCGTGCTTTCGTCGGCCAAGCCGTCAGCTCCGACTTCCTCGCAGGAAACAGCATCATCGCCCTAAATATCCCCAGTCCCACCACCGCAACCATGGGCGCCGAGAACTCGAAACCCTCGTCAGAGGTCAAGCAGCATGTCTTCTCCTCGTACGTTGCAGTCCCCACCGCCAATGGCTCTAGCCCCTCCCACGAGATGCAGCGAGCAAGTGACGTCGTGTGCTGATAATTTGCGCGCAGAGATCACCCCTACAGCTTCTCCAACGAACTCGTCGGATCGCTACAGAAGAACACTTTCGTAGGTTCCATGGCTCCCATGGGCGAATTGCGGCTAACAGAGCGTAGACAGACTCGGCGCGATCAAGACAGCAGGAACTCCAATACCAGGAACGCCTAACCGCCGAGCTCGAGAAGCTGCGCGAGCAAGAGACGCACAACTTCTCCAAGTTCAGCGAAACCCTCTCCGGAGAGAGCCAACAGTCGGATGAGCCCTCCCTGGTCGAGAAGATCCAAGATGCGACATCCAGCAGTTCATCCCTCGCCGAGAAGCAACGACAAAAGGACATGAGCAGGGACAGTGTCACCAAGGAGATTGAGCAGCTCAAGGCCAAGTTGGAGCAGAGGAAGAAGCTGGAACAGGCCGATGCCGACGTCACAAAGGCAAAGGAGGCTGTCGTCTCATGTCTGAGGACCCACGACCGACGACCGCTGGATTGCTGGAAAGAGGTCGAGACCTTCAAGCACGAGGTCGGCCGGCTGGAGAAGGAGTTTGTACAAAAGACCATCCGATGAGTTGTGCCGAGCAATCGACCTTTTGGGGCTGGGCGGAAGGCGCCCTTGTATAGTTGGGTTTGGTAGGATATAGCATCCTGGGGCATTTCTTATCTTCAAATCCTTACTTTGTCTATTACCGTGCCTTGCGCCTTGCTACGCACACCGCAACTGTACCAATCACTTGGGACTGGGCGGGGTACTCTTACCGCCTTGCTCCTGCCACCACCACAAGCCACGTCTATCCCTACCCACTAGTCCTCACATCTTTCTCCCTCAGCACTTGTCTTACGCATCTAATTTTGCAATTTTTGCTTAGTACTACTGCTTCGCCATTCATCTGTAATGGCTGTTCTTACTCACCTTCACCGCGCGTCTTAATGTGGGAACGCGTTTAGGCGCCTAATTGTCGCAGTAACTTCGCGTCCTCATCTCGCAGGTCCTTCCTCACACAACCCCACACTCCACAGGACTTCCTCTAAACTGGTCAATTTTCAGGCAGCCGATGTACAAAATTGTCTGCATCATGTCCTACCGCCTTGGGAACACCGTCGATGACGATGAGGGTTGGGATGATAATGATAGTGATATCGAGCTCCTCAATTACTACTCAGACACCGAGTCCGACTATGAGATTGTCACGAACAACGCCACTACAGCTCAGACAGTCTCTGGAAATCGACCGAGAACAACACAGGAGCTTGCATCTGATGATGATGTTCATCTCCCGGATATCGCGATACAGAGGTTCAAGATGGCTAAGGGCATCCTCGTGAAACCTGGTGACACGGTAGAGCTTAGGGACCATTCAAGACGAGAACCAGAAGCTCTGCACAGCGGCGACTTCCTCCGCATCAAGACCATCATTATGAACATGCAGACAGATGAAGTCCGATTGAGAGGCTATCGACTGCGGCGCACTAAGTACGTAGGCCAGATTTTTGATTGTAAGTGCAATTGATAGAGTATCAGAAGCCTACTGACCTGGTAGGGAAACTCAACGAACTTGGAATGGTGCTACGTGTCGATGAAGATGACTACCGTTCGCCTCTTGTCGCCGGTATAGAAGATGTGAAGATTGAAGAGGTGCTCCGTCTACGCGAGTGCACGCTCACTAATAAGCCTTACCCTTTTATGAGCTTCCGAACCGACAGCCATACTGCATACCCAAGTGGTATGAGTGAGAAAGATATTAAGCGGCAAATCTTCCACGAGAGTCGGCTGACATGCCGTGTCGTTAATGTACTCTACATCAGCAGAGGCAGGAACAAGCCTTATGGTGGCATCGTGCGTCATCTTTACACCCATGAGGCTGACAAGTCGGAAGACTGCATCCCAAATCCTGGCTACTCGCGCGAGATACCTATCTCCGTAGAAAGCGACATGGAAGACGACGACTGCGTTCTTGTTAGCAGGAAGCGACGCACCCGTGACGAGTCTCCTGACTTCGAGATCCTCGAAGAAAGGCTCCTAAAGCGCAAGACGAGAAATTCGCTGAAGCAATGTCGGCTAACATTCGGGGATGTGTTCTGCGGAGCTGGAGGTGCGTCCCAAGGCGCTGCTCAGGCGGGCTATTATGTCCAGTGGGGACTTGACAATAACGAACGCGCACTGGAGTCATACAGCCTTAATCACCCTGGTGCGTATGCATTTAAGATGAATGCTCACGACTTCCCGCCAGAGGGTACTAGCAAAGAAAATTTGAGGGTTGATGTCCTTCATCTATCGCCCCCGTGTTGCTACTGGAGCCCTGCGCACACCACTGACGGCCCTAACGATCAAGCGAATTATGAGACAATATACACTGTCGGTCCTATCCTAAAGAAGGTGAAGCCTCGGATTGCAACCCTCGAGCAGACATTTGGCCTCGCCACTCACGAGCAGCACAAGCGCAACTTTCTCATGCTGCTATATGACATCGGCCAGGCCGGATATGATGTTCGCTATAAAGTTCAGGATCTATCGCAACACGGTCTTGTGCAAAAACGGAAACGTCTGCTGATCGTTGCTGCAAGACGAGGAACACCTTTACCTCCATTTCCAAAACCCAGCCATGGCCCTCCAGGAAGTGGCCTCAAGCCTTTTGTGTACATCGACGAAGCCCTTACGCATATCACCCGCCAGGGACCACGTGCTATGAACGACCCATACCACAAGCCGAAACTGTACACCAACCCTAGGCCAGCCTACGACCCCCACACATTCCTTAAAGGCTGCATCACTACTGGTGGTACTACCGCGACTCATCCGTCTGGCGAACGTGCGTTCACACCACGCGAACTCTCCCTCTTCCAGAGCTTCCCATATGTGTATGAGTTCACAGGCACTAAGAGCGACGCTACAAAGCAGATAGGCAACGCATTCCCTCCCATAATGGCCCAAGCTATGTACCATATCATAGCTAAGACTCTCGACGCCTTTGACAACGGCCTCATCGGAGCGGAAGATGATCTCTCTGAATTGGACGCTCTGCTGGAACTGAGGGGTGGGAACCATGCACAACAGCGACGTCGCAAACCTAGCATTCCAGGTCAAGATGATGAGATCATCTACGTACCGAGCGACAGCGAATGAAGGTTCGGGATCACTCCTGGACGAAAAGGAAAACGTCACCATGAAGAACATACCCATTTTTCAGGTTTCTAAAGAACAACACGCATCCTCTCTTTGACTTCAGAAAGTGTGCCGCGCTCGATCATCTGATCAGGAGGCAACTGAAATTTTCGAATAATGCACGTTTATCCGAGCGGATTCTTTGGAGAGGTGTGTAGCTCTGTGTCAGCGCTATCCGTTTTACACTCACGTTGTGAGTACCTGTTTATGTACGACCTACCGGAAGAAGCGGGCTTATGTTTTGCCTTCGCTAGTCACGTAACAAAGCCAAGACAGACAGAAAATACAACTCTGTTCACTTCTTGCCTCATGTCTGTGCGTGGCAATATATGTTACCTAACATGTTTCTCTTCTAGGTCTGCTATCTGTTACGGATGTAAAAATGCTCTGTTACAATCACTCCTCTCATTGCTTATATGGCGACACAACACACTAGAAAACTAACGTTCGGTAGAAATCAAGAGTTATGTCCAGAGAAGGTCTTCGCGTCGGATTTAAGCGCAAAGGTATACACACTTACTCAAAACTCATCATTGCATCACTCTACAGCGGGCCAACGTTCGCCAGCCGATCCCTCACATGACTTTTACCCACTCCAACTTCCTATTGCAGGTGCCTAATCGCCGTTCATTTCCAAAAGCTTAATCTCCGCCCCCGCCACTAAGCCCAGGCTTGACACCCTGTCACGGTATGACCCTTTACATGATCTCTCAGAAGACAAAATATCCGCGTAAAATCCGCGTAATGGCGCATACGCCCAGAACACCGACGTCCGCCCGTCTTATGGTAAACATCGTACCATTCTGACCTCATAACGTCAAGGGTCTGGGAGTCAAAGAGTGAGTAAACTTTAGGCCGACAACTCCTGCCCCTTCCGCACCACTGGTCTCACCGGCATCTTGCAGAAACGACGCACAGGCATTACCCATGTGGCTTCCCATCGTCTTACATATGGACATGGTATTCGTTACCCTGCATTCGACTACAAACAGATCTATTCTCTATTCGTGCCCAGCAAGCAATATAATCTTTTCACATGCACATGATAAGGCGAAAAGGAAAAAAAGAAAATTAGAGCGGCGAATTAGAAGGGGTCGGCACGCCTTCCACATCCAGATCGGAATCTGGATAGATTGCTGTCCGTCGGCCAAGTTGATGGATTTAGATTGCAACAAATGCACGAAAATGCATGAAAAGCAATTTTCTCGGTTTTCCTTTCCTTGGAGACGCCCCAAGATCGGACCGTTTGTGATGGTAAGCGCCCTCCTCGTCACGAGAGAATGTGGATTATGCAAGTTGAGAGTGCGGAGTTGTATCCGGTTACACACCGCTATCTTTGTATGGATCAAAGCGTTTCCCCTGAGGTTTGGTTCGTTGGAAAATAGGGTCTGCTTTGCTGCCCGGGCGTCTTGGTAGGCGTCGTTAGGATGGATTATGGTATGTGAGGCGGGTGGAGCAAAGTAAGATTGCGCACAGAGCTCTGGAAGGGTTATGGACAGTGTGCAGGATGGGCGTAGAAGATGTTCAGGGTCCGATTGTATAGTTCGGAGAGAACGCAAAGACATACCATGACACGGGGGTCCATCTTGGCTGGCTTGCCGCATGTCAGATTCACTCCCATGGTTCGTCGTATTCGGTTCTTCATTCGACGCGGGATGTAGTGTCGATGCTGAGGCCCGACAAGCGCGCTTCCGATGAGTGGCGGTAAAGGGAGACTGATCAAAGCCCAAGGCCAGGTCAGACGATGTCTCGACAGTGCATGAGACTGCATGAGTGAGGCACAACGCCCTTTCCGGTTCAATGGAACTAGAGATGGTGTGGAGCCGACCTGAGCAACTCCCTCGTTTATCATTCGCGTGGAAGTGTTCTTCCCGGCCCTCTAGCGCTGATCCTGCTAGCGTGCCATGTGCGTTCCCGTTCTGCCTCTCGTATCTTACATGCCGTGGCTTCGTAGTGCTGCCGATTGTTTGAGCCTTGCGCGGCGTGGCTGGTGCATAGCGCGCTAACGGGTCGCATCTGAGGCGTTGGCTCAAGAGCTAGAAGGATTGCCACGGCGAAATATACCCGTAGTCGACACAGCGGGCTGCAATCTAGGACTTGAGGCTGTTTTGGATTATCTACAAGGGGTGGAGTCGACGTGGACAAGACGGCGCCGTTACTCGGGGGCATCGGAGCTTTCGGCCGAGTCGTCCTGGGGGAGGAGAGAGAGCAGGAACGATTGGAGTCTGCCCGACTAAGTAAAATCGCCCGGCTCCCGGGCTTTTTCAGACCACAGGAACATGCCGATGCGGCAACAAACAAGAAAAAAAATGTAAGTTTACATCTACTTCGAGAACTCCACTTTACACGATGCCGTACTCTCGCCGTGTGGGCCTCATCAACGCTCTTCGTGAGACTTGTATCAAAGGCGTGTGGCTAAAGCTCTTCCGTGCCCGCCCGTCGAAGTACTCTAGAACAAAACTTGCAAACCTAGCGTAGCCGACGTGCCAGGCTATGCTCTTGGAATGTCTGTTCTCAATCGAATAAACCTTCTTTTCAATGTTTCTAGAAACACACCATAGACGCGCTACCGGACTTTCTCCCTGACATGTCGGGGCGGTCGCTGGCAACTGCGACCTAGCCAGCCGCTCGACATGCCCTCCGGAGCCTTGCCGAACCACCTGAGCACCTACCATAGTTTCATCACCTTCTACACCGGTACATTGGGCGCCAGGGTGTCTGCAGCCGAACGCCTCAGTGTTTCCACATGATCCTTGCGAACATCGATGATCTGCACGTCAATCGCGTCTTTGGACGGCAGAGCTAGGAGTATTTGGAAGTGTGCATCGTGAGCGCATGGACGTTTTTCTTGGTAAGGGTCTCCTAAGGCTCTTACCAGTGAAGGGGTTCCTGGCTATATGGCTTCCTAGAATGCTAGGTGGAGCGAGTCAAGTGTAATGAATTCATGGCCTTGCGACAGATGACGATTGTGGACTGGGTCACTTGATACCATGGAACGAGAATAAAGACCAGGGGTTCGCGCGCTGCTGTGGCTGTTGTTTGTTGTTAAAAGTTGACCTCTACAATCGTTTCTCACCGAGTAGTCTCACGATCCATAGGGCTGGCCTTGCGAAGGATCTGAACCTCATTTCTCGATACGACATATCGGCCCATATCCTCTCACCAACTAATCAACCAAGTCAACACATTATAAGTCGACAGAAAAACCCAATTGATTGAGAAGCTATCTATCCATCATGGCGAAAACAACACGTTCACCCTTCCTCGATATCCTCCCACCAGAACTCCGGCTGCACATTTACACACACCTCCTCGTCGCCCCTACATCCATCAAAGGTCCCGTTGCCCGTCATGAGACCAAATACGACCTCCATACCGCCATTCTCCGAACCAACAAGCAAATTTACCACGAAGCCCGCTCTGTATTCTTTGGCAAAAACACTTTCTACATAACTTCCATACCGCCAACCTCATCCAACAGTAACTCCAGTCATGATGTCGCAGAGGAAGAAGAAGAAGGCTCGGGAGCCTTTGAACCCCCTCTCCAACTTACCGACCTTCCTTCAGTCCGCCATCTCGAAGTCGATCTACTCTACTACCCTAACTCCATGACGACAACTCTGGATTCCCGCGACGGCGTCTGGAAACCTGTGTCTATCGGTGCCAGACGCTACACAACTAGCTTATCCTACTTGCTTAGTACCGTCTCGCCAAGTCTGCTCAGCTTGACCCTCTGCGCAGACACACGCCGCTACATCGACAGCACCTCCAGCCAGGACCCTAACCGCGTCAGCACCAAATCCGAAACCGACATCGAGCGACTGCAAGTGCAAAAATTACTTACGGGATTTTACATGGCGGACAGCAACTCTCTTTTGAGGAAAGCAATGAAGGACCTACTCGTTCGGGATGTCGGCCTGCATTTCGATTTCCCGGAAAGTTACTTTGACTTTATGGTTGGTAGAGAGAGGCTCTGTGGACAGAGTCTTGTGGAGTTGGCGGGCCAGGTGTTGGCGGCTAGGAGTGAGATCAGGTTCAAGGCTGCGATGCAAGAGGCGGGTGTAGGAAATGAGTTTGCGGAAGAGGGTACAGTGAATTTGATCCCGTTTCCGTGTTTATAGGGCGCTGGTCAGGGTTGAAAGATGGATGGAGGGATGCTAAAATGTTGTTCGTGTAGGAGCGTTGGCATGATACCACGAGTCGAGAATACGACGAGCATTAGAGGGCGTTTGCTGCATACTTTGGCTTGGGAGTTCGATGTACAGGGAAGTGCACTGGAGTATTTGGAAGCGTTGTGTTTTTGTTTCTCTATTGATATTCTTTCACGATACCAGTAACATGCGAACAAAAAAGACGCTTGAATCAAGGCGCTGAAATCTCGTTCCACAAATATAATGAGTAATTGTCCCATATCGCGTGCTTCGTTACTGTCGTAAATCGTAAACCGTCGTCTCATATCAATACATACATGCCGGAAAAGCAGTCAGGACGGAACATAGATGAAACGCAGAAGACAGGCAAGTAGAGGAAGAAGTATAATAATACAGTCGTGTAGAAACCTACACTTTCTCACGTTCCTGAACGCATCTAGTAGTCCCTCCTTCGGTGTCGCCTCGTCTTGACAGGACTGCCATCACCCTCAGAGTCGCTACTGAAGTAATCGTAATCATCGCGACCATAGTCGTATCCATGGTCTGGACGGCGATCGCGATCGCGCCTATCGTCCTTTCGCGAATCGCGATCGTCGTGGCCGCGGGACTTGGAACGGAAGCGATCGATTACGCTGCGGCTTCTAGCACGCAGGCCAGGACCTTTGCTGCGTTCGCGTTCATGCGCGCGAGTCCGGGATCGGGAGCGAGAACGGGACGTGGAGTGGCGATCGCTTCGGCTTCTGTGTGCATTGTTAGAACTGAAACCAGCCAAGTATGGGGTGGCGTTATTCACCTTGAGCGTGTCGCAATCTGTCTGGCACCCAACGCACCCGCAGCTGCTCCTGCAAGCGTAGTCAGCCTACTTTTACCCAACGACCTGCCCGCAAATCCTCCCGCCAACGCACCTCCCACCGACGCCGCCAGGCTCTTCTCGCGCAGATCCATGCTATCGAATCTATCGCGCACTTTAGCCATGCGCGAATCATCTCGACGGTGGTCTTTGCTAGAGCGGGACTGATGGGAGTGAGAGTCAACGGACCTAGCCCTGTGACGATGTTCACGACGAGGCTTGGTGCTCTCACGGCGAGAGCGAGGTTGGGAGTCGTTGTAAGCGACCACTGGCTGTTCAGCAGACGGGGGGATGTAGGTCGGGTAGACTGCGCTAGGCACTGGCGCAAAAGCAGGCGCAAAAGTAGGCTGAGAGTTGGAGCGCTGACGGCTAAAGGGCGGCGGAGACGGTTGGTAGCCAGCGCCAGTCGCAGGGAACTCGGTATGATGGTAGGGGTTCATAGGAGAATTCGAGCCAACAGGTGGAGGCGGAATGGGCGCGTCTACCGCGGGCGACGGCGCGTATCCAGGGCCAGGAATGTACCTAGAGCTTCTGGGAGCATCGCGCTGGCCATAGTCTAGAGTGACACCACGTGGCTCTGCAGGTGCTGGCTTTGGAGTGTTAGAAAGTGGGCGCTGAAGCAAGGCCGCAAGAGGCGGCTCGTAAGAAGGAGTGAAAGCAGCAGAAACGGGAGAACCACGAGAAAGAGTGCGAAGCAAATGAGGTTGAAAAGAGAAAGGGGTGTACGAGGTCGACGTTGTCCGGCTTCTCAACATGGGCGGACAGCTGTTCGCCGATGTTGGATGCTCGGGCATTGTCGCAAGCGTCGCGCGTCGAATAGATGAGAGATTATTTACCTGAGGAGAGTATCCATAGGCAGGAGTAGCAGATGGGCGGTGATCCTGCACGGGGCTAGGAGCATACTCCTGTGGATTATACGGCTTATACTCGGATGTAGGCGGAGGAGGGAAGTAGGGCTGTCCCTGCTGCGGTTGAGCCATGTCTCTTGGAGGGCTGTGCTGTCCGTCCAAGTCGCTACTATGTCTACCGTGTCGTCCCCGACTCAGACTTCTACTAGCAGTCGTTCCAGTGCTCTTTGCGCGTCGTCGCTCTCTCTTTCGTCGCTCTCGCTCGCGCTCGTAGTCGGTGTCGTCCGTGTAGTAGTCCGAGTACTCAGTCGGCGGGCTGCGCTCTTGTCGTGAGCTGCGCTTGCTAGATCTTTCTTCGCTGTGGTGTCGTTCTCTTTCGTGTCTGTCGCTGCGGTCTTTACGGTTTTTCTTGATTTCCTTCTGTTCTGCGGGTGTGAAGTAGCCTCCGGGGATCTTTTCGAAGAACTTGTCGGGAACCTTCTCTGCGCCGTAGCTGATGGCCTTGAAGGCTAGGGCTGCCATCTTTCAATGGGGCCGCGAAATCCGGATGTCGAGGTGACGTAGGGTTGTCTTGCGAGCAGCGATGTGATTGGAGCGCAATCGACCGGTCCCAGCGATTCGACGAGGGAGCCTTGTTGGTGTGATGGTGTGCAGGAAGGCCGACAAGTGGCAATGGGGCGGACTGCGCAGCGCGGGTTATAGTGTGTAAGCGATATAGATTGTACTGGGAGATGTGCGAGGTGTGTTGCTCGAGGACTTCTTGACAAGAAAAAGCGCGGGCAAGGAGGCCAAGTATAACATGTGCCGCGGCAAGTGACTGTTGACGTACGGCGGCAAGAAGCAATTAGATTTGTTGCAATTGGGCAGGTGCGCTTAAAACACGACAATATAGCTGATTCGACGCATAGTGCGATTCCGTGGCAGGCGCCTCGTCTACATCGTGAAAATGACGTCGTTCGTCATCGACGTGGCTCGTGCGCTACTGTCATTGGAGCCGCAACCCGGGGATCAGCATAGACGTTGTAGATGGATCCTACGATGCAAAAAGCATCCCGATCAACGTTGATCTCGCAGTCATCCTTGCACGATGCAAACACCACAAAGACGCCTCTTTTCATTCCCATATCTGTTCTGGAGATGCTGAGGCGACGCAGGCTTCGCCCACTGTGGCCTTCAGAAGTCGTATTCAACTGTATGCGACGCACGGTTGCCACTGCATCTATTCTCCGCATGCAATCCTACAAAGTTCTGGCCTCATTGCCGGCTGCCGACGGGACCAAGCCTCCTCGGAATACGCATTCCATGTACCCCTTGCTTAAAACCGGGTCGCAATGCCATAAGACGCAAGGCTTCTGCGAGGAATTACCCGGGCGTGGCGGGCGCGGCCTATCGTGAGATGGTTGTGCGTTGGCAAGGCTCGTCAGCGTCGCAGCCTCAACCACTCAGACGCTTGGGGCTATGTGCGATGACGCCATGTTCGAGCTTCTGTGCTCACCGCCATCATGTCATGGGTCACGAAACATGGCTCTCTTGTGTGCATTTGTATGGCTTTCATTGAGGAATGTGATTAGAAACTGGAAGCCCAAATGCGCAGACATGGACCGGGTATCTTGTGTATCAAACTAATCATACGCTGTACCACCAGTGAAGAGGATGGAATGAAGATCATCAGCGGTCATGGCCTGCTTTACACCACTTGATCAGCAGCTACTGGTGCAGGGCTACGTACTTCTCCAGCGGGTCTACCAGCACTGTCTGGAACCTCAACCATGTCCTCAACCATTCCGAGGAATCTTTGTCTATATTCATCGCTCGTGGTAGTAATACTCATGGGGCCGTGGTCTTTCCCAAACTTCAGTGTGTTGAATAGCTTAACCAGTCCCGTCATCGTATGCGCCTGAAGAGCGTCTTTCGACCAAAAGAAGTCGAGAACGATGGCTCGGTAAACCCACTTGCCGTCACGCGATACGACACCTGTGCGCCATGTAGATCCTCGACCGGGGGGCGGCGGCACGTCGCCCGAATTCAGGTCGGCGGGATAACGGACGAGAAACAACGAATAATCCACTGCGTTGTTGCTTTGTAAGATCTTTGAGTCCCGAGAGAGTTGGGCAATGAGCTCCTCCTTCTGATCGATAGTTACTCGGACTTTGTCTTCAAACTCATCAATAAGTCGATCCTTGACACTCTCGGGTGCCAGTCGTCCGTTAGCCACGTCGCGTTCGGGATAGAAGTAATCGTTTGGCTTCAAATCATATGTCTCCCAACGTTTTTGCTGGTCCTTGCTACAACTTGACTTCCCATAGAGGATGTTCTCCATTATGATGTGATGGCTTGGTGCAGCGCCTAGTGCAGCACCGATGGTGGCAGTGGGGCAGTAGAGGAGGTCTGTTATACGGACGAGGAGGGAGTCCTCGTTTAGCTCCATGTGTTCGACATAGGGTTCGAGAAGACGATCGCGAAAGAAGGATTGCTCGAACTGTCGTGGGAGTGACTTGATCAGGTACTTGGAATTAGGCGTTGTAAAGAAAGTCTGCTGCGCATAAGCTGGTTGCTCTCAGATGTCATATTGAGCACGTACTGATCCAGAGTATCCCAGGTCTCCTATAGGGACCAGGTCGGTCCGTTTGCCCTTGCTAGGAGAGCGGAAGCTCTCAATGTATCCTTCTTCTTCAATCTCCCAAGTATCGTTCCTTAATTTCTTAAATAGAGACGCGCGATATCGAGCTAGAGTAAGACTGAAGAGGGCGAAGAAGGCATATATACGCGCGAACAGGCCTAGACGCGCGCTCTCATCTTTCCGAGGCGCGTCAGATCTGAAAATGGCGCGCAAGATAGACGCGCTGATAAGGCGATCTCGGCGTCCCATTTGAAGTTTAGGGAAATGGCAGCTGTTTGCAGGAACAGAAAGGAGGTCTGCGTTGTGGACGCGGGAAGCGATACATTATCGCGGACCGTTCAATATCAGAATGACGTCACCGCGCTAACGATAGGCCTTCATGTGTTACCTGCTCGGGCATGTCTTCACCAGTATACCGAACCTCATCAACGTGGACTTTTAGCTGCTCACATGAAGAATCGGAGTTCCCGCCATGTGGGTGAATTATCTGGATGATCGGCGAGACCTGACGAAGCGGCTCGTAGGCTTCTCGCACGCTGCAGCTAACAGTTAGCACACAGCACAGCCGCCACAACGGCGCCACAGATTGTTTTCATTCGCAGTTGTTGGCCCCCAGATTCATTTTTTCCGGTAAGATATAGATTGACTTGCATTGTACAAAAGGAAACTCGAGGAGTATCATATGTAACACGCAGCTGCAATGGACACTCTTGGCAAGAATGAGTTTGCAACCTTCGACCGCTATGCTGCAATCTGGCAAGAAGCACTACAGAAGGAGATCATCCTTGTACCAAACTCTACAATTGTCCTGATACGCGACCCGTGTTCAGGGCGTCACTAGCTCTACCTCGGGATCTCCGTGTGTTCGGCCTACAACTGTCAGGGAAGCTGCTGGCTACGCGACCTGAGAGTGCTGAAGACCTATTGGCTGCAGCAATAACTCCAGTCCTGGTACATCAAATTTCAGCACTCATCGGAACTTGACTCACGCTTTTTTCGTTACAGAACATTGGTTCTAGAGCTCTTAACCTCGGCCGTGTTGTTTTGCTTGGCAATATCAATGCATCTTGGAACCAGAGTCTCGACTGTGGATCCTGATAACCTCAGATTGGCGAGCTATATGTTGCTCCTTGGGGTCGCGCCCCAACCGATGTCCCGCTCGGCACGTCTTCCGTTGTTTCACCCTGGTCCCTTATGGCGCTCGCACTAAGCGTGCCGCTACAGCGCTACAACGGCGAGAACCAACACGGGTGGGCTTTCGAGTCTTGCAAAACGAAAGCAGAGGTCGGTATGCAATCTGGAGTTGGATATGAAGCCTTGCAATCAAGCCTTGGCGGCTGTTCATCAGTTACACAAAGCTAATGACTATGTACCACCCCAGTACAAATCGATCCAATGTAGACCTTGACACGGTACAACCCGCCCATGTAAGCGTCTAGACATACTCGTCTAATAGACTAGCCCCTTAGGCCCAGGCAGTTCATGCCCGGGCTATCAGTTTGACGGCTGGCACCCCACATTATTTCGCCTCTGTAGCTCGCCTTACAGCTCGAAAGTTCGCCCAGACGCTTCAGCATGCCCTCTCGGAGGTTTTCCATATTCCCGTTCGCAAGCTACTGGATAAATTCTGCGTCTCACAACTGCAGGGTCATCAAGCCACTGCTTACTGGGCCTGTCTGCTATGGGGATTATCCTGACCAAGGGATTACACTCGGCATATAAAGCGCGAGACTCCCTCTTTGGTTTGACAGCATACTCGTACTACCTTAAATTTATAGTATCGTTTGTCATACCAGACTAATAGCAGGCAAAATCGCTCGTCCGCAGTGCCAGTCTTTCATCTTTGTACCCTTTTATCCCGTTCATCACATTCACTCCATAACCCAAACATCCAATGGCAAGTGCAGACGTTCAGCAGCCCCCTGCGCAGGAAGCCGCACCCGCACTACCTGATTACCTCACAAATCCCGATGCTGTCCTTGGAGATAAAGATGCCAAGTGGCGATACGGCAGAGCCCCAGATTACTCAAAAACAAGAAAGGTTTTTGCTGAGAGTGAGTTACTGCACATGGTAGCGAAGCTGCAGGTCAGACGCAGTGCATCTTACTAAAAATGCATAGCAAAGCAAATGACGCATGAAGCCGGATCACTTCCGGAGCTCGTACAAAACCTCGTCAAGAACTGGGAAGTCGAAGCATCCTTCAAGCCTAGCATTGACGACTGGCGTACAATCGATCGTGAGAATTACTCATTTGCCATCAATGGCGGCAAGCCTGAAGGTGCGGAGGCCATGCTCAAGGTTGGCACATACAATGCTATCATCGCGCCCAACGAATACTACTCGCCCGACTACTCTGATTTTGCTTCGTCACACAAGACGTTCAAACGCATGATGCCTACATTCGCATGGGAAGTACTAGAGGTCTACAGCGGTCCACCGACAGTGAGCTTCCGATGGCGACACTGGGGCCAAATGAAGAACGACTATGTCGGCTTCAACAACAAGGGGGAGAAGGTCACAGCCAAAGCACATGGAGGTTCTATCGATATCCAGGGTGTTACTGTCGCCACTGTCAACGAGAAAGTGCAACTACAGGCTGTTCGCACTTGGTTTGATCCCATGGACATGTTCAGACAGATCGCACCCGATGGTGTAGTGAAGAAGGAGGAGAAGCCCAAGGGCATGTCACCAGGCGAAGCTCTTGACGAAGCCCAGGCTGGTGTCAAGGCGCCTGAGGAGCAGGAGCTTCCTGATGAGTTCATTCAGTCTAAGGAGGAAGTCGAGCAGACCATTGCAGCTCTCGATAAAATGACGACTGAAGAAAAGATGTCAGGTTTACAGAGCATGCCCGCTGGTCACCCTGAAGTATCGACGTCTTCTAGCACTGAAGGTGCTTGCCCTTTCATGTCTGGAGGTTCCCGCTGAGGTACATGTCAATGCGAAGTTCACGCGACTGGATGTTTGTAGCCTTTCGGATTATTAGAGATTAAGAGCGCATGATTTACGGGCGAGGAACACTGAGCGAATCCGTATTGTGTCTTATATATACACGATTTTATTGCGACCCACCTATACTTTCTCAAGAGCTCTATGTTTTCACTCTCGTCTTTAGATTTTTGTGTATTGGAGAAGAAACAGTGCAGTGTATCAACCTCGGCCAATCAATCCATCGACCTACTACCAGCGATCAATCCGAGCGCGGCGATCCTATCCGGTGGCATTTCGATAACTCAAATCACAAACTGGTGGCGTTACACTGCGATCGGCGCGAATCCCCCGATCTTTGAGATTGTTTGGTATCATGCACTGTTAGGCATATCTTACGCAATAGCGGCGGCTGGTGAGCCGAATGTTCCAAGCACCCCAGCCCCCATCACTAAAACCTACCCAGCCACCCCAACGACGAAGGAGCACCCAGCCCCATCGACCAGAGCACCATTCTCCCTCGCAACGATCGCCCTATGCTCCTAGTCGTTCGTTTATGCAGTGCTCGTCTCGCCCGTCTTTTTACCCTTCTTTCAACCGCCTGCTCACCTGTTCAGCCGCACCAAGAATCTTCAAGAACCGGGTTTCCAGTCGCATCTAGGTTAGATCTGTGACATAAAGCCCAGTATTTTCTGGTGCCCATGGTAAAGCGCTGACGCTGACTGTACCATGTGGCTATCCGAAAGTAAAACTCCTAGCTCATCGACTCTCCACTCTAGGTACCCAAGCAAAGTAGACCATGTTGGGCAGCAGCGTTGTCAGACATGTGTCATGTCTGGTATACCCTAAAGCATGTTGACCACGGATTTTGCTGGCCTGTAAGTATGAGGATATAATGCGAGGATAAGAATCAGTAAGGGTGGTTGTACTTGAGAAAGTTAGGATGAAGGCCAAACGGAGAGAAGAGATAAGAACGGTCTCATAGCAAATTATCACTGTGTGTGAATTGTTTTCACTTTTCTCCTCCTTGTCAAAGTCAGACTAGAATTGGACTCGCTGAAGCTGCAGCTTCAATCTTCAACGACGATATCAGTTGACCGATGCAGAAACTATGTACCTAGCTAGAAACGCCATCACTTCTCCCTGAGAGATATGTCACTTTACGATTCTATCTAACTCATCTCCGTGAAACATGAGAGTGATGTATCCCGATCTCGTTCTATCAGATCCCAACCATCTAAATAATAGACAAGATCACATGTGTATGATGCGCAATCTTCAAGGGCTGGGGTTTGTTGCATTGCGCCCTCCTTCGTGAAGCTTTCCACTTGACTGCTGAATCCACATTGGCAAAATCCGATCAAATTCTCCGAGCTCTGTCGTTGGCCGGGGATCGAAAAATTCAGGGTATCTTTTCATAATGTCGTTCTTTGCGACTTGAGCTGCTGTCAATTCCCTCTGTGATGCGTCTACCTCACCAAGAGCGAGAAGAACCTGAGAATACCAGTACTGTGCCCTTGTATATCCTTCTTCCGTCCATGTAGCTCTGTGTCGTCGCGCAAGGCATTTCTCAAGGTGATTACTGTTTACATCAGCACGATCCGCCAAATAGGGTTGCGAGAACGAATGTACCGTGCTTCGGCATATCTACCCTTCGCATGTAACAAGATACCAACTGCTTCGTAGCTCTCTAGAGTATACTGTGAGCTCTCTCCACATACGCTTTTCCGTTTTTCTAGAACGTCTTGGTGGCATGAAAGCGACTCGTCAACATCGCCCGCGTTATATAACAAACATGCAAGGTCGTATTTGGTGATGAGAACGGATGAGTCCTCACTACCTGCATGCTGAAGTTCAAGGTTGAGACTCTTGCGAACATAATCTAGAGCTTGCCTTGGCTGGCCCTCCGTCATCAGTATGAATGCGGAGTGGTGGTAGTACTTGCTGTATTCGAATGGGTACTGGTTTTCGGTGCCCCATTTTCGATAATAAACTAGCAATTCCTCCATCAATACCTTAGCTTCGGCATACCGATCTCGTTGGAAGTATGCGCAAGCAAGATCGCCCTTCGCATTGCCCCATCGAATCTCATCGTCAGTAGTCCTTTGATCAACAGGTATACGGTCGAGTTCGTTGTTTCTCAACCGAAGGAGCTCTTCTCGGTGTTGGAGGCTTTCTTTTCGTTTACTGACACCAACGCAATCAGCCACAATACCCGTCACCAGGTATATGTCGCTAATGAGCTCTTCAAACTCTGGTGAGTTCTTGAATTGATCATCTTGCTTGAGAAGGGCGGTTTCAGCTTCTTCCATGGCGATTTCACAGTCACGGAACTGACCAGTGTGCCATAGATATGTTCCGACATTGGATAACATCTTCGCAAACTTCAGATTGAGTTCCAATGGAGGGTCTGGCCATCGCGAGTTAGTCATAACACTGACGACCTGCGGTACAAACTTGTGGTATACCGGCCATATGTCACTCTCATTCTGCTGTAGACGCGATGCAGGCGGTAACTGTTGGTTGATCATGGCGAAGACCTCTTCGAAGATACGTCTGCGCTTGTCGGGATCTTTGTCTTGTTGGAAACCATGGAGAATATTCTTTTGCAGTGACCGATGCACCGAATATTGGACACCATCTGGACTATCGAATCTCTTGAACAGCTGACGGCGGCCCAGATCCCTTCCTATATCCAAAAACCTTATATTGTCAGCCCAATGAAGCAAGGTTCTCTAAACACGAACTTACTCATCTTCGTCATTCAGGAACTCTAAGGTCTTGACCTTCTGGGGCTGTGTAAATAGTTCTTCTGGCGTGCGATCCGGATTCAGAAAAGCCATCAAGTCGATGAAGTGCCTCGCATTTGGCGAAAGTGCTCCTAGAGCGACATTGAAAACAGTAGCTAGTGTTTTCTGATAATTGTGAACAGCATCATCTCCGCGATCAGCCCACACCCTGGAAGAACGCTTCAATCTTGCAAAGACTTTGGAGATTTCCGTTCCCGAAGTTTTAACGTAGCCTCCTATAGTTACCAAGGCTAGAGGTAACCCTCCCACCCATTCAGAGACCTCTCGAGCAACGTATCGATCATCGTCAGACACATGAGGCCTCTCATCGAGAAGTTTGAGCAACAATTCTGCACCGACATCAGGAGACATTTCTTGCAGCTCTATCTTGTGAAAGTTTGCGGTCAATTTTGAGATATGTGCCTTTTGTGTGGTGATGATCGTAGCGCCACATCCTTTTATATTGTCGGGTAGGTAGTACTGCACATGGCGAGCATTCTCAAGGTTGTCGAACACTAGAAGCCATTTCTCGTCTTCAAGCATGCAGTCAGTGTACAGTTCCCGAGAGTAGTAACTTTGCAGCTAGTGTTACTTACTCGTGCTTTCCAACCACTCCCGAGCACATTCGACGGCTCTGCCAATCTCATCTTCAGGGCTTGATTGACCACCAACGATGTCGTAGCCATCTCGCTTTTGTATCTTCTTTCCAATCTCGGCATATGATTTGCGGAGTTCGTGATCGGTCTCGGAATTCAGCCAGAAGCAACCGTCGTAGCTAGAAAGATATCGGTTGACGTAAGCTAAGGCAAGTTGAGATTTTCCTTGTCCACCAAGACCGTGGATCACCACACAGTGCGCACCTCTGCCACTTTGCCGATTTCCGGGATCCAGATGGTCGTGAAGATCCTTCAGCTCGTCTTCGCGACCCACAAACTGTTGATTGAGCAATGTGGGAATAGTATTGAAAGGAAGGTTCGTCTGACTGGTAGTCTGTAACATCTTGGCGCGAATAGCTTGAGACTGTTTGCCCAAGGAAGTAGCGTTATCGATTCCTTGTTGTTGCACAGTCTCACGATCGATCGATTGCAACTCCTTCTGGAATATGTCTTCGTTGCGCTCCATGCTCTTTTTTAAACTAGTCACTTCACTCTTTAATTTCGAGCGGAAGAGTCCCTTGAGAAAGTTCTCTTTATGCCATATTAGCTCGAAACAACAACAATGAGTCTACCAGGCTTACTCAAGGGGCTTTCTGTAACATGTTTCGTGATCAGAATGCAGAATGCTAAGTAATCCCGCAGCAAATCATGTAGAGGAAATGAAAGCGCTTTCGCGTTTGGATAAAGAGCGAGTCCTCGTTGAAAACGAGGAAGGATGGTGTTCACATCCGCGATTATATCGAATATGTCTTCAATAGCATTCGAGTGTTTGCACACGCACTGTCGTGATTAGAACGATTACACGACAGTAGCTTGTCTCGAAGCACATACCTCGATCATGACTTGCAAGGCTCCCCAAGTCAAAGTCGTAGCATCTTGTACTTGGCAAATCGAATTCAAAGCACCACTGAACGATTTCACATGTTCTAGTGTTGGTTGTAGTTTGGCGAGACATTTAGATAGCGGCTTGCGAGAATACTGGGTGGTGAGGTCCTGTAGGACCCGCTGCAGCGAATCAAAGTCGGCCGGATCTTGGGGAAGTGGGGCGACACTTCTAAACTTCCTCCGCCACTCCTGGAACAACATGTCAAAATCTGCACCTCCAGCTTTTGCCATGTTGTCCGCTAGCAGTAATGTTGAAGTCTTTGTTTCAACCTAAGTGACGAAGTTACGGACAGCTTAAGGTCTTACAGGTAGGCTGAGCGACTACTAATAAGGGGTTTTCGTGTTATTGATTTGAGGACAATGACGGCCAATCGCAAGGTACTTGTTGCCGCTGCCTTAAAAGAGGCAAACGCTCATCTCCCACAATCCGAAACCGGTGAGTAATGATACGTGGGGTGCATGGGCTCATGTCAGGAAGGCGGGGTCTAAGAATTATCGCTCAGCTGCATGCCAAGTAGACATACACGTCGGGTTCGCTTGCAGGATGCGCCATCGGATCATACAGCAGCCATAACACTGCGAGGGCCTGTTGAATTTGCAACAGCACTTTCTCCGACTCACTTCTTCAGAATCATGAGTAATCTCAAGTCTCGTCTACAGGATCTCGGTCCTTCAATCACAAGGATTCTTGAGATAGCAGGAGCAGCGGGCGCCTCCATTGGCGTAATACACAATAATGAGACGCTGCACTTTGCGAACTTCGGCTACCGAGACGTCACGTCGAAGGTCTCTCCCGATGAGCATACGATCTACCACGTCGCATCGCTCAGCAAGAGCTTCACTGCCGCAGCAGTAGGCATACTCGTAGACGAAAAGAAGTTGGCTTTCGAACAGCCAGTCTCGTCCGTCCTTGGATCTTTGAAGCACCCCGATCCATCGATACAGGACCATGCGACCATACTCGACTTCCTGTCTCATCGAACAGGACTCGCTACAAAGCAGTCTTTGTGGGCACAGGACGGACAGGAACTACTCCTCAAGAAGAACGATAGCCTTAGTATCGTCTCGTACCTAGAGGTTGTTCAACCTCTAGGAACATGGTATAACTACAATAATTGGGGATATGATGTAGCTGCTGCGATTGTAGAACAGGCATCAGGACAAAGCTGGGGGTCATTTGTATCCGAAAGAGTGCTCGATCCACTCCAACTACGTCGAACATTTGTCGAAGCAAACCCACCCGAGGACAACTATGCCATGGGATATATGCCAGGACCAGATGGATCGCTAACACCTGTTGGAAGACCTACAATCGCTAACGGAACCGTTCAACAAGGAGCAAATGGAATTAAGACGACAGCCTCAGATCTTCTCCAATACTACAAAACGATCCTCCATACCTGGAAGACAGAGGTTTCCACAGGCTCTTCAGACATATCGTCGCCTCTCAAGAACGTGAGGGAGTTGTTGACAGAGCACATATCAATGGATCCTAAGTCCGAGTTCAAGCAGTCGTATGGGGCCGGTTGGGCAATCGTCGATCTGCCCTCACCAGTTGGCGCAATCGGCACCAACGGCATGTTTGTCGCTAACATGCCGGTGCTTGGAAAAGGTACGGAAAAAAAGAAACTATGGTATCACAACGGAAGCTTGGTAGGGTTCTTCAGTTCCGTCCATGTAATTCCGGATACGGATACCATCGTGGTTGTCTTGGTAAACTCAATACCAAAGAACGACGCTCCTGATTGGATTGGCCAGCTTCTTATCGAAGAGATTCTGGGCAATCCCGACAAGAACGATTACATCGCGTATGCAGAAGAAAGCGCGAATTCTTACGTGCGCATGTGGCAAGAGCTGGAGGAGGAATTCAACAAGACCAGGGAGCAATCCAAACACAAAAGACACCTGGATGAGTACGTTGGCAGATATTACAATGTGCCTCGAAACTGGTACATCGAAGTGACGTTGGAAGACGGCAACCTGTTCTTTAGCTTTCAAGGACTTGCTAGTCAGAAACACCAACTCCATCACCACGGAGCGGATTGCTTCAACTGGCCTCTTACCGAAAAGAGGTCGCGAACCCTTGGCCGCTGGCCAGATCTCGATGCCAGTACCTATGAATTCCGTTTCGATACGAACGACGACGATAATATCATCGCGCTGAGATGGGTGCACGATCCTGATATTCCTGACGGCGAACAGTTCCCAAAAGTTACGGATGCCAAGGTTCCTAACGAAGCCACGTATGCGCAGGTGCCTGTTTCGTAGGATAGGCGCTGACTTTCACTCAACAGGCACTTACGTAAACAGCAAGTACACTCAGAGCTTTGAGAAGTGTGGAGCGTTAAAAGGCTGAAATTTTGGCTATCATAAAAGCTATGAATATGAGATTCGTTGTATGATCTTCAATGCACGCGCGATTATGATACCCGTGCTCGGTGAAATGAAGCGCTGGAACAGTTTAACTGGAAGGCCCATGCAATGTATAACATGTATCACATCTGGGCAATACTCGGCGTTCTATTTTTCTTTACAATCAGACCCAGGTGGCGTTAGCCACCGTGGGATGGATAGCAACTGATTCGATTTCTTGGGACGAGGCTGCATACACGTGCATTCAGCCCATACCGAGCTTTAGGGCCTTGTTATGGCTGTTGCGCAGAGCCTTACTTTTCGGGGTCAGAGCTACACCCCACCTTGAATCTTCACGCACTGGAATTTTCCCTTCAGCCTTGTCGCTGGTGCAACCTTCAAACTTTGAGCAAACTCTTTTCATCAGTAGCAATCGAATTTCAACATCCACCATGACGAGTCCTCGCGACGAAGTTGCGCGTTTCAGCTATCTTCAATGGCAACCACTTTACGAAACTGAAAAGCCTTTTCAAGTGTTCTCCAACATCAGTTGTAGTGCTTTAGAACAACGCTCAACCAATCTTCATTTCATAGATGGCGAGCCCCAAACGATACACGATATACGAGGAAGAGAGTCAGAGTTTGGACTCGACAGAAATGGTTTCATGATACGAAAAGACGAGATGCGAGAAGCGGATCTCACCACCGAAGAAGGGTTCCGGAGGGACTATCTACCTCATATTGAAAACATGATGAAGGAACACGTTGCTGATATCGATCATATGGTTTGTTTCGATTGGGGAGTAAGTATCCCTATTAAGTTGTGGCGAGTGTTACTGAGAAACCCAAGTTCAGGAAGAACGTCCCCCTTCGTAAAGATCGGATCAATGTGAACGACAGAATGCAGCTGCTCGAACCAGCTCGGCAAGTTCACTGCGGTAAGCCAATGTCCAGACTAGAAGAAACAATGGTTCTAATAGCGCACCGACAGATCAAAGCCCTGCTGGAGCACTGCAACGTCTGCAGCGCCATGCTCCCGAGTACACAAAGGCAGCTTATGAAGGTCGACTTCGGATCATTAAGTAAGCTTCAACCATTACTTGTAAGAAAACTCTGATGTGTGTAGTGTTTGGCGCCCTTTGAACCATCCGGTAGAGGACAATGCGCTGGCTGTATGCGATGGTCAGACTATTGAAGATCGTGACCTTGTCGAGGCTGATCACATCACACGCCTGTATTTGGGCCGAACCATGTACGGTCTACAGTCTCCACAACATAAGTGGTACTATCTCAACCACCAATGTCCCAATGAGCTCTTGTTTATCAAGATATTCGACTCCGACTCAACCGTACCTGCCCCACGTAAGTCAGTTCGAATGGTTCTACACACACCGACTTATCTATGCCTGCAGGATCACTCCATGCATCGTTTGACCACAGTCAAAAACGGGAGAATGCACCTCCTCGTGAGAGCGTTGAGGTGAGGTTTCTTGTGATCACGGAAGCACGGCAGTGATGCTCCAACACTGTGTTGGGCTATGACGACACACACCTATGCAGGATGCAGCACTTCATTCATGTTCGCGATGAATGCTGGGATAACGATGCAGATATGTTACGAACACGTTTGGAGAATGAACTTGTCGCATTACGTGAAAAAAAAAACACTCCTTCCACCGCTACTGCCTTCTCTATTCCGTAAAGAGTGTCAACCATATCATACGAGACTAGCTAGTTCCTTCAACTTCTTCTCGAATTAACCAGAGATACCTTTCTTGGACACATTGTAGGTTGCAGGATATTCAATCCAGTCTTCTGCGTTGATGTCGCCAGAAACAGGAACACCAAAGTCCGGCACCCAAGGACGTGCGCGTGTCTCTTTTGCGGCTTCTGTTTCGACGCGGTACGCCCAGGAAGTCTCAGGTATCTTGATAGGTTCAGTAGATGCCGAACTGCCCGTAGATGCTTCGCTATTTGATCGTCTACGTGGATGATCCATTATAGAGCTGGAGTTGAATTAGAAACTAGGCTTCAACAGTTTCTTTACTACATACTTTTGAAGAGGATTCTTTTCTAAAGTGATACGGTTGAAAGGTGGTGTGATCTGTTTGGAGATGTACGTGACGCTGTGTAGTGTTCCAGAGATGCCTGAGAAACGCGAAGACCAGTGAGGGCATTGCAACCATTTATGATCCCTTCCCGCGGTCGGCCAAAGCGGGGTTACTAGGGTACCGCAGGGTGGCGTCGTTGTGTTGCATGAGATTGACTTGTATTATCGGCATTGGGCTGTGGGCTGAGTGAGACATTGTGGTATATTACCGGATATGCATGCAAGCGAATAAGGGGCTTTAGTGAAATTTACCTTGATATCAATGGACCGTATGAGTTGGACAAAGTGATTACTCTATAGATATGTATGTGTGGGAGAACCTGATGGGCGTGATATCTTTGCACTGGATATGCGAAGCTTGTAGTTGCCGAGCCGGCTACGAGCGGGTTTTTGGTCTTGTGCAGTATGAAAAGCTTGCACGAGCTCGAATATGTTCGCGGAATGCATGTCGAAGGTGGTGTTAATCTTTGGAAACGCCTGAATAAGGTGGCCTACTGTGATGCGGGATGGCCATCCGCCAGAAGAGTTTCTTGTCGTACCGGTGAAAAGTTGAGTTGTGGCGATAAGAGGAGGCGAGCCATTCCAAGGTTTGCTTGTTCTTCCACCGTTGTACCCTAATTTGCTTCTGCACATCGCAGTAACATTCGGCTGGTTAGAGGTCCTCACAGCAACAGCCTTATCGTGGTGAACTAGCCATCATTCAAACCCGTTGTACACATGTATATCTGCATCCTTTTCGGTGTGGTATATCCTCAGTTGGCTTTGCGAACTTGGCCACCATCTAATCAATCTTGTTCGTCCATTTCAGGGCGGATGTGATTCGTTAGAATGTTCTGAGCTCTTTAGATGGGAATTTACCTACCTGCGCCCCCTTTTGCAAGGCTTCCATTTTCACTTCCAGGACTATTGTTACTAATGGTGGTTAGGTTGGCTGTGGCTGTTGTGTTCTTCGTTTTGTTATGGCACGTGATGATACTGTATATAGGAACGTGCCACCTTCTAAATCGCTTCATTAGATTTTCGGCCAGTGAGGTGCCGTTGAATGGTGCAAAAAGAAAAATATGCTCAGCCAGCCATAGCTGGTGTAGTTCGAACCTAAGAGTTACCTAGGTAGAGACATATTTAATCATGATTCGACTCGCGATCGGCCCCAGGATGTGGCCTTCACATTTGACTCTGTTTCCATCCTTTCAAGAGCAAACATCAATTGGCTTTTGCTTTTTTCTGCTGAGATTAGCCACCTCGCGCATCACTTACCACGATGGCGTCTAACACTACTTACCTGTACAAATTTGCATCCAACATGCAACCAAATAATTCTTCCAGCTTTCCATCCGCATATGGAAAAATCATACACCCCTCTCCCGATGACATCCACGTCAAAGACCACGTATCGGCTGCAGAATTTTGATGGACAGATGTATACCAAGAACTCGTGTAGAGTAGGTGGAAAGATCGAAGAATACCAAAAAGGTCAAAACACAAGGATTACCTGGAAACTCCCAGACATGGGCCAGGTTCTGTAACAGGTGATTGTTTCTTAGTACCCCCACTGGCTAGAGTCATCATAAACACCCTTTCATCCATGAAATGCCATATATCTCTGCGTTTGTAGTAAGGAGCACATAACATCTGATGCTGCTTGGGCCGGCAGACTTGATCATTTTAGTATTGAGGAAGACTAGCCTAAACACCTTAAATGAAGGTAGCCGACTCAATCGTAACGGCAACGTGAAGCGTACGTAGGCTGGCGTAGCTAAAGCGGTAAGAATGTAACGTATCGAATGTATTCGAAGACATGATCGAAGATGGTAATGGTGCTTGAAGTTGGAAGAAGTGAAGGGGATAGCCTCGTTTTCTACGCAAGGAAACGCGAATCGAGAGCCACTTTTGCTAAGTGTATCAGAAGACTACTTCTTTGAGATGCCGATTGACTATCGACTGACTAGGTGCGCCGGCCCTCGAGGGATTATCTAAAAGATAGAAACAGGATGTGTAGAAGAAGCAGAATGCGGTAGCGACAGGTAGAATAGAAAGAGATCTTGAGTACGGATATTACCCAAATCGCATAATGAACTCACACTACAAGAAAAACAAGAAGAAGCTCCTGGAGTCTACTGCAGATGGAAGTATCCAATATCCTGCAACGTGAAAGCCTGGAGACGCCACTACATAGCAGCAGCGCATATGGACTGCTGGCAGTTGTCAAATGAGACAATATACAACGCATGATGGATCTTCTTCCAACGCAAGCTGTAGCAGTCACAGACGGAATGGATTGGCGATATTAGATAAAAGGTATGAGACATGTTCCGGCAATTGCAATCAGGGCCCAACATCAACAGTCAGCTCTAGAATACATGACACATTGACTTTGATAGCCGTTCCCACTTGGACAGCCGTTCCCACTTCGCTTGCGCCACCGAAGCAGCCTGAACTTATGTCTCTCCCGGTAGGCCAACACTTTTCGGGGTTTTGTTCGTGTACAGCGGGTGACACTATCTATCGGAACCTGAATGTACCCTGCATGAACGCATCCACTCTTCTATCGAGAATGTGTTTTCTCTTACTGAAGTAATACAGGTTTAGTGTTTGAAGATTTGGATAGCTGATATTGAATTGGGAAAACAGTCCCGCCACAGCCTTGCCGACCATGGTTGCCTACCCAACCAAGTCAGGCTGGTGTGATTTAAGGATGACCTACTGTAGGCAGCAGTGAGTCATACCTCCTTTACTTCATCATCAACATGGCGTGTGGTCACGGTTTCATGCTAGCTTGTGGCTACGCGCCAGGCTTTTAGACGCGACTGGTGAAGACACGGTATCATGTGTCTTACAGCTTGCACAAGAAGGCTGAAAGCTGGTCACACAGGATTGCGCAAATTTTAGCGGTTGAATGAGGCAATGTGCTGAATGTGTGGCACGCTAGAGGGCATGTCTCGTCTGCCTGCGACGGAGATGGTGAGGTCGCTCTCGTTGGTGTGTCAAGGTGACTCAGCCCGCAAACCAAGGCCTTGTCTTGCCGGATCAACTCGGCATCCGATTTGGTGCGAGGCTAATGGGGGGCGGGCAGCGCCGATGAGTCGTCAGCAGGTCGGTCACTTGGCGCTTCTGGAAGGGGCGACGATGGGAAGATGCAGCCTGCAGCTGCAAACTCTGCTGAGGGCGTGGGAGGCGCGAACCATGGTCATCGCTTGCTTTGGAGAGATGTTCAGAGCGGTCGCTGGTCGGATGAAGAGAGCCGAGGCGATTTGCAGATGGACGCATTTGGACTCGCTTTGGGGAAGAGGTCCGGCGTCATCAACCACTGCGGTGTGCGAGAGTGGAGCAGGGCATAGCAGAGCAAGGCGGCGATGTGTTGGCAGCAGTTCATTGCTGCTTGCGCCTTTTGCGTCATCAATCACGATGGGCTCGTGTGCGACAGGCGATTGCCTTGAGCGATTTTCAGCCATGTTTGCATCGCATCGCATCACGGCATGGACCATCGGATGCGCTGCAAATGAAGGCGTCGCATGCTGAGCAGCTGAGATTACGAGCGTCGCAGCAGCCGTCGAGGGGGTCGGCCGCAAATATAGCCACGAAAAGCACGGTGAAGGCACAAAATGACCCGTCTCGGGATGGCGTCTCTGGTGCGCCCAATGACACAACAGGCAATGTGAAGACGCGTGCTTGGCTCCCAGACGGTCGGTCCCTTCATCTCAACATAGCTGAACGGGGTTTGTGAGGGGGTGTAGCAGGCAGTCTGGGACTCTGGCACTACCATGGCACGGAGCGTTGGAGAGCAAACGCGCCTAGCGGCAAAGGAAAGGAGACGCCGTGTGTCGCAGCAGCTTGTCGCGTCGCAATCAGCGTGAACAGCCTCGTTGCGTGCGCAGGGAATGGGCGGGTTACAGAGGGCCATTTACCGCTGCGCCAGGCATGGCGGCAGGCCGTGTTGGCATGCCTGCCTGTAGCCTAGGAGGAAGCCGCCATGCGTGATGATGGAGCGTCGTCTCGTCTCACGCTCCATGGCATGGTAGCAGCAACGTGTTGAACAACGAGTGTATGAGCAACAACAATAGAGTGGGGGATGGCGATATCGCTGCCCAAGCAACCGCCGCTGCAAATCACGTACTGCCATTTCCGCCTGCGATGGCAAATAAAAAAAGCGCGAGCGATGAGTCTTCCAAGGTCGGGTTGTGTGGCAAAGAGGCAAGCTGGCCATAGCGCCCGGGTGCGATGACTGGACTGGACTGGACTGGGGGCGCTGTAGGTTACGGGGTTCCTATTAGTATCGCCAGCGCCGCCCAGCCCGTCACCCTCATCAAGACAGCAGCAATGGACTTCACGAACATCTACAGCGCCCCCTGCGGCCTAATCTAGGACGCCAACCGCTTAACGTGTTGTTCTGTTCTCTGTCGCCTACCCAACTACTACCCAAACCGCAAACCATCCCATCTTTGTCCAGGTAGCAGCCGACGCTTCGACCTCTGTCGCCGCCACACTGCCGCCTACCGCATAGACTCATCTCGCGCCTCCAGTCATACACGACACGAGACGAGAGAGCCTGTCCTTTTATACTCCTTCTCCCGTACCTGCGTCGCGACCAGCACCCCCTCTGTTCGCGCCTTCCTACCTTTACCGACTCCCCGACCGCCACTTCCTCACACGTCAGGCCTCTACACCACCCACCCGCAAACAGCTCTTATGTACACCACCACCCAATAATAATAAATCAACAAACAAACACTCCCACACAAACACTCCCCAACAACCATCCGCGCTTCCACCGCGAATACACGAAGTCGCTCAGCCTGGTGATCCTTCCTCACGGTAGTCACCATCCTCGAACACTTCCCACATCGCCTGCCATCAACACAATGTGCCATTCGGCCAACACTACTCCAGTCACTCGTCACTCAGAATTCACCACTATTTCCGGAAACAAGGCCTTCATCCGAGGCCTCGCTTGCTAGAAACCCCCCGCATCCCCTCAGACATCCAGTTCTTGCGACAGCGCCCGCTGTTCAATAGCTGCAATATCAGAGTGCTTCGCGGTCGGTCTATCACAACGGTCTTGTTTCGGTGATTCTGCAGTTGACAGTGACTGGAGCCCGCTCTAGTCCGCACCTGGCAGCTTTTCGACCACTTGACACTGCTCGAATCCTACTTCCACCTGCGACTTCGTCAATCCCCTCAACCTCCTACGTATACGTTCCGCCTTCGAAACCTAGCCTCTTCCAGCACACAACAAAGAGAACCGCGTCTCGAAATATACGTCAGAGGTCACAGGGTTGCTCTCTACGGTTTGTCCCATCGGTTAAGTTCTCGGTCACTCCACGACCACCCGATCACGCCTTGCGCCACCCCTCCAGGTCTACCTAACGGTCAGCACTTCGAGACGTAACGACAAAGCCTAATCACCCATCTCCGCTCACTCCTTATTGTCTACATTTCCTTACCAGGTACCGTCCTGTATACCTCTCCTTCATCATGAGTCTTGCTATTCCTCTCCCTAGCCACGGCTACATGGTTGAGACCCACCCTTATGCCGCTCCCCTTTCTTCCTCTGCTTCCTCTTCCACCTCGTCAGTATTCTCAGACGCTGCGTCACAAGCGTCCAGCGCAAGCTCCACATCGTCTCACTCAAACTGGGACTCAGAAGAATGGAGTCGCAACCAAGTAGCACCGCCGACCTCGGTCGACCCTGCAACCTTGTCAGCTTTCCAGCCCATCAGCCGAGTTAGCACATATCCTCAGTATCAATCTGCAGTATGCCGGGAGCCTGCACAGGAGAGGTTACCTTCCCTGCGCACCGAGCTTCTGGCCCCACTGGAGCAACGACAGAATCCTCGTCGATCGTCGGCAGCTGTAAACCAAAAGGCCCCACCCCAATTGGTACGGCAATCCGATCGAAAGGTCAACTTCGTCGATTGCCTCGTCGGTTAGTACACGCTTTACCCCTGGACCATGGTTCCCCCGCTGATTCACCCTTCTCAAGATTCTGCCACCCAGATGGTTGAGGTTATCTGGCAACTTTCTGAGCCCAAGAGCCGCTGTGAGAATGCCTCTGGACGCGGAGTACTTCCCCTCCGCATGTTCATTCAGGAGACACTTCGTCGCTCTCGCACAAGCTACTCTACGCTCCAAGTTGCCTTGTACTACTTGATCCTGATTAAGCCTCATCTGCCTAAGCATGACTTCACCATGTCCCAGCCTGAAGATGCATCCCTTCGTGCGCTGCAGTGTGGTCGTCGCATGTTCCTTGCTGCGCTCATTCTCGCCTCAAAGTATCTGCAGGACCGCAACTACTCGGCTCGCGCATGGAGTAAGATTTCTGGCCTCAAGGTCTGTGAGATCAACACCAACGAGATGGCTTTCCTCGAGGCTGTCAACTGGAAACTCCACATTGTTGACTCGGTATGGGAGAAGTGGCAAGAAGTTGTCTTGAGGCACACTCCTACTCTTCCACCGCCATCACCTGGCGCTCCCATTCCCAACACTTGGAAAGACGTCATCCCTGTCTTGACGCCTGAGTTGGACATCATCCAGGTGACTCGCAAGGCACCCAACACTCCTGTGCGTCCTCCTCTGAGGCCACAGCTGAACGCGTCGCCTTACCGCACTCCGTCGCTCGATGGTTACGGATCCCAGGAGAGCACACCAACTCCGTCGCGCTACCAAGTGCCTCGCTTCTTGGAGCCGAAGCCTGATCTTCCTCACACTCCATCGCTGCCATCACTGGCTCGTTTGGGTCCTTTGCCGACACCGTCTTTGACGCCGCAATCCATTACCAGCAACACTCCTGCAGCGAGTGCCATGGCTTTTGGATCATCGCGACGCACATCAATGTGCTCGGCAATGCAACAGGCACAGTGCTCGTCATTGGCGCGCACCTGTGTCGACCAGTTCAACCCAAGCGTCAGGAATGGATTAGAAGCGTATCACTTCCCAACCCGACGACCTTCCCTGGCTCCCTCCAACTCATCCCTATCATCCTCTCCAGAGTCAATGATCTCGGACAACTCGCGCACTTCTCGTGCTTCGTCAATCTCGTCGGTCTCATCTGCCGGCTGGGCGCCAACTCAAAATCAGGCCAACTTGGCTCGATTGGCGACCTGTCGCAGCGCGAGGCTTCCGTACCCTGTATTGTCCAAGTGCAAAGAGCAGTACGAGTATGCTCCAAGTGAGGCCATGTCCTCACCTGATCTGGACAGCTTCCATATTGATGATTCGGATTCTTCGCCAGGCAAGGTTGAGAGCCCTGCGTTTGTCGCTCCTGCGAGTCGTAAGCGTGGAAGGTCTTCAGTCGACCTCCAGCAGAACGTGCGTCACTTGCTTCACAGCACTCGCTCCGCATTCGACCTCCGTGCTCAGAAGCCTGTGCTCCCTGATAGATCAGTGTCACACTCATTCGCCTTCTCATCGCGCAGTGAACCCAAAGGGCTGCAGTCCCCCAAGAACACTGTTCCTTACTGCTCGCGTCTTCCCATTCAGAAAGACTTTGGCAAGAAGCGATCGTGCTGCAGTACTGAGGTTGCACAAGCCTTCCGCCCACAAGGTCCAGGCATGTGGGCTGGCATCCTCTAGACATGACAACATCGTCTACACAATATTGAAAGCCCAAAGAAGGCTAAACAACAAAGAATGACAAGGAAGTATCAACGCATTTATTCACTGTTCGTATTTTACACACAGTCACACACTCTACACACCCGTGTATATTTTCCTTCTCAACCTCCGAACCAGCCATGTGTGTATTCTCCTTTTGGGCGTCTCAACAGATCTCATTTGCTACTTCAGCTCCGGTATACCTATTTGGGTTACTTTTGGCGTTTCAACTTCACTACCAACTTGGCGTTATATCTATTCACGGAAAGCTCGGTTATGAGCGAAAGGTGGGGGAAATACCTTGATTGCAGTCGGATGCATTAGCATGGGTTCAACGGAATAAGGCGTAGTTTGTGTCCGCACGCACATGCGCCCCTTTGGTTGGGTTGGATGTACGTTTACGCTGCGGTGGGTAAGGTTATATCCAATGAGTAGGTAGTGAGTAGTAAGCAGACGTTGATGATTCTAATACTTCACTTGTCGCTTGTTGTGTATGCCATGGTGATGTAAAGGTCGTGTTGATTTTCTACGACGAAGTTCCCCTTACTATGGATGGTTGAACTGACTGTGTATAGGCACTCGCGCGTCTGCTGTCACATTCGCTCCGTCTATCTCGACCCATGATTCCCAGGCCCAACCTAAATTTTCCTAGTGTCATTAACATGCACCTCCTCCCCTTCCCCGACCTTGCCCATCGCTCTAGAAACTGTAACACTCTCCCTCAATGCTCTTCCTAGAACGCCTCTTACCCCACCTTCCTCCAGCACCATCACCCCCGCAATCGTACACCCCTCCGGACTTGTCCCCATGTCCCTCAATTCCCCCGGCTGTATCCCACTCTGAAGCATCTCCGCACTGCCTCTCATACTCTGGTAGATTTGGTCCTGAGCTATCTTCCGAGGTACCCCCACAGCCACAGCGGCGTCGATGAGGCTGTCAACTATGATGGCCCAGAATGCGGGCGTGGAGCCGCTGACAGCTGTGGTAGCGGGCATAAGACTGGGCGGAACAGGGAGTGATTTACCAATCTGAGAGAATATCGCTGTTGCTAGCGCTGAGTATTCGGCTGGGAAAGAGGGCGAGGGATGGTGTTCGATGGCTGTTAGGGACTGAGAGACAAGCGCTGCTACATTTGGGAGTGTACGCAGAACCCACGTCTTTTTCCCGTCGTCTTTTGCTTCCGGGTCGGCGCCAACAAGTGATTCCAGTGCAGAGCGTGACCAGCCTGCTACGATACTGATTAAGAGTTTCCCCTGCAAGGCCTCTTTGATACCCTCTTCTTGTAATGTTGCTTCGACCTGTGAAGGGTCGACACCGAGGATTATGACCTCTGAAGTTTCGATGGCGGTTGTATTGTCTTTCCTCAAAATACGGACATTTTGATGCTGAGAGAAGAGATCTTGAAGTCGCTTTTCCGAACCCTCACTTTGGACGCAGGCGACAAATTGAGTGATGCCACGGAGAGAGTCCGGAGGGGCGTTGGTGAGACTTTTCAGGATAGGTGTACCGAGATTACCTACAGTAAAAGATGGTTAGCACACTCATTTGTATTCCTATTTGCTTTTGGGGTAACTTACCACATCCCAGTATACAGAGAGTTAGGTCTGGCATGGTAACTTCCTAATGTGCTGATATTTTGGGTGCTTCTTGCCAAAGTTCGGGAAAGGAGAACTTTAGAGCTTGTAATGGACCAAAGTGAACAACTTCGTCATATGCCCAAAGTTCTTGTACAAGGAGACTGCGTGTCAACAGAACCTTATTTTACGATCCTACAAAGGTCTGCATTTCGACTTGTGTAATGGTTCTCGGGAGGGAAACCGGTCCCCACTTTTCTTCATGCGACTATCAGCGGGGAAAGCGACTACGGAGGCCCACTTGTGCACCTACGTCTCTTCAGCGCCCAAACACAATCATGACGAAGATAACGCCCAAGTGCCGATAGTAGCCGCTGATTAACAAGTAGGGAGGTGCTATACTTGGTGTGATGGTGACCCTAAAGCACGAATGATGGAAATTGCACCTTTGACAACAATGTATCCATTGAATCAGTCTACTCCGTTACCATGCACTGCAACCTCGCCGCCCTATGTCAGTTATGCCCAGAAAAACCTCCTCTTAACCTCCTTCCGTAACGCGGTAAACTCATCCTTAGTCCTCAACACAGCATCGCGGTTCTCTACTGCTCTACGAAGCAGATACCCCACACACTCGCCCATACTACCCCAGGTCGTGCACTTCAATACCTCAGGCGCCTTACCACTCTCGCTCTTCTCAGCCAGCAAAGAAAAGCTGACTTCATCAGACATGCCGTGAAGCTGTCCATACGCGACAGGCACGGTTGGTAGACCAGCTTCCAAGCGCTGACGGTAAAGTCTATGGGCTGACAGTACGCTTTCGCGGTTGTGAGAGGCGAGAAAGAGATTTACAGAGGGAAACGGGCGTGCAGAGGGACCGGAAGCACCGAATATACCGATTTGCTGACGAAGAGCACCCTGAGCTATGGTGTTGTAGGCGTTGTCCGTATCTTCTTTGGTGTCGTGGATCAACGAACGGTTATCGGAGAGAATGTATGCGCCTCGAACGAGCTTGAGACCAAGTGTGAAACCGTCTCTCTCTGCCTCGGCCATATGGTATGCGAGTACGTCTGAGGTGTCTTTGAGGTAAGCTTGGTATGTGTTGTAGATAACGGCTTTGCCATCGCGGTTGAACTTCCGCATCAGCTCAAGACTTGTACGAGCGATTCCCTTCTGCCAGTGCTGAGACTCTGCGTCGACGATGATCTGGACGTTGCGCTCTTTGCACTTATTTGCGATCTCGTTAAGGGCGTCAAGCATCTGTTGGGGTGGCAGTTCGCCTTTGCTAAACGCCATTGAGACTGCTGGGCCGCCTCCCGTTGTTCTGCAGTAGTATCAGTAATGATGTAATTTCTTCCTAAGATCCTTTCTTGTTGTTACACATACTTTAGAGCCAGGATATCTCCCTCCGAAATAAGATCAAGAGTCCTCAACGTGCCCGCCCTCCACGCCTCGATATCCGTGTTATGTGCTGGGACAGCCTTTGTATCGACGAACTTGTCTGAGGTATGATGGTTTGCAGATTCATTCTTGTGATCGAATACCATTTCCTTCGCGTATGTCAATATCACTCCTTTGAACCCCAGATCTTTCAGCTGCTTCACACACGCTCGTGTCTCTTGTTCTGTTTCTCCTGCGCAAAATTGATTGTATAGCGTTCTCTTTAGAAGAGCTTTCAATGCGGGATTTCGGTCCACGTTGAAGAGAAGGCTTCGGTTTGGTTTGGCAAAGAAAGATAAAAGCCTCAGTGATGGTATTAAGAGAAACTTGTTAGACGATACTGTGGCAATGAAAAGTGACCGCAGCAACATGTGTGTTGGCATCGCTGATAGCGGATGTTGTGCAAGCGATTGTTGGGGCGTCTGTACGGTCGGTGTTTTGATCCGTGGAAGTGCGGTCGTAGAATTGAACCGGACCTCGAATGTGTTGAAGCCATTAACGAGGCCTTTCCTGCTGGTTGCACAACGAAGCGTTGACCTAGTGAGCCGTTGCTGTAGCATCATGACTTCAGTGTGTGATGTCGAGACGAGAGAGTCGAGCAGAGACAGAATAGTACTACAAGGTACTCATCTGATAAGTGTAGAGCGTTTCTTCAATTCCGCCTCTTCGTCACATACTCTTATCTCAATCTATGTATTACTTAGTGCATGACCCCGCTCGACGTCTCGAACGTGGGGCATTGCTATACTCGTGACTATCGCGTCAATGACCGTCACTCGGACGTGCGGCCGGATCGCGTGGGAAGCCCGGATATGGTTGGCACACTATTGGCAGAATGTAAGAGGCGAAGTGATAAGCATTTCAAGACCAATAATACAAATGAGCGAAAGCGTAATGCTTCTGCAGGTTCGCTAAAGCGGGGTCAATTGATGATGCGGCTTGGATCGGGTTATGCAGGTGACGATATCGGCCTTATAGCGGACGCAAAACACGCTTGAACATTGAGAGGATCGAGCGGGTCTTTCATACCTCGTTCGGGGCAGAATGAATAGTGTAGACAATACAGTACCGCAAAGCCCCAACATCTTGGCGATTCGCTGTCAGATTGATCTGCCATCGAGACTATCGAGAGCTTTTTCATAGTCGAGATCAGGGTGACGCAGTGAGACTACCTCATCCATCAAGAATGCACATTCTAACTTGATTAAGGAGAGTCGTTACCTCTTACCTGCCCGTGAAAGCAATCCCTCAGCCAAGTGTTCATCACCATGCCAACCCCAAAAGCTGGAATGATTCTTGCACATCTTATCGCCGTCGTTGGTAACAAGGCGCTTTTTATTCTCTGCGTCCGCTCCGCACTGCTGCCTTCTGGGCTGGTATAGAAGTCCAAGCCCAGTAGATGTAGAGGAGTTGCCACTACCTGGGAGAGAACTGGCGTAAAGATTTGTATTGCGGCGTTCTTAGTCGACGGATCTGGAACAAGGGGATCTGGTGCTGATACAGCTGAACTCAGCATTGGCGGTAGACTGATGGATCCGAATATGGTAATGGCGTCGCGGAAGAGGAAAGTTGCGGCGACGGTTCGTGAAGACCTAGTTGCTCGCGCTGGGGAGTTGGACCGTGTAGGTGAAGCCACTGGTGTCGTGTTTCCCACCATCTTGCTGAACTTAACTTGCTCTACAGATCTACCATACGTTTGGACGAAGCGCACATCTTTCCATACTCCTAGAGGTACGTTGACAAGACACGTTGAAATGAACGTGATAGAACTGATAAGTATGCGATCCGCTCCCGCTGTAAGTGCGGTGCCTATGCTCTCAACTGCGTTGGCGGTGGTATATGTGGCTGCATAGAGCGTCCACATGTAGAGGAAAGGCTTTGTTGCGAAGAGCAGCCGTGGCCGTCGGACTGAGTTGAGGATGTTGGTTCTCAGGGTAGATAGCAGAGACTGATTGGCTGGTGCGGCATTCTCAACTACGGAACTGGAGTACTGTTAAAAGATGAAGTTCAGAACATGAATCACGACTTACCGGTCAATGACTGTCAAGATAGGACTGATCGCTGTTGCGGAAATGGTCGCTGCGGCGACGTCTCCAGCCAAAACAGCTGCCAGTGCCTGTCCTTTCGCCCAGGTATTCTTCTCACTCTGCATAAGCTGCTGCGACATTGTGTAGTGTTGTGTGAGTCGTTCACCTTGTATGACGCTCACTACACGCGCAAACGCATAGGACCCATATGTACCAATCTACGTATCCGTACACCAAGTTGATTCAAGAATATTTAGATCAGTACCCATAACATTAGGCATCAAGGTCTTGTCGTCTAGCCGCTGTTGTCTCGCAATGCATCCGACAACTAGATCCCTCTAGGCCACGCAAGCGTGACCGGGCGACATCAGTCGGATTGAACATTACGGTTGTCTTCGCACACTGCGAGGCCAACGGAAAGACTCTCGTCATCATCCATAAAAGGGAAAAATGTACGGTCGGATACCTACGTAGTTTCGCTGTTGTGTCATGTCGGGAGGCCATCCGATCGTGCAGGAAAGCGCGACGCGTTATGCGGGTCGATCTTATCGATAACACTAGCGTTCATTCAGATCAGGGGGCTGGGATCACGACAGGGCGATAACGCTCACAACATCTGCGGGGGTTGACAATACGTGCAGCAACGGTCTCGTTCCCGTATTGACAGTATGATGGGGCCTCTGCCGATAGTTCCGTCTGATGATCAGATTTGGCATACGCGTCGCATGAGTAGACAAGCGTATGCAGAACATGTATCATAACCCTCTGAGGTCTCTGTATGAGCAGCCAAACCTTCATTCTCTTATTATCTTACTGCCATGAACGTCTCAAAAAGCGATCCCATAGCCATCGTTGGCGGTGGAGCATTCGGTCTCTCAACAGCTCTCGAGCTCTCAACTAAAGGCTACACAAACATCACGGTCTTTGAGAAAGACGAGGAGATTCCGTCACGATGGTCCGCTGCGAATGATCTGAACAAGATTATGCGAGCAGAATACGAAGATGACTTCTATACAAACTTGGCGGTCGTAAGTTTCCTGGATGACCCAAGCGTTGCCGTGAGAGGATGATGTGCCAATAACTGACGAACCAAAAGGAAGCGACCCACGCCTGGCAAACTCCTCTATATGCGCCTTACTTCCACCGTGTCGGCTTTTTGAACTGCGTTTCAGGTGCCGCACCACAGAAAGCAGTGGACACAATGCTCAAGTTCCAAGCAGCTGCTGATAAACATCCGGAGATGAAGCCTTTCCTCCATTCTATCTCAGGAGCTGAACAAGTACGCAATATAGCTGGGGCATGGCAGTTCACTGGAGAGATGCCTGGTTGGAAAGGGTACTTCTGCAAATACAACGGCTACGTACATTCCGCCAACGCGTTGAGGGGGATATATCGCGAAGCAGTGAAGGCTGGTGTCAGGTTTTTCTTAGGAGAGAAAGCTGGTGCAATAGAGAAGATCGTCTACGAAGACTCAGGAAAGAGCAGGAAGAGTATCGGTATTCAAACCAAAGCCGGCCGATTTCACCCTGCGAAGCTAGTCATCGTTACCGTTGGCGCTGCAGCACATAAGATTGTCCCCGAACTTGGTACCGAAGTGTCTGCCAAATCTTGGTCTGTTGCACACGTCCGCCTCACTGACGACGAAACTGCAGCACTGCGTGGCATCCCCGTTACATACGCTCGTGATCTCGGCTTCTTCTTCGAACCAGATCCAAAGACGAACCTCCTAAAGCTGTGTCCAATGGGTGGTGGCTATATCAATACCAATCCTACCACTGGAGTTTCTGAAGCGCCTGAAGGACTCATGCGCTTTGTGCCCAAAGAAGACGAAAGGAAGATGCGCGAGCTGCTTCGCCAAACGCTGCCCTATCTTGCCAATCGGCCGCTGGTAAAGAAGTTTATATGTTGGTTTGCGGATACGGCGGACTCTGATTTCATCGTCGACTACGTACCCGAGACCTGCTCTTCGGTCATGTTGCTCTCAGGCGACTCTGGCCATGGTTTCAAAATGTTCCCGATAGTCGGAAGGTGGGTGCACAGCTTACTAAACTCGCCCGACAGGACACAAAGCATCTCAAGATGGCGTTGGAGAATACCGAAGCAGAAGGCGCAGGGAGAGAGCTTTGATGATGATGATGTGAGCTGGAGGGTAGGAGATGTTAGAGAGATCCGCGAAGTACAAGAAGAAGCGGCCAAGTCCAAATTGTAGAGCTTCCCGCGTATAACCTGTTCAAAAAGCCTTGTATCACTCTTGTTACATCTCATTGTATACTCGAATCAAGGATCTGGTAGTTATCTAAAGTCGCGAACGATAGCCAATCCGTTCCCTCAATTTCCATAGACTCAGCCACAGCCAGAATCTGCTCAGCTGTCAAATCATCACCAAATCCACTCCCCTCATCACTTACCCCTGTATAGGGAGGTGGCAGCGTGTCCTCTGAATTCAGTAACCCAGCTGTAGATTGATATCCTTCAGGAAAGGAGAGTGGGCGCTGCATGCTTGGACCCGAGCCGATCGTGTTTGGTGACGCAGTAGGTGGCTGTTCCCTGTTTTCGAAGTACTCCGCTAACATTTCTTCAAGTTTGTGGAGCTCCACATTTCTAAATGCCGCGATTCGGTTGCCACTAGATACTATAGTTTCCATAAAGCCGTAGGCTTTATCCAAATGACCTGTTTGGTTGTCCATCAAGCTGAAGTCAACAAAACGGGTTAGGATGAGGACCATAGTCGATACAAAGAGTGCGTCAAGATCCCATGGGAGGAACGTCTCTATAATGTAGTCAGTACGGGAGAAGTCTATATGGCTAGACTCTCGTACCAAGTAATCCTTGATCTTGCAGGCTTTCCAGAATATTCAAGATTTTCTGTGAAGCTTCAAGTGATATGTGCAGTAGATGCCGTATTTTGCGTGATGAGACCAACGGTCGCACTTCTTTTGGTGACTCAAAGACTTTCTTCAAACAGCAGAAAAGCAATGGCCTCGTCACAACAACAATGGTCTAAATATTCGTCAGACTGGTTCTGCGTTCTACAAGGCTTGAGTCTTGCCTGGTAATACGACAAATGTAGATGTGCCGGCATCCTCGAAATGCCTCCGAAGCGTTCGTCAGCATGTAGAGGAAATGATTGTCGGAGCTCTTCCGCCAACGACCCAAGATCGTCCAAAACAGCCTTGATGCTTAGGACAAACTTCTTGCGCAGGCGACCTTTCGAGCCATACACAGCTAGGCATCCAAGTCAGTCATCGATTTTACGAGAGGTTACATCACGTACTTTTAGCTATCTCAGCATGTATACGTGCAAGTCTGATCTGCATGTTCAGCGCTGCAGCTCGCTGAGCGGAGCCTACGAAGTCTGGGGCTTGGCAGGATATATCGTCGTCTTGGATTGATTGAGGCAGCCCCATCAAAGACGTCATTTGGCGATCGAGGATGTAAACTGTCCACCAAATTCGGCGGCATCGCTGAACAAGAGGTTCGCCCAAGTTTTCAACTGGCATATCTGTATGCATTCCTTGAATCATTGAGATGCGCATAGCTTGACCAATCTAACCAACGTCAGCTAATGTGTAAACATGGGGATGATTGCATACTGTTACGTGCGCTGCATTTCTTGAATCCAAGGCTTGCAAGTACAGCGCTATACAGCAGAGTATTTCGACCGCCGTCACAGGCTCGCGGCATAACCGGTTGGTATCTGGGAGTAGCTGAAGGGCTTGTACAAAGAAGTCCGCCCCTGGTGGCCGTGGTGCATTTCCTTTTGCTTGGATAAATGTCTTTCCAAAAGCCAATATTATAAGAAAATGTATATACCACATACTCTCTTTCCATGCGCCAGTCTCAGAGTTCGAATAGAACGCGTGCATGTTCGCCATGAATTCATCCTCGTCGAAAAGATGTACAAGCTGAGCGCAATGGAATTTCACAGCATTGATCAAGAAAATGGCGTAGTCGATACTGGGAATAACCGGAGAAGTGGAATCTGGAAGGCTGCGAGTACCATCCCAGGGTAAATCATATGCTGAGCCGTCAAACAACAAATCGGCACTCGGAAGAGGTGATTTTCGAGTATGCTCGTGCACTAAATTGAGTATCTGTCCATGGAATGACCAGTTCGAGGAGGTACCAAGATAGACTGTGAATAAGATCAATCGAAACTCATCAACGGCGGCTGGCAAGCTTACAAGTTCGTCCAGAAGACGACCAGAATTTGAAGGACTCAATAAGTGGGTTGATTAAGTTCGATTCGTCAGGCTCAGGTCTATGCCCCGGCGAATTTTCTCTCGTACCCCCAATGCTAGATGGATTGACTTGTTGTCGGTCATGGTCCGGTTCTAGTGCGTCTATATCCTCTTCCTGCGCCGTTGTATCATCTGCCGTCGTTTGCACCCGAGATGCTATTGACGCATTGCCTTGGTTTTGCTCTAACCTGGCTACCTTTGCGCGGAGGTCGGAGAGATATCTAAGTAGCATCAGCATCCGCATCAACTTCTTCTCCCACGATTGGAACACGTCAAACTACCCTTGTGTTACTAGAACCTTATTTTCTCGGTCATCGAAGATGCAAGTAAGGTTTCGTCTGCCACAGCTTGAACACGGCTGCTGCCCTGAACATTTAATCTTTTGCCTCCTGCATCGCGAGCAACTGTTCGTAGTTGTTGTTAGTGCACTTTTCCAGCACCATGCGAGTTGCGTACGCGTTTGAGGATCGTTTTGTCACTTTACGATGATCGTTGGAGGTTGTCATCGCGTCTGCCGAGGCTCACTCATGAGAACCTCGCGACCTTGGAAGAATGGTGAAGCGAATCTGGCCGAGTGCTGTGCTCGATCGATATCAACAACACGGAAGACGCGCCAGCGCGCATGCAGAAACCCCACGCTTGTGAGCCAGGGATGTCGAGGGCTGAGTTAGGATAGGTACCGCTATGTGCGGGGACCAATGGAGATCTGAGATCATTGCTCCAACTTGGTCTTCCTTCGCACATGGCTGCCATCTCTGCTCCACCTCGAAGTCGCAGAAGACGGTATAAACGCTAAGCATTATTTCTCCATCTTTGTCTGACTGCGACATAATATTTTTAGTGCTCAGTCAAACTCTGAAATTGCATCTGGAGGTTGGGATGCCTTGCTCGGTTTCCCTAGGTTATCGGGCTGAGGGGCTGGTTTAGCGTATCGCGCACGGAGACGTGCGACGGATGCGCTTCCGACCCTCTTGCAGGAACACTCGTCATCAGGTGTTCTGAACACTGATTCAGGCCAAGGAGAATACTGCGAAACTGAGTTGGCTTAGATGACAATTGCCTTCAGAAGAGCACTTTAGTCAAGGCATGAGAAGTGACATTCCCAGCACGAAATTCCTCAGCGTATTGAATGAGCTCGAAAACCTAGAACACGCAGCAGCAAAGATCATTCTGGGAAACCCAAAGCATATTCTACAGAATGTATAATGAACATGAATGATGATCTCAAAGCAGGATGACCGTGTGCAGAGCCTTTAACGGGTCATTGTCAACTGCTCTGGTGTTCGTTCTCCACCCGAACTGCCACGGGTTTGGTTAGGTATGCATCGGGAGGCCTCCCGATCGACTTCTGAGCTCATGCGAAGTTAGGTCCGGCGTGGTGAGCTTATCGGCCAACCAAAACAACCGTAACGTATGTCGACGACGGGTATTCGCGGGCATGAGAGCTGCAGCGATGTCGCTATGCGTCGCGAGTGATGGTCGGGTCGCGTTGCGGCTATTGACTCTCACAGAGTGATGGATATAGAAAGTGTGGTTCAGCAACGAAGTGCCTATGTGCATCACCTACTCACCCCCCTCCTTACCCCACTATCCTCTCCCAGAATGTCGAACACGCGATCTCTAGTACGACTCTCACATACTAGAAGGCGACCTCTGATAAGTACGTCAAGATGCGCGCCGCTTCATTGTCAACTACGCACAAAAGCAACGGTACCGTTTCGGTTACCTGATGCTCGTAACGAGCCAAACCCTACGTACGAGAAAGGTTCTCCAGAGCGAACTAAGCTGGAGGAGACTTTGAAGCACATGAAGTCGCAAATTCCTATGCAAAGCGAGATTCATTTCAATGGCAAATCACAGCAAGTTCACAGCTCTTGGGATCAGCCATTGCCAGCGGACCACAAGACGACCTTCACGAGTTATCCACTTACAACCAAGGAACAAGTATCAAAAGCTATCGATTCCGCCCTCAAAGCAAAGAAGTCATGGGAAAACACGCCTTTCGTTGATCGAGCGGCAATCTTCCTCAAAGCGGCCGAGCTGGTAGCAACTAAATACCGCTATGAACTGATTGCTGCAACCATGCTTGGCCAAGGCAAGAACATCTGGCAAGGCGAAGTAGACGCTGCTGCTGAGTTGGCAGACTTCTTCCGACTGAACTGCAATTACGCCGCGGAGATTCTAGAGAAACAACCCGAACGAGGCACAGACGGAATGTGGTCTCGCATGGACTACCGCCCAGTAGAGGGGTTCGTCTACGCCGTTTCACCGTTCAACTTTACTGCTATCGGTGGCAACCTCATCTCCGGCCCTGCTATCATGGGTAACGTGGTACTCTGGAAGCCGTCACCTTCAAACATCTACGCAAGCACCATCGTCTACAAGATCCTTCTTGAAGCTGGTCTACCACCGGATGTTATTCAGTTCGTACCTGGTGAGCCTGAGGAGATTAACGATGTCGTGTTCAACCATAGAGACTTCGCTGGGCTCAACTTCGTTGGCTCCTCAGACGTCTTCAGATCTCTCTGTGCTCGCATTGGTCAGGGTATCGGTAACAGTACATACCGCGAATTCCCACGAATGGTCGGAGAGACTAGTGGCAAGAACTTTACTCTACTTCATCCCACAGCAGATGTTCAATCTGCAGTGAATCACGTTGTTCGGGCTTCATTTGAGTATCAGGGTCAAAAGTGCTCGGCAACCTCTCGTCTGTATCTTCCAGAGTCGCGATCAAAGGAATTTATCGATACGCTGGTCGAAGACGTAAAGGGTATTACCCAAGGTAACCCACATGAGAATCTCGCAGCGTTCATGGGTCCAGTGATCCACCGTCGTTCGTTCGAAAAGATCAAGGCTGTCATCAACGAGAGCAATCAGGATTCTTCACTCGAGCTTCTAGTCGGCGGTACTTACGATGACTCCGAAGGCTTTTACGTCAAGCCAACCATCTACCTCGCAGATTCGCCAGACCATAAGCTCTTCAACTATGAGATCTTTGGCCCTGTACTCGCCATATATGTCTATCCTGATGCGGAGTGGAGTCAGATTCTGGAGAAAATTGACCAAGCTGGTGGCAATTTCGCACTAACGGGTGCCGTTTTTGCCAACTCCCGTACTGCAATACGAGAGGCCGAAGATGCTCTCCGCTATTCTGCTGGAAACTTCTACATCAGTAAGTGCTCAACGAACTTGTACTTGACATAGCCGCTAACAAGTCGTCAGACTGCAAGACTACTGCCGCGCTTATCGGCCAGCAGAGCTTCGGTGGAAGTCGTGCAAGTGGTACAAACGATAAGGCTGGCTCTTCAAACCCCATGTTCCGCTTCGTTTCTCCACGCCAAATCAAGGAGGAGTTCTTTCCTGTCTTCGATTACCGATATCCCTCGAACAATTGAGTTACACGTTATTATTGAAGTCACTGTAGCACGCGTATGTGGGGGAACGCCAATCAGCGTTTCGGTCGGCATTTCCAGGACCTTTAGATAATTGAGGGTGCGCTAACCAATTTGAGAAGCGAATTTATGTTAGGAAGAACAAAAGCAGTTTCAGTGAAATCTCAATTGTGCAGTATACTGTGACGTGTTCGCTTTGTGGCGCTCGACTAGTGTCGTGACGTCAATGCACAAGCATTCTAAGGTTGGCCACCTGATATTTTCAGTTCTAGTCTGATGTGATCGAGATAGTCACTGATCCTTTTTGACTGTATAAATCGCTACGACACGAAACATGAGCGACAGGTTTACCAAGATGAGACAGGCAAGGATTCACGAGCATGTATCAGGAAGGTAATTGTCCTTATATAAATGGTGTTCATATTGATACAGCTAATGGCCACAGGCACCTCTTGTGACTCTTTATCATAGAAACTTCCTATTCAAATGAGATAAGATCTTCCAAGTGAGAGTCGTCAGGCAGCAGCATGCCACTTCTTTGAGATGTCCCTTTGTTTGCTCGAATTTCGTACGACATCAAGACTGCACGCAAATCTGATCGGAGATCTCCACCTACAAATGAAGAGAGATTTACCTGCAGGAAGTCTTCGGGACTTAAACGGGAACCGGAAAACCTGACCCACGTTCTCTCTTCAGGGCGTAGGAATGGTTCCATATCCATGAATACATCCGCGCCGTGTTCCAGAAGTACCATAACTACATCTATGCGAAGATGTCTCAATGCTAGAGCGAATGGTTTCGAGAGTAGTTCCTTTTTGTCGTAAGGGTTTTGAGGTTTCTCATCTTCAAGCAGAGTACCACACATGCCATGATTTCCCTCTCTTGCAGCATATTCAAGAGGAGTGAGTCCAAGTACAGGATCATTGAGTGAGATATTTGCTCCGTATCGCAGAAGTATTTCGGCCATATTCTCAAAGTTTGAGGCGACAGCGATAGCCAGTGGTGATGATCCCACAGGATCAAGTGCATTCGGTGAAGCTCCTCTGCCGAGGAGCATGCTGACCATGCGTTCATTATTACGACATACAGCCGCCCCGAGCGGCGAGACGCCATGGACTTCTAATGCGTGCCAAATCCCAGGCTCTTGCGTAAGCATGTCCTCTAACTTCTCTTGTTCTCCGGCCAACACAGCATCCGTAACAGAGATGAATTGGCTAAGGTTGGCATGAGGGGAAGGGTCCAGAAGTTGTTCCATTAACCAATCAGATTGGCGCCCGCTGACGTGTGAATTCCTTGCCAAATATAGTGCCTCTGTGCTTTTGTTTGCTCCATGATCAAGCAGCAGTTGAACGATTTGTCTTGCATCGTGACGTATCCAAGGTGTTTTCCAAATTGAGTCGTAGCTTGTGACTTCGTAAGCAGCAGCTACGGCCTTCATCAAAGGTGTCGTTCCATCGGAAAACTTGGCGTTAACATCCACGCCTTGATCAAGGCACATTCTGACCATTGGGACGTTCCTTGCCGCAATGGGATAGTTGAGGTCCACGTGAATATATGCCATTGATTCCTCACCAGCGCCTACTGTACCACGAGATGCAAACACAGTTCCGGCAGAGGTCTCTCCTGAAGGTTTCGGGTACGGCATGAGCTTCCAAGACTTGATGTCCGTCGTATTGAGCCATATCTCTGTTGTAAAATTGAAACGGAACATGGCCACAAAAGCCTAGTATCTAGTTAAACATACACTAAACACGTCATGACAGACTAACCTTCAATTTCTCTAATATGAGTTCCTTTGCAACCCAAAGGTTGAATTTGGCATTACTTATGTCCTTGAGCTTCTGCTTCTCCTTCTTTGAAGCTGTTCCTAGGCTGGCAACGATGGTTTTGACACTAGCTTCAAGCTCAATCTTGAGCTGTCGGATCTCTTCAGTGAGAACCTCAATCTGTCTTTCCGCTTGTTCTTTGAGACGATTCATTTCTTCTCGGGTTTTATAGTGCTCTACGGTATTCTGATCAATCGACGTCTCGATTGCGGTCCTGGTGTCGATCTGTGCACCTAAAGCTCGATCAGACTGATCACCGGATTGTTGTGAAAGCTTGGTTATTTGAGAAGATAGTTTCTCGTGTTCTTCTTTGTCTTGTTTAGCATGAGCTGTTATGTTCGTCTCTATGCGCGAGTGAAGTGTATCTAGAATGGCGTGTTGTCGCTCGAACCCATTCTGTATCCCGTCGCTAATATGAGCTAGTGATTGAACTACGGACTTTGTCTCATCAGCAAGTGAAGCATAACCTTCTGATTGCTGAAGTGCTACGACATCGATCTTGCTCCTGTCGCCCAGAATTAGACCTGTCTGGTGATAATAGGTGTGGGACGAACCGTAAACCCACGATTATGCGAATATTCAACTCTTCTTTGTACATCTTTACTCTTCGTTCCAGGTTATCGATGTCATCCTTACTCCACACACTCTTCAAAGCTTGTCGGAAACTGCGAAATCTTCCAGGCTTGCCTTGACCTGTGAGCTTCTCAAGAGCCTTTGTAAGCTCCTGCGATACGTCGATGCATCCCTTGCACAGATCACAAAGCGCTTGATCGTCCGCGGTAAGGCTACTACTCGCAGCGGTTGTGGTGAGCGATTCTTGTAGCTTCCTTGAGAGCATTGAAACGTCTCCAGAGACTTTGCTTAGGTCGTCGTATTCAACAAGACTACCGTTAGCTGAGTTGTAGATGGCATGACTCTTTGCCAATATCCTGATGGCGAACTCGACAAACTGAGTGACATTAGCGACAGCCCCAAGCGCTATCAGAGGATCGAGCATGATGCATGGGAATTTCGGGCTCTTGTCGCTCCGCTTCTGTTGGAATGGTAATCGGCAAATGCTAGACGTCAGTCATGGAGAAAAGGCTGGGAGCTTTAGATTGTCGTGGGGTAAGTAGACTGTAGTCGACTGTTGGCACAGCCTGGTGCGCAGCTGAACGCCTGCGTCTGGTATGAACCAATCGTCATACTACATTCTTTCCACATGCTGGATTAAACAGCCTTCACAAGGCTGACTTGGACACGTAGGTGTACTTGGAGGCTGATCGGGGTGCTCTGCCACAGATATCAGGAGAGATGAATGACCGGCCATTGTAACACGGTCGAAGCTCAGATGCAAATGTGGAAGTGTATTTTGGTTGGGTTGCGCTTGGGGTTGGTCACATGCACGAGGAAGAGCTGGCAGGCGGACCGGGGAAGAAGCACAGACCGCGTACCTAGACTAGACCCTGGACATCCCTGTCATGACGGCGCAGCTGTCAGTCGAGATCCGCCATCGTTACCAACCCTCAACTGGAGTCTGTTGCTGTTCTTGTCGTCTTGGGGTTCAATTTCTAGCAGTCGCCATGCCGATTGATCGCCGTACCAGATGAGCTGCTTACGAACCCGCAGCCCGCGCCGCTCAGCCTTCCTACCATGTCCGCGTCGAACATCCGGGTATTTGTACAATGGAAGGACTCTACCGTGTTCGCCGGCGAAGACATAGAATGCACTATTACCTTCAAGAATGTAGCTTCGCCTGAAGGACGCGATGGCTCCCCGGTCCGGAGGCAGAATGGCTTCGCGACGGGCGGGGAGCGACAGCGCAAACTACCGCCAGTTCACTCGTCGACGAGGCCCTCAGTATCCCGCAATTCGTCCTTTGCCTCGCAGCTGCCGCCCTCACATCTTCGTGGACATCGCCCTGCACTGTCATTACATACGCCGTCAACCGCTGGGGGACGCCGATCGCCTGTTCCGCCGAGCGTCATACACGGGAACAACACAGGAACGCCGAAACATGGAAGATCCGTGTCAATCGTGTCCCTAGGGACAGATGCTGGAACCGAAGTCAGCCATGAGAGAGGCATACCCATTAGACGCCCAGCAAGAGGGCATGGAAGATCTGCAAGTCTGCAAGTCGTGCCCGGCAGGCCAAACTCGTATCCAAGTATGAAGGACACACGCGATAGATGCTTCTGGCTGACATGGTAGCAGTTGCTTCACCAGGTCATCGATCAGCTACACATCCCTCCCCATTATCCGGCGAAGCGTCGTCGCCAACAGTCCACAGCCCCGGCGACTTTGCCTTTCCTGCGCGTCAGAACAGGAGACGGCCTGGTGTTACGACCACACCGAGTACCCCAGCTCTTCCTACTACAGGACGGAAACCTTCCAACTCCTTCTCATCCAACTTCAAGTTCCCAGCCGCCCCTCCGCCTGAAGATGCCACACAACCGCAGCCTAGTAGCAGCCCTACAAAGCAACCCACACACGTCCGGCGCAACTCCCCGCAACCGCCATATGACCATCTACGGATATCAGGAAGCTCTAATCTCGAAGTGCTTTCGCCCGTCGCACGGATAATATCTGCGTCGAGCCTCAATGACACTCCTCGTAGCAGTGGAGAGTTCTACTCGATGAGCAACAACTCCAACGAAACACTAGCCTCGGAATATGCAGCTCACCCCTCCGCGCGTCTGCTACAGCGACCGATGCATCACCGACGACTATCGCATTTGGCACCGCCCAATAGACAGGCTCTCCCTGAGTCGATAATGATGGGCTATGCACAGATAATGGGCTCCTTCACGCTGGATGGATCCTTGATCAACCAGGCACCTTTCGAAGAGGTCAAAAGGAAGGGAGTAGTAGGTGGCCAGGGTGGAGGCGGCGTCGTGGGAGTAGAGAAGACAAAGCGCGAGAGCGGGCTCTTTGGCGCGCTAGGCTGGGGCAACATAGGAGAGTCGCTGGGCGGGTTACTGGGCGCATCAGAACCCTCTAGTATCCGGGAGATGAGGGGTGTTGCCAGCTCCAAGACCGTTCCGCTCATCACTACACCCCAGTCCATTCTGTTCGTCGATTTGAGGCTTGCGCCTGGCGAAAGCCGCAGTTACACGTACAGCTTTACAATACCCCGAGGTCTCCCACCTTCACACAAGGGGCGGTCGATGAAGGTAGCATACAATCTCATCATTGGCACGCAACGCGCCGGCTCGACCAAAGAACAGCAAGTGAAGCATGTGGACATTCCGTTCAGGGTTTTTGGCAGCGTGAACAGTATGTTTGCTCGAGTATGGATGCATTGACATGCTAACTCCGGTCAGGCCGTGGCGAGATACTTGGACATGATCTCATGTCTCCGTACATTATATTGCGCGATCAAGCTCGAACAGCCAGCATAGAGCCCTCTTCAGGTGCGAAGCTTTCTCCAACTAAAAAAGGCCCTTCGGGCAAGGCAGAAGAAAACACCTTTGGCGACTTCCTGGAGTACGTGAACAACCTGCTAGATCGACCTAGACACAATTCTAGTATGGGCTTGCTCTCACCTACAGGTACCATGCCTGGGCGGTCATCGATCGCCGAAGAACCTCAAACTATGAAGGAGGCCATCGACACAGCCATTTTGCGCAGCAACTTGACGGGTGCTGCGAACCAGAGCGCCAACCGCTTTGAGATCGCCCGCAGTGGCCGCCGTGTCGCGGTCATCATGTTGGCGCGACCCTCTTACCGACTAGGCGAAACAATGACCGCAGTGATCGACTTTACAGACTCGCGTATTCCCTGCTATTCTATACATATTTCACTAGAAACCTCTGAGAAGGTCGACCCGGCGATAGCACTTCGCTCGAATGCTTCGATATACCGTGTTACGAAGAAAGTGCACGCATCCTTTTCAGAAAACGCGCTGTTTGCGCAAAAGCTGGCCTTCTCGCCCACGATACCCCCCAATGCCACACCGGAGTTCATCACTAGCGGAGTCAGCCTGGAGTGGAAGTTAAGGATCGAGTTCATCACTCCGCGAGTAATGCATGAGGATGGGGAGGAGACGACACAGGACAATCTCTTGGAAGAGATATCCAGCGACGACCGGGGTGTTATATTAGCGGCGGCGCAGCGATTACCAGCTGAGAGTTTTGAAGTCCAAGTACCGATCCGGGTATATGGTGCTGTAAGTGGAGCACCTGAAGCACCTGACGAGCAAGGACTTCCCGTGTGAAGTTGGCCATATAAATGGCAGCCATTCCTATCAGCTCAACTTCGGAATGCGACGCAGCAACGGCGGGTTGCCGCATTGCTCTTCTAGCTCTTGTTACCTAGGTTGTTACACAGCCGGTGACTTCTCTAGAGGCGGCGTTATCTTCTGTACATGATCATGGATGTTTCTTGAAGGATCTAGGGAAAAAAGGGATGTGAGAGAGTGACTTGTAGTATACCAGCTCATTACTGGAGCAAATACGGACCCCATGACATAAGGTCCGAGGTTCACAGTAATATCATCGATTCAAATGCACTTACAGTCCTCGGTTGTATTCTCCAGCATGACTGACATTCCTTAGGCAAACCCAAGTTTCTTTGCCACGGCACCATCAATTTAATTTCATATTCGAATAAATGATCCATCCATTATTCATCACGATTTCATCTGGTAGATCGTCATACTTTCAAACACCTTACAACCTACCTTTCAAGCAAGACAAATGCTACTCGAGATGATATATCTTTCCCTCGTCGACACGAAGCTCAACGATCTAATCAGTAGGCTGAAGATGTGGAAGTAGCAAAGAACACTGTATCAGGGACTATGACAGCAGGCTTGAGTCTCAAGATCGCCAACAAAGGGGGTCGTCAAGTGTACGTCCCTCTTCCTTCCCCACCTTACCCGGCCGAAGCATTGCTCACATACAACTCTCTCCTAGTTTCTTTCTCCCATGCGGTACTTTTATGTCCGGACTCTTGCTTGCGGCAGGAATGGTACACATCTACCGCAGTGAAATCTACACCGTTGCTTGCCGCATGCTCGCTGGATCAACCCTGGCTATCGAAGGGTAGGAACATCATCGTAGAGGAAAGGCGCCCCTGATACGACAGTATGCGCGAGACCAACACAGAAGGTAGCACGGAGCCTTTGTACCATGAAGAAGCACACGCCGTCGAGTTCCAGATAAGGAGGGCGTTGTAAACTCATTCCCATCTCATCACAGTCCAAGATACAGGAAGAAGCTCAGCTGGTATTCATGTCATGTATTCATCATGTCGAGAAAAAGTGTATGTAAATGTAATCACAGTCCATCGCTAAGAAAGCGTTCTTCACAATCCATGTCTGGGAAGTGTTTTACTTCCCCCTTCAAAACTTTGCTGGTCGCTAACATTCCATCATGCCCTTGCACTCGTCGTTATGCGCTTACAATCCACCGGATCCTGCGGCTGAATGTGCGCTGGCACCGGCGCCGGGGCCCATAGTCGCGTGTGTTGCCTCGCGGTGCGCAGCTTCACGCGCCTCGCGCTCCTTGGTCTCTTGGGCAATCTGGTCTTCGGTCTTCTTGTTTCCTCGGGCGATGAGCTTCTCGAGGAGACCGCCCTTCTTTGGCGTGTCGTGCTTGTCTGAGTCTTCGAATTCTTTAAGGTAGGCGACGCGCTCTGAAGGGGGCATCGCGGCGAGTTCAGAGTCGATCGAGTCACGGTTCTCTATTGAGGGTGTTAGTGGCGGGTTCAGTGAGGCTGAAGCATAGCGAGGCGCGTTTTTGGGGGAGGCTATCCGCGACGGACCAACGTGTATTTACTACGACTACTGGACGCGATGCTTGGTATGTCACTTGGAGTTATCACTTACCCTCGATGGTACCGACATTACTGGTGCTGGTGGTGACATCGTTGTCGGCCTTGTTCTTGCTGCCGATGTGAAGCTTCTCCTTGATCTTGTCCATTGTCGGTGGTTTGTTTTAGGTGTTGGTTTAGGGTGTCTGGGGTATAGGTCTGTATTATTTACGTATCTGAATATCGAGGCAGGAGTTTAGGTGT